GTTTCCCACGCTTTCATTATGCTCAGGGCGTTTCCCTTTCTTATTCTTAGTGGCTTCATAGCCTTCAGTTACTACTCTCTGGGCGTCAATGGCGACTCCCGCGCTTCTCAAAGTACGTGTTCCGGACATTCTCATGTACCGTTTGATTTGTTTCAATAATATACGGCGTGTTCAAAAAAGTGTAAAGTAGCTAGCTTATGTAATGCTATGCTACGACGCGACTTGGCCGAAACAGAACAGAACCGAGTGGTATTGAGCAAAAGAGATACGGTACATGGTAGAGTAGCAGGCGTTTATATGCCTACGCCTCGTAGTAATGTGATTTGGGCGCCATATGGTATTGAGGCGCCATCGTTGTCGTTGTAAGTGACCGCATCCAATGGGATGCGGTATTTGGTCTATTGCATCATGCCGCCTCGCGGCGGCTTACAAAGCGTATACGGTACTACTATACTACCGTTACACTCAGAGTAACTCAGTGGTCAGATAAATTGGTCTACCGCGAAATGATCACGTGCGCGTCGGTCCGCGCGGCTAACGCTCAGCGCGTTCATTCCTTTCATCTTCCTGCGCGATAACAATTGCATATCATTAGAGCCCTGACGCCCGCGACTGCTTGGAAGAAAATGAGTCAAACTTCCCGAAATCAGACACCACTCTTGGCGGGGGTCATCTCAGACTCGTGTGAGTCGCGTTACGGGTTCCAGAGAGAACGCGACTCAAGGCCAGGCATCTGTGCGCGATACAGCTCCGGACGATACCATACGCATTATGCTTGCAACTGACAATCATATCGGTTACAACGAACGGGACCCTATCCGAGGCCAGGATTCGATCAATGCTTTCAAGGAAATACTTCAACTCGCCGTTAAACACGATGTGAGCCATGCCTTGCCGGCGCAGTTCCGTGACAGGATCTTACAGAGCTCTCATTATCGCCTAGGTCGACTTTATTCTTCTTGCTGGTGATCTATTCCATGAAAATAGGCCGTCGCGAGACTGCCTTTACCAAACCATGGCTTTGCTGCGCGAATACACGCTAGGCGACAAACCAATCCAAGTGGAGTTGTTGAGTGATCCGGAAGAAGGAAAGGCGTCCGGATTTTCGTTCGTGAGACTCGAAACACTTCCCTTGACCGGCCCTAACTAGGAGGACTATAATCAGCTTTCCTGCAATCAACTATGAAGATAACAACCTGAATGTTTCAATACCGGTGTTCTCTATTCACGGCAATCATGATGATCCTCAAGGCGCTGGGCCGGTACGTTGCTCCGCTCGCACGAGTGGGCAATACTGATACTATAACCTTCGGTTAGGAAGGAGCCTTATGTGCTCTCGACATGCTCTCCGTTGCCGGCCTTGTAAACTACATGGGTAAATTCGATTTGCCACTATCAGCTTCAGACGCGCAGAACCCAGAGCAACCGAACGGCATCACGGTTAAACCCGTCTTGCTAAGGAAGGGGAACACGCGTCTCGGCCTGTACGGTGTTGGTAACGTCAAAGATCAGCGCATGCATTTCGAGCTACGAAGCAACCGTGTACGAATGTTTATGCCTAAGGATAAGGATGATTGGTTCAACGTACTGCTAGTACACCAAAACCGGTATATCACAGCTCAATCACAGATTCATCCAGCTGACTATCCCAACAGGGTCAAACGTGGTCCTCAAGAGTACGTACCTGAGGGCATGTTCGATGATAGCATCGATCTGGTTGTCTGGGGTCACGAGCATGATTGCCGTATCGTCCCTGAACCGGTAGCGGGGAAAAAGTACTTCATCACGCAGCCGGGGTCATCTGTAGCGACTTCGCTTGCGGACGGAGAAGCACTGGAAAAGTGGGTCGTGCTGAATTCATTCCCTCATATTCCAGTTAATCATCGACCATACCTAGGCATGTCGCGCTGTTGCAGATTCAAGGCAAAGAATTTCAGCTGACGCCGATTGCCCTTCGAACGGTTAGGCCATTTGTGATTGAAGAGGTCGTTCTCTCTGAAATCGCGGACGAGGAAGGGCTGGATCTCAGTGAGCAGATGGAGATCACGAAGTTCCTCAAAGCCAAGGTTAAGATGTCCATGTCATATTTTTGGCGTTATTAACAATCATTGTCAGGTTAACCACCTGGTACAGAGAGCCAACGAAATCTGGGTGGAGCGCAACCAGCGCTCCATAGAAGATGGCGAGGAGCCACTGGATCCAATGCTACCACTTGTTCGACTTAAGGTGGATACTACCGGTGTCTCCGAAATGTCCAACCCAGTTCGGTTCGGACAAGAGTTCACTGGCAAGGTTGCCAACCCGCGAGATGTCCTTGTGTTTCACCGTGCCAAAAAGGCTGCGGCACGAAGTTCCAAAGCTAACGCTGCGGAGCAACCGGAGCTTAGCATCGATGATCCGGAGTTGACTATAGCGGAAAAGCTCAGCAGGGTCCGAGTACACACCCTCGTGCAGGAGTATCTGGCTGCGCAAGAACTACAGCTGTTGAGCGAGAGCGGCATGTCTGATGCGATCCAGGTGTTTGTGGACAAGGACGATCCGCATGCGATCGCAACGTGATTTTTTTCATGCTTGAGATATCGATATGTCGGCTAATCTTCTGGAAGGCACGTCTCTGCAATGCTTAAGAACCTCATCAAAGGTGTAAATACTGCGGAGGAAATGGACGAGGAGGCCCTGGAAGAAGCGGTACAAGCCGACTTCTCTTGCGCTCCGTTTCTATGCATCTGATTCAACCTTCCAGTTCTCTAGAGCGAAGGAACAGACGGAAAAACTCTATGCTGAGAAAGAACAGGCGAAACAGGCAAAAGCCAAGGTTAGTTTAACCGCCCTCACCCCATGCAGGTTGTTGATCACCCGTCTGTGACAGGGCAAGGCTAAGCCAACGGTTGATGGCGTTGACTCAGACGCATCCGTAGATAGCATGGCTATGGACGTGGATGGCTTGGGTGGAGCGGGAGGATCTGACTTTGATGAAGCATCTGAAGACGCGGTTCCTCAGAAGAAGGCGCCGACCAGGGGCGGGAAAACAACCGCTCCCCCGGCGAAAAAGCCTTCAAGGGCGGTTAAATCCACAGCCAAGGTGGCGAAAGGCAAAGGGAAGCGAGCCGTGGTACGCTCACGTCGGTCTGACCTTCGGTGGTAACTGACTCACTTCACTAAGAGCGAAGACGAAGACGAGGATGAGGTTCTAATTTTGGAAGATGAAGGTGATGATACGCCCGCTCCAACACCCGCGCCCGCTAAGAGAACAAGCCGAGCAGCCGTCCTAAGGTACTTATTATTGGCATATGCGACTGAGGTTCATCTAACGTCGTTAGTTCTACGACGAAGGCACCAGCCAGAAAGAAAACAGCTGCAACGTCATCCAAATCAACACAAAGTACGCTGACGTTCGCATCTTCAGGGAGAACAACATCAACACGCGCTGCAGCGACTAAAGCAAGAGGGAAGGTCAAGCAAGTGGTTAGCAGCTCATCCCCAGGGGTTCGCGATCCATTATTCACGCGAATTTTGCGCAGGTGGAGCTTGGCGATAGTGACGAATGATGCATCACCCACTTCTGGGGTAGCGCTATCCCGGTTACACATATATTATAGGCCATTCATTATACTAGGGGTGATTGTATCCGCGCCGAGACTGACTGTGAACGTTGGATCACGTCCCTGTCCTGTCTAAACGTGGTTGTCATACGATGATGTGTCGTGTCTCTAAGAATTTTGTCTGTTCCGCTGGCACTTAGTCTACGACCGTGTTCTCTGTTCCTCAGTGTAATGACGGGAAGGCGAGGCAACGTCCGCACATCACTCGGCCTTGGTTTGTGGTCCTGAAGCTCGCCCGTTTTCCATCTCCTCCATGGGGACGCGATCATACGACACGCCGCGGGTATGCTGCGGGGGGGCCGGTGCAAGTGACTCATTATGCTTCACCCAGGTGTACCATATGGAGCCAGCGAGAATAGTGGCGATAGAAGCTGCACGTCCACTACTACAGTAAGGCACTGGGAGGCTCAAGAGTAACGCGCAGACGTACGTGGTGATTACATCATGGAACAACCAGACACCAAGGAAGGAGGCGGCTACGCCGCGCACGGCGGAGGAAACCATATGCGTGATAGGAGACGTGACCTTGATGGAGAGTAAGCTGGCAATGCTCATAAGGAAACCGAATACGCCCTGTTCTGATATTTCAGCTCCTAGATACGTAAGAACATGCGGTTACGAACAGTAATGAGAGATCCCCAAACGAAGGTCAGGAGTTTGCCGCTCGTGTCCGGACCAAACAGAAGATTCCAGACCGAGGGACCTTCGCCAGCTAGGATGATTAACGGTGCCAGGATAGCTGCACTGAGCAGGTTGTTGTACCAAGACAACTTCAACGCGCTGCCTTGCACAGCAGCGAGACTCCTTTTGATGACAACAGAGTGCGTCGCCGTGATAGCCGACGACGCAACACCGAAGAAGATGCCAGTCCCAGATATCGGCGTTCCGTCGAGAAAGACACCAACAAAGAAGCCGGCGGTGACGACGGCGCAAGCAAACGACGCGAGCGTCGAAGGGCGTGAATGCAAAACGAGCAGTGAAGTAAGCACGGTGAAGGGCAGCACCAGGCCACGAGCAACTTGGTAGAAGGATGCATCAACGTATTTGAGGGTGTAGTTGCTGAAGCTGTCGGGAATGACTTTGAGCTTGGTCCTGACCGTCGAGGGTTATACTTGCATACCTGAGGCCAACCACGTTAAGCCCTACCATGGGACCCATTTGCTTCACGATAACAGGGTCGAGCTCAGTGGGAACCTGCATGAGGCCAAATGCATTGACTGCTACGAAGAGTACGACCGCAATCAGAAGCTGCGTGAACAAGAAAAACAGCGGCGCGTCGGTAGTGTTTAGAACCCATTTGTTGCTGAAACACGGATTAGTCGGAGCCACGGGTATATTAGTGAGAGTGTATGTACGCCATAACCATCTGGGAATAGTATGGCATGAGCATTGATGCAGTGTGGGACATGAACGGACGTACCGCCAACGCCGCAACAAGGTAGAATGACACGGTGGCAAACTGGGAGATAGAAACTTAAGGATCTCGTAATGGCGTTCGGGGGAGTGTCATACCACCAATGACCTGTTTTGACCCTTTTCATCGTGTGTCTTGGCCATAGCGGGTGCTTAGAGAGAGATACAGTAAGCTGGGAGGAAACGAGCGCGCGGTGGCAAGAACGGGGAAGCGGTGGCAGTGCAGAGAACTGATGTACACCGATCGCACAGCCACGATAGGGCCGTCTCGATTCCTTCAACCGCGACCTGACGCGACAATCCAGTACATCCCATAAATGCCGGACGTGATCCTCGTTACTGGTGGCACGGGGCTTGTAGGAAAAGCGATTGAGCACGTGATCAATACAGAGCCGGAAGGATCGCGCTTTGGCAAGAAACCTGGGGAGAAATGGATATTTGCCAGTTCGTCTGAAGCAGATCTCAGGTATGGCGCATTCCGTCTCAGGGGTTCACATCATTGTCAACGTCAGGCACGCAGGGACTCCAAGGAGACGTTGAAGCTATTTGAGAAGTATAAGCCTACACATGTTATCCATCTTGCCGCGCTGGGTAAGGACCTCATTCCAGCGTCCGAATGATGCTAAATCACACGCCAGTGGGGGGGTTGTTCAAGAACATGAAGTACAAGGTAGGGCGCGCATGGGCCATACCATCTCACACTTGCATATACCGTTAATCTGCCATGGTTTAGCTCACCTTCCTCCGGGACAACATTCTCATCAACGATAACGTACTGCATACCGCCCACATCTGCAAAACCGCCAAGGTCATCTCATGCCTTTCTACTTGCGTCTTCCCGGACGAAGTGACCTACCCTCTTGATGAGACCAAGATTCATTCGGGTCCTCCTCACGAGTCCAATTTCGGTTACGCGCACGCGAAAAGGATGGTCGACGTGCAAAACCAGTGCGGCGTCCCCCCCGCGGACTTTGACACGACGGCTGAAGTACTTATTGACAGCGCCTACAAGGAAGAATTTGGGTGCAATTTTACCTCTGCCATCCCGACTAACGTTTTCGGTCCTCACGACAACTTGTATGCATCTAGCGTTTGCCCCTCCGACAGTCGACTCAACCAGACTTTTCTAGCGATCTGGAAGACTCGCACGTTATACCCGGTCTGATTCACAAATGCTATCTCGCGAAGAGTTCGTATCTCTTACTTTCTACCCGCATGGACTCGCTGTGTCATTCTTGACTACGCTGACTTTATATCTGCAGAGAATAAGACACCTTTTGTGGTGGCCGGGACCGGAAAGCCTCTCCGGCAGTTCATCTACTCTTACGATCTCGCCAAGCTCTTCATATGGCAACTGCGCGAATATGATGACGTCGAACCCATCATTTTCTCAGGTCAGGGTTTCTTGTCTATATTTTGTATATTTCTTTGTCTGATTATGATCCACAACGTAGTGGGAGAGGATGAGGAGGTCTCAATCAAGCAGGTAGCAGACGCCATCGTCAAAGCTGTCGGCTTCGAGGGAGAGTACACCTTCGACACTACCCGTGCCGATGGCCAGTTCCGAAAGCCCGCTTCCAACAAGAAGCTTCTCGCAGAGATTGGTGGTTTTGTGTTCACGCCCTTTGACCAGGCACTTCAAACGACTGTCGAGTGGTTCTTGCAAAATTACCAAACGGCGAGGACGGGCTCCAAGGCGTGAAGTGGCGACGCGCTTGGATGTGATGTTGACATTGGCCTGATATGTTTGGAAAACAGCTTCGAGTTCGGCCGGATGGACGCGGAGAGCTCGTAGACAATGACATACTCCCTAGCTCAGGTCGCGGGCCGGTCAAGTATAGTATCGTGATTGCTGCCAAATATAGATCTGGGGAATGGATGGCTGTGCTCATACGTAGCTCGTAAACGATCGGATGCAAATCGGACGTGTTGCCTTTGCAAGTCTGTCACGGTGAACCACCATCGACCCCAAAGCATCCAAGACTCATAGCATTGGCCTAGTAATCTCATCACACGCTACCAACGTCGAAACTATATCAAACGCCCTCACGATGTCCAGCGGCATGAACAAGATCACTGCTGAGCGTAATCAGAAAGCCGTACTGGAGCTGGTGAACCAGCCCGGAAATACCACCTGTGCAGACTGCCATGCGCATAATCCTCGATGGGCGAGTTGGAACCTCGGTATATTCATATGGTAAACAACCTTATCCACATGCAACGGGACGAGTGGTTGGCTGAATAACTGTTATGCGTAGTGTCCACTGTGCTGCCGTGCACAGGAAGATCGGAACCCACATTACCAAAGTGTATGCCGCAAAACTGCTACATAACGTAGAAATAAGCTGGTTAACATTGATAGCTTAGGAAGAGCTTGACCCTCGATTCATGGACTAAGGAGCAAGTGGAAGTATGTCCTTTCGTCCTTCCCTACTGCTTGGCTACAGTCGTAATGTCCCCACCTCAGACCATGCGTTCCATTGGCAATATAGCCTCCAACAACAAGTATAATCCGGATGAAACTCGTTTTCCGCCACCGGCCAACATGATTGACTCGGAGCGTGACTCAGAACTTGAGAAGTACATCCGTGCCAAATACGAATTCAAGCGATTCATGGCGCGCCAAACACGGGTCGAGCAAGTCCTCGGGCCATCGCGAAGCGTCGCAGATTTCAAGAGGGACCAGCAAAGCAAGTCTACGCTCCCCGCTATCAACTCTCCTAGCACCGCAAGTGTTTCTGCGCCATATCGCCCTACCAGTGCTGCACCGACAATGGCGCAGTCAGCAAGTGCATCATCATCCTACTCTAGTCAGATATCCCGTTCTGTATCGCAGCCAACCAATCGTCCATCGACGCAACAAACGCCGACACAGCAGCAGGCGGCAACATCTGGCAACAGTCCTTTGTGGAACGACCTTGCCTCACTACAGGCTCCTTCTACCTCGTCAACACTGCCCCTACAATTTTCGCCAGTTCCCACACAGCCGATAGGCATACCCAACTCAACAAACACGTTGCAGCCGATGGACATGGGTGCGAGCCCATTTGGATCGGCCCTGACCATCGGAAACATGGGGTATGGAACTGGAGCTGGCCCGACAATGACGAGCAACAGTGGCAATATGGGAATGGGCACTAGTTTCGGTATGTTGGGAACCAGCCCCGCCATGATGAACTCAGCGAGCACCAGCACGCCTGTACCGGGATCGTCCCCCTATGGAGCCGGAGGTTTTGGTACCACGAACCCATTTCAGCATATGCAACCTCAAGCTACGGGACTCGCACCCGGACTGTACAATGGGACGCATAACCCATTTGGGCAACAAAATCCGCTCGGGCAACAGTTTCAACCATCACAAATGGCAGGATCGTTCCATGGCCAAAATCCGTTCATGCAGTTCCCGCAAATGCAGCAGCCGCAGGCGTCGCTTCTTTCCCCCCAACCACAACAACAGTCCTCGCCCTTCATACCAGGACAAGTTCCTCATGGACTCATGCCGCAGCAGCAGTTTGCGGCGTCGCCGTCACCTTCCAATCCCTATGCGCCGCCGCTGGCCCAGCAGTTCGGCACCCCCTCTCCGTCGATAGCGTTCGGGCAGCCTTCCGGCCTCAACCCGAACTCTGTCCCCCACGGTGCGGGGATGGGAAGTTGGCAGAGCACGCAGCAGCTTCACCAACCAGGTGGGTTTGCCGGGCAGACCGGTGCTTGGGGGAGTATGTAAGTGTGGGTTGGTTGCGGGCGTTTCGTAGACAGTTTTACCGGACCAAAGCATGGTTCATGTAACATCATATTCTACAACGGTCAGTCGATGACAGGCATCATCATCATCATGAGTACGTGGATTGTAATCACCGGTGATTGGCTGGGTTGAAAATGGGAATGGATGGACATTCGATCAATCAAGAGACCCGGTGCCCTCGCCACGATCTCCACCAACGATTCGCTCAGATTTAGCTTCACACCTGACTAAGTTGCGTATACGATCTAGGAGGTGTGAAAGGGACACGCTGATACCGCCTGTGGTCTCCGCGGCAGCAACGACTGCATGTTCGACATCGGAGCGTCGCATACGTGGTCCCCAGATACTTTCCTGGAATTCGCAAGATGTCAGGTTTGGTGAGATTGCCAGTGGTGCGGCTTGCGTACATGATATACGTCAACAAGTCTCATCTCGACGAGGGAAGGCATTGGCAGAGCAATGGTGGCAGCTATGGCTGCAGGCGGTAGAAATACCACTTGGCCCAGATACACCGTTTTAAGGCGTGCCAGAGAAGGAAACAGCGGGCGATATAAAGCGTTGCCATCGGTGTCCCTAAAAGGGAACAAGGTTCCGGTGAAGGAGATGTTCGTCAACTTTAGATGCACCAGATTCGACCACGATGCCATCGCGAGTGTCACGCCGTATGCCGCATTAGGTACGATCTGTGGCAAAGGTGCAGGGGCGAACATCGTCAAACAATAGGTTCTAACCCACCGACGCAGAGAAATGGTGCTCCGGATCGGGACCTGTCCATACAAACGTCCTTGGGCTAACAGGAGATCTTCAGATTCGGCGTAAGGGGTAAAAGTAGGAGAAGACATCCTCACTTTGCATACGATAAGGCGTAGAAGATGGTAAGATATTCCGCTCGTTGGAGAGAGTGCATGCAGAAGAACAAGGTGTTGAGGGAAAGCTGGCTCGCAGCCCGATGCAGAGGGTCTGAGGACGGCTCATTCCCCCCGACCAAAGGAGGCAAACCACGAAACCCTGGGACGGTGCCGACCAAGCGGCGTAGCAAACTTGCTAACCAAGTAAAGGTTTGGGCTTGGGGTATACGTCCGGCGAAGTTCAGGGCGATCGTCTTCGGTGTGCATCGGGGGGATGCAAGGGTCTCTGATAGCTTCTGAAGCTGGTTTGCAGATACGAGGATCAGTCTTCCGTAAAGGAACTGTTCGGCCAGTGAGTGAAACAGGTGATTGACGCAAAGAATATCGGCTGGTCGAGGGTGCACATTGACGGCGAGATACACAATTTCGTTGATTAGTTCGTGAGGGAGATCGAGGAGCTCCATTATTGTCGCCCCGCTGCGTTATCAACCTCTCGCGACGTTGCCAAGACGGAATACAAAGCACAGCCACCAACTTGTCCGTTTATACCTTCACCCTAAGCCTCCGCTCGAGCTCCTGCCAATGACTGGAAGTGATGACCGCCTGAGCGCAAGCGATTCCATTAGCAAAGAGGCGCTTGAACTGTACAGCAAACACTCCTTCTCGTCTGATCAGGCATATCAAGTATTGTGCGCTTGCCTCAGTAATGAACGGGTTCTCAACGGTGATTGAAGCAAGGAGTTGCAAGCGTCATTGCAAGCGGCACCTTAGAGGGCAAATCTGACGCCGAGCAAGACGAAATTCTTAGGAAATCCCGGGTATTTTTCTTCAATCGGTGAGTTATTGCAACTCCATCCGATCGCTGGTCGCTGAAGTGGGCCGCGCTTCAGTACATATGGCACCACCTTGACCGTGGAGGAAGTCGCGCTTCTAGAGCGGGAGGATATCGTGCCCGCGCAGATTCCACAAGAGGCCCCACCGGCATTGTCGTTCGCGGAATTGAAGGCGCTAATCGAGCAGGGGGAGCTGGACCAGATACCGAACAACAGGAGGATACCGGAAGGTATTCATGTGAGTGACGATGGTCATGCAAGCTCCTCTCATATGCAGAACATATGCAGATGGAGGCGCCGAGCGAGTCGCGGGCGCCCGTGCGCAAGAAGCCTTGGGAGAATTGACTTGTGCCGTAAGCGAACATGAATCTCGGACGCGCGTATTATGTGCACACCCCCAATGCGTGCACGGAGAGCCAGGCTGGCGTTTACCAGCATGGGTGTTGGGGGGTTGGGACTCGGCAGTCCTCGAATACATGTACTGGGACCGTTCGCCTCTTGGTCGCATCATCGATACTGTATCGTATATCTGTTGTGCTCTGGTGTTCGTCACCGTTGCTGTATGGCAAGCTTGGCGCTGCGGGCGGTGGGCTCACATACGCTAGTGTATCGCGCCAAAGTAGGTTCGACGTCCAAAAACGTACGGTATCGGCGTCGTAAGCAATGGAAAGAGTGGGGATGGAAGGGGATGTACGGTGGATCTCTGCTTTCCGGGTTACGTCCGATCAGACGCGAAGTTGGCACCTGCCGGCCGTCACGCCGGCCTGAAGAGCGCGTCTCAAAAACGCGGCCAGGTCGAGTCTTGGTCTTGGCCCTACCTTGCTCTCAACGTCGTCCGCCGACCAACCGTCAAACCTCAACATGTCTCCCAAGGTCACCAAGATCTGCTGTAGTGCGTAGACAAGCTGTTTGCTTTGCCATTACGACTGAAGACCGGAACGCGTTCCAGTCGGTGCTGGCTACGTCGGTGAGACCGCCAACATATAACAGCACCGGGGCGGCTTGCTTACCCCGTTGTTTTGCAGGCGGCCCTACTTGCGCTGTTATTGCGCTCAAGTGCCCGCACATCACCGTCACCATCGTTGATCTCAACCAGGCCCGCATCGATGCTTGGAACAGCCCCAACTTTGATCTCCCAATCTACGAACCTGGTTTGGAAGGTGTCGTTCGCCAGGCTCGCGGACGCAACCTGTTTTTCTCCACGGACGTAGACAAGGGAATCAAGGAGGCGGATCTTATCTTCGTTAGCGTCAACACGCCCACCAAGAAGAGTGGTGTTGGCGCTGGCTTCGCGGCCGACCTCAAGTACGTACCTTCTCCGACTGTTACATGCGTGTCTCTTGAAATGCAATTGGCATTGATATATTTGTTGTTAACATGATCACTGACGCGTTCTGATAGCTACGTTGAACTCGCCACCCGCCGTATCGCCGCCGTCGCGGAGTCTTCCAAGATCGTGGTCGAGAAGTCGACTGTCCCTTGCCGCACCGCAGAGTCCATGAGGACAATCCTTGAAGCGAACTCCAAGCCTGGATGCCACTTCGACATTTTGTCTAACCCTGAGTTCCTTGCTGAGGGCACGGCTATCGAGGATTTGCTCAAGCCCGATCGTGTTCTCATCGGCTCCTTACAGACCGCCGAGGGAAAGGCAGCTTGTGCGGCTCTCAGCGAAGTTTATGGAAACTGGGTGCCGTGCGCCATCATTTATCTTGAGGGCGTAGAATCTTTACTGACAGGCTGCTAGTAAGGACCGCATCCTGACGGTCGGCCTCTGGTCGTCCGAACTTTCGAAGCTGGCTGCCAATGCCATGCTCGCTCAACGCATATCCTCCATCAATGCCCTCTCCGCTATTTGCGAGGCAACTGGCGCGAACATCGATGAGGTTGCGAATGCTGTTGGCAAAGACTCGCGTGTCGGTCCCAAGTTTTTGCGTGCTTCGGTCGGATTCGGTGGTTCCTGCTTCCAGAAGGACATCCTCAATCTCGTCTACCTCAGCGAGAGCCTGCACCTTCCAGAGGTCGCTGCTTACTGGAGACAGGTCGTAGACATGAATGAGTATCAGAAGCGTCGCTTTGCCAAACGGGTTGTCGACACCCTCTTCAATACCATCACCGGCAAGGTACGCATGCTGTCCGTGCAGTTCACCGGTGACTAACTATCTTCTCCAGCGCATCGCCGTCCTCGGCTTCGCCTTTAAGGCAGACACCGGAGACACTCGCGAGTCGGCGTCCATCAGCCTAATCAGGGACTTTGTTGCTGAGAAGGCCTATGTCACTGTCTACGACCCGAAGGTTACAGAGGAGCAGATCTGGCTAGACTTGGCAGAAGCGCTGTCGCCGACACCTCTTGAGAGCAGTGAGTTGCCGTGTTGACGCACGCCTTTCTCCAGCATTAAATCGTTCCTAGTCCAGAAGCAGGTCACCATCGTGCACTCTGCCCTGGAGGCTTGCAAGAAATCCGAGGCCGTCGTGATCGCCACGGAATGGAAAGAATTCCGTGATATCGCTTGGCAAGAGGTCTATGATAGCATGAACAAGCCCGCGTTCGTCTTCGATGGTCGCCTCCTCGTAGACGCCGACGCCCTTCGTAAGATCGGCTTCAGCGTGACCACTATCGGTCGCGGAGAGAGGCTTTAGGCGAGGCTGTCTGCATGCCTGTGGAGCATCACGTAGTTCCCTCTTGAAACTCTTGGACGGATGTTTGGTCATACGGCTTTCCCTACTACCTTAGATCGCCATGGATGTTATACCAATACAGTAGCTCAGACCTCGCGCTCACGGTCGATCTTCCTGATCATCATACATGGTATTGTACCGGATTGAATGCAGTGACTCCCACGTGTGGCTGGGAGGACCTGTGTCTGCTCGTGTTTCGGAGTTGGGCTTGTCCATCGTCCTTCGCATACGGCCATTCCAGATTGAAGACTGATCGCCCCGGGCGCTCTACAATCACCCGCACACGCTGCATTTCCATTCGCGCACAGTATGTATCTGTGACTGACACCGCTGCATGATTAAAGATGACCGATGAACCTTCTCGCATCGCGAGGTAAAGATCGTCTTTCCCTCCATTTTTGAGGTCAAGGCTCACTCAATACTGTAGAGAAGCAAAGAGTATACACCAAGGCTTGAAGGAACTCCTCAAGACCAGAGAACCATGGGACAAAGAAACCGAGTTCCAACGGAGGAAGTAGGTGTATGACCGCCCGATTGTGACCGAATGCTATATGCTGAACATGAGAACCAGCTTACGCCGCCAGTATCTCCGACTTCTGCTCTTACATCCATACACGAACCCTTCTCGAGATGCCGAGACACACCTATGGATGCAAACGTCTTACGCCTTCATCTCCAGTTACAAACAACGGATCACCGAACTCGATACTGCGCTCCAGGGTACTCCGCGTCAGAACAAAAGCAACACGAACGGTCACGGCCCTGTAGAGTACCGCAAACTCCTTCGGCGTTTCCGCCAGTTCCTTGCCGACGAAGAGAAATTTTGGACTCAACTTCTGACAAGATATCGCCGGTGCTTCGAGTTGGAAGAGCTTCAGCCTGCACTATTAGCCCTCGGTTTCGCCATCGAAGGCGAAGAAGAAGAGGTTCCGGATGACGCCCAAGGAACCAGACGTTCGGGCGGGCGGAACCGGTTTGAATTCCCTCCTCAGGAAGCTTCAGCATCCGTCCTTCCCGCAAATGCGACACAGCGCGCGGCCCTACTCTCCATTTGCAGCAAAACGCTCGTCTGCCTCGGCGACCTTGCACGCTACAAGGAACAGTTTAACGAAGGCGGCGGGCGACCTAAGGCCATCCAGGAATATGGACCTCCTGCTGCGCAGTCGAAGCGCAACAATCGGAACAGGCCTCCGGACGTATCTCGAAACCGCAACTACGAGATAGCGCAACAACGTTATGAACATGCTCGCTTGATATCTCCGTCGGAAGGCAACGCCGCGCATCAGCTTGCCATCCTCGCTGCTTATCAGAAGGATGCGTTTGGCGCACTGGTTCATTACTACCGCGCGATGTGCGTTCGGCAGCCGTACGACACAGCGTCTGAAAATTTGAGTACAGTGCTGAAGAAGGCCTTGAAGCAATGGGAGGCAACTCGCAGTGGCCAGCGGCCCACAGACCCCCCAAATCTCTCTCGATTCAAGGAGGATCTTGTTGTTCTACACGCTTTGTGGAATCAGGATGCGAAATCGGACGTAGAAAATGGGTAAAGATCTCACAGGTCGCATCGAGACATCCTCTGACAAATGTACATTGTTAGCTCACCGTCAATTCGTGCGACGCAGGCACAGCAGATTCGAGTCGAGACTGCATTCCGGACCCTGGTCTCCCAGCGCAATATGCCGATCGATGTCATCTCGAAGGTCATCGTAATAGCCGTAGGTGCCCTTTGGCGAGAACAAATGGTCCGCCAGCCGAATTGCAGAGGTAAACCCGCGCAGCGCTCGTTTATGGAATCCCTCATTCGGCAGCACATCCTCGATCTGTTCAGATCGCTGTTGGATATCGGTGTCCAGGAACTGAAGGAAGGTGGTTCCGTGGACGCTGTCCCGCGCGCGGAGGAGGATCTGGCCCAGAGGATTACTGCAACCTTCAGGCGCACACTACCTGCCCTCCGCATCTCCAGCAAATGGGTGCGAGCGAATATACGAGATCTCGCTGGTGATGACGTTGCAATACCATCCTCCGTAGGGAAACGCGGCGACGCCCGAAGGCATAATCGAAGCCAGAGCAGGGTCTCGACGGATACTGCACCTGCCAAAACTCGACAACAATTTTGGGAAGCGTATGCAGCATTTGCAGATGCATTAGCACGTACTTTCCCCCCACAGCAGCTTCCTCCTCTTGATGCGCCTCTGGAAGAAGATATTGACATGCGTGGATTCCTACCTCTCAGAAATTTAATGTTCGGAGAATCAGTCGTATCCCGAACACAATCTACTATCGCAGTAGCCGACAACATGGCGGGTCACGCTCATCCAAATATTGAACAGCTCATGAGGATCTGGGATCTCCTCGGTGACGTACGCAGTGTCGCTGGGTCTGGGGTGAGTCGCAGTTAGAAAGAAGTACGAGGTCTGTACTCTATGCTAATGTATTGATTGATAGAAAACGCCTGTGTCCATCGTTGATGGGCATTTCCTCGCAGGCCCGGCGTCATCGTCTACCACCGCGCTCGCAGCGAGTTCCGCTCGAGCGCAAGAATCGGCGCCAAGTTCTGCATTTACGATTATTGGAAAAACAAGTGATCTCATTGCCGAAGATGACACTGGAACCGACACCAACCGCGCCGACGATGATCTCGTCCGGGACGCCTTTCGACAGGCCCTTGGTGGGTCTGATGACGACACTGAGGAAGACGAGATTGTGTGGAATCCCCGGTACGCACGCACGCATCGGTGCTTAGTGCAGCGTTCATTCCAAGTATTCCAGAGCCCCTGCATCGCCGCCAAGTGTTCCTATCGAAGCTCTGTCCACCATCCGTGCGAGAACCATTGCACCACCACAAACTTCCATCAGCCCTGGCCTTCCTTTGTCTGATTCTTCACCTTCACGTCAGCCACCCATTGGTACACCTAGGGTTGCGACTAAACCTGTCCAATCACCACTGACTGCCGAGGAACTCGTGAATAGTGTGATGGGCTACGACCGTAGTCCTGCGGTATCATCGACTCCTCGCTCGCCGGTGCTACAAGACTCTGGTGCTCGGCCCCTTCCCTTTGGCAACGGTTCACCTCTCGTCCCGACACAATCAATCTGGTCAACGCCCCTTGAGCCCAGCATGCCGTTGTTACCGTCCCAGGGCTTGCGATCTTTTGCCAGCGACGGTCAATCTGGTCACAATATTGGCCAAAATACGCTTAATCGGCCAGATTCATTTCTCCGTCAGCAGCCTCTTCCGGCTACGTACGGTGGACTTGGCGCCAGACAGCGAGCTCCATTCCAGGATCCACAGAATTGGCTCCCCTCGCCACACAACGCATTCGATGGTCATGAAATGTACTCCTCAACTCCTTCCGGCCATCGGCCTTTGCCGGCACAGATATCAATATCCAGTCACGCACCGTACGTCGATCCTCACCCAGACATGCTGCCCGGCGCCGGATTCCATCACGCTCGCAACCCCTCGCGGGCTGCATTCTCAGACCCAGCCATCGTATCCATGTCCTTTGGGCCTCCTGCGAGCATCAACCCGGCGCCCGGCCCGCGTGATATCGGGCCCGGCGGATATGGCGTGGGTCCTGCTTACGAGCCCATGGCTGCACTATCGCTGAACCCTAAGCTGTATGGTCCCCCTTGACTAGGCGCACTAGGCTAAGAGGAGTACTCATCTCCCGACAATTATTCCTCCAAGCAACCGTGGCATCGCCCATCACTTGCGTACACCACGGGGCTGCCTCAGGAAGGTCCTGTCGGCGTCCATGCCCAACGATTCAAGCTGAGGTCCCCGAGTGGTCTAGCGATTCTGGTAGGAGGCGAGCTGTCAGACGATTACGCGATGTAATTAAACGCGCCCCTGCCTAATTCTCCGACTATTTCCAGCGGACGCGGATGTTATCCTGTGCAGGTGTTGCGTCGATGTTGTCTACGTTACCCCATGTCCGCGTGTCGTGGTAGAGCAGAGGCCGCTGTTCCACATCTTCCTGTATGCATCTTTTCGTCCTTTGATCCACGACATGAAACACTATGACGGTGGTCCCGATACACCGCAGAAAAAGAGGAAAGGTCTACGTAGATTGCTTAGTTTACTACGATTACTGGATACATTTTGACTCGATTGTCCAATGAGCTCACAGCCTGTTGCGTGTTGTACAGTGCAGAAAAAGTCCGATGGAAGAACCCATTCTCGCCTCACTGACTCGAAGTGGAAACATGGCCTGTGGATGACGGGAGATCGATCAGCCGCTGTGACCTTCGACAGACCGACGGGGTAAGCAACGCACCGAACATGTCATATTGGGTCTGGGGCGGCTGGTAGGACGACGCGGGCTGCCCCTGAGCACCAGGCGCATCCCCGCCGGGACCCATTTGCTGCTCCTGCATACCGTACGTCAAACCGAGCTGGCCGAGGGTCGAGTAGTCGTTCCAGTACTGTGGGTATCGACCGCTGCCGTTGCCGCTCACACCGCCCGCCGGCGTGCTCGATCCACCCTGCCTCGCGGGCGCACGATGGTCAACAAGACCGGTACTGTACTGCTGCGGGAGGGCGGACGTCGAGAGCCCGCCTGCGTACCCGCTCATTTGCGGATCCGCCGGCCACCGTTCGTACTGCTGTTGGCTGGCAAAGTACGGGAACTGAGCGCTGCTGGGCGAGTCGCCTGGGATAGGAGACTGAGATGGGTATCCGGCTCCGTCCGGACGTCCAGACTCGGAAGGCGACGCCGAAGCAGGATCATCCTCTGCGCGGTCAGATGCAAGCCTCTTCGTCCGGGGCTCAGCGAGGCGAGGCGCATTTTGGAGCGGTACATCGTCCCTGTGCACTTTAGAGCCTCGGAGCAGCTCCCAGGCGCGACCGGCGCTGGGCCAGACGATGTCGATATGTTTCAACACATGCATGATTTTTTGCAATCCTATGCGAGATTGCGGGTCGTCGGGATAAGTGGTCACTGCGCATAGACACGTGAGCATATGAAAGGAGAATAGAAGGTAGAGGCATGCTCACGTGTGGTTACGTGCATGATACCGGCGGTAAAGACATAATAAGATAGAAAGACAGGACACCGATGGATGCAGAAACGGTCGAGATATATGGATACTGTACGTGCGGAAGTCAGCGGCGGCACTGCCAGCGAATTATCGGATAAAACGCACCAATAGACGTGATATGATTAGCGGCGCGTACACAGGCATCAAATTCTTTTTTGGCGGTGGAACAAATTTCGGTGTCCTCGCCATTTTGGATGCACCGGGGTAGGTGACGAATGCTAGAACATCGATGAGCCAGAGCATTTTACTTGCAGGTACGACGGCTGAACGTACAAAGGACGGTGCAGGAGAAGGACGGTAGTCCAATACTGCATATGAAGCGTGAGGACATGCGGAGGCGGCACATTGGAAGGAGGAGCGGCAACGTCGTAACGGATGCTCTGGGGCAAGTCCAGGTACCACTTGTCGAGGTCCTCCTCAAGACGGAGGGCAGCGGAGTACCGGCCTTGCGATGGCTTGATCGCATAAATGTCCCGCATGAGTTTACCGGTGATTAGGGCTGAGACGGAAGATGAGCGAAAGCGACTCGAAAAGGAAGACGACAAATGCTCACAGAGCTTGGCGGACGCATTGAAGCACGAAATCAACCGCGCGGGAACCGGCGGGTAAGGCTCGAATGTCTTGTCGCTCGGGACAAGGGGCTCCGAATTCACCGGCTGCCAGTCTTCCGTCTCTTCGGTCTGTCCCAAACGCATCAGCATCCGAGAAAAATGACTACGCAGCGAGTCGCTGACCTCGGCATCGCTGGGGAATGTCTGGTCAAAGTCATGGTCAAAGATCGCCAGCGGTCGACCTTGAACCACAAATCAGAAACGAAAGTCAAAACTCGGATCGTGCGACGGTAGCATACCGATATACGCAGAAACATATCGGTCCATGATCACGCACGCCCACCAGATCCGCTTCCTGGTCTGCATCTCCTGCTCACCGAACATCCTCCTGCCGACCTTGAACTGCCACCGCTCCGCGGTCTTGTGCATCCCGAGATCCTGGGCCATGCGCACCGCCATGCCGATGTACAACCACGCCTGGGCCATGGCGCCGATCCCGATCTCGCGGTAGCCGAGCAGGAGCAGCGCTTGGACCGTGCACGGGCGCGAGCTGGCGTACGTGCGGTCGAGGATCGTCTTGGCCGCTTCGCCATACGTGTCCCCGGCGGGCCACATCGAACCAGGCGGAGGGGGCAGCGGCGCCTCTGCGGAGGACGTAGAAGAGTAGCGCGCGGCGACGGCGAGCATGGAAAAGAGCAGGATGGTCGGAATCCGCCGCGGGCGCGGGTCGTCGAAGGGCGAGGCGTGTCGGGAAGAGTTGCTCACGTTGCATGAGCCAGAACCGGAGTAGGGCGAGTCGGGCGCACTACCGACCAGCCTGCGGGGCGGAGGCGATTAGCGTGTCGTATTCACGTGGTGAGAGAGATAGGAAAAAAGACCACGTACCCCGCTTTGAAATCTTCGAGGAACGCGTCCTTGTGCACAATCGGCAGCGACGGGTGCACATAGGTGAAGTAGAGACCGAGAAGGTGCTCCTGCACTTGCGGACTGGGAAGCCTCGCTACGAGGTCGTCTTCGACGCGGGCGCTCAGCATGCCTTTGGGCAGTGGGGGCCATATGCGCGCTTTTGGGAAATGCCAGATGCCGCCCTCTTGCCGCGGCCCGTCTGGGCGTCGCTGGGCGGCGAGAAGATGGAGGCCGCTCGCCTTGCCATGCCAGCGCACTTGGGCGTCCTCGTTGAGGGAGAGCTGGCCGACGGCGTCCGTGAGGTCGTCGTCATCGCCAGAGAGGTCGTCCAATGGGCTGTGCGCGTGTTCGGAGTCTGCGCGGAACGACTGCTGGTGCTGCTGGTGCTGTGGCGGATAGAGGGACTCGGGAGAGCGTCCGTCGGGGGAGGACGTGGCGGAGGCCGGGGGCGGCTGCAGGCGCGCGAGGGGCGGTGCGTTGCCTTGGCCGGAGGGCGCGCGCGAGGAGGCGGCTGTCAGCGCCGGGGACGGCGAGCGGTGGTCGGCATTGAGCCGCCTGCGCTGGTGGAGCCTCGTGGCGGGGGAGGCGGACCGGTCGGAGGCGCCGTCCGCCGTGCCGCGAACCGCTGCGGCGGCGTGTAGCTTGGCGACGACGCTGTCCTGCCATTCGTTCGAGGGACTGTGGAAGATCGAGCGTGAGTGCACGTGGCTGGGGCGGGCGGGGCGATGCGCACTGGGTGGACGACAGCGAGGACGGGGCGGGCGGCGGGCGCGGAGTCGGTTTACGGCCGCCCGCGGTGCCGTCGCGGCGGCGGCCCTTGCAGCCGTACGGCGAGTTGTCGACGCGGTCGATGATGTCGCGCGCGAGCTGGTCCTGGGGGGGAGGGGCGCGCAGGTTGAGCAACGCGGCTTCCATGTGGGGAAGTAGAGTTCGGGCGTACCTCCGAGAGATCTTCGAAGAGGGTGCGGGCGCGGGCGTCGCCAGAGTCGAGTAGGATGCCGATCAGCGCCTCGGTCTGGTGCAGCCGGGCCTCGATCGCGTCGATGTAGCCCTTCGGCGGCCCGCGCTTGCGAGAGGGCCCGAGGAACGTGCACGGCGTGTTCAGCATCACGCAGTTCTTGCACGGCTCGTTCGCCGACGAGCGCTCGCACTTGCATTTCGACTTGCGGCACTGGTCGCACGCTGCGGCGGGCGGGCGTCAGTTTCACGACGACGGCGAGCGGCGGAGGCCCGAGCGCAGGCTAACCTTTCGAGCTCCGTCTCCTGACCTCCTTTTCGTTCTTCTTGTGGGCGCCAGAGGGCGTGGACGGGCCGGTGCCCAGGGGCGAGTACCGCTCGTCGTCCGGCTCGTCGTACTCGTCCGACGGCACCCGGTGGGCGTCCTCCAGCGTGGTGATGTGCGGGAGTACCATCGAGCCCGCGGAGCCGTACGCACCGGCGGCGACCGGCGTCGTCGACGGGATGGGCACATGCTGCTGGTGCGGGTGCGGGTGCTGCTGGGCGTTGCTCGGACCCGGGGCAGAGACCGGCCAGTGGGTCTGCGCGCCGGGCAGAAAGGAGAAAGACGCGGAGGGTGGCTGGGTGTGAGAGTAGGCGGGGTGCGGCTGGGCGTACTGCTCGATGAGCTGGTTCGTGTTCATGCGGGGGTAGCCCGGCTGGGGCTGGACCGGGTAGCGAAAGGCGGCGGGGAGGTCAGGCGAGCCGGGGGCTTCGATCTTGACAGGCTGGCGGACGGCGTACATCTGCGGCGTCTGCTGCCTGCGGGGGTCGGGGGGCGGGGGGTAGTAGGGCGGATAGGAGTACTCGGGGTGGGTCATGGCCGGCGGCGTCGACGCCCGCCGCGTCCTCGTTTAAAGCAGACGAAAACTGTGGCTGCTCTGGTGATAGACGATGGAGAGGAGAGAACGGCTGCAGTGGCTGCAGTCCGGGCCATGACAAATGCCCAAAGTCACGCCCTCGCGCGTCGCCCCCCAACGCGCTGCCCGTCCCGTCCGCCGAGCCCAAGATCCACCGATCGCATCCATCTCCCCATTCTGCGCGCACGGACGGCGGCGCAACCAGGCCTGAGTGACACACCCCCGACGCCGCGCCCCTTTCGCCGACGGCTCATCCCTCCTCTCGCCTTCGGCCGAGACCTTCCAGAAACCGTGCACCATCCTTGGCCATCTTATCTGATGCTCGTGCGCCCCCCGCAACGCCGACACACCCCTCTCGCCTTGGACGACGAGGCGCCCGGAGCATCGAGGGGCGACCAGAGACGCCCCCCGACGCAGGGCGGACCTGATCGGCGTCTCATCGTTTATGCCGTCGGCATCTACCGCATTCGCGTCAAAGCGTCCGACGGCCTTCGACGGACATTGGCGCGCGATCCTTCGAAACTTTTCAAGGGGGGCCCGGATGACCGCATCCCGGACAACGCCGCTACGCCAAAACACGCGGACGAGAAAAAGTAATTTGTACAAAGACCGGAAAACGATGCGCGGGACCGGAGCAGTTCTCGTCCCCAGCCCCTCCGTCGTCGCAGCGTCATCACAGGAGGGGGCCTCGGCTCATCCCATCCGCGACTCTGCAATGGCCATATTTCGGGAACGCAGAGGCCGAAACCCCGTTCTATGGCTGACACACCGCGGCCTCGGACGTGCCCCCGCCGCTCCCAGACTGAGTACGGCTGCACGCCTGTTTACGCTCGAGAAACGCTCGACCCGCGTTGGACCGCATGGCGCGCGAGCGTTCACGAACGCACCGGGTGAGACGAACCCATCTTTCCATTGAATATACGCCAACCCCCTTCGAGATCATCGCGCGTCGCGCCACGGATACAGACGCATCACATGGGCTCATCAGATTCCCGTACTTCAGATCCACCAAGCCCACGTACCCAATCTCATCGACTGATCAATCAGAACGAGAAGCCCGAGCCGTCTGCGAAGATCGTTCCAAATCCTCGACGCGCGGGACCGCCTCCTCCAAGGAACCCGGCGCGTGCGGCTTTTGGGGTGCCCCCCCGTCCGCCCTGGCTCGCCGCGCTGCCGAACCCGCTCTCCTTCACCCGTCCATTTTCTTTTTCTCTTGTGGCGCTCATGTGCTTTTTTTCTTCTTCTGCGTTTCACGAAAGCGTAACGTGGCGGAGCCCAAATCGTCGATCTGGTAGGCGGAGATAGTAGGCGATCTCCAGCTAATCACATCTCGCAAAGATGCGCCATATTGGCCGCTTCCCGTATCTGGCTGTGGCGCAGCCCAACGAGTTTCGAACAGAAAAATCGAGCTGCTGCAGTGTCCTTCGCACAGGGCCTGGGACACGCTCACGGCCAACTGAGTTACCTCACGCACCCGTCAGAAACGGAATTAGAGTGTGGGGCGGGACTTTGACTATGCACTGCATGTTTTGGCGGGCTCCCGCGGACACCTTTGCCTACTGCGGAGAACTTTAGCACACTGCAGATACACTCTATTGCTATGACCGAGCTGCTTAGCAACCGTAATGGCCGCCATCCGTATGAGCCCCGGCGGGCGAGCATGCAATCACGGACGCAGCCACGGACTAAGCCAAGGATCGCAACGGCCGCGGCGATCGAGGGACCGGATGCATTCGTCATCGACGTCCGGACACTCCTCCTCCACGCCATCGTGCCGATGCAGGCTTTCTCGCACCTTTGAGACTCGGAGAAGTTTCGCTCGTCCGAACGAGAACGCGAAAAAAAACGCATTCGTGGTCGTCAAGTCGTCAAGGACTGAGGAAAGGTAGAGACGTCTATTGAACTGCGGAACTAGAAGCAGGTATCCATCGAGGGGGGGACGTCCCCCATGCCAGTTTTCGACGCCATGGAGGAGCCTGGACATGTTCGACGGAGGTACTACGCGACACCCTGGAACAGCCCTACGCCCTGCCCGAATGCTAGCGGATGCCATCCCAACCTCCGCCGATGAGACAGGAGCCTCGGGGCGGGACGTCGGACTTGTAGAGTACATAGCGTTCGGGTCCGTGCTTGTCCAGTAATAGTAGTAGCGACTGTGCGAGACAATGCGTGGAGCGGTCGTTCGAGGGTCCGAACGGAGGAAGGTAGGGAGGAAGGACTAGCGCAGGGCGGTATTCGGTTCAGACGCGGGTGTTGAGCATTACGGGTCCGGGTCTGCTTCCGGTTACGTTCGTAAGTGATCCTCGATATGTGTTATGCTGCCCCAAGTGCGTCGTCTGGTAACGCGTGTAGAGTCGTGGTTCTCCAGAGGATCGACAAGTACATAATCCCTGTCCTGATCCTGCAGACAGAGGATGACAAGAAGCTGTGCAAACACCGCCACTGATCATGAATACGTCGTATTATTCAAGCCGTTTAGCGGTCCTGTAGGATCTGACAACACCGCGGGCTGCTGCTCTACGCACAAACCGACTGCACTGAGAGGTCATTCCTGTGCATACATTCGAACCAGGTGAAGCCATAAAGAACCTGCTACCAGTGGATCGGTCGATATCAACATCGCGACTGATACAAGGCGGCAGGATGGTCCAAAGACCCGCCCAATACTCGACTAAGCCTCCAAAAGACCAAGCAGCCGCCATACAAGCAGCCGCTCCTAAACCCACCCATGCTCGCCCCGGCTCACCTGCACCGACTGCTGCGGTGCCACCCCGTCCGTCCAACCCGGCGCCGATCCCCAGCCATGAAGAGCAGCAGTCGGTCACGCTGCTCGCCGAGATGATGGGCGGCCTCGACCATACACTGGTCCTGCGCGTTCTCCGTAAATACGGGGGCGACTCAGAGAAGGCGGCCGCGGCACTGCTCGAGGGCGATACGGGCGAAGTGCCCGAGACCCGAAGAGATCTCCGTCCTGCCCTGCCAACTTACAACGACGGTACGCGCACACATCATGCTCCAATGACATGCACTCCCTTTGCTCAATTCGCGATGCTCAGCCAGTGCCCGCACCGTCACATCTACGGTGTCCACCGGTGCGAAAGGGTCCGTCATCGACCTCACGGCCGAAGACGAAGATCCTCTCCCGCCACTCCTTCCTCCTGACGGAGGCCCTCAGCCCCAGATACCAGAAATCGATCCCGACATCGCCCTTGCGCTCCGCGAGTCGCTCAAACCCCTCGCCGTCACTCAAGATGACCGGCCCTTCAGCCAGCTCGTGCCCATCAACGACAACAACACTCAGGCCCCGAGCGATAACTGGGCCGTGGTTCGCTCTGACGTACGCGCGTCTTTCTCTGGACTCGTGTGACCTGCTGCGACCTGAGCCATCGGTTGCAGCAACCGATCAATGCTGCTTGGAGCCAAGAGGACCAGTCGATGAGTCAAGCCATCGAAGCGAGCCTTACGGAGCACGTCGCCGCTGACGAGTATTACATGCCTCCCTTGGAAGATCATTTGCGACGCGACGAACGGTACGCGCATCTCCCTGAACGATCCCATATTGTCCTGTCTGACTGACTCCACGATCAGGCCCGTAACGTGGCGACATACGGATAGCAAGAAGGCCTACGCGGGATTGATACTTCAAGCACTGTATACCATCCCTCAAGTGCGCAAACGCATCTCGCGCTGGCGGCCTTCTGTCGTAGAGAGCCCTGCACCTGTAGACGCGATGGCCGAAGACGATGCACCTGTCCGTGCATTCACGCCCCCAGCAGAAGGGAATGGCACGTCACCTCCCTGCTGAACTGGTCGAGGTCATCTCTGAATGTTATACAGCAACCGCCATGTGGCGCTTGATGCAAACCTTCGCTTACATGGATCTCGGATTGCTCACCGGCCTGACCCACGACGACGTATTGGATCTTTTGGGAGCACAACCAATGTCGTCGCATCAGGAGCAACCTGGCGACGCTTCATTCCGTGGGTACCTCCTCTCTTGTCATATAGACTCGCTACTTCAATGTTCTTCAGGCTTTCTTGAACACCTCATGAGACTTATTGACGCGGAATTGATGGACCGGCCACCAGAGCCGTTATCGTGAGCGTCGGTTTGCTTGTCCCACGTAAATTTGAGGGACTCAGATGATCGACAGCCTCTTTTACATCCCGGTCGTCAGAGTCACCGCGCGAGACCTGGCCGAAGGTCCGGACGACCTGCTCTCCTCGCTATCCGATGCCCAATCGGACTCGTTGGTCGATTCTGCATATATCGACGAACCCGGTGACGTATTCATCTTCCAAATCATACGCAATCATGTTCCGCCGCCTGGGGGTCGAAGGTTGTTTCGATACCCGAAACACATCTATTTGGATCCCTTCCTGAGGGAGAATGCTGACCTCAGTCGCGAAAAGCGAAGACTGAAGAAGGAGATCGAGGATCAAGTCTCGAGGATGGGCACGAGGAAATTAGCAATAACAAGATTTAACGTGAGTATCGTCCCTGTACGTCGGCCGACTATAGCCAAGTGCATCCCACGATATCTCTCTAGAACCGAGATACGCTGGGCGATCTGCGCTCTTCCATATACTATTTCGAAAACGTTGCTCAAGCAGGTGAAGACGTGGAGAGACAGGAGTCGATCGATACTACTACACGAAAACTGAAGTCGATACTCACAAAGCTCGAGGATGAGCTCAAAGGTCGATTGAGCCTGAGTCTATCCATGAGCTGCTTTGACATCGTCCAGTAGGAATCGACGAACGTATCACTCGATTGAAAGAAGACGCTGCCACCGTCTTAAATTGTCCTGAGTTGCAGCAGCTTCGCGTAAGTACATGCAAATGTCGTTTGCTGTCGCTCTGACCCGATGATCTCCAAGTACGACCTTCGGGTAGTTCTTGTCCACGACGGTCTCCCAGGGCGATCTCACCTCCATTCCTACACTCAAGTGAAGGGCAAATGGTGGAAGACTGTAGACTGGGAAGTCAGCGAGGCTGCGGAAGAAGACGTCTTCACAGACTCGGCTGGACTGCACCTCGGTGCGGGTCCGTACATTCTGATGTACAGTCGCGCCCTCCCGGATGACTTTGACGACACCCAACTCGGTTGGCCGGAGGCCCTCAAGGTCAGGTCGTATGCTCGCCGCTTGCTGCCGAACATTCACGATCGTGTTCATAGGAAAAAATCCGCGACGACAACGTAACCTACTTACGATCGCTACCTCATGAGCTCGTCGGGCAAGCGTACCGGCTCGACGAGGAGACTCTGCGATTACTCCGGTCATCGGAGACGTCGAATCCAAACCCTTTGATGTCAGACTCGTCCGCTATGGACCTTGGATTATGATTTCCTTCCTAGGGTCCGTTCGGTTGTGACAACGCACTTAATCATCCCGTGACACAATGAGGCAACCGCGCTCAGAAATCTTGGTAGTAATGCTAGCAGATGATGGATGACCTAACAAGAAAACCCGTAAGGGTGTTAATTTTGTCAGGCATGGATAAAATGCTTTATACATCGAATGGTATGAGTAAGATCCGACATTAATAATAAGATGCGATCTGCACAAGTTGTCGGTCCCGTCTAGATGTTATGAAGTGAAGAAGGCTATACACTAATGCTCTGAATGGAGGTGACCACACTTGAACCAAATAATGTTAGGCAATCCCGTTATTCCTGCCTTAGTCGTGTTCCATGTGGACCAGCTCTGTGGCGTTCGCCAAGATGCGCTGGAGCGGCCATCTCTCCGCATTGCCCACCTTCAAGTCCAGGACGTCGCCAATCTCATCGCACGCAGTGAGAATGGTGTCGATGTCCTCCTTGGTGTGCGCCGCGCTCACGCAGAACCGCACTCGGCTGGTGACCAGTGGCGTAGCGGGATACGCGACCACGACCACGACGACCGGGGTCTTGCGCTGACGCATCATGCGCCAGAACACGCCCATCTTTCCTGGGTTGAAGAGCAGAAGGGGGATGACGGGTGAGTTGGGATTGCCGTACACGATGAAGCCCAGTTTCCTCAATCCACGGGACAGGTAGCGGGAGTTGAAGGCAAGGCGGCGAAGACGCGAGCTACCCTCCGAACCGTCCGCAAGGGCGCGAGGAAGGTTCATCCAAGTGGGCAACAACGAGGCCGGCGTGGGTCCGGGATGGCTGTACTGCACGACATCGGTCTGTTGAATTGTGCTGGTCGACGAGGATGCGGAAAGGCCTGGGACCGGGGGAGAGACACCCATGATGCTGCTCATGCTCGCAACAATCTGAGTGAGTACGGGAGGTGACATGGCCTCAGCGTAAACCCCAGAGTAACCGCGAAGGCGGAGGCGGTTGATGATCGCCTTGGAGCCGGAGATGTAGCCGCCAGCAGCACCGAAGGACTTCGTGAATGTGCCCATGAGGATATCGATCGAGCGCGGGTCGACACCAAAGTAGTCACAAACACCACGGCCATGTGGGCCAATCGCGCCGATCGAGTGTGCCTCATCGACGAAGAGATAGAACTGCATTTCGCATGAGCATCATTCACGACAGACTGGTCTGAGGATTTACCTTATACTTCTTCTTCATCTCTAGGATGGCAGGCAAATTGACCATGGTGCCTTCCATGGAATACAGGCCCTCAACGATGATTAGAATCTTTTTCCACGGACGATGAGTCTTGGGTTGTCCTTGACTGATGACCTCGCGTAGAAGAGACTCGAGTGCATTCATGTCGTTGTGCTTGAACATGCGAACATTTGCGCCGCTCTGCCTGACACCGACACGGATGGAAGCGTGGTTGTACTCGTCAGAGATGACCAAGCATCCTTTGCCAACAAGAGCAGGGATGATTGTGGAGTTGGTTGCAAAACCCATCGAGCTGATCAACGAATCTTCCATCCCGACAAACCGCGCGACCAGCTGCTCGCTAAGCAAATGAAGGTCCAAAGTGCCAGCATCCAGTCTATGACCACAGGCCGAAACACCATAGCGGCGAATGGATTCCTCGACGGCGTCCGCACATCCACCACGCGCTTGGGCAAAACCGAGGTAGTTGTACGACGAGATGTTGAGGGTGCGCGTCTTGGTGCCGGTCAGATGCTGCGTCTTGTGATTGTCGTTGGAATACCGATCATAGACGACGATCGTGCGACCGGCAACTCCTGTGACAGGAACAGCAAAGCAATCCTCGATACGACTCTTCAATCGGCGGGTATAGAACGAGTCGAAGTCCGAGTTGAGGGGTGCGTAACCCTGAGCTTCGAGTAAGCAAGTGATATAAAAACGTGATTGAGAGCGCGAAAGACGGGCGAAATCCACGTGGAGTAGTCGAAAAGGATATGTAAAGCAAGGAAGTGCTTACATCGGCGGGCATCAGATGACGGTATTCTGCTGACTTAGCGCGTTTTCCAAAGAAGTCACGGACGTGGCCCATGCAAATGAGCATGAGGTAGCTAATATAAGTTGTGAGGAGAATATAGTATGGTGGGTCCTGCTCGACATGGTCCAACGCCTCAGTTCCAGGCGTGTGCTGCGAAGTGTAGCGGTATTCCTCGTTGGCGCAATGACCAAACTCTGTGTGCACGGTCGTAAAGACCTGCTCCGACGTCGGGGGCACCACGGGGAGCGCCAGGGTGCCATTCGCGTCCATGTCTTCTTCTTCTGGAAGGGTCTCCACAGACGACGTGGTGACGGAGGACGAGAAGGAGAGCGCGGGGGTTGCGGTCGGGGTCGGGGTCGAAGCCCGGCTATTGGCCCCAGCGTTTCGGGCGCGGGCACTGGCGTCGGCTTGCTTGACGGCGGCGAGGTAGGACGCGGCAGACTTGAGGGAGGACAGCGACGACGACGACTGTTTCTTGCCAAACATGCTTGGCGTCGGCGACGGGGGATTCAACGCCATTGGGGAGGGGACCTCAAGTGTATCTTCGGTGCGTTTAGGACCTGGAGCGTATTGACACCAGGGAGGATCCAATCCGTTACCAGTGGGAGAAGTCAAGGAGAGGGTGATGACAGTCTTCTACGTGTATATGGTCGGCTAATGAATTAGGGTGGCTTGGTCGTGTGCCCCTCTGGTCAAGTACGCAGAACAGCGCTCCGAGTCACATCCACACCTGAAACGAATTGCTGCCTCACGCAAAAGGCTGATTCAAGGCTTGGAGACCGGCACTCATACGCCGACATTGCTGCAGCCGCTGCACGCCAGTCTCTTATATGTCATCAAATCAGCAGTAAGATGTCGTTCAGTGAGAACGAGTCACAGCGGCGCTGTCGTCGGCGAACATACGGCGTGGTTCAGTCGAAGGGTCGAATAAAATGCTGGGGATAAGAAGGAGGACCGGTGCGAATACCGCCAGAGCTCCGATCCACACAGCCACCAAAATCCCCGAAAAACACCCGTTTACGGGCGCGAGCTCCGATACCAAAACCCCGAAAACATGGGGGTAGAGGGCAAAATGTTACATCCTGGTCTGCTCCGAAAACAGGCGATTAGGAGCGGGGTTCGATCCAAGATCCCTGAAATTGGAGCCCAGACGTGACAACCGCTAGGCTATGAGACACTGGCTGGGTACCCATCCAGAAAATTATTGCCTGTTTGGCATGCGCAAATTCGAGTCCCCACTGCGCTCATCTACTCACTATACTTTTAGAGCTCGCCATGTCCCGAATTGCTTCCACCACCATTCTCTCCACCGATAGGCAGAATCAGGCAGGCTTCAAGTGCTTGGCGCACGTACAAGGATCTTGTCCGCTGCATCCAGGACGTGCTAATAAAGAACACGGAAGAATTTCTGAGAGCTGTGAAGTCCCCGAACAGGCAAACAATGGGAGCAAGCAATGAGAATGGCGGGAACATGGACAAATCGAGCACGGAGACGGAGACGGGGATGTGAACATAGTCGGGATCTGGACCCGATTGAGACGACAAGGAGTGCTCTGGTGCACAACTAGGTACACTGAAGTGTATTAGGCGACGGTGAGCTGTGAAGCGTCTCGGAGAGCTCCGATCCCATTTTTGCCCCGAAAATCGTCAATTCGGGGCCATGTCTGATGTCAAATCCCCGAAATTCGGCCTCTTGGGACCTTCACCGGAACCCCGAAAATGGCCGAAATCGCCTCTTTGAGGGATCGGAGCTCTGGTGGGGTTCGCACCGGTCCTTAAGAAGGTCACAAAATATTTCCCACAGGGTTAAGCGAGTAAGCCAACATCGCTCTTGGTCCCCCTCCTACAAGACCGACGACGACGACGCGGAAGATGCCCGTACGATACGTCTTACATCGGAAGGTTATTTGTATGTTAATAAGCTGATACTACTACTGAGAATGTGATCCGGTTGCGAATTCAGGCTCGCCACGCATACTGCTCTTCTGAGATGATTTCGTTGTTCGAGCGTGTCTTGTGTCTTGACACCCATGAATCATGTGCGGTTGCGAAGGCACGGCTGGATGTTCGAAGGCTGGGCACGTAGGTAGACATCGACTATGAGTATGATGGGCAAGTAGTGATAGCATACACCAGTGCAAAAGATGCATTGCCACAGATGAACAAACATGGCCATACTTATATTGTCATCCTGCGACGCGCAACTCTGCTTTCACGCCTGAACTGCCAATCTTTTACGACTTTGAAGACTTGCTTGCTGCGCGGCATGGATCCTTGGAACGATATCGGTGTAAATCCGTTTCGACTGTCCCTACGTCAAGACATCTCAGTGCCCGTTTCTTGACTTGGCAGTCATCTACCACCTCGAAGCGGGCTGCTGTCCCTGTGAAACCTGTTCCAGACAGCTGGGACGACGATGAGGATGAAGACGACAATCAGAAGATATGGGAGGACGCGTGAGTGACTCTGATACCCCTTGGAGTAGACTAGGAGGACGCTGTACGGTATCTGACCATAAGGTGCAGGAATTCCCATGCCCCCATGCCTCAGCTGATCATCACGAATACGAGCACAAGTGCGGCATCTTTGCCGCCTCCAGCTGCCGCAATACAGCCTGCGATGCGTATTTTGAAACGTTCCCCGACAGCCACGCCTCAGCCTACACCCTTGCCTAACTCGACTTCGCACAAAACTTTGGCCGAGCGCGAAGCGCAATATCAGGCTGCAAGGCAACGCATATTTGCCAATAGCCACGCAGAACCGATCGCCCCTTCGATTTCCAAGTTGGCGGAGGGCAAGGTCGCCTCTACGCCGATGATTCTGCGAGATCCTCGAGGTCCGGAGTTCGGCGACGGAAAACTAGAGGGGTTTTCTAAGAGGACTATCACGAAACCAGACAGTAACACACACACTCGCGGACAATCGTGACATACGGCCTATCAGTGTACTCTCTTGATTTGAATCGGCGGTCTTGCTGTTATATATTGGACCATATCTCCTTGCCTATGAAGCGCTGATCACACGGTCTCATGTATGGCACCAACAGATTAGACCGAGCCCGCTCATGGTATATTGGTCTGTTGATCATCGCGATTACATCTCACGGTAGAGCAGGCTCCGCTATATACAGCAAAACTTGTCGGTTCTGAAAAGCAGGTCGTGGCCGAGGCCGCGAAGCCACTGGTATCGATAGATGATGGTGAGGGGCCTTGTCATCGGCGGGTGAAGGGAATCGCGAAGGTGATGGCGGCCACCAGTATCCCAAACAAGGCGGCCAATGTAGTCGCTAGCAACGCCCGATGCAGATGCGCCGACCTGATTGCCTTCTCTTCAATGCACCTAGCGAAGGATGTGTTGCTCAGCCGATCTGACGCATGGCAGGATACGGGCACGTACGTCCTACAACCGGGCTTTTCGAAGCCCGGAAATCCTCTTCCAACCATTCGCGCTTGTCGTACGAAGCCGTAGACGGGACAAAATCCGGAAAAAGTGGCCTGACCGAGTAGCAGCGTCATCGCAGCTGGGAATAGGACAGCCCAGCGAGCGCCTCGGGGGTAGTGCGGTAGCACGAATCCGGTGACGATGAGACCAACAGTTACGATACCGAAACATATTGCACCGGCCATGCGTACAGCAATTTCATCTGCGCCCACGTTCTTACTGACGTGTTTGAGGAATCGCGGTAGGGAATTCGTGAGCATTAAGTCGTAGCATTGCTGTTGAGCACGGCTGAAAGTCTCTGTGTCACATATTCCTTCCCTGTGAGCTGCCAGGATCTGCAAAAAGTCGTGGTCATGAATCAAATGATCAGCCAATTCGCAATTGAGGGTTACCTTCTCTCGGGTGGCAGAGTCAATATTAATCTCTTCTGGGACGCCCGGTTGTATGAAACGGACGATGATGGCATGAATAACGCCTTCATAATCCTGAGAACCGTATTCACGTAGGCATGAAGCGAACGCGGCGTTCCGGCGCATGATTGTCACTTTGTCGACCTCGGAGAGCGCCTTGAGGTATGCAACGGACATCCAGAAGTCCAACGACTGAGACGCCACAAAGAAGAGTCGGTGAGCCGTTTGTGGGATCGTTCGTAGGTGCCTACCTCTGCCCCATATTCCTCCGTCAACATGTAATCCCGGAAGTCCTGCAGAGAAATGGGCGGCTTCGTCTTTCCCTCCAGAAGCTTCCGGAATTCAACCTTCGGTATTCCAATTGAAGCGAGAGAAGTAGCAGACGATGTGTATGAAGAGAATGACAATCTAGAAGATGAACGAAGACGGGCATGAGGCGCGTCAACCAGCGACATCGCTGAGCTTTGGGGAGGACCAGCGTCCCCGTTATCATAAGGTGATCCTAGGGCAAAGGAGAAGATTTGACGGGCACACAGCAAGAGTACATTGAAAGGCTTGATTTGCTCCGAGGATGTGTATCCTGGGATCGAGGCGTGGGCTGTGGATTGCATTCCTGATCATCGCTGAGAACTTCCGCTGCGTTTCGCAACCGCCATCAGGCGACCTATGACCGAGATGTCGTTGGGCGCGGGACAGGCCTGCAAGAAAACGCTCATTGGACAGCCAGTCGTTCCCGTGGACGCTATAGACGGTGTTGATCCCAGGGCTGACAGCAAGGATTGCGGACTACCGACGCCGTTCACGATAAGTAGAACTTGTGTCTGTACAGCAACACAAGGTATGAGCATGCGCGGCCATTTCGGCGTATGTCAAAGCGAGTTAGATGTTATTCATCTCTGAGATGCCCATAGATGCCGAGGGTTTGACTGCAACACGGCGACATATGACAAGACCGCCCAGGTTACTAGGAGCGGTCACACATCAAGGTGCATCAACTTCTATGATGACAGTGACATGATAATGTTCAGAGGCAAAAGCACACGTTTTTCGAACGGCTACACGTTGATTCGTCGTAGTGTACAAATACCTGTAATATAGTACGAGTGCAATGAGAATGCAATAAAATGCCATCTTTTGGTAATGGAGAGCCGCAAGAGCAATCGTTTGATTTGTATGCATTATCCCTGACTCTCGTACGAGTTACTCTTGTGCTTGGGCGTGAACGTCCAGGACTCTGGAGCGGGACCCAGGAACCATTCAGATATTTTGACCCAATCCGCACTATTGTCGCTAGCAAGTAGGGTTTCTGTGGTGGTCTACAAGTCAGCCATAGGGCTTTACCCGGAGAGTAACACGTACCCAGATCATCGCGGCCCCGAAAAGCCGGGGGACGGTCATTGAGCTTGCCGGGCAAAACCTCCAATAGGCCGATGGGAACGTATCGATATTGGAACGATAGCGCCTCGCAAAGATAGCGCCTTGTAGTGTTGATGCCGGCCGTATCCGACCCGAAATGATGAAGACCAAACTCTGCGTACTTGCGGATGAGTTCCAGTCGCTCGCGAGAGCTGATATCCCATTCCCTCCGTTCCTTGATTTCGGTGAAAATCCATGGTTTGATCAATGCGCCGCGGGCCACCATTACGCTGTCAACGCCGCTATGTTCTATATCTTGCCAGAAATCCTGAGAGGAGAAACAATCGCCACCTCCGAAAATGGGCACGGGGGGCACTGAAATTGCTCAAATCAGCCATGGTATTAAGACAAAAGGGCTTGCATTACAGTTCTCTTCTTCTTCTTTGGCGCGAACAGCTGCCACGCATTGCTTGATGTAATCCCAGTCTGCAAGTTTGGCATAACGTTGCTGGCGAGTTCTACCGTGGAGCTGAGAAGACATCAGGAAGACATCAAAAAGTGGCGTCCACAGAGTGCAACCCGCACCGTCATGGCGGACACGCCGCTATCTAACAATCTTGGCATAAGCTTATGAGCGTTATTTCTCCCTTCTTTGACGCCCGTTCTCAATTTCACCGTTAGAGGGATTTCGCCAAGTGCTCTGTTCATGCCCACGATGATTTTGCTTAACTTGCTCGGGGATTCTAGAACTGTCAAGCATGTCAGCAAACTTCATCGGCAGGTTACGGACCGCTTGAATTCGTACGAGCTGATCCACTGCCAGTCTTGAAGACCAAGTCGATGGGACAACCGCAGTTGATGTCGACAAAGTCGACAGTGTCTCGGCATTCGCGACCGATGACTTCTGCAGCGGCCACCATCGTCGCTGGCTTGCTGCCTGCGATCTGTACGCCGAAAGTGCTCTCGGACGGGTGCCGGCGAACCAGAGACCATTCCTCTTTGGAACCGGTCAGAAATGAAGTAGCAAGTCCCACTTAGAAACTGCTCAGTAATGCGTTAACGGGGCGTTCTGGAGACATACTCTCTCCGCAAGTTATATCTGCTCCCAAAGAGACACATAAACGGCGAAACGGCTATTCACGCATTACTTAATCGTCGCAGCTGAAAATATGTGAAACATACCAGGTTTCCTACGGTAGTTAAAGGGGCGAGATCTATGTGTGCATGTTCGTTGGATTCAGAGTCTCTTCGTTGGAACATTGCCACATACATGCTTTTTCCCGCCAATGCAAGCGCTTTTTCTCAGCTAGACGCATCGGGACGTCTGGCGTATCCTTTTGTGAGTCTGCAATCTCGGTGAGAGGAGAGGCGGGAGGTAGCGGTTCTGACAGAGAGACGGGCTCAGAAAATGTGGGTTCTGTGACTCCGTCTTCTTCTACAACCTCATTCTTCTCGGGTTTGTCCTGATTGCTCTCTTGTAGTTCTTGCAAGTAGGCCTCAGTTATTGGTCGAGGGTACTGTACAGGATGCATTAGTACGCGATCACTGACACCAAGATGGCAGAACACGCCTTCTTCGTTCGAAGTGCCTTCATAACATCGCTGCCGATGTAGTTCAACTCCGTTGTAGTCAAGGCAGCGCGAGCTTTCCTCTCTTCATCGACCTCCAGCTCGAGAGATCCATCCTCGATCTTCCGGGCGTGACCACCAAGAAACCGGCATTTCAATCCAAACCTGCAATATCCTACTTCTTCATGAATCGGGCAGGATGTATGAAAATCGACGGTAGGATAATCCGCGTCGACTTCCGTGTCATGATCTGGAGCTGGGGAGACAAACGGAGCGACATGAGACAGCCTGGAGATCGGCGGAAACCTCAGATCTCTAGGTTTCTGCGAGAGGTAGGCAGGTATATCATGCGCATATCGGCATCTGCAGAAATCACGATGGGGTTCATTGCATGGCGAGGGTTAGATACATACTCTGCCCCGAATTCGCACATTTGTCCAGCCGCTAGCCGCCAACAAAGATTGACTTCGTCGTGGACCTTATTCCATCGTCTTCCCTTGTTCGCGCCCTGCCGCTTTCTCTTTTCCTCCTTGGCGATCTTCCGACGTTGGGCACCAGTGAGCTTTTGTGGAGCACCTCCGTGTGCTTCGGTATCCTGGTCCTGAGTGGTGTCCGATGCACCGCGGGTGGGATGGTTGGTGGATCCTTCGGCCAGATCATCGTCGGGGACAATCTCGCGACGCACAGGGAGCAAGTACCTAAGGCCTGGTTCAGTCTGTGAGGATATGTGATTGCCGCGAAGGTTCGTACTCGGCTTTGATGGGTGCCGTGCCAGTCGTGGAAGCCATGGCCAGAGAGGACTGAGCGAGAGCCGGCCGGCTGGGTCCAGGTCGAAGGTCGGGCCAAGCAACGCGACCGTGGCAATCTGCTCACGGCACTTTCGCCACCAAGATCTCAACTATATCCTAGTCATGCGCAGTGCACTTCGACTGCCATTCACGATCTTCCTGTCATGAGGGGTGTGCTCCGATAAAATAATTTAGTGGTTTGGAAGGCCGTAATTACGATGATATCTCAGCAACCACTCCTCCGGCTCGCATCCGTCGAAATACTCGACAAGCCTCAAAACCGCGCGACGCGGTGACCATCTCGTCCAGTTGACAGTATTCTGTTGCGACTGAGGACAATGATGCACGTCCCATATTTGCCTTCCCAGTGCCAGCACCAACAGGTGCTTCGCGTCCGTAGCCAGATCGCCTGTAAAGAACATTGGTTGATGTGCATCTTCGTAGCTCAGCGCAAGCAGGGTAAGGGCTGGCAGTTCCGCTATACGCTCTAACTAGATAAAATGAGCATTTTCCCACCTGAATGGACTATACTGTCGCACCACAGGAAGGAACCGGTCGGCTTGGAGATCAGAAGGTTCTCCCGCGATGGAGAGGCGCAATGCAACGAGTCCTTCTGGCAAGCACCCTGCGAGAAACCGTATGAATGTATCATCGGAGTCTTCAGGTACATCCAGTCCCAGCGAGGTTAGATCTGAGAGATCTCGCAGGACGTGTATGAGTGTTGATGCTACATTCCTGTCGCTTGGAGGTAGCGAAAAATCAACTCGGCGAAGGCGCGCCCGACCTCGGAGAAAGTTCGCGACCTGAACGTAGACATTGGATATGTCGCCGCGAAAATCTGGTGGCCAGCATATAATTTTCAGCTCGCGCAGTAACGGCAAGGATTCTGGCGATGCTTCGAAAGCGCCGATGACTAAGGGATCGCGTACGTCCACCAGCGAGAGAGACTGAAGCCGTTCGGCGTGATGGACCACGATGTCAATTTGTGCCGAGCCGTCGACATCAGTAATTTCCAGGTGGGTCAAGTTGCTGGAGGACAGGATAGGTGAGCACATGCACCTCTTAGCAGCAAAGCAACGCCTACCTAACGAGTCTCAAGGGAACTTGTTGCATAGCTTGTGATGAAAGAGCCAGGCGCCGTAACGAATGTCTGTTTCCTTCGAGGAATGCGTGAAGCCCGGTGAAGTCAAACCCAAGGACATCGTCCTCGGAGTTCAGTCCGCTCGTAGATATCGTGATTGTATCCAGTTGCGTCAACCTCTCCAGCCCGAGCGCATCAAGACACTTCATCCTGCGGTCGATGATCAGAAATCAACGGATTCGAATGACCCACGACAAACTCACGGAAAGAATCGTAAATGGCGAAGTTGCGTGCATGATGACACAAGTGCGTTCACCACGTCCTCCGTGAGGCCCGGGTGTAGGTGAACCCAATGGAAAGCTTGTAAGTGAGTAAGGAAACGCAGAGCTTTACATAACGTGTCTAAATCAAACGTTCTCGATTAGCCAAGCTCATTGCTGAAGACGATGAAGGACTAACGTCTGTGGTAGGCAGAAGAGGAACGAGCGTATGCGTGAACCACCATTTTCTGCACACAACGGGCGAAATGGTAGCTCGCGGAGATATAGTCCAGAATTTCAAGCGATCGCTGTTCCGCTTGTTCTTCAATCACGTACGATTCTTCATCATCACCACATATCAAGAGCCCCTCGTCACTGAGTTCCCATGCACCAAAGTATACGTGGATGGTTGAGAATAGGGAAGCTACAGCCAAATCATGATGTAGCCTAGAAAGAAACAGCCAAGTTCTTCTGTCTTCTACAGGCAAATGGTCCAGGATGATGCCCCATAGTTCATGAGGTAGCTGGAGTAGTGGATGCATGGTCGCCAGTGTCGAGCTATAAGTAGTGGAATGCAGATATTGCGACTCAGCATTGAGAACTTCGCGACAGGGTAAGTGTAAGAGACAACTGATAATTATGAATGTACGAGTACATTTATCGTGAGCGACCCCCTGTTCCAGTCCCAGGTGAGTACATGCAGACAGCGCTGGTCCAGACGGTCCGCCGTGAGGCGGTGACAGGGAAATGATGTAAAGTTCCAAGTGCAAGGCTGTTCCTATTTAAGGACCGTGCCCGGTAATCTACCTACCTATCTGCTCATCCGTACTCGCCAATCAACCTATCGCAGCACAAACACCCTGATAGATATATCATATGCTGAACTGGATCCAACGCAATTGGTCTTCTGATGCCCGTCTTGGTGCGGCAGCCGTCGGGACGGTCGTTGCTTTGTATTTCCTCTCAAGTCAATTGGGCTCCCGGGCACGTATAGTTTCCCTGGGGTACGTTATACCACGTTCTGCAGAGACGCTCGAACTGACTGGTATTGCATTCCAATCGACTGCATAAATAGTCACGAAGAGATTATACACATAGTCTTATTCAAGTTCAAGCCAAGCGTGTCCCGGACAGAACAAGAATACCTTTCCCAGACGCTCATTAGCTTCAGGGATGATTGCAAGCTTCCTGACGGATCCCGTTATATCATTTCCGTTGATGGAGGAAGGAATAACTCACCGGAAGCCGCGGTCACCAGAGGCCTCACTGTAAGTGTTAGCCCAGCTCCAGAACGCCCGCCTTGTTGCTATTGACTGCTTTCATGTTGGTCCTATTAGCATGGTTACGTGCTGAAGTTCAAGTCCAAGGCCGACCGTGATTATTACGCACACGAAGACCCGGTCCATAAAGCCTTCAAGGACAGGGTCAAGGACTCTGCAGAAGACGTGGTTGTCTTCGATTATGAGGCTGGAGAGTTCATCAGGTCAAGTATCATCAAGAGCGTCGCATGATGCGACAAAGCACATGCACTGGACACGTAGAATCCGATCCACATGGCTTCAGCCGTTTTGAATACCATTGTACATCTTGATAAGGGAACGCGTGGAGTACCGTCAAAGGGATCTGCTTCACGATCGAAGTGATAAGCGCAATTCTGAATGTCCTCCGCATCGTTCGCAAGTAAACAGCGCAAAGAATGTCGACGGTCCATTCCTCGTAATACAAACCTTCCCTTCCGCATTCACGCCACCGATCAATTTTGGTTCTCAATCAGGCTTTCCGATGCCCGGATGTCCGTCTCTACCATCTCCTTCACCAGGGACGGGAAGTCGACCTTGCGCCTCCAACCCAGTGTCTTCTCGGCCTTGGTTGGGTTGCCAAGCAGGAGGCTGGTACACGGAATAGGCGTGAATGGAGTGAAACAGGCAGAAGAACGCAGTCTGGCACTTACTCGACCTCAGCTGGACGGTAGTAGCGGGGATCAACCTTAACGATGACGTTGCCGGTCTTGGTGTCCACACCCTCCTCGGTGTCGCCAGATCCTTGCCAACTATAAAACAGTCAATACCGGTGTTGAGGGATGCCGGCACAGCGACTTACCGGATCTGCGTGCCAACGATGCCGAATGCCCTCTCGACGAATTCCCTAACGGGGTGCGTCTCGCCGGTCGCAAGGACGAAGTCCTCAGGCTGGTTCTGCTGCAACATAAGCCACATGCCTTCAACGTAGTCCTTCGCTATAAGGCCCATCAGCACTCGTTACCATCGAGATGATGAACAGTCACGAACCATGGCCCCAGTCACGCTGAGAATCCAAGTTGCCGAGGTACAAGCACGCTTGTTTGCCAAGGTGAATATCCGCTACCGCGCGAGAAATCTTACGAGTGACGAATGTCCGGCCTCGCCTCGGGCTCTCGTGGTTGAAGAGAATACCGTTGCAAGCGTACATGCCATACGCCTCCCGATAGTTCACCGTGATCCAGTACGCGTAAAGCTTCGCGACACCGTAGGGGCTGCGGGGGTAGAACGGAGTCGTCTCACTCTGTATGGGCTCAACAACCTTGCCATAGAGCTCCGAGGTCGATGCCTGGTAGAATCGGACGTGTTTCTCGAGGCCGCAAGTGCGGATCGCGTCCAAGAGGCGGAGGGTGCCAAGACCGTCGACATCCCCGGTGTACTCGGCCATCTCGAAGGAGACCTTAACGTGGGATTGGGCGCCCAGATTGTAGACTTCAGTGGGCTTCACGTCCGCGATCACGTAGACAAGGTTCGTGCTGTCGCTCAGGTCGCCGTAGTGAAGCTTGAACTTGTTAGGACCTGTGCTCGTGTGAGATGGGAGTTCAGGTGGTAATAAAGCATACACATACGTTCGTGCTGATCCTCGTAGAGGTGCTGCAGGCGGTTCGTGTTGAAACTGGACGATCGGCGGATGATTCCATGGACCTCGTAACCTTTCGAAAGAAGCAGCTCCGTGCTATGAGATGTTCAGTAAAGGTTAATATGTGCGGATGCATCGTGGTGCTCACAGGTATGACCCATCCTGACCGGTGATACCTGTTCTACGTGAGTGGATGATGCTATCTGCGATCGCTTCACAACCCACCAGAGATGAGCGCGACCTTGCGTTTGCGGTATTCCTCCGGCGACGGCAAGTTCAGCTTCAAGAGAGGAGTGAAAGAGCCCTCAGAAATAGTAGAAGACATCCTCAGATGAAAGAGAGGGAGGTTCAAGGAGGTTCAAGGCAAGTGCTGCTATCCGGGTTTTATGAGGTCGATCGGGGCAGGAAGCCGCGTGTCTCTGTGCCTTCGGCCCCCTGAGGAGAATGCGAAAGTTTCATTAGTTCTAGTCCTGGCGGGAGAGGCGCTAGCGGCATCTCATGCGGTGCCGACTTACGAGTTACGACGTTGCTGCTTGCTGGATGTGGTCGGAAGGAGAGCTCTATCGACGCAGCACTCGGAATCAAACGCGCCCATCGTCAACCGTGACTTGACGCGCGCCTTCATTCGGCAACGTTTGGGGCGTGGAGCCAGTTGCCTGGCGTTCACCGCGTGTTCCTGCAACCTTCATCGCACCACTGCCGTGTTTTTGTCTCGCGCAGGCGAATATTGGTCGCGAACAGGCAGGGAACGACTTCCTCTCAACACGATCACACGATCGCGACTGGTCGTTCATCTGGAGAACGACCTTGGCCGCGGGAAGCGGAGATAGTGGCTGTGTAGCAGTAACATCCGCCTTTTCACCAACACCGACCGACGCCGACCGCTTACGACGCCAGAATTGGTAGCATTGCATACTAGTGTGAGTCCATCGTCAGAACGCGAAGAGAGAGTAGCCTACAAGGCGCAGGGCTCACGGTGTCAGGCCTGAGTTATCTCTAGGATCGCTCAATATTGTCTTAACTATGTCGGTGAAGCACGATCCAGACGCGGCGCCTCAAACAGGGGAGCTCGAGTATTCGTTTGATCATGCGGCATCCGATGTTCGAGGCGTGTTTGGAGGGTATGCCTCATTGGCTCATGTCGTCGTCACTACTTCGAGAACTAAAGCGGAATTTGTGCCAGTTTGGAGGACGGCTACGCCCATCCATTCATGAGATCCATTGTGCGGCCGTCTCTGCGCTTCCTCCAAGAATCGTTTGCGCGGCACCCTTTGTTGACAGTACGTGCCCCGGCTCTACGCCATGTTGAATCCCGAGTCAGTGCATACGTTCACCTAGGTATGGGCAAGCGTATTCGCGGTTTTGGCTGCGCTGCCCATCTTCTCGTTCATGTAAGTGCAAGGATTTGCCGTGCCACATGAGCTGAGCTCCGACATGTAGAGCGTTCACGCTCGTCGTACTGACCTTGACCTTGCTGTCTGCTGTATTCGTTGCTCTGGTCACAACAGTTGTCGCCGTACTGCTTTCCGGTGAGTTCATGTGATGCCAGTCCTCTGTTCGTCCATCTCACGCCTAAAACACTTCAATTAAAGGATTCCTCCTTGTCTTCACCCTCGGATTCTTTTTCATTGTGTCTGCTTGGCTCACCGGCACCTTTATCTCCCTCTATCTCGCATACCGGCTAGGTGCCATCGCCCGCGGGCGCTACACCTCAGTGAAGCCCACAGGAAGTCCGGCCTTACGTGCCCACGCTGCGTTGAAACTCGCTTTGCTAGACTGGGTCGAGGAGATCCGGTTTCTTCTCCATCTCCAGACTTCGGTGCGCAAAGAAAACTCCGAACCTTTCTCAGGCCGCACTGGCTTCCCAACGGACCTGCAGAAGGAAGACGCTGGTACCGAAGCTCAGATAGTCGATGGTTTTTCCGTTCCGCCTCCCACACGCGGAAGCGATGGTTCAGAGGCCTCTGAACCATCGACCGTGGAGAAGCCGTCCACGTCTTGAAGAGGCGTGCCTCTTTGCCGTATCGTTCTTAATGTAACTTATGATTACCTGAGCTTGCTCAGGTATCTCGGATGCCGGTAATTAGTAAGCATCAGCAACCGTGGCGGTGCTAAGTTCGTGGCGATGCGCTTTTACCGTGTCAAACTCTTTTTTTAAGAATATTAATGCGATCTACTCGTGCAATGGCAATGCAAGCGAAGGTGAAGGCGGGGGGCACCCGCCTTTTTTCCAGTCAGTAATACCTTCCGTTTCTGAAGGCGCGTGTCAAGGCGCATGTTGCTGAAATGATCACGTGAAGAGGGGTCCATGTGCCCGATGAGGCCTCTGAACCATCGACCGTGGAGAAGCCGTCCACGTCTTGAAGAGGCGTGCCTCTTTGCCGTATCGTTCTTAATGTAACTTATGATCAGTAATACCTTCCGTTTCTGAAGGCGCGTGTCAAGGCGCGTGTTGCTGAAATGATCACGTGAAGAGGGGTCCATGTGCCCGAACTTCCACTTGTTTGAATGTTGAAACCTGCGTTCCAGCCGATAGTAGCTAACCCGACCATTGCATCTCGACGAGCCTTTGCAACATCTCAACGCATACATGTAGCCTACTGTTCGATGGAGTACTCATCGATCTCCTCCAACCAAGACGCGATTATTTCCCGCGCCCGCGTTCATGGGAACGTCATATAATCAGGTCGACCTGATTTGCTCCGTCTCGGCACATCCAGACGCATCTCCGTGCAGCCTTTCCTGGGCCTCGACATCTGCTTGTACTACTTTACGCATTCGCCCGAACGTGCTGCGCCCCCCTAAGCACCTGCTATAGACGTATCCCCCTCGTCCTCTCATCACCATACCGTCCCCAATCTCCACAGCGACGCGCGTGGGCGCTGTCCTCTTTGCACTCGGCGCCATTCTATTCGGTGTCTTCCTATCGAGCCCTGGGCGGAAAGTATCACCCGCCATGTCGGCAAAGGGTGATTTGGGTCAGTTCGAGGACCCAGCAGTCCTTTCTCGCGTCATCGCAATGCGGTACGTCCATGAGGTCACGTCTGTGTATGGGCCGAACCTGATACCGGCTCCAATGTTGCAGAGAGGTTGCTACATCTCAATTCCCTACAGTGGCTGCAGAAAGACTCGCGTGGGCTATGGCTTGGACGCATCTAGTAATATGGAACTCCGTGCGTTTTACGAAATTACGATACAGCTCTGCTCTCATTCACGTCTTTGACAGTGGAAGGCGACGTACTTCTTCGCCGACAAGTATCCTAAAGACGATTTCCCCAGTTATCGGGACTTTGCGGCCCTGTCCGTTGATTTCCTCATTGCGCACCATGATGCCGAGGAAGAGACTCTTTTCCCGGAGCTTGAGAAGAAGATCCCGGGGTCAATGGAAGAGAATGAAGCGCAGCACAAGGCATTCTTGGATGGCGTATGTTCATAAGGACCTCGAGTTCAGGCTGCGAGGTGCTGATGCGGTGGGCCGTGTAGCTCGTGGATCTGCACGGATACATCACTTCCACAAACGAGTCTGACTTCAAGCCTGCTACTCTTCGTGCGAAGGTAGGCGGTATTTCCAGAATCATGGATTACAGGGCTAAGTACTCCATGTGATAGTTTGACAACATCCTACTGCCTGTCATGACTCATCTCGCGGAGGAGCTACCTACCATTGAGGGATCGAAGGTGTGCCATCTCTGTTTCCTCATTATGGCGCAAGAACCGAATTCCATCCTCGTAGATCAAGCAGCATTATGATGAAGCTGGAGCTGCTCAACTGGCTAAGCAGCTTCACAAAGCTACCCGAGGCGAGTCCACGAAGACGCTGCCGTTCGTCCTCCAGAATCTCCCGCCGGGTAGTCCGTTCCCTCCCGCTCCGAAGTTCGTGACGGGCATACTCGGTCCCTGGGCGTTCTGGTGGAAACACAAGAATCTGTGGAAGGTCAGTTCGCGAGGCCTTGTACACGACCTGTTGCTGAACATAGCACCTAGTACACTGCATATCCGTTTAAGCAAGAACTGCCGGACACCGTGCCCATCTGACCGTGACACCAATCCTGCGTTTGATTGTACGTCGTGGATACTGGGCTCTGCTGATATACTGCTGCTATTTCAAGGAAGGTTACATACCTGAACTCTATGTACAATATCATTGTCTCGTGGAAACTGTTCTGTGCCCCTGTTCTTTGCCCCATGTACGCGCTTGACACCCAACGCCGCGCCTGCTCGGATACGCCAATAGTCCTTGTATTACACTGACGCCATGAACATGGCTACCCAATCACGGTGCCCTTATCAGGGCCTACACGCGCTTTTCTGAATTGTTTCGTCTATCCATCTACCAAATTATACTAACCTGTATTTTCCAGGAGCAGGACATACAAGTCATGACGTGGATCGGGGCATCATGTGCGATAGCAAGCGAGGAGCTTTTCTGTATGCAAGAACATTGCAACGACTTGACCTTCGAGATCCGCGGTCAGGTGCAAAGGTAGTAATGCCGACGATGTCCCGCATATAGTAGAAGGAAGAACTCGCAAGACTGGACTCCGGCCGAGGTATAACCAAGTCTGAATATCTTCGTTCCTCGGTGACTTTCACGATGACCTTCGCAGTCTACTAACTGTCCTACTCCGAAGAATTGCCAGTTGTTCGGTCGGTGTACCGAGGTCTCTACGCGATGGATATAAGACCCGGTCTGAACGAGATCGGATCACACCTTCATGATGGTCAGATTACTCCTCGTAACCGCATCGACGCTCTTATTGGCGACTAACGCTTACGCTCAGAGTGCTTCCCAATATGGCCAGGTCAGTCTCATGGTTGTATTTCTGGCAACGTTGCGGTGACCGCGACAATCAGTGTGGAGGAATTGGTTGGAGTGGTGGTATGGCTCGTTTCACCGCCCTCGAGTTGCTCTGACACAAGCTTTCCGCCAGCTACGACCTGCCCTTCAGGATGGGCATGGTATGTTGCGATGCCGACATACCAGACACGTACACTCACGCTCATGAATATAAGCACTGTGCTGAACTCGTACTATTCCCAATGTTTACCCGGCGCAGCGACGTCCTCCGCATCCCAGACGACCGTGAGCTCGTCAGGAGGCGGCGCCCCAACATCCACTTCGACGGGCACGGCGTCCACTAGCACGCCCACTCTCGTCACCGGCATGTCCTTCATCCGGGCGGTTGTAAGTTATGATGTCCGTAGATTGGTGAATATTGGCCTCACGTCTCATCTCCGTAGGAGGATCCCAATTTCCACAAATACCTGCGGTCGGAGGTCATTGACACCGCGTCGGACGCTGTTCTCGGCGATCCCACGACCGCAGCCCAGTTCCAGATTGCGGATGGACAACTGCTGCAACAGAACCCGGAGATGGCAGCGCCATTGTATGCTCAGGTAGAAGCGTGAGTCGTTCACTCGGAACAGCCGCCGGGAACCAAAGTAACGCTTCATCTTGACAAACAGCCGCGCGAACAGCACCGTCATGAAGCTCAAGATGTCATGGTCGACAGAGCCGGCTTCGGGAGACAACGCCGGCACGTTCATGTGGTCTGGTGACACGTTGGAATGGGAGAACGCCAGTATCTCTCGTCCACAGCTTAACGTAAGCCTCTCTTGGGAAGGACGCGAGCATCGGGCTTAGCTGACCTGTTCGTGAAAACCAGGCCTGGCTGGTATGCCCTGACTCTGCCGGAAACTTGGACGTGTATGTCAACCTCGGGCCGTACGATTATGAGACCCCCGCAGGATGCGCCGACGAGACCATTCACGCCTACACCGGTGCTACGCCTACTGCTTGATTTTCCAGGCCAATCCGATTGTGTTCCATGCGCAATATATAGTGTTGGCGTATGTTTCGTCCGGTCTGGGGATACCTGAGCACTGAGGTATGGTACAATGCAAAAAATGCCAACTACCACAGATGGGACTCGAACCCACAACCTTCGCCTCATTCCTCACGAGTAGGAAAGCGACGCCATAACCATTAAGCTACTGCGGCTCAAGGCGATCTTGCCGTACCGTGTACGAGACCGTGCCAATCACAGATAATCAACCAACGCCCTGACGTCAGTGCCTCCTCGACCCTGTCACTGTCAGTCGCATGCATTTGAATTGGATGGCTTGGACTAGTATTAACACAACCAGCGTCGGAAAGGGCTGGCAGCTTCAATTCATTCGCATCCCTTGCGGGTGCAGCAAGGGCCCTCTCAGTCCTCGAGGCAGCTCTATCACCAGTATCACCCGCAAACACGTTGCCCTCCCGTTGCATACTATAAAGTCTGCTCACTACCATGTCGAGCTCGCGCCGTCAGGTTCAGCACGTTATGGCTAGCGCCGCTCGTCCGACAAGGAGCAGGTCGAAACTCCGTACATCATCGTCCAACGCTGCGCACTTCTTGTTCAAAAGCAACCTACCGCGACGATACGCCTCAGCTCGTCCTCCGCCCGGGTTCCAGCACGTGCAGAAAAGACACATGTTTGGAATCGGAGAAATAGTGAACGTCCTGGCCAATGTATGTCAAGGTCTTTTCTATACTGATTAGACCTTGGAGAATACAATCCTGAAACCCTGGTTCGTTCATGACAACTTATTGCCTCTGCACAGCCTGGTGAAGCCGTCCGCTCTCTCACCGAGTCTAGACGATTGCTGGAAGAGGCAAGGCAAGAAATTCGGGAGAACCGCGAGCGAGCACAACTCCGGCCCGCACACACATTCTCCCCGCTACCTGGTTTCTTTCCGCGCCCTGCGGAGACGCGCGCGCTCGAATGCATTCTCGAGGGCGACCCGAGCTTTACCGTGCTCTTTGGCGCCAGTTCAGTCGGGAAGGTGGGCATCCGCCTGTCGTCTGCAAGTGCTGCTCAGTCCGTTTGATACGCATAAAAGACAGCATTGTTGCGTGAGGTCCTCTCCCGCGACGATTATCATGGTGAGCATTCGATAGCTTGACTGATGGCATGTAATTGCCTAATGGTTGCCGGCCGTCAGTTTTGCACTTCGATCTCCGAATCGCCGGCTTCGCGGATTTGGCGAGCTTGTACATGAGCCTCAGCCAACAGATGGAACTTTACTTTGAGGCCATTGGCCAATCGATGCCAGGGTACGAAGAGTTTGAGAAGGAGGCCTGGGCTTTTAAGGTCAGCTATTTCCCCGATTGCATGCGACGCGCAGAACGATGACCTTTCACAGCATGACAGGCTCAATGTAGAACGGAAGCTTGCTGAAGTGAAAGCTGATCGGTCCTTTGGTGCTGGGAGCATCAAGACTAGTGACATCGCTCGGTTAATGGAGCTATTTCAGGTACGTCTCAGTATACCAGTGCATGCATTCCTATTCACGGCGCCGCGATAGAGTTCCTTGCTCAAGTATTGGGTATTTCGGCCGCAGGGAGAGGAAGAAGCGGATGTAACTCTACAGAAGCAGAAATCTGACACGTTACACCCCGAGGCTCAACGAGGTGGTACCGTACGGCGTGTTGAGACCGGCTCAGAATTGACGCACGTTGAGCGCGAGGTGGATGCGACACACCCTCCAGCGTCCGATCCTGCCCATGCTTTGCCAATGCAGATCCCGCCGTCCCATCGCAAATGGACCGGAAAACTATTCAGCAGTCGCGTGGATCTGCAAGAAGAAGAGGAAGCAACGAAGGGGGAAGAGGAACGGAGGATACCGAAACAGCACCAAACCGCAAACGAGGGCGAGGAGGGAGAACGGAAGAACGTACGGAAGAAGGTTCCGGTGATATTCTTTGATGAAGCGCATAAGTTGTGGGTTTATTGCTTTGTTGTCAAGGTAGTGACTCATACAGAGAACGATGTATAGACCAGCACTCATTCGCTCAACCGAGGCGATGAAGTGCATCCTCGACTCAATGCTCGTGCTTACGAAACAGGACCGATTGTGCCATGTTATACATGCCACTAGTGATCCGTTTTACCAAACATGGCTGAGGCAGCTGAATGTTATGCAGCACTGTAAGGTGCGTTCTGTCGCCGCCTTTGCATATGCTTCGGTGGTTTGACGCATTGTACATAGATAATCACTTTCGGGGACTGCTCCAAAATCGAGACGAAATCCTTCTTTGTCGAAAGGCTGTTGCCGCGCGTGCCGGAGAAACTGAGGCAAGGGTTAAGTTTCGATGATTTGTTTGATGCCTTTGGAGGCAAACTGGCGCACTGGACTGACTATGTGACGGATTACGGTCGGTACCATGTTCCTTGCGTTCTCGTACTGGCTAAATCGTCAAGCAGTGAACGCTAATGGACGCCTCGATGGTTAGCGTGTCCTTTACGCGCAATCTGGTCGTGCCCAACTGACGCGCACCTGGGTCATAGTGGAGCACAGCTCGCATTTTGTGCAGGCGCACGCATTGCTTAACCTGCACCTCCTCCACGCGTCCCAGGTTCCTTATCATCCAAACGCTGATGGTCGCTCTTCTGATTCGGGCCTCGGCCAGGCAGGGCCCTCCGATTCTCAGCACGATTTCAGCCGCCAGGCGCCCGGTGGTGGTTTTCGGATATATTCGCCTCTGGCGATGACAAATCCTCACGCGGCAGCTGCCAGTGCGGAGGACACGAGCGAATTTATGGAGGCACCGGGGTACATGTCGGATTTTGACGATAGGTCGCTCTTGAAGGTGATGAGCAGGCTGGCGCGCGCAGATAAGGAAGTCGAGCTGTGGATCGGGTACTTTGGGTTGTGCAGAGAGATGGGGGTGAGGGCGGTCGACGGTATGGTGAAAGGCAAGGGCATTTGGAGACTGAATGTGGCAGCCGTTCTCACAGTTTCCTAGGGAGGATTCTCGAACTGCGATGGACGGATACTGTGACGCGCGAGGGCTCGACCGAATCAGGGGACGAAGACGAGACGTTAGCGCATGAGTCATTGCTGGGCCGCGGAGGAACGATTGGACCGAAACTAGTACCCACAACACCCATTATGAGATACGCAATGCGGGAGGTAGTGAACGAATATCTGGACGGCGATGGAGAAAGCGAGTACGCGAGCATTGATGAGGGGAGTGTGGACGAGTATTAGGAGAGCGGACCGTGAGCCATGCGTTTATAGCAAGGAAGTTGCATGGGGTCATACTATAGTCTGGCGCCGATCCCATTATACATCAGGTATATTTCCGAGGTATGCCAGTGCACCGGCAAAACACGTATCATCTGGGACATGCCTACTCGAACCAGATCCATAGCCAGAATTTGTCTGGCATGCTCTGGCTGGGATTCGTGTTGAGAACGACTTACCGAGCTGCGAGTTCGAATATGGACCGCCAGCATCAATACAGATTCACAACCGGGAAAAACCTTCCGTGCATGCGGCGCGTAACCATACGGTGATATGTATCGACAAGTTCTGCTCATCTCTTCCAACGCGTAGTTTAGCCCGTCTTCTTCCGCTTGCCCACCTGTGCCTGGAAACCGCTCTTGATCGCGTTGACGGAACGTCTCGAACCGCACGATTCGCAAGACATGAAGAAGATACGATTCTCCTTCGTGAGCAACGTGTCGGGAGATTTGCATGTCTTGCAAGTAACGTATTCCACTTTAATGTTGATTGTAGTGAGCTCATGTGACGTGCACATATAAATAGATCTTACCAATGTAGCGCCGGAGGACGTGCTCGATTTGCTTTTGTTGAAATCGGCCCTTGATGACCAAGCGGGACGAACCGTCGACGGAGCCCGTTGTGCCCATCTCAGCGAACATGAATTGGATGACGTGCTCGGGCTGTCGATGCATACGTTTGCAAATCTCACTAATGTTCGTGAAAATCGTCTTCTTATTGCCTTCACGAGCAAGCGAAGGAGGGGCGATGGTATACCGTTTCCCTGACGATGTGAGCAAAGCAGGGTTTGCGGCATGCAAGCAAGCGTAAAATCGGTGAAGAAGCTGATTGAGGGATAAGCCAAGGACTCCGCGTAAGGCACAGAGGAAAGCGCGTCACCTCTGGATATGTGTAATCCCGGTCACTCTTCAGCCAGGGCTCGTCACTGCCGTCCACACCAGCCGGCGCATCTCCGCGGGCAAATGGATCGTCACCGAGCTCGCCTTCGTCAACGTCGTCCAAGTGAGTGCCGTCATTATCGACGCCGTCCTCCTCCTCCTCCTTGGCCTTAGTTTCCTCCAGCTCTTTCTCGAAAGCCTCCATGTCGAAGGCAGCTTTCTTCTTGGAGGATTTCTTCTTCTTCTTGAGATCGGAGAAGTCAAGGTCCTCTGTTGCTGCCGCATCCTTTGCAGGAGTAGATATACCCGAGCCTTCGCCATCCTGTACAGAATTGATCTCAGTACAAGCAGGAACAGCAGAGGCCTAGACGCACCAAGTCGAGCGGAATGTCCTTCTTCTTCTTTTTCTTCTTCAGGTCACCGAACATGGCCTTGAACTCGTCATCCTCCTTAGGCGTCTCAGAGACCTCTCCTCCTGCAGCCTGCTTCATCTGCTCGTGAGCCGTTGTCGGGCCCATATCAACTGTTTCCCCATTTAAGGTGCGAGTATCGATAATCGAAGGCGCTGGAGTAGTGGGATCGGCCTCGGCCGCGAGTGGATCTTCGTTAAAGGCGACGGTCTTTTTCTTGCGCTTTTTGAGTGAAGGATCAAACAGCGGTTCCTCAGACATGGCGGTAGTGGTCGATGTCGATGCCTGCAGGCGATGTGATGATCTAAGAGCAACGCGGAATGACTCGTGTCGGTCAGAGTGTTATCGTGAGAACTGTCAAACTAGGCTAACAGTGTGACTGAGCAATTGACCTACACGTATTATATATGTAAAAAGGAAATGAAATGTCAATATATCTAACCGCGAACTGGCCCCGAGTCTGCTCACCCCTTCGCTTTCCGAGTTGCTCCTCGTCCGCGCCAACGAACTCCCTTACCTTCGCGATGCTCGCCCGCCAGTCCCTCGCCCGCATGGTGGCTAGGCCGCCTGTGCTGGCCGCAGCGCCCGCCGATGCTCGCGGGATGGCCACACTCCGTGAACTTGAGCTCCGTCTCAAATCCGTTCGAAACATTGAGAAAATCACTAAGGTGCGTCACAGCGTAGCGGGTCCGGGGAACATATTGACACCAGACAATCAGTCCATGAAAATGATTGCTTCGACCAAGCTTGCCAAGGCTCAACGCGCCATGCAAAGCGGCAAGGAGTACGGACTCGCGAACAACGGTACGGCGCCCAGTATATTGCCCAGCAAGTCCGTGCTGATTGTGAACAGAGGTTTTCGAGCATGCGACCACCGATTCTGCTGCTAAGCGCAAGCTCTTCGTCGTCATCTCGTCCGACAAGGGTCTGTGCGGTGGCATTCACTCCTCGGTCTCCAAGGCCACGCGCAGGGCCTTCGCAGACACGGAACACACAGATCCGCAATCCCCCATCATGGTCGTTGGCGACAAGTCGAAAGCTCAGCTCTCGCGTGTACTTTCTGGCAACTTGACCCTCACGTTCAACCAGATTGGCCGTGACGTCCCCACTTTTGCGGACGCTGCTGGTGTGGCGGACCTGATCCTCAAGTCGGGTGCCCAGTACGATAGCATCGCCCTTGTGTACAACCGCTTCGTCTCTGCGCTGTCGTATGAGCCTGCAGTTGTCGAGGTCCGGACCGAGACTGCGTTGAAAGAATCCTGTGCGTCCCTATTAGTGCCTTGTCGTGAAAACTCAATCTTGACGTCTTCTACTTGCAGCTGGCTTCCGGGCTTACGAGCAAGAGGAGGAACTGACCAAGGATCTGGCCGAATTTGCATTGGCGAACGCCATCTACTCCGCTCTCGTAGAGGGCCATGCGTGCGAAATTAGCGCTCGGTGTGTCTTTGTCTTCTGCGATGCTGTATCCGTAAGCTAATCGTTGTTCGCAGTCGGAATGCCATGGATAACGCGTCCAAGAACGCCGGAGAGATGATAAACGCACTTCAACTGCAATACAACCGTGGTCGTCAAGCAGCAATCACCAACGAACTCGTTGATATCATCACTGGTGCGCCGAATATACATTCGTCCCTTGTCAGTCCTCACACATTGGCGCAGGTGCTAGCGCGTTGTGAGGTGTTTTACCATACGGACTGTAGCTTGCGCGTATATCTGCAGGTGCAATCGACTTTCTTTGACGCGATTGAGCTCGTTTTACGAATGCCCCATGCGCTACTAAACGAGTCTACTTCGCAGTACCCATTGCGAATCCAAGGATCCACAGCCTGCCACAATTTCAAACAATTGGCCCTCATCAAACTGCCGCCGTGGAGGCGACTTCGGTTGCCTTCAACGTTCTCTGTGGTGTTGTCGAACCGCAAATTCAGACTGGTGCAGTGACAATATATCTGCGATAAATACAAATAATTCCATTAAGCATCTATGAGCGTGGCTCGTTCTCTCTCATAATCTATCCTCAGTCTGCTGGCTCGCTCCCAGAGTGTCTCGCCTGCCCCCCTCGCAGCCTCCTTCCATTCGCGGATAACAGCGCCCTTGGTGTTCGACCCCTCTACCACATACAACCGATCATCTCTGCGTCGTGCAGCGTGTATAACTTGGTGCAGCCCAGTACGATCCATCATTTGCACGTCTCGACCCTTGCTTTGCAGGACGATGACAATCATCCTGAATCGCTCGTGCGCGGTCAACCTTGCGATGGTACGCGATTCTGCGCCTTGCTTACTCCATAACTCGTGATAGTCGACCGGAACGGCTATGTGGGATAGGCTGAGAAGGTGATCAAGGGGTACGAGGAAAAGGTCGCTGCGCGTGAATAGATGAAGGTGGGTGATTCCACGGAGGAAGAACAGGCCCTGTGGAGTGGGAGTCCGGGCCGAAAATCCCCATGCGTGCGCGTGCGGTCTTGACAGATCATCCAGCAGGATCGTTAATTCCCTGCAAGGGAATGCGGATGCCCGGCGGCCGTCCGAGTCGTCGTTGGCTCCCGGAGCAGATGTCCATATACAAGCCGCCATGGAAAGGATAGTAGTTAAGAAAGATGGCGGCAGCGCCAGGTGGGTGACGGTCGTCTGGAGGTGTAACATGATGGTATGCGGGTCCTCTTCGAAGGGGATGTCACTCTCGAGCCAGAGGTGGCGCAAGTGTCGGATATATGGCAAAGTGCTAAGACATGCCACTTTATGGCGAGCAGAGCGGAACGGAATGGTGAGCGTGCAGAAGAGATATCGTAACACGAGCTTGCGGGTTTGCGCTGAGACTAAGGATATGGCAAGTGCGCTGTCTATCGAGGAAGCCGCGGCAAGATCCAGAACGTACAGCGCAAGCTCCATAGGAAGCTCTCCAAAGGCGCGCGGCATGGGCGAAATCCTGCGATGTCCATTAGCAGCTGCCTGTATCGTTGAGGTGATTGTACTCACTAGGAACACTCGGGAGATTATGTTGATTTCTGCATCCTAGCAGTAACCTTGCAGTTTATGACAGAGAAGCAGCAGATGCTGATCGAATTGGGGTTCGGAAGCACCAGGTTTTAGAGCAGGAGCATCGTGAGCCAGAGTGAGCTTTAAAAGTACAAGGAAGACTCATCAAGCGAATTAAACCGGATGAGGCCGGACCGAACCCCGATTGCCCTCACATGCTCTTTCTGCGGATTACCAGTCGTCTCGTTCTGTTCGGATAAGGTCGCGAGGAATTAGCTACGGATCTGTAGACAAAAAGGTGACGTGCGCAGGAGTCCGATCACGACTCCTTCGTCGCGGCAGGCTTCCATCCAACTACTTAGTCTTTCGTGTACCAAGCGCTTCTCTGTGAACATCACGTTTATGAATTGTTCGAACCGCTCAGGCGGATTTTCTGTAATAGACTGTAATAGGAAACAGACCGTATAATACAATATAACGGTACAACGTGGCAGAGCATCATGGAATCAACGACGCGGTGGTGCGGTTAGATGTATCGAAGCGTATCAGGCTACGGGGCAATGTCTCCTACTCGGGTTAGCGCCACCCGTCTCTTTTTCTTTGGCGGACCTTCCGTATTGCTCTGCATTTTCTCGCCTTCATCCGGGATTTGATCTGCGCGAGAACTCACGATGTTATCATCTACACTAGCCGCAGGCGTCAACGGGGGCTCGCTACGCTTCGTCCCAGTGCTCTGTATCGGGGTAGGCGTAGAGATCAACTGAGACGAAGGAGTGGAAGAGGAAGTCGTCATGGGTAACGAGTGATGGTGTGCAATAGATTGCAGCTGAAGTGTGTGTTGTTGCGTGTGGTGCGCCGGGAGAATCTCATCAAATACGACCAGAGTGCAGTATCCGTCCCTCGACGACAGTATCAAGCACTGCCCGTCAGGAGACCTGGAAGACCGTAAGTCACCACTCGCGCTTGCCAACATGGATGAAGGCTTACCATGTCAGATCTGTGAACTCATCATAGTGAAGTTTCGTGAGCAAGCTGATGGGCCCTGCCTGCTGGGTATCATGAATGGTGACCGTGTCTTTCGTTGCAACTGCGAAGAGCATCCGATAGGGCAGCGCGAAGACGGAACTTGATGCCGTGGACGGTGTTGAGAATGGGTTGGGCGTAGAAGCTCTCGATCGCGCAGGCGTCGGCACTCTTAGCGAGTCTGTCGCAGACAACGCCGGAGAGGGCATCGCGGGAGCATGTACACCGACAGAACCGGGACGGACGGGGGCAGGGGCAGCGATAGGCGAGCGGAAGGAGTTGGTCGTCGCAGTTTGAGGCGACATTGGGGCCAAAGAATTGTTGTCCTGTAACATAGGCGCTCCAGAGACGGGGCCTAGAAGATCCACGGACACAAACTCTTCTTTGCCCTTCTCCACTACGATCCGCTTGGGTTCTGTCGGTCCCGAAGCTGCAACCCCAGGGCGGAGCTCGTAAAGGATGGGTGAAAACCTCACCGCGACGGTGGCCTTCTTATGTCCCGGTAACTGCGCGATGGGGGGCCTTGCGAAGTTTGCGCGAGAATAGACGTATACGCATGAACTTTGTCCAGAGTCGATATTTTCATCGGTGTTGATCGAGAGATTTCCCTTGCGGCCCCGAGTTGGTTGGTCATCGGACCTGCCATTTGATAAACGGCTGGTCCCTGGAACGACGGAAGGATCCTCAAACTGCCCGGCTGGTGTCAACAGGAGACCTCCGTCCGGGCTAAACGTGAGGCGCCGGAAGAAGTTAGTGAAATTCTCGTCTCCATAGAGCTTCACGGTCGCCCAGCTTGACATTGTGGCCGGCAAAGCCCGGATGGCGGGTAGCGCGGGCATAGGTGATGGCGAGCGCGCTGAGCGCCCTGTATGCAACGAGGAAGCAGGAGAAGCAGGAGTGCTGAAGGACGATCGACGCGACGAGGATGATGGCGGAGGAAACATCGCAGCACTCGTATGGGGTGTGCTCGCGACTGAAGTAGACGGAGTGAGGGGAGCGTCGTTCGTCTGACTGGTGGAAGGAGTTGACAATGGAGGTGCTGCTATCTCATCCTTCAAACGTTCACTAGCAGAGGTAACCACAGATTCGGCATCGCTGGCTGTGGACTCTCGACGTTGCATACGCGGTCGGCTATGTGAGCTGGAGGTTCGATGGTGGCGCGTCATCTTTGTGTTCTTGCCTACTGCATGTGCCTCGAATCGACCATCCTTACTGGTGATGCTGTAGATGTGCATCGAGCGATCGCTGCTTTGGGTTGCAATATACTCGTTCAGCGGGTCCCAGGCGACGCCTTGCACATAATGGTTATGCTCGGCAATTTCATGCAAAAGCTTGCCTGCGGCTAGATCAGTCAAGAGGATTGCATAAGGCAGGCTCGCATGACATACCGTCACTCGCGGAATACACCCTAGCACAATTGTCCGTGCTCCCCGCGATGATATACTCGCCCGTCGGGCTCCATGCCAGGTCATACACTTGCATTGTGGTGCATCTGAGCGTTGTCATGAGCTTCAACTACATCACGTAAGCCGAATAACCCACCGAACTGTCACGCGGGCCTTCCAGTACTCTTTCTCGTATTGCTGCTCTTCGGGAGTGAGGTCGCTACCATACGTGGCTGTCTGTGGTGTCGATGACGGCGCCCATATAATAAGCATCCCATCTATTGACCTCGTGAGTACGAAGCTTCAGCCAGGTCGGACAAGGGGATCGTACCATCTCCCGCGGACGCGATATATTCGCCTGTTGCTGACATGAAGGACGCACGGAACTCGGAAGGCGTATTCACGTACCATTGGGAGAGAATCTCACCACGTTTACGGCGGCAGAGTGCCTGCTGAGCGTAGCAAGGTATTCAACCCGCGGCTGGCGCGGTGCGGGTGGCATGGCGCTTGACGCGTCCGCGACCGAACTTGGTAATATATGCGGATGCACCAGCCATAACTGCGCGCAGGTCTAGTAATGCTTATGGTACGAAGCTTTAGACACATACCCTGACGTGATTATCCTCACCGCCCGTGGCAAGCTTGTACGCTTGCAACGCGAAGGCCCTGTCCTGCGTTGGACGCGCTTTCTTGAAAGGGGCCGGTTGGAAGTCGCAGGTGGAGATCGGTTTCGAGTCGTGCCATCGAATTTCCAGTGTTTTGACACGCATATCCACGCGTAGGAAGGAGAAGGGAGCAGTTCAAAGAGGTCGAGTTCAAGAACGATGGAGGTCGCTGTTACTTGACTTCATGTTCGGGCCTTATGGTCACGCGTCGACTTTGTTCCCACCGCCGCCACGCTACTATTGTAATAGCGATCGATTTGAGGTGGCCCACTGAACTACCAAACTACAGTATCAAGCTACCACGCAGAGTCGAAGTCGTTGACGAAAGCAGCTCTGATTCCGGTTGTTGCGTACGCTTACCCTGCATGAGCGCCAAATCTTTCGTATCTCGTTGCAATATCTGCGTCAAGTGAGCAAGACCGGTCTGTTGCTCGGAGAGGATCTGAAGGAGATGAGTATGAAATCCAACAGATCAGCAGTCAACGGTTCAATTCACCTGGGCGATCTGTGCAAGACCCTCATCATCCACTACGGCCCACTGCGACGAATCTCCGTTCTTCCCCGCTCTCTGCCGTGCCACGAGCACAGAGTTCAGAGCGGCCCAGAGCTCACTGAGCCTGCCTTGCAAGCGGCTCAGACCACCCGGTCGACGTATCTCTTCGTCGATCTCCTCCAAAGCAGCTCGCAATGCCTCTTCCTCCGGCCGTATGGACGAAGATCGCAAAGACGGTATCAACAAATGCAGGTGTTGAGCAAGCCGCAGCAATCGTTGCTGGAGCTGTACCTGCATTTTTGCCGCTTTCTGTAAACGGACTGAATTGGACAATTCATGTCGTTGGGCAAGAGCTTTTATCCGTGTTTGGAGCTCCTAGTCCACTTGTTAGAGCGAACACAATGATGGTCACGCTGATGTTGTCACCTTCAGACGCTCTTGATGGCTGGTGGCTTGCTGTGTTTGAGCCTCTACCCGTGTTTGAAGATCATCGAAACCGACGGCAAGTACGGGAACCAAACTGCAAACCAGTAAGTAAATGGGGAAGGGGGAGTGATTGACTGTTCCGCAAACTAACCAACTGGGATCGGGATTCTCCATTACAGCCTTTTGCCACGCTGCATCGTTGGTGGCATTCGCTGGGCGACCGTATAGATGCACTTGCGCTGGATCGACCATGTTGTAAAAGAAATGCTGCGAGCGTGTCATAATGGGCGGGGCCGGGTATGATTTTAATGCGGACCTGGAAGCGGCACTCAGGGGACGAAGCGTTCCATGCCGCGGCGATCCCTTCAATTTTCTGCTGAAGGGCAGCAAATTGTGCATGGGCATCCGCTTGCGATTGGGCAGGCTGGGCAGGGTTTCTGGATGAAAGAAGGCTGTTTGCACCGAGTGGAGCGGCGGTCGACCCGAGTAGTGGGACGGTCGCAGGTTTGCCAGCACCGCCAAATAGCGAGCCTTGGGCTTGGCTTTGGCCAAATGACGAGGAACCGGGTTGAGCTAACGCTGATGACTGCGAGATACCCCCGAAGAGACCTCCCGTCGTCCCGGTGTTTGTGCTGCCAAAGAGTCCGCCGCCCGTCCCGGTGGCAGAAGTGTTCGTGTTACCGAAGAGCCCGACGGATGGGGCACCGGTCGACGCTGATGTGCGTCCGAAAAGACCACCTCCCGTGGTAGAAGAACCCTGATTCTGCGTTGTGTTCCCAAACAAACCTCCTGTAGTAGTATTCGCAGGTTGAGTGACTGTATTTCCGAATAGTCCGCCTCCTGCTGCTGGCTGGGTTGCGGCGTTTCCAAAAAGCCCTCCCCCAGACGATCCCTGAGTTCCCAATGACGTGCCCCCAAAAAGCCCTCCCCCCGCCGCAGGTTGCGGCGCCGTACCTCCGAACAAACCACTGCCAGTTGCTGGTTGCGTAGTTGTGCTTGGGAACAGGCCTCCGCTAGCGGCTGGTTGTATCGTTGTATTCCCAAAGAGTCCACCTCCCGATGTCGGTTGGGATTGTGGAGCACTCGTGGATCCGAAGAGCCCTCCGGCAGGTTGTGCATTCGTTGCCGTGCTTCCAAACGCGCCACCGGTCATTTGTCCGTTTTGTTGCTGGTTCGAATTGTTTCCGAACAAGGCCCCATTTGAAGCGCCCAGGTTCTGGGCGGGGGGATTTCCGAAGAGTCCCCCTGTGGTAGGTGCTGCTGTGCTATTCGCCGCCGTAGCATTAGCGGCGCCACCAAAGAGGGAAGTGGTTTCCTACGCGGTCGTATTATTGGCGGGAGTCCCAAGTCCACCAAAAGCACTACTGACGGCGTTTGACGAGGAGTTCCCGAAGATAGACATCTCGACAGTGGCGGGATAACCAAGTCTTATTCGCCAGTAACCGCACCGAGACGCGTTGAGTAAAACGTGACATCCTTGGGTGGCTGTGCAACTTCAGCGATCCAGCCCTAAACCCAAACACCTCCGGGCGTATCGGATTCGGAGGTCAGGTCCGTTGCTTGGCAGCCGATCCGGTATACATTTAATGTAACATTATAAACCATCTGCGAATTTGTGAGTCTTATTTTATGCCGCCCTCAACACCTTCACGAAGTCTATGTATAGTGCGAGGTTCAATCAGTGAGCAGGAGATTGCAATTGGCAGCGAGTGCAGCGCTCAGAGTTCCAAACCTCAGATGTCGATGAATTCTTCCACGGTAAAGTCAGCATAGCTTAGCTTGAGATCTCAAATCTGATTATCCCATGCATATCAGTCCATGATATAGTCAAAGCTGGGGAGACCATATCTTCTACGGACTATGAGCGAAAGCCCGGCGGAAAGGGCGCCAACCAAGCTGTGGCGGTTGCAAGAGCAGGCGGCGCCGTGGAGTTCGTGGGCGGGATTGGGGACGACGGTGCATGGCTGGTCGGCTGCCTAGCAGATGTTGGGGTGGGTGTAAGCGGAATCACCCGGTTCAACGACGTGAGCAACGCTCTTCCATCACTTTGTTGACTGTCGCATTTACTGACCCGCGACTTTTCGAAGGTTCCGACAGGTCGAGCGATCATTCAGTTAGACAAGAATGGAGAGAACTGTATAAGTGAGCCATACAAAGTTTCACGTCGTCATACTACCTCATCTTCTTTACAGTTCTGCATCGAGGGGCGAATTACGGACCCGTGCCCCCAATACCGTCGGCATGCCTTCAGAGCGCAACGCATCTCCTACTGCAGAACGAAATACCCTACGAAACCACCCTCTTCAGCATTCTCCTTGCGAACTCTCTAGGTATCTCAACCATATTCAATCCCTCACCGATACCCTCGGCAGAACAACTACGTTCCTTCCCGTGGGATAAACTCACATGGCTCGTCATGAACGAACACGAGATGTATGCTCTGTATCATGCCCTTGACGCGGAGAACGTGGATCTCGGATCCGGGGAAGTGTCTTGGCCCCCGGACTATCAAGGAGGAAGGAAGCCGCCTCCGAGGCTTTTGGTTTGTGCATTCATCGTCCGAATCCTGAACACGAAGCATTTCTCCCCAAATGTGCACATAGTCTGCACTGTTGGCTCCGAAGGCGTTGTCTGTTACATGCGAAACCTGGGTGGGCCTGTCTTTCTGCCTGCGTCCGAGCTTAAGGGAGATATTCGTGACACCACCGGCGCTGGCGACTGCTTCACCGGGTATTTCGTTGCGGAGCTCATGAAGTTATACGAAGAAACCGGACATCACATCCCGCAGACGACAACTCAAATCACGGACTTGCTGATAAGGTGCAACCAAGTGAGTCTTTCGATGATGACGTTTGTATCGATGCGTTCTGACCATCCGTAGGCGGCAGGGATGTGTGTAGAACGGCGTGGCGCAATGGAAGCAATCCCGTCTGACAAGGAGGTTGAGGAGCGACTCGCTACAAGATCTTGATCCGCATAGGGTGTCCATAGTATCATTCAATTCCGTGACCTCCGTGATTCGGTGTAATCTGAGCATCTAAGAAGTCGCGTGTAAGGTAGATTTAAGCGCCGGTGCTGGGATCAGTAGGCGTGAGACAAACTTTAGGTCATACTGCAAGCCACTTTCCCGCGCTCCAATCTCGTTCCTCCGCCTTCGTCGTCGTCAAAATGAAGGGTACGCTTGCGCCGCAAAACTGTCCGTGTACACTATACTGAGAAATCGTTATTGCTAGTCTACAAGCCTGGCAAAGTACGGTTTCGCACTCTCCATCGGCGAGCTTTTTCTAACGAAACTGTCCACTCCCGTTCACGTTTGCCTGATCTGCTGCATTCGCTCTTTGCGGCCTTACCATACTTGCAATCACTTCGAAACGATATCAGGTCGCCATCATCCTCCAAGGCCGGCAGGCGGGCCACAAGGTAGTAGTTATCAAGCAACTCGACGAGGGCACCAAGGAGCGCCCCTACCCTCATGCCATCGTCGCTGGCGTTGAGCGGTACCCCTTGAAGGTGACGAAACGCATGGGGGCGAAGAAGCTTGCGAAGAGGAGTAAGGTCAAGCCTTTCATCAAGGTTCATACACACTCCGCCTTCGCTATATGCCATTCACGGCTCACGATCCTTGTCCGCTAATGGCTTGACCCAGGTTGTCAACTACTCTCACCTCTTCCCCACACGATACAACATCGAGTTGGAAGGACTGAAAGGGACCGTCGCCAACGAGACCTTCAAGGAGCCTTCGCAACGGGAGGACGCTAAGAAGACGATCAAGAAGCTTTTGGAGGACCGCTACACATCAGGGAAGAACGCATGGTTCTTCAAACCTCTCAAGGTGAGCGTTCTACGCAACTTCCTTACGTCCGTGTTGCCGCTCGTCGGATATTCTTGCTGCCCTATGACAACATAACGCTGACTGCCATCTACTCGATTCTTCAGTTCTGATCTCCCCTTGCGTACATTTTCTGTTCAAAACTATGTACATGCTCTGTCGTAGTATGACATTCCATGATCCACATGCGTGCATATTCATCAGCAGGAGTGGTGATGCGTTCTCTTGTCAGTGTCCAGTCGGCGCCTCTTGGCCGTGGCTGTGTGATGACGGGTTTGTATTGTGCTGTGGCAGTCGCGTGTTCTTAGTCTATGTCTACTATCTCTGTCAAGGTCGTGTTTGGCGGGGGCCTCGAGCAGTTGTTCTCCAATGAAAAGACTCATGGCATCTCATTGCCAAGTCAGATCCCGGTAACATGGGATCCGTCTCAAGTTATCAAAATATCGGGAACACAAAGCGAAGAGAAGAGGCCTGTGAACATCACTTACCTCATACACTGGTTGAAAGAACATCTGTTGAAGGAGCGATCGGAACTGTTCGAAGAAGGGGGTACAGTGTGAGTCGTCCCGTCCGTCAAGACGACTTCGGCGTATGGCCATGATCTCTCGCAGTGCTAAATCTAGCCCCCTTGTCAGACGACCCGGCATACTGGTTCTCGTTAACGATACGGACTGGGAGCTTGAGGGGGAAGGAGACTACGAACTCAAGGACAACGATGAGATCGTGTTCATCAGTACATTGCACGGCGGTTGAGGTCACGTCTACCGCGGGAAAGCCTGTGTTCAAGATTGATCCCTTGTAAACATTGCTCGGTGGAACTATGAGTCTTGATCACCTTTGGATTTGTGAGTGATATCGCGACCTGCTAAAGCGACTGATATAGAATGTTCCTCCGATAGTCTATGTACGCTCATTGGGATGTACTCGCTTCGACTAAGCAACGTATGTTTCGGTTGCATCCGGAGAGTCAATGCACTGCTGTCATATTCAGCCCGGAGCTTTTTCATTTGGTTCATACCGTTGGTTCCTTTTATGCTGGTGAAGCACCACCTCCGCACTCAAAGGCAAGCGGACTGCCCAAGTCCACTTATTCCGGGCTCATGTGAGTCCTGACCCATTGCTTTCTTGGTAAGTCGTCACCCCTAGCGGCTTATGGGCGGTCTTGACCATCAACCGTCTCACGCTGATATCCGATGAAAAAAGGGACGCGTTGCAGGATAATGACGGCGGATTGAGAGCGGTTTCTGGTATTCGAATCGTTGCTCCCACTGTCACCCTTTCGCTCCGCTGTCTTCTGATCCTTGTGGAATTCCGATGTAGGAGGCAGGCTCGGAGCCAGTCGGGTATGTGAACTTATAACGTGAAAGTGGCGGGCGTCCATGTTCTCGCCGTTGAGCCCATAGCCCCTCATAGCAATGAAATGGGAAATATGTTCCCCACCGGATTGAGCATATGCAGGTCTCAACCGAGTACTCCTAGGCCTGTGCTGTGTTGGGCTGCTGGGTTTCGTAATGTATGTGGCCTCAGACGCATTTGTGGGTGATAACACACTGTGGAGTAGCTTGCCAGCGCATGATGATGAGGCATCCGAAACGGCCTGTCGTTTGTCATACTGTACACAACAATACGAATACAGTCAGCGGACATGCTACCATCCCGGGGACGGGCATCGCAGTGCAATAATCAACACGCCGACGGTCGCACGCTTGTGGAAGGTTATGCCGGCATCCATGCGGATGCTAGTGTGCTTCCGTACTCTGAGAAGTCGTAGAATAGTCACGGAGGTACTGTCGGTACTATCCACGTCGTAACCAAGTAGCCTTGACGATGCTTTCGTTCTGAGCCTTATGAAGTGATGATCTCACGGCACCGGGCGGGCACGATATCCAAAGTGACAAAAAAAAGGCGGTTTGCCTCAGAACTTGATCAAGGATGCAATCCCGATCAATTACCTTTGATGATTTCGAGCGTCGTACCGAACTATCGCAAATCAGAAGGGATTGAAGAATAGTGACAAGACGTGTTCGATCTGCCGGTCCGCTCGCCCGCAACAAGACAGGAAGCGACTTGGTGACCGAGGTGTATGGCGTTCTTGATGTTCTGGACTTCCATTGCAACCTATTTCCACCTGAAGCAGTACATAGCGCAATGAAAGCTTGCAATACATGGGGTCCTTGACTATATGGATTGCTTCCACGGCAATACATACCCCGACTGCCTGCTTCTTCTGGACAAGGCCTGGTCTCTCACCGAATAGTGTCCGTTAATTAAGAAGCTCTGCGCAGCAGGGTCCATAGATGATAGAACTCCCAAGCCTTCCCAAGCGCGATACGACAGGATACGACCCGTCACGCCGTGAATGTCACGGTTGTCCATGTATCTTCCTGACCTGACATCGGCTGACGCGAAGGCCTCGTGCCTCTTGGACTTGAACTCAACTTTCTCTTGAGATTACGTTCACCCTCTCTCACCCACATTCTTTACTGTTACGACTGGACGCGACAAACGCGTACTCTTTGCGGCGCGCATCTTACCTCTGCTCTGCGCGCTCTGACTATGTCTGGATCGTCTCCCGCGCGGCGCTTCAGGTCAAAGACATCGGACATTTCGGATTTCCTGCGGAACACTCCCCCGCAACATGTACAAGGACCTCCCGTCCCTACGCTACCGCAGCAGCAGCCCTCGCCAGTCAAAAAACGAAGGATACCCTTCCTAAGCAGGAAAAAAACGTTCGCGTCTCTAACCACCGCCAATATATCAGCACCTATACAGAAAACATCTCCCGCTACCAAACCCGATGCATCGCGCATCCCTCGTAGTCCTATAATGCAACGAGTTCCTATCAGCACTACTACTCCAAGCGAGTGAGTTGACTCGTCCTGACCTTGTATTTGGTGCTGCGCTTGTATACCGTCTGCCCGGTTTTCGGTCATTTTGCTTCAATGCTCATAGAGCCGTCATGGGAGCACTGGATCCCCTCCCTTAATCTATGTTCGATCACCGTCCATGACTTTCACCTCGTTGGCTTTGGATTCTCCTACAAAATCTGATCAGTCGCGTTCCTTCAATATAGGCAGCGCTGTCAGAAGGTCCCCACAGGTGACTCTCAGAACTCAAACGATTCGACATCCTTGACAGCGCGCTCATCCTTCATTTCCACTCTACCGCCGGTCAACTTTTCTCCTCCGTCCCTCAGCCCTCTAACACAACCTGACCAATCTGTTACCTCGACTGCGAGTTTGGGCTCTGAGCAGTCGTCCGTCAAATCGGGTTTGCCGTCCACCAGGTCCTTGAATTCCACTTTCGCATATGCGCAACGCCAGAACCAGCCGTTGATCACGGCATCCGTTCCACTCACCGAAGCGGTCCGTTCTGACCGCCAACGTGCACAATCTCATGTGACCGGTCCTGCAGCAGCACCCACAATACAGCGTAGTAATTCCGCGAGGCATATGGGCACCCCGCCGTTGTCAGACACTCCTCGTATGGGCTTCCCCATGCCCCCCAGGACACACTTGGACATGAAAGGAGGACGGTCCGAGACCGATGGTGCGATCTGTGCGTCGGACAACGCGCATGTTAACTCAGCCATCGAGCGCCCGCACCGTTCAGGTACCAAGGCCTCTCTAACGGCCAGGAAGGAACTTGCGCAAGCGGTCGGAAAATCGGTCGACTACGGAACCGAAGCAAACAAAACCGAAGGAAAACTTGACACGTCAGGAGCAGGATCTTTCGATGTTCCCCGCTCCGCTCCTCCAATCGTGGCCACTACGTCTCTCAGTGACGAGAAGGTTTCAACTTCACGCACCCAGTTTTCGACATCCAAGATATCGAGAAAGGCGATATCCTTTGGTAAAGCCCCATCCGGCCCTCCGACAATCCCATTGCCGACCCCACCTGCAGTCATGGCCTCTGAGATATCGACCGATCTCTCATCATCTCCATCCGATACTTCTCTGTTACTCCCATCTACACCAGTCCGCACTCGGTCGAATACGAGCATCCCTCTTCCTAATTCTGCAACGTTTACTCGGCGCTCTCTCTTGACCGTCAAGGGAGATATTGCCGGTGACACAGATCTGGCCTTGCCTGCGAAAGTAATCATGGCGAAGGTCGAGTCGGGCATTGAACGGGCTTCGAAGGATGGCGATCGTATCAACCCGAAATTACTCGCGCAGGACTCAGACGCCTCTTCCGAGCAGCTGCGGCGAGCTCTGCTATCCCAACTGGCGAAATTTGACCACTTGGCCGGTTACGTTCTCTCTCTAACCCAAAAACACGAAGATGAGAAAACGTCTTTAGTCCAGCGAATCGAAGAGCTACAACGCGAGATCAAGAAGCGAGACCGCGAAATCAAAGGCCTGAGATGGCTTGTGGTCAACGGCGCTGCTGTAGCTGGTCAGTCTGGCTCAACCCCAGGATCAGCGCCCACGACAGGACAAAGGGAACGATCTCTGTCATCGTCGCACTCTAGGCAGAGCACCGTGGAAACTATCGGCCAGCAACTTCGCCGGGAGTACGCGGACGACTCCGAAAAATGTTATTTAACCCCTGCATTAGAAGCCGAATCGCCAACCACAGGTTCTTTGGATAATTCCGACGGCGCGACGGTTCTTCAGCGGTCCAGCACCGTGAAGCACACTCTTGCTCCGGGTTCTCAAGCTTGCGGCTGGCGATTGAGCCCGAAACAATTCCGCCGCAAGAGTTCGCCAGTCGTGAATGTCTACGGCAAGGCTGAACCCGGCGCTGGCCTGGGTTTGGGCATGGGCCCTCTACCGCCTGCCACCACCTCGTCGGACTCCGAGGTGGTCAGCGCACGGTCGGCCCTTGGAACTCGCGCCTCGTCGTCTTCCCTATCATCGTCGGCTTCCACCGTGCCTACGATGACGGCTGCCAGTACAGCCTCTTCTGGCCTTTCCGCCATTCTCGAATCGCCTCCACAGTCCTCTGACGGGACCTCAGAGTTTCCGCGTTCCATCATACCCGAAGAGGGTAAACGCCGCGAAAAGGATGAAAGACGCGCGATCAAGGCCCTGCGCCGGATCTCTTCTTCCTCTAGCAAGAGCGGATCTTCGGTTCACGTCACCGCGACACCACCATGCCCCCCTTTGCCACCCGACGCAGCAGCGAGTACATCGTATGCGAGCAATCTGCGCAAAGGCGCTATGCCTTCTATCGACAACGTGCTGGGACGAAGCGTCACGGACGAAAAGATGGAACACGTGCTCGCGCGTCTGCGATTGCTGGGAGAGGCCGTCAATCGCTAATCTCGTCACCTTCTTAGCCATCTGTCTTGATTGGGGCGATGTTGCGTTCCCGTGATTTCTGCCGTTCTATGTGTTATCGAAGTTACAGTCGCGGCTGTCGCTGCATCATCGGCGCTGATACTTACGCTCTTTTCACGGACTTCGCGAAGATTTGTGACAGCTCTTTTTACTTGGCTCACGCAACAACGACTTGCTCATCCATCATACTAGCATTCTACACCATCACCTTTCACGAGTTTACAATCATCTTCGCTATTACGAACTGCTATCACAAGTAAAATAATTGGAGTTGCCGATCCGAGCGCCTTCGTTAGATTGTTGTTATTAATCCTTTCGCGACGTATTGAATAATCCGTTCCTTCTGTATTTCTGCTGCGCATCCATGAGCCGGTTTTCTGTCGTCCTCACGAATCACAGCCACCGGACAGCCACTCGGTTGCACTGGCCAGACTACAACTCAGTGGCCAGCCCTGAGTACTGAGTACTGAGTGCTCACTCACAGAGCAACACCATGTCGCAGCCCAGCACTTTCGACCCAAGGGACTCTAGTTTGGAGTCCAAGTTAACTTTTCCAAGGACATGGGCTATCTCTCCGGTTGGTGAGTCGTGCGTGCCCGCCCACTTGTCACTACATGTGGACTGACTGCTGACGACCAGATCCTTTGGTTTCTTCGGGCATGTTTCTATCTGGTTTGATCATGGTCACAAAGAACAGGTTCATCTAGCGGCTCCGGTCATCAACGCGTGCTAATACGTTGTTTGTAGATATCTTGCTTGGCCGAATCTCTTGGTTGCCGTGAACGGCGTGATCAACTCACACCCACTCCGAACGAAAGAGGGAGGCAACGGATGGTCAGGGCTTACGTGCGTGCACGATCTTCTCTTCGTGACATTGCAGCTCATGCATTATTCTGCCATCAGCTTGGCCGTCTTTGCCTTGATTTCCGCGTACCTTCCCTATTTCGTACCTCCGGCTGCTCCGAAGGCTGTATGATACCGCTTTCTGTCGACTTACCTTCCACACGGACTTTTTGATTTGAGACCGCTGTCCGAAGACTAGCATGGTATTCAAGCAGACATGTCCCGTCGTATCGTAAGTCTCGGATAGACCCATGGACTAGACATGGCTATCAAACAGCACAACCAAAGTCGTTCGGCGCAGCTTCTGTAGCTTGCGCGAAGCGCTCAATCACCCTCTTGACCTCCTCGACATCTGGCCGCTCAACGTTGATCACCCTTCTTTCCTTATCAAGGAGCCCACGGAACTCATCCGGTAAAACGTCGCGCTCGAAGTTGAATTCCCTGGTGGCGTGCCGCGAAACACCCGCCAAAGCCTTCGTAACAGCTTCGGAAAACTTGGCAGGGTGTGCTGTTGAAAGAACGATCTGGACGGTGTTCGGAGCACTATAGATGACAATGACTTGGCTCAGTCTATTCTGTACGACTTAACGGCTGCATCAACCAACCTAGTGCTTTTCACGATTTTAGCTGCAGCAAGGGCAACTGCTGTATGCGGATCGGCTACGTATGACGGTTCACCGTCAAACCGCTCGCGAATGGTCTTCAGGGTCTACAGCCAAGTATAAATATAGGACCAATGAGTTCTAATTCCCATCGACTCACCAGCTCATCTGAGACACGTTCAGCGGCGAAGTCCCTTCTAGCTGCCTCCAACACCGTGACTGGCACCTCCACTCGACCGTCGCTCTTTACCTTGGACATCCATCCCTGTACGATGTGGCAAGCCTCCCTGCGTTTCGTCTTTTCAACCGCGCTGGGGCCGTCCACCTTCCCTATCTCGGTCGCGTGTCTCCCCACAACACTCTCGTATGCCAGATACCAAAGCAACCGTTCAAAATTGCTGGAAACCAGGATATCCATTGCGGGGCTGAGCGTCTCCTTGACGCCTCCGCTCACTGTCTGTTTGCCGTCCGACGCGCCATGTGCAGGCTCGGCGATGCCATCATCGACTGCATCGGCATCAACCTTTTCGTACCGCCCGCTTTTCCAAAAACGGGCTAGGATATCGTTCGCGTTTGTAGCGACAACGAGCCGTCGGATTGGAAGCCCCATGCGTTTGGCGTAGTAGCCGGCCAAGATATCCCCGAAGTTGCCCGTTGGAACGACATACTCGAGCTTGATATCGGCGGAAGCAGGAGCGGAGATTTGCCGGCGAACGTGGAAGTAGGAGAGAAAGTAGTAAACAGTTTGGGCGAGAATACGGGCCCAGTTGATGGAATTGACGGCGCCTAAGCGATGAGCGGCGTTGAAGTGACGATCACCAAACAGTGCCTTCACGATATCCTGTGATTCCCCATTAGTAAGGATTTTATGTTATATATGTGGAACTGGCGTACTTGACAGTCGTCGAACGTGCCTTTTATGGCGACATTGTGAACGTTCGTGTCCGTAACAGTAGTCATCTGCGCTTCTTGTACAGGCGAGACCCGTCCTTTCGGGTGCAAAATGAAGATGGAAACGTTGGCCTTTCCGCGAAGACCGTAGATCGCGGCACTGCGCGAGAATGAGCCGCAAGCAGTAGCAGGATAGCCGGGAACACTGACCTCCCGGTGTCTCCGCTGGTAGCCCCCACGACTGTCAGCCTTTCCTCTGCTTCGCCTGCGCTTTTCCGCGCGTTCCGCCTCTTCAAGAAGAACTCGAAAAGGTTCCCGAGAAGCTGCAGCGCCACGTCTTTGAAGGCGAACGTCGGGCCATGGAACAGCTCCAGTATGTACGTCTCATCGTCCAGTTGCTTCAAGGGAGTAACGTCTGGATGCCTAAACGTGGAGTAGCTCTTTTCTACCAGAGATCGCAGCTCGTCCCGGTTGATCTCGTCCTCTGAGATGTACAACGACAGCACTGCAACTGCGAGATCCGCGAAGGAGTGCGACGCCCAGTCCTCTTGCCAGCTGGAAGGGAGTTGAGGGACGTGGTCAGGGATATAAAGACCGCCGTCTGGAGCAAGGCCAGTGAGGACTGCCTACTGTTGGTCAAATAGTCATTACTATGATTCATCAAGATGAGCTGAGTCCGTTGACCTCTTCAAACGATAGTTCGGCATCGCCGCCACGGGTTGAGAAGTACCGCATGTCGTACTGGTTGGCCGATGTGGTAGTAGTAATGAGGCCAGTGTGCTCAATTCCTGAGACTCTCAATATATCACCGATAGGTATATCGCCCACGAGCCGGAGATCGGTGCAGCGCTAACGGCGGCACGCCCATTGAAGACGGTGAATGGGTGACTTCCCGTAAGGATCTGTAAGGCCGAATAGGATAGATTTCGCTTACAAATCCACTAAGCGAGCGATGCCGAAAAATCGGCAACGACGAGCCAACTTGTCGGTTTACAAGTTGCTCGTACAGACCTTTTATCTGGAAGGGGGGGTCGACCCCCCCTTCCAGACCAGAATGCCCGTTTACAGACTTGAATTTGTCATGCACGTGACCCTCCCTCTTCCTCATTCGCTACTCAGCCCTTCTCAACGGACCTCCGCGTTTATTTCCGCCCCACACGCGCAGGGCCGTACGGGGGCATAAACGTACAGCATAACCTACAGATCGGGGTTTGAACTGTTTATTCTGTGTTTCTGTCGCTACAGATCTTACGGGAAGTCATCCAATGGGTGACTTCCCGTAAGGATCTGTAAGGCCGAATAGAATAGATTTCGCTTACAAATCCACTAAGCGAGCGATGCCGAAAAATCGGCAACGACGAGCCAAGTTGTCGGTTTACAAGTCCCTCGTACAGACCTTTTATCTGGAAGGGGGGGTCGACCCCCCCTTCCAGACCAGAATGCCCGTTTACAGACTTGAATTTGTCATGCACGTGACCCTCCCTCTTCCTCATTCGCTACTCAGCCCTTCTCAACGGACCTCCGCGTTTATGATGTTCTATTTCCGCCCCACACGCACAGGGCCGTACGGGGGCATAAACGTACAGCATAACCCACAGATCGGGGTTTGAACTGTTTATTCTGTGTTTCTGTCGCTACAGATCTTACGGGAAGTCATCCAATGCAGAACACACCTGCGATGGGCGCCCTCGGCGAAATCCGATGGAGACCTCACGGCTTAAATCGGCCGACGGTTGACTCGACCGTTAAGATCTTTAGCTGCTTGCCTTTCGAAATCTGGCAGTGCGGTGACTCTGCTCGCAGTGACGACAACGCAGGACCTTCCGAGTCTCCGATTAGAGCGTTGCTACCCAATTTCCAGTTGCTCATACCAAAACCGCTGCGAATACTTGCCCACAGTGCTTCTACCTGACTCCATGACTTCGAGTGCAGGACCAAGACTCAGGGACCATCTTTTTCCTTCTCAGCCTATGGGGTTGCTCTGGTCTTTCATCTCACAAGTATGGTCTATTATGTCCACTCCCAAGCTGCGCGATCTCAACTATCTGTGATGCAGCCGTTCATCATATATCACTATGGCGCGCACGCACGGATGGTCTGGTCTCCGCGATGCACCTCGCCGGCATGGCAATCCCGTGGTTCCTTCGACTTGCCAACCGGATCTCAGAGTCTTGCTCGACTTGTTCACCACGTTCTCGGCGTATGTCCAGGAGAATCTCGCACGCTGAGGCTGATTCCATCCAATGCCCTCCGCCTTGGCATCTCAGCATCATTAGAGTGTATCTGCAGCACAGGCGAGGTGGGCTGGAACTTGTGCCATGCACTGCATTTTTGGCGGGGCTCCCCGCGGACATCTTTGACTACTGTGAAGAACTTTTACCGCCTGCAGATACACTCTATTGTACTGCTCAGTAGAGAAGGTTCCTGCGTACAAGGTTTCATTCATTCATTCTCTCGCGGGGCTGTGCGTATACCCAGGCTGCTCGCCATCATATGCCGTTCGCATCGTACCGGGGAATGCAATATTTAAGCACGAGTTGTGCATCCTATGCACTAGCTCGACGCTCCTTCGTTCTTCCGTTTGCCTGGCGCACCATCTTTTCTCGTCTTCTCGCAGCCTTCAAATACGTATTCCATCATGCGTTATTCTTTTGCCCTTGTCCTCGCTGCTCTGGTATCGGCCTCGTTGGCTGCACCCGCGGTGGGTCGGCATTTATCATGACGACGGGACGGTCCCTGACGAGCTCATACAGAAACGGCAATTCACCCCGGGACAGAACGTAAACCAGGGTTCTGATCGCCCCGTTATTTTGCAAGCAGATGGTAGTGCTCTCGTCGACGGCATACGTGCCGCCAACGACGACCTCGGATCGCAGATCGCTTGTCTCCTTGATGTGAGTATTCACAGTACCACAACCGGCCCAATGTTCAGAGTCGACATTTCATGCAGGAGAGAGATTGCCTGAGTGCGGACAGGTCCTCCAGCGAATGCACCAACGACCGTATCGGGTGCCAGTCTGGCAACGCGCTCAACGGACTGGTCGCTCCGCTGAATGCGGAGTCCGCAACACCTGGCAAGAGGAGCCTGAACGCACGCCAGTTCGCCACCGGCACAAATGTCAATCAGGGATCAGACCGCCCGGTGATCCAGCAGGCGGACGGGACTGTATTTGTCGACAGCATTCATGCAGCTAATGGCGACCTTGGTTCCCAAATCGCCTGCCTATTAGATGTGAGCTAAAGGCGTCGACTCGAATTGATTGATGGCGCAACTGACGCATGATGTTCTTTGTAGGAGAAAGATTGTCTTGCAGCGGGGACATCTTCCACCGATTGCACGAATCAGCGAATCGGCTGCCAATCGGGCAACGCGCTCAATGGCTTGAGCGCAAAGATGAACAATGAATCGGCTTAGGCATGGTTGTTGTACATCATGTTACATAGCCATGCATATGCCAATTGACATCCCTTGGTGAATAAAGATGTACTTGTTAATACGACTAGTACTGCACGGGAATGACGAGAATGGAAAGGTCACAATTGTCATGACGCTATAAGTAATCAGACTTCGTGTCGCGAAGTACAAGCCCACAAGGGTCAACCACGTGGCCCGAGTGCCCTGTATCTCGGTCACGGGATCTTGCTCGAGGTTCACCCTCGACCTCAGCCGCCACCCTCAGAGTCACCAACAGTGCGCGATACCTCGGCCTCAACGTTGATGCCCCTAGGAGAGGCCAGCAATCTCTAGCTTGGTTGCTGCGTGGAGAACCCTCCTTCAGTGGTCCCTACTCGCGTCTTACACGGAGGATCACAGCCCGCGGTCCATTCGACCTGCTGCTGCCGGCGTGGTGGTACAAGAATAACCTTGTCAGAACTGAGTCGTCGAGCCTCGTGTTTTACATCGTTTGGCCATATAGGCTCGAGTAGTCATCTGAATTCCATTCCCATCCGATACCCCTCCCCTTCTTATACAACTGTACGACATGTACCCACTTGCAGGACCATCGAGGCTAGCAGCATCCGTCCCCACTGCAGGGTCATCGAATGAATCTACCAGACTGCCGACCAAGCACGCCCACGCCCAGGCTCTTGGACGCGGACGATTGGATCTGGAGAATCAACGCTACATTTTCAATGAGCGATCCTTGGCCAAGTTATTCGCGCAGAACTGCAATATGGACTCCCCCGGGGCCGATGGCGAAGTCGTTGATGGAACTGCGCTTGCCGTACCAAGAACAGTGACTGTCACCCGCCCCCCCTCGTTGTCCGATTTCTCCATTATCTCGCCGCCTGGTAGCCCGCGGCAATCGCTCGACACGCTCCAGGACACCCCCACTTGTGGCACACCATTCACGAACGCTTTCGCCACGCAAGGTCGCCGCAACATTGCGCATACTTTCTCTGGGTCCGGCTACCTCACGCCGACCTCTTCATCCACTCACGGATTGGGTCTGCACTTCGGTCCCACCACCTCGCGTCGCTTACGGACGCCATCACCCTCGAAGGGCGCACTTTCGCGAATTTGGGATGCATTTGCATCTCCGGCAAGAAGTTCCAGTCGGGGTAGAAAAGGGAAGGGCAAAGGCTACAGGTCATTCGAGGAGACGTTCGATTATCGCGACATGGACCCATTAGATGGAGAAGAAGGCGAGCTCATCGACGAGGCATGCTTCATCGACGTGAAAGCAGTCACGGGTATCGGTACGTCGGATCTATCTCCTCTTTTCTGCGGATTACTCCGCGGCTGCGGGAGTGTTTCCTCGTCTGGTCTGGTCACATCGCAAGGCGGGAGCTGATGTTCTCTTTATTTCCTGATAGATATACTTTCAGCTCTGCCCCCTGAGCTCGCCTTGAACGTTCTTCTTCATCTGGATCTACCGTCTATCGTCGCATGTCTAAGTGTTTCTCGTACTTGGAGGGCCTTCGCTGAAGACAACGCTGTTTGGCGGGCTCTGTTCGACGCGAGAGATGGTTGGCGCGTTGATCTCAGCCGTTGGTCAAAGACACTCGTCTTGGCGCAATCTGTCCCGATCGTGGAGGCTGGGACAGTGGATTGTACTCATAGGAGGTTGAGTATGAGGTCTATGCGCTCTATGGGGAGCTCCAGGACAACGAAGAGTAGCACCACTCGGAGGATCAATTACAGTTTGTCTTTCAGCAAATTGCCCATCAGTCCGGAGGATATACCCGCACCGCTGATGATTGACTGGAGGAAGCTCTTCCAGTCACGACTTGAACTCGACCGTAGATGGGCGAGCGCAGAACCGAGGGTACTACGGCTTAGCGGTCATTCTGACAGGTTGGTGCCATCATTATCTGAGCTTCAATACCCAGTTCAAATATCACTTGCAGCGTCTACTGTCTAGAGTTCGACTCGAAAAGAATCATCACGGGCTCTCGCGATCGCTCGATCAAAGTTTGGGCGCTAAATACGGGGAAGCTCTTGGGTACCTTCAAGGGCCATGACGGGAGCGTCCTTTGCCTCAAGTTCGACAAGGATTGGGATCTTGACGGCCGAGAATCCTCTGATGCTGACTCGATGACATCATCGTGTGTGCGCAGAAGAGCTCAACCAGGCCTTCTAGTCAGCGGCAGCAGCGATTGCACAATCAAAGTGTGGGATCTCTTTTCGAGCAAGCCGAAGGCCAACGCCCTAGAGGAGGTGAGGGCTGAGGTGAGAGCGGTGCTTAGAGGTCATGCCGGAGGTGTTCTAGACCTCAAGATAGATGATCGGTGGATCGTGAGCTGGTGAGCATTCTATGCATTTCTCTCGAAGTATACTCACCAAATGCATGCAGTTCCAAGGATGCCATCATCCGGGTTTGGGATCGCGAAACCCTGACACCCCACTGCGAGTTGCGAGGACACGACGGCCCAGTGAACGCGGTGGGCTTGCAGAACGGTCGTGTCGTTAGCGCCAGTGGTGATGGCAAGATGATGATGTGGGATGTTCTCACCGGTCAACACTTGCGGACATTCGATGGCCACGACCGCGGACTCGCCTGCATCGACTTCAAGGAGGATTTGATTGTATCTGGATCCAACGACTGCAAGATCAAGGTCTGGTCGGCTTCTACCGGTGAATGCTTGCAGACTCTGTCAGGCCATGATTCCCTCGTGCGCGCACTGGCCTTCGATCCCGCCAGCGGTCGGCTCGTAAGTGCGAGCTACGACCGCACGGTGAAGATGTGGGACCTCCGCACGGGCAGGATGGTTCGCGAGCTCAAGAATAGTCACATCAGCCATATATTCGATGTCAAGTTTGACGTCAGACGGATTGTAAGGTAAGCTATGGGTTTCCTCCTCGGCCTATACAACCGGTGCTTACAACCGGAGCAGCACTTCGCATGATCAGAAGATCGTTGTGCATGACTTCTCCGACGGTTTGGACACATCCGTCTTCGTGTAAGACTGCATAGGTTTTACACGCCTCGATTCATGGACAGCCATCGCTGCATCCACCCGCCATCTAACGTATGATATTGTTTGATATACTTCGCATTTCTTGGAGCAGACGTCCGCTGATATTTCCTGGACGTTATCTGTTGTACATCACGGCTATGTATTGTACCTCGACACCGGATCCCGTCAAACCGTCGCATACCCCATTTAATTCATGTGTGTACTCTCAGGCCGAGGGGCTTGTCCCATATAGTATCCAATGTGATAGCTGCACAAATATCCGCGACAGATACAGAGTAATAAACAATATACCACGACAGTAAAGGGAACCATCTCAGCCGTTCAATGTAGCTTCGTCTGTAGAACTGTCCTTGTCATGTTGATCGGTCTCTGAGGCATGGTCTGAAGAACGGGGGGCATCCTTCGTGGCATCGGCGGCTGTAGGCACGTCTGAGTGCGGGGTTGCTTCGGTAGATGAGGTTGGATCTGGGGTTTCGGTGGGTTTCGACGCGGCGGGAGGTTCAGCGATGGCCGATGCAGGCGGCGGGGCAGTCTCTTCCTGTACCCCCGTCGCCTCTACGAGCTTTGGTGCGTCATCGGTCGCCTTTTGTTCGACCGCCGGGGTCTTTTCCTTGACATCCTCCTTCGCCACATCTGCCTCTGGCGCAGCTGCGATAGCAGCCTGGGATTCCGAGGGTCCGGTGGCGGCCTGAGACGCCAATCCCTCTTCGTCTGCCTCGTCGCTCTTCGGCTCTGCTTCAGCAATCTCTACGTGTTTAACCCCCGTCGTCACCTCCTTCACTTCTTCCTCAGTTTTTGCATCTTCGGTCTCTGATAACGTGGGACGTGGGGACTCTTCCCTGGCGGCGTCCGCTTCCTCTACGACGGTGGGAGGGCCACCTCGGCTCCTCTTCGACGCAAATTGAGCATCCTCGTCGCGTTCCGAGGTGCTGAGCCGGCGCTTGCGGCCGGTTGCGGGGGCGTTGGACGTGGCTATTCGGTGATGATATGTGAATCAATGCGATTGCAGAGGGTCGTGGACTGGGCTCACGATCGTCGTTCCACGAACGGTCTGGACGGGGGAGGACAGAGCCGGATATACGCCGGATGAGGTTGAACATGACTGCAGTGGGGCAGGTGAGGGCGAGGGCGAGGGTCGTTCGCGTGTCGGGGAAGATAGAGAGAACGCGCTTTGACACGTGGCACGTGCCAGACGCGCTACCAAAACAGGCCACAACGCGCTCCACGCCTCCGCGCCGCACGTTTGCCTCGCACATCACACTAGTCCTGGGTCGCCCTCGTGCCCTGTTGGGCATACGAACAACCCCGCAACGTGGAGTTACTAGGTCTCATCAACTCACTCACCTCCTGCTCACCGCATGTGAATGCTTGGTGTCGATGTGGTGCACGCGACGTTGCTGCGTAACCACAAGCTTACTTGCTACCCACACCCGACGAACCACGAAATCCCGCAACGTTTACCTACCTGACACGCTGTCATGGACCGACCTTGGATCAATCCTTCAACCTCGAACTTCAAGGACTTTCCTCATCGCATCTCGGGGGGTTGTCGGCTCGTGCCGAGGCTCGATCTGATTACATAAGCACTGATTGAATCTGTTCTCTTGACTCGGTAATCTACGAACTTGCATTGACGAGGCCAGGCGACCGCAACAAACTGGGATCTCCAACATGACGCTCGATGTGCTGCACTTCATTGACAAGAAGGGAGGCAACTCCCAGGAGATTCGGGACTCGCAGCAGAAACGCGGCCTCTCCGTCGAGTTGGTAGATGAGGTGATCGCCATGTACGAGGAATGGGTCAGGAGTACGTGTAGTGTGACCACTGTAGCAATACCCCTGATATTCAATCTTAACTCTGAATACAAGTGGACTTCGAAACGAACGTGTTGAACAAGCAGATCAACGCCATTCAGAAAGAGATCGGGCAAAAGAAGAAGGTGTGTCCGACAAGAGTCACCCATGCCTTCGGCTCACAGGCGCGACTTCAAGGCGAAAGAGAATGCAGATGAGCTTGTCGCAAAGAAGAAGGATCTCGATGCGCAAGTCGAAGCGCACAAGAAAGCCACGAAGGAATACGAAGCTACTATGCGTCAGAAAGCCTCCACCGTCGGCAACATCGTTGGGAAAAGCGTTCCGATCAGCTTGACCGAAGTATATCAATCATGCAGCTCTCATTCGCCTGTGACTGAGTTGTGATCAGGATGACAATGTCACACTCAGGACATGGCATCCGCAAGGACCCAATGCCCAAGTCGAGCAAAGAAAGGACATCATGCCCCATCACGAAGTGCTGCTACGATTGGATGCGATGGACCTGGATCGCGGTGCGCATCGACCGGCAGGGTCACCGTGAGCCGTACTGATACTTCTCGCTAGGTTCGAAGATCGCCGGCCACCGTGGATACTTCCTCACCAACGACGGCATCGACCTAAATCAGGCACTCATCGCATATGGCCTCGACTTCCTCCGCAAGAAGGGCTATAAGAAGATTCAGCCGCCATTCTTCATGAACAAGGATCAGATGGCAAAGACGGCTCAACTAGACCAATTTGATGAGGAACTATACAAGGTTTGCATGGATTGTCCAGATCGCCCAGGGTCAGGGACGTTCTAACCCCTGTACTCCGCAGGTCATCGGCGAGGATGAGAAGTATCTCATTGCGACCTCCGAGCAGCCCATCTCCGCCTTCCACAGCGATGAGTGGTTCGAATCACCGGAAAAGCAGCTTCCCATTCAGTACGCCGGCTACTCCACGTGCTTCCGCAAAGAGGCCGGCTCTGCCGGACGAGACATGTGGGGCATCTTCCGCGTTCACCAATTCGAGAAGGTCGAGCAATTCTGCATCACCGAGCCAGAGAAGAGCTGGGAGATGTTCGACACGATGATTGCAAACAGCGAGGCATTCTACCAGAGCCTCGGCATCCCTTACCGCGTGGTGGCCATCGTCTCGGGTGCGCTCAACCTCGCGGCCAGCCAGAAGTTCGATTTGGAGGCGTGGTTCCCGTTCCAGGGAGCGTACAAGGAATTGGTGTCGTGTTCCAACTGTACAGATTATCGTACGTTCCATAGGCCCCTATCATTAGGCCCATCCATTGATTCTCACTCCAGAGGCCCGCCGGCTTGAGGTACGCTGTGGCCTGAAGGCGAAGGATCAGACACGGAAAGTCTACGTCCACATGCTCAACGGTACGCTCTGCGCTACCGAGCGCGCGTTATGCTGTCTCGTCGAGAACTACCAAACCCCCGAGGTCCGTCATCCGATCACCAGTATAAAACATTGGCCACTGAAATGCGACGTAAAGGGCCTCGTGATACCCGAGCCGCTCCGCCCATACATGCAAGGAAGGGAATTCCTACCCTGGGTGAAGGAACTCCCCAAGAACCTTCAGAAAAAGACTCAGTAAACAGGTTTGCATTCCAAGGATGGTTCAATCGCTTGTGTCGCTGTGTATCATCGTCTTTCTGTTATCGTTATTATCGTAGATGGCAAACATCTATCAGTGTCAACTTGAGGTGATCGTACATACCTACTTATATCAATTCAGAAACGTATCACCCAATCTAACCATCGAAGCAAGTGGTAGTCCAATCATCACGGGTAAGATCTCGTAGAACCATCTACACTGACCCATGCCAGCAAGACCAATCATAGTCTCGCTGACGCTGGCGCACTGCATGCACCATACTTATCACTAATAAATTTATGTATTTCATAGCCTGGATGGTGTGCGTTAGGTGCGATATGCACACGGAACAAGGGTGTGATATCGGGATACTCACCAAGTTCTTTGGGGTTCTCTTGAACCATCTGGCGAGGAGTTAGCTGGCGGTAACGGCACGTATATGAGAATGCTCACCAAGTGCCCAGCCTCGAGACGAACGTTGGAACAATTAACAGGCCGACGCCAGACTTTAATCTCGGTCTGCCACTCTTCACTGCCGAAACTGAACAGCAGGCAAAGTCATGAGCCGTTGTTCGCGGCGATGATTCGACAAGACTGACACAGATGATCTGGTAGGCATGATCCACCGGAGTTCAATGCGCGGATCCAGGTGCTCCAGTAGTTCAAACACCTCGCGGGCAGTACGCTGTTCGTACAAGATACCTTCCTGATAGAGCGACACCACGTCATCGGCTAGCTGGTCCAGATAGACATCATTCTTGCCTGTTCTCCTGTCATCTTCAGTCTCACGCTTCCATCTGGATTCTCGATCATCCCACACTCTAAGTAGAGGTTCAAAACAGCAGGGTCCCATGCCGAGAAGAATGTTGACTCCTTCAACAATTTAGCGGCATTTTCCCGAGAAGGCCACGTTGCTCGACGGGATACCTTGATGGGATGACCACAAATCAGACGTGGTTGTGGCGGCGAGACGCAGGGTTTCGCTCACGGCAGCGTACACGACAGGATCAATGATCGCATCACCACCATATCTTGCAGCGATGGGAGGGTCAATGAGGATGAGGTCAGCAAAAATGGCAGGATAGGCCAGTGCAGCACGCGTTCTGTGAAGGTCGATTAGTAATCATATCCAGACACCTTAGATCTGACTGACATCGTGACGCCGCCGAAGGAATGACCGACACCAATTATTGTACGGCCGGGAATGCCTTGCACCTTGCGCTGCGATGCCTCAGTTTCATGGATTGGTGTAAGATGTACTGGGAGCTGGCCCGGATGGATTTCTGTCGGAAGATAATGCAGGAAGAAATTGAGTATATCACGAGAGTTGTCAGACCAGTCATCTATTGAAAGGCTGTCAATGTGCTGCTCAAAGCTCTATCGGTAGTGCCTCAAATTTGCAAATACTCACATAAACCGCCTAGATTCTCAGCGTTCAAAAGCGCGGAATCTCCATGTTGAACAGCCTCCCATGCCCAGATCTCGTCAACCTGGATGGCAGTTCTCCGGGGATCCTCAGCATAGTCTAAAACACATTGTATTGTGGGCTCCCATGTCTTGGAAATCGCTTTAGCTGGATCGTGATTTTCTTAGAAGCTAATGCTTCACCTCTTTGGGAAACCCATTTGCATGTGCGAGGAACAATGTTAAGCCCTTCGTGTGTCCGCGCAATGCGTTCCGATGAACGTATCTATTTGCGACAATCCAGAGAGGTCTGTCGTCTGTTTCCGAACCGAATTCCCCAGCTTCATATTTTCGACGGTTCGTCAGAACGAGCTCGACAGTCTCGCCAATGCGCGCCTGACGGTCCTCCTTCGATTCCCCTGGGAGCGCTTCGCGAGGACGTGGTAACTTGGGCGAGCTGCGCGGACTGACCGCCGGCACAATATGCGTTGACAGAGAATACTCAGACGCAAAGCTTGGTTGCCGCGGAGGAGACGGAAGAGGCGGCTTTGTCTGCGAACGGTGTGAAAGAATGGGCAGCAACTCGCGGGGCTTGATGTGTATCCAATCCTCGACGACTGTGGGCTTGGGATACGGGGACGCGGTCATGGCGTGAACAGGGCCAGTGGTACTGCTGTCGGTGTGGCCTATTCAGGTATTCAGCGTACACCTTCGGCTATTGCAAGTCGCCGTTGCAAGTAGTGCGTGATAAATCATACTTGCTCGCTTTGGAAGGAGTACTAAAACTTTTCAAGTATTCTCCTTGATTACATAAGACCCGAAGCCATTCAGAATACTGGTCAACAGGATCACGTACAGTGATTGAAGCAAACCGCAATCATGCATAAGAAGGCGATACGTAGTTCTTCCGTATGCTTGCAAGCCGGAAGGCAATCAAGGGTACCAGGTTCCATTTCCACATACCGACCGTCTGTGGGATAAAATCACACGCACTCCGCCCAGGTTCCCGTTATACAGCGACAGAGGTCCCCGTTTTTCCCCCTCGCGATTTGGCATCCGCCTTCATAGACTGCAGAAGAGATGCCGGGTCCGCTGAAACTGCTACAGGCGATGAAGAATGCTCAGTTCGGGCGGCCATCGACCATCTTCACGTCGCCGAAGAGGCAGATGTCGCGAACATGGAGTGATACTCCACCGGAACTGCTCATCCTCATCCTAGGATATTGGTACGAGGGTCTATATGACCTCGGTCACAGGCAGCTGGAGCGTCTTATGCTCGATTCCGAAAGAGAGGTCGTACGCACAGACGCTGTGATCACTCTCGAACTCAGGAGGCAGCAGCGGATACTGGCGTCAACGATTGCACTCTGCAGATCCTTGTACATGGCTGGCGTTGCGCTGCTCTACTCTCACCCTCGCCTAACGTCCGGGGCTGAGCTTGTCGCGTTTGCGCAGACCGTCATATCTTCCCCAGACCTCGCCAGCCATGTGCGCACCATATCTATTGCGCAGTACGGATCGAGGGATGCGGGTGAACCCGTGCTTCGCAAGCTGCGCACGATCCCCCCGGACATCGCCCACAACGTTCTGACGTCCATCGTCCGCGCCTGTCCCAACCTCGAAAAGCTGGATCTTGCGTGCAAGGGTGAACTGCAGCAATCCGTGTTCCAGTATCCCGTCCTTCATGCGATCCCTCCGGCGTCCCACCTCCGATGCTTGTCGCTCGCGGGACAGTGGACACCCATCTGGGAGTTGCTTTCGCCAAACGCGGACAACCAGCTCGCCGATGTAGAGGAGCTCGAGTGCAAGGTGATTCTGTTTTCCAAGCGCGACCACGCGGACGTCCTTCAAGTCTTCTCTGCGTGTCCTCCACCTTGTTGGACGATACGAATGGCGCGCCTTGACCATGCTCGCGCTACACGAGTTCATCGAGCTCCGGGAGCTGGCATACGGCGTCATCTCACCGTTCATCAACGTCGACTTCGACTTGACCACTATCCAATTTCCGCCTCGCTTTGAAAAGTTGATGATCGGGGAATGGGACCACTGGCTGTGCGCCTCGCATGCAGCAGACCTCCTCGTATGGGTGCGTTCGGAAGCATGTCCCATGTCCCTGAGAAACATCTATATCGCACATGGAGTCCAATCTGAGGAACTCCGAATGAGATTGTCCATGCTTGCCGCAAAGGCCGCCCGGAAAGGCGTCACTGTAACGTGGGCAATGGTCGGTGAGTTCACATCGTGTGTAAATGCTGTGAGATGTACTGGCGCTGACCCTGATGATAGCAACTGCTCGCGTGAAGATCAACGATCCGATGATACAGTTGAAGCTGCTGGGACGGCATCTGAGTGGTTGCCAATGATGTGCAAGATATTACTGATTATCACCATATTTTCGGCCCGCGTGCTATTGAGCAATTCGGTGACGGTTTTGAACCTAGATATAGCAAGGAAGGACTTCGCAGGCGATAGACAATGGAATTTGTACATGTACGATGGTGCTGCAGTCCGAGTGACGTGATACATAGAAGTTCGTTGTGAGTTGCTTGTTGATCACTGCGTTTCATCCCGAGGCACTTGCAAGGTGACCGCCATCGAAGCGTACCGTGCTCGTACATTTCTAGGCTGCGCCCAAGGTTTTCCTAAAGAGAGCCTGAGCGACGACTGAATCGCGGAAACCCATAATGACCTACGATGAGGTCTGATAGTAGACTTAGTAGGCGCTTCCGGGAAACAACAGACGTATTTCGATGGCTGAAATTTGACCGCGATGTCGCGATAGCGCTCGAAGGTTTCGCTGGTGTGGTCTTCATCCATGTCGATGACGTCGCCGAACGCCGCGTTCAGCGCCGTTGGACCTTGACCTTTCAACGGCGTCTCGTCCAATGGCGGGCGACTCTCCTCTCCGAAGGTATCTGTGAGAATGCCGTAGATAGCATCCATCGTCCTGCGCAATACGTAATGGTGAACATCGGGCAAAAAAGGTATCTCCGGAAGGGGGCGAAACCTCAGCTGTTCAGAACCGTTGTCTCCATTTGCCTGTGCACCACCAGGAATTAGATCATTCGCTCGCACAACATCTACGATGTCCCTCCAGCCGCGAGGGCCCGTGCGATGCTGAAGACTCTCTGGCGTTGGCAGCATGTAGGACGCGATCGAGGACAAGAGATCTGACAAAAAGTCGCTGTGAAGCAGGTTCCCAGTGATATAAGGCGGATACAGACCTTCCAGATACCGTTCTGCTTGTTCCGTCAGAAGTTCCACTTCTTTCGACCCTAGCAACTCCTCGTCATCCTCCATTCCATGGGCACGCAAAGCCTTGGACGCGATGACACGGACTTCGTCCGATAGACTCCATTGAGGTGCATATACGTCGTCAGGAAGGAGTGGCCAACGAGTCCAGATTTCGTTCTCCTTGGCCTTCTCTTTGCCCTTCTGTGTGCCCTCTGTGACGCCCGGAAACTCCGCAGGAGGTTCGTAGCTGCCCCGAGAACCATCAGGTTCAAGATCGTCGCGGCCATTATTCGGGAGCGGTGGCGCCTCTGTCGAATGTTTTCTTCGTGTATTGCTCGGGCTGGGTTCTAATGATTGTGTTTCCGTAGCGGACGGCTTTGGGCAAGTCAGATGCGAAGCTAGATCCAGTGCATTGCTCGTGTTCAGCGCGCGTAGTAATGAAGCGTATTCAGATAGCTCCGAATGTAACTCATGAGGCACTCTCTTGCGCTTCCCCATTGTAACGATTGCATAGGTAGCGATGTGGGTACCGTATGGGTCGGCGGTCAGGGTCAAGTAGAAAAAACGAGTTGGTGGCGCAGTGTCAGCTGTGCACGCGCCATCCCGTCTACCGTGATCGCGAGCGCATCCGCTCGATTACTCCTGCCCACTCAGACGTCACCCAATCGAGGTTGACCATGGCTGACGACAACATGGATGTCGATACTCCTGCAACCACCTCAGCACCGGTCAAGGCCAAGGCCAAGAAGGAAGATGGCGGGAGTGGCAAGCAACGGTTCGAGGTGAAGAAGGTAGGATAAGTCGTTCATCTACAACAGCCGTTGGTGGACCACGCATACATTACTGCGTGCTCCTGGCGTGACTGCTATACTCTTGTCCATCTGAACTTGTGCTGATCAACCGATCTTGGTTCGCAGTGGAATGCAGTGGCACTTTGGGCATGGGGTCAGTTCACTTGAGGACCTTCAAGCATACGGCATCGACTGATGCATACTTCTGTAGACATCGTCGTCGACAATTGTGCCATTTGCCGTAACCACATCATGGACCTTTGCATCGATTGCCAAGCGAATCAGGTCTCCGCGACTTCGGAAGAGTGCAACGCGGCGTGGGGCATCTGCAATGTGAATCCGCCTCTAGATACGCGCCATTGCTAGTTTCTGAAACATATGTGTAGCACGCCTTCCATTTCCATTGCATCTCGCGTTGGTTGAAGACGCGCAACGTTTGCCCGCTCGACAACCGCGAGTGGGAACTGCAGAAGTGAGTCATCCGTGTCATCGCGTTATCGTGGTCGACTGACACATCCCACTCCGTGCAGGTACGGCCGATGAGCCACTCACCCAACTGTCGCCATCGCCTTCATCCTTGTCGCAAGTTGTATCCTGTCTGTTCCGCGCTGCTGTAATATACGGATCGTGTTCTGATCTCGCAATCTCATAAAGTCGAAAAAGGAAGATTCCCATTATGAACACATCAGTAATAATACTCGATAGCAACGAAGTCCGATGTTATGGCTACACAAGGTCATGCACTGGAGGCGGTCGTTCTAAAATGATGCACGGATGAGGTCGTGAACTCCGCGAAAGGGGGGGTATCTATTTGTAGAGCTTCTGTTCGGCGAACTTCCACAGGTTGAGCGGGTTGTTGTACGTGTCCTTGGTGTAGGCGAAGCGAAGCTGGGCGTGCTCGTTCATGTAGGCGATAGGTGTCTTCTCGTCGAGCCAGCTCCAAGCTGTTCAGGCACGCGTTCATCAGTAAGCTGCATCAATTCTGACAAAGCTGAACGTGCACCCACCAGTTCGCCAGTTGACGCGCATGTTGCCGTTGACCAGGATCGGCGGGGGCGCGAGGGGGTCGTCTTGCAGGTTGGCGGTGATAATCTCCGAGTCAAGGTCGGGCCAGTCGAGCACCTGGTTGCCCGCCATGCCCTTGAACTGCATCTTGCGCCCGGGCTTGCCGCCGAAGATCGCGACGGAGGTGTTGTGCCTCTCGTACATGAGCGTGCTGAACATGGCGCAGGTCGAGGCGCAGTTGCCGTTACCGACGATCTTGACGTTCTCGAGGGCGAACGGAGGATCCTCGGGTAGGTCGACGTCGTAGGGCTCGCAGACGTCCTCGAAGCGCTGCGAGGTGGCGTCAGAGCGTCCGTTGATCGTCACCTTGACAGAGGGCTTGATGTAGTTGTAGTCCTCGGGTTGTGCGGTGCCGTTGAGGAAAGCCCCTGAATGAATATGAGTACATGCGCGTAAAAGTAGGATGAGAACGTACAGTCAACGGGGGAGTAGTTGGTGATGCCGGTGAGGTTCAACTTGATGTTGTTCGCGACGATCTTCTGCGCCAGCTTGCTCGCACGAGCCGTCGACTGGAAGCCTCCGTAGCCGAACTTGGAGCCAGCGAGGTACTGGTGCAGGAAGACACCAAGGCAGACGTATCCACCGCCGTTGTTGGTCAAGTCGATGATGAGGTTCTTGGCGCCAGCCTTCTTGATACCCTTGATCGCGTTGACGACGTCCGACTGGAAGCCGACGTAGTCGTCAGGCTCGAACGAACCGACGAACATGACACCCGTCTTGTTGCCCGGAAGGACGTAGGACTTGATCACACCCTCGGAACCGGCGGTGGAGCTGATGTTGGGCTGGTACTGGGGAGGGAGGGCAAGACCGTTGCTCGGGTGTTTGTCGATCACGTTCGCCTTGGCGCGCGGCCGGCTCACGGTGCTCTGGCGTTCACCGTCGCCCTCCGTAGCGTAGTTCTGGCCGTTAGTCGTGTTAGTGGCGACGCAGTTGTTCTCCCAGTAAGACGCCTTGTCGGTGAAGTTGGCGCCCAGGTAGTCAGCAACGAAGGGAACCCTATCGTACAGATACGTGTTAGCGGCGTCGTGAACGATTAACGCATAGGCGAACTGACCAGACGGTCTCCGACTTGGTAGAGTTGGCAGGGATAAGCTTCATCTTGATGCCGTCACGGTCCGCGAAGGAGGGTCCAGCACCATCTCCGAGACGCTGGCTGAACGCGTTTGACTGGATACGGTAGCTGGAGAAGACGCTGTTGACACGGATGCCATGATCGAGGTAGTTGCCGGAAACCTTGTTCGCGATCTCGTCGACATAATCGTACGCGCTCTTGCCCTCGATCTCAAGCACTTTGGCGCCTGCAATGCGCTTCCAGTCGAACTTGAGTTCGTCCAGGACGTCGGTATAGCCGGAGCCGAGCTGGGAGATGAACTCGACGGAGTCCGGGGCGACGTAGACATCCTGCTCGCCGTTCTCCTCCAATGACACCAAGGGCGCGGGGAGAATGGACTGGATGGTGAGGTAGCAGCTAGGGAACCAACCTGAGAGCGGTGCGGCATTAAGACCGTGGCCGTGATCGTTTATACGAGTTCGAGGCTTACCAGTGTGACCGTCGTTCAAAGACGTGGTGAAGTTGTACAGGTCCCGGTTGAAGTCGTAATCGGTCTGCGGGAGGGTCATTAAGAGCGCAAGGCACGAAGACGATTCGGGTATCTTACCTCGTACTTGGCCTTACTGATACGGTCGACTTCGCCCCGGATGTCGACCGTCGACTGCTGGAACGGCGCGGGGGACTCGTAGTAGTAGTCCTCGAACGTGAAGAAGTCGAAGACGCGCGCGACGTTGTCCATCACGTTCTTGCGCAGCGTCTCGTTGAACGCGAACGACTTGTGGCAGGCGAGTGCCTGAGAGGGGATCAAGAACTCCTTGCCGGCGATGGCCGCACAGGGGTCGTGGTGTTTTGCGGCTGCGTCGGACGGCACGGCGAGGGTGGACGCAGGGAGGCTCAAGGCCGCGAGGGCCGCGAGAGCAGCGAATGCGGCAGGCATCTCGTCCTTGGGGAGGAGGGAGGTGGGGCGGAACAGGGGAGGATGCGAGGAACTCGGGGAGCCTGAGCAACGAGAGAGGGGGCTTGGGCATTACTTATAGGAGCGCGGGGCGAGGGTCGATCGGATGGTTGGGATATGAGACCTCGTGCCAGAACGCTGAGGCCGGCGACTGTCGGTGCGATCGGTGATCGTCGCGTCGGTCGTGGCCATGACGCCGACGTCCAGCCAGAAGCCAGTGGCTGTGACCCCCGCGCTTCTCCAATCCAAGCACGCGTCGCACGCGTCGGGCAGGCCAAGAGCACGCGCATCTTCGCAACAGGATCATCGTCGCGTGATAGGAGCGATGCACATCGTACAGCCCATTCCGTTGTCTAGCTCTCTAAACTACGCGTTACGCATAACCAGGGGCAAATATCGATACACGTGAAAATATCGGCTCGTTCATCGTCAAACATGTCAAGCAGCAGCAGTCGTGCAAGCAACACCATCACGCACGCACATTATTATAACGATATCAATCGACTCCGAGCGTGCTACGAAGCAGCCGAAGCTGTCGCATTCGCCGCAGTTGGCCGCACGGTCGCATCGGTGCCTTCCACAAAGTGCCTCGCAGCTATCCGCGGCGTGGGCGGCGAGGACGAAGAAGCGGGCGAAGGTGTCTCGGGCTCCAGCTGCACGCCGCTCGCAGACGTGGGCGTGGACGGCGTCACCGATTCGAGCGCCGTCGCGTACGACACGTACGAGCTCGCGCGGGACTCGGCTCTCAACGGTTCCGTCGGCGGAGGCTTGAAGGACGAGGGCGGGACCACCGAAGGCATGACCGGCGTCACGGAAGCCGTCGATGGACCCGCGTCGGGGGAGGTGGTGGATGTCGTCGGCGCCGACTCCTCCGGAATAGGTTCCTCGGCGATGCCCGGAGGCGAAGCGTCTGCTGGTGAGCTATGGTCCGTCGACTCCGCTACGGGCAAGCTTTCAGTTGTGGAGCCGGACGCAGCGGAAGCACCGCTGCCTGTTCGCGCATGCGACGCCAGCGGCGAGGGCCCTGCGTTGTCCGTCGAAGCTCTCGTCACGCTCTCGAAATCGGGAGGCGGCACCAGATCCGCTCTTGACGTTGACGCCGCGAACGCGATGGCCTCCGCTCCATACGGGACTCCGAACCGGCCGAGCGATTCCCTGCTCGAAATGAGCCTGATCTGGTCAGGAGTGGGCCCCGATCTGGGGTAGACGATCTCCGTCCGCGTGAGTGTATGCGGCAGAGGGGCCGAAATTGAGTTGAGCGAGATGAGCGAGGGCGAGGTGAGGTTCAATCGCGAGGCCGAATGGGATTGATTTAGCGTGTTGTGCGAGCTCATGCGGGAGAGCGAGCGCAAGAACGAGGAGCCCCCGGACTGAGAGGGTCGGTGCGTAGGCCGGAACTGGGAATTTTCCGGCGTGGTGGCGGATGCTCTACCTCCCGCGGGAGACGTTTGGCTATCGGCGGAAGCGTTCGAAGCTCCACGAGCATGGCCGGACTGCGGAGTGGCAGCACTTTGCGCTCGTCCGAAAAAGGTGCGGAAGCCGGAACGCCGTGGGGCGTTATTGGACGAACGTTCGGGAGAAGCAGGAGGTGTATTGAGACTCGTGGTATTGGTAACCTCTGCCGTTGGGGGACTTGATTCGTAGGGTGGAGCGTCGCCCCTTGGATCAGGGAGGTCATGACTGTCGTCCGTGCCAGGGACTGTGTCGAGGCTTGGGCGAACAGGGCTCGTAGCGGTGGGTGGAAGGAGTTGCGCGGTGGATAAATCAGGGTCGTTATTTTCGTTCTCGTGCTCATTCTCGTTAAGCAGCAGCGGTTCGTCAATCGGGCTGTCCTGTATTCTGTCGTAAGTAGGCCGCGGGCTGCCAAGGTCGGCGGAGCCGCGAGGGCTGTCCGTTTCTGGTACGGAGGCCATGACCACCGTCAGCTGCGCGGTCGTCACATTCTCGTCATCCGTCTCCTCCGGACCTCTGTGTTTGTTCAGAAGGGGTGAGTGGAAGGACAGCAAGCAGGTTCAATATTGCACTTGCCTGTACACGACGAGCTCCTGCTCCTGCGGCTCCTTGTTGTACGCAGGAAGAGACTTGGTCGACATTTGGCTCGGAGTGCGCCTGTTGCGTCGCGGCCGCCTCTGTGTCTGCGCGGCCGTCGCAGTAGTGGCCGCTGCGCCCGGCCGCCCCGCAAGCTGCTCGGCGGTCACCTCCGCGGTGACGCCGCCCGTCGTCTGCACGACATTCCGTCGCGTGCCGGACGAGCTTGCGCGAAATCTTCGGTAGATAAGGGCGCCCGCGATGGCCACGAGCACGAGCACGACGACCAGCACGGGTACCTGCGAATGCGCCCACGATAAGACGGAGTGAGAAATGATCGGCACGTCATGTCAGCGGCGCACACTCACCCAAGTGCTCGTCCCAACACCATCATGAGTCGCCCTCCTCAGTTTGGAGGGAGCCGCAAGCGCCGGGGCAGGAAGCCATAGCAATGACAGCATCCGCGATCCGGGCAGTGACGCTCGCAGTAGCCTGAGCGGACCTGAGCGCTCGGTGCAGTGGGCCATGAGGAGTAGAGAACCGAATGAGAGGTCGGATGGTCAGGATGAGGGGATATCGCAAAATGGCCCGGGATGCATACGAGCGCCGCACACGGGTCGTTTGTGGAGACGGTCAGAGCAATTCGTGTTCGTGCTTGCGCAAGGGCCGACCCCGTCCAGGCCGAGCCCCGGGGGCGGTGCTGCTCTTAGGGGCCTTGCCATAACAGGCCTCTCGGGAGGATGTTGGGCGGCGTCGAGCCGGGAAGACGAGAAAGCGGCGATAAAATGGGAGCGCAAGGGGACGTGCACGGACAGGAAGCGCAGATAAGAGGGCAAGGCCCGACACGAATGTCATCTAGTGTGATCACTCCCGTATCATAGTCCAACGTCATCTCACCAGAGCGTGCCTGATGCAGCGACCACGGGCATCCGCGTGCAACTCGGACAGTATCTATCATGAACACACCCCATGAGCTCGAGGACCAGCTGCGGATGCGTTTCAGTCACAACAGTCTAGATACAGATTGGATACTAGTCACAGCTCCATCCATCACTGTATCTTCTCCCCGAGGATATCTTCCGCGTTCGTCTCACAGAACCTCCAGAACTGATCGCCAAGAGCCTCATCCTGCGCCTGCGAGCTTTCCGTTCCCGGTTTCCCGTAGGGCTCCTGATAATAGTTGCCCTGATATTCGTGCATGTTCTGCGCGTTGATCTCGCTGCAAGTCGTCGCCCACAGGCAAGGCTCCGCACCTTCCTCGGCCGACTTGCCCACCATGCGCGTCAAGCTGTTGGCCAAATCCCCGAGCTTACCGTAGCTCTCCGACCACGCCTCCTGCATGTCCGTGTCCACGGTGCCGGGGTGAACGGACGTCACGAGGATCTTGTCGTCAAGTAGGTGGCGCTTCACCAGCTGATGCGCGAAGAGGATCAGGCCAAGCTTGGAGCGCCCGTAGCCGCGAATGCCGTCGATGGGCTCGTTGATCTCTTCTTTGGAGGCAAACTGCGCGGTCGGGGAGGCGCGGTGCAATTCCGACGACTGCATGCAGATGCGGACACTCGCGGGCGGTAGAGATGCCGCCGTCTTGCGAAGGAGCGGGAGAAGGCGCAGCGTGAGCACCCAGTGTGCCAGATTGTTAATCTGGATCAGTGACGGTCAGCATCATCAGGTAATACTCAGTACGAGTCATGCCCTTACAGCATAGTGATTCTCCAAACCGTCCTTGGTCAACGCAAACGGAGCTTGTCCGATACCGCCATTGTCGATCAAGATGCCAAGACGGTCCTGCTCGCTCGCTATCTTCTTGGCGACGCGGTCGACTTGCTTCAGATCGCCGAACTCGCACTGGTGATACTCCACCCCTCCTCCGGACGCGCCGGCCTCCCTGTTGAGCTCTTCCTCCGCCTTGCGGCCGTGCTCGGGATTCGCGGAAACGATGAGGACGCGTGCGCCGGCGCGGGCCAGCGCGAGCGCCGCATAATAGCCGATGCCAGCGCTGCCGCCCGTGACGAGCGCGGTGCGTCCGGTGAGGGCGGGTATTTGGGATGGACGGAAGCGTGTGGTGAGGAGCGTCGCGGGGTTGAGGGTGTCTAGTCCTAAAGGCATGGTGATGGTCGAGTGAGCGGGTCGTCGACCAGCGTGTTCGCATTATAAAGGTGCTGCTGGACGGGACGGGAGGGGATCGGCGATATGACGATGCGAGTGCTTGGTTGACGTGACGGACGCCGTTCCATAACAAGTATGTCGTTCGCCAAATCGAGCATCTCCCTACTCCCACCTCGGCGGCACACGAGTGGCACTCCGGCATCTGGTTACACGGGTCATATCATTATTGATTCGCTAATGTCAGGCTACAACAAGCGACAGCATATCAGCCGTCGGTAAAGGGTCAAAACGCGGAACGTCATGCAGTACCTCCAGTCATCACCTCAAACAAGCCTTCTCCTGGCCGTTTGGACAACCGCTCGCTCCAGAACCGCATGATGGGTTCCCATTCCTCTCGAGAACGCGGCATCCCCTCTTGGCCTCTCTTCACCACCTCGGTCAAGGTCGCGAACCCCTTCTTGAACGCTGCCGTAACTTTGGCATCCGCCGATCGAGCGAACAGAAGGACGTGTGTCGGACAAGGAGACGAGGGGGTTGGGTATGAAAGTAAGGGCCCGGAAATAGTCACCACCGACCCCAGAAACGCCCGACGAGCGAGGGACACCTCTTTCCCCGAGCTAGACAGCTCATTGAGCCACCATCTCAGGGCGACTTCCGCGGCGACACTGCCCCCTTGTGCGAACCCTAGGAGGTGAATTTTGTCCGTCCTCCAGTGACATTCCTCCGTAAGGTATCGAAGCACCTTGGTGAGCAATTCCAGCGCTCGTGTCGGATCCGGGTTGGGGATGATATCGCCGAGAGGGTCAAATGACGTGTACCACTGAAAGGCTCGTTCCTCGAGAAAGGGAATCCTGAAGGAGGCGATCAGCGAATTTCGGCCCTTCGCAGGACCCGACTCACTGCTGAGGCGCCCTCAAAGCGAGCACGGCGGTCTGCGGCAGACGCAGCTGTCGTCCAAGGCTGGCGAAGGGCTCGTGACTGTCACCTGTAAATGCATGAGCCGCGTGCATCTATGAGAACGTTCAGCGAGCGGCACACCAAGCCCGTGAAGCAACACCAACAGGTTCTCATCCGTGCCATCGTCACTGGGGAAGTACGCGAACGGCACGGGAATACTATGCGGCTGAGGCGGAGGTTTGACTCTTGGTTCGTTTAGACTATAGTCGTCCTTGACATGCATGGCATTCGACATCGTAAGATCGTAGAGCTCGGGGAATGTGTGGTACTACGCAAACTAGAGGACTGACAGACTGCAGAGGCTCAGATTGAGACTAAGGTGATATCTATCATGACGTGATCATCACGTGCATCTCGAGCTGAACCGGCTTTTGTTGCCGATCAAACCTCGTCTTTCTTCCGCCGCCGCGTAAGAAATGGCACATTCTCAATTGCAAAGCCTTCGTTGCCGATTGCAAGAGGCGTTGAATCAGATCACAGCTTATCGTCCGTCCGTTAACGAACCTCCCGTCATCGATTCTGCGAGTCAAAGTAGCGGGACAGGTCGAGCAGACAGCGCACACAGCATATCGGGTCTACGGCTTCTCCGGGATGAGGTCAAACGTGATCTCTACGCATTGGACCAGGCGAGTTCTGGACGAATAGATCGCTGTCCTACCAGATAATCGCAACCGTTGAAATCACCAGTCTGACAATGTATGTAAATAGTTTCTGGCTCGTCCTGGATGCGACAGCTTACCTGCGCCATCGACGAACGCGCCTTACCTATTAGCGGTATGGAAGGCGTTGCTTAGCGCACCTCCCCCGATCACATACGTATGGAGGCATTTTCCAATATCCCTCGACAGTAAAGGGGCGACCTCTTCTCGTAGAAATGCCCGCACCCGCGACCCGGGCGTCAAAGTCGACATTGTCGCAGACGACGGGAGGCAGTGGATACGCGTAAACACGTAAGTCAACGACGTATCTTTCTGCACAGACAAAGTGATGAAACGCGCTGCTCCTCCAAGAATAAAAAATTCGCGAATACTAGCCGAACTGCGTGAAATGGACTCGTATTCAACGGGATCTGACTCCGACTCCGAAATCGACGACATACCTTCTTCCCGGGTCGTCGATGCAGGTGGTAATGAAGGGAATTCGCTCCTGCGCATGGGTCGCTCGCTACTGGATGCCGCTCTGGTAAATCCTGTGAACTACTCTGACTGTTCCGTGACACCCACCGTGACTATGCTCCTCCCTCGGCTGGACCTCTCAAATGCATGCGATTTCGACCCACGAATACAGGAAACTGTAGTTTTGCTCCGCAAGTGGGGCATTGATACACGCACGGGAGAAGAGGCCATAAGCCTCGATGAAAATCTGCATGAACGATTCGCCTCGCATGGTCCAAGCACACGGGAACTTCGAATCACCACAAGGATCAATCTTGATCTCTCAATGCTCATCGCTCTGGTCTCCGATCTCACACATTCACCCTTGCCATCAAATGAAGATGAGGCTAGGCAACGCTTCGTACCCTCAGAGAGCTACCGACTCTGGAAAAATGGTCGCATAGCTTCAGGATATCGTACCGGAGCTCAAGATGACGGTTCCGATATCAAATATTCCCGGGCTCTTACAACTCAAGTCATACAAGAGATGCGCAGCAGTCTTCTTCTAGATATTCACGACAGGTTACAATCCGCATCTCCTGGCGCGATCCGATACGAAGGGGCAGTCACGGATCAGCCTGTTCAGCACTCGACATTGAGTGATGTAGAGTTCTGGACAACCCCTGATGCGCGCGACCGTTGCTTCCGCATCGTCGAGAAGATCGGAGGACCTCATGAGAAGCGACGGTTCTCAGCTCTCTTCCCAGATTGTAGCGGAATGTGCCTGACTGAACTTCAGGCGCAGACAATGTACTGGAAAAGCTCACGCTTCGGCGCAATGTTTCTGCCCTTCGCTCCGATCCATGTTTTCCCTGACAGCATTCCCACTTCCCAAGAGTTGCCCGATGAAACGGATAACACGGATCCGTTCTTCGCCGTGCTCAAACAAACCTGCTCTATGATTCTTTCTTCAGGCACCATACCCGGCGCGAGAACACCCAACGAGAGTGCCTCTACATCAAGCACTTCAGCCCCTGGATTAAATGACGAAATCGAGCCTGCTGCAGTGACTATTATGGACCCCAAGCTCACCGTGCATACCGTGCAAAGTATGCTGTGGGGGGCTTCTCGAGGATGGACGACTATGACGGCCAACAGGGGCAGTGTCAAAGCGGTTCTGAAGCACATGCAAAGAATGGCAACTCTCGACGCTTCGCTGAGAATGACGAAGGCGGCGCAAACGACCCTAGCGGCGGTCTGGACCGTGGAACCGCGAAGTTTGGCGGAAGCAATGCGTTTCGACTTCCAGGAATGAAAGTGAGCTGGGATCGTGTCGATCTCTTCGCAACAGCGTCCTTATCTTGATATGGAGGCGTCGGAATATTCGATGTCGGCGCTGTCCGGCGGTCTCATCGTACCTTAGCCGTCGGTCATGGTATGAACATTTCAAGTTTCTGCACCTTCGCTTCGCCTGAAACAGAGGGTGGAAATGCGCAGATCATCCATCCTCTTAACCTGACACCAGGCCTCGGATGACCATGCTACCTGATTCTTATGCGTTCAAGGCGTGTCTCACATGTTACTTCGGACACCAACGTGCAGCAATGGCATGGAGGTAGCCAGCTTCCCTCACCATGGAGCAATATCAGCGCACATGAGAAGTAGAATAGCAATCGAGTAGTAGTAACGTGCTGTGGTGCTTTTACTAACGTGTAGCATGTCCAAATTGCTATCGGGCCGAGCGCTGCCGCGTTGCTGTGTCCCTTCAGACGATCTTGAAGCTTGGTGGTCCGATCGCGCCGTTGGGTGTTAGTATGCGCCACGATGCTGGTGTTTGTACCAACGATGGTCCTACCTAATCTCCAGATCCGTGTCTCTCGGGCCATCGGCAACAGAATAATTCTGGTTTCACGTTGTCAAACGTCTTCTCGAACCCGACCGAGGCGGTCTGCTTGCGAAGTATGACGGTGCCAACATCCCGGTCGACGGTAAGTCCATCAAGATGTTGTGTAGTATACAGTGAAAATCGCCGACGCATACAAGTACTGTTAGCTGGCACTTTGCCCCAACAAGGGAAGTACAACGAATGCCGTGTAGTGCGTAGTTTACAAATGCGTAATCATACGAGATTACATACGAGTGTATCACCGTCCATTAAACGTCCCCGAAGAGTCAAGAAGAAATGTAGGATGTCAGTCGCCGGTGGTGAAATCAACCTGCGCAGACGCGCCGACAATGTTAACGCTGACGCGTCGCGCATGTCCGCGGTAAGCCCGATCCGGCAAGCGGTACATCTCAGGCTCTGAAATAGAGACGCGCCGCTGGTGTGAACGAGGACCGCGCAGGGCAGGCGTAACGCCAGCTGATACAGCATCGCCTACTGTGTTGGAGACGCAGCCTGCGGCGCCAGTCTTCTCGCGCCTGCCGGGTGATTCGGCAATGGCGCTCACGCTGAACGGCGATGGACTGCCATCGATGGACTTGGGAGAAGGCGGCGGCGCAGCTGGAAATCTTGATCCAAGTTCCTCTTCGTCCGCTGAGGTCGGCGTTTCAACGCTCTGAGTCGGAACTGCAACCGGCGAAACAGAACGCGGAGAGTATGCCTGAGAGGCGCCGGACCTTCCAGCAAGCATGTCGAGTGCAGGGCCCATGGAGAACGTGCGCGGGATGTGAGCCGCTGACATTGCGGGACTATCAGATGGCAGGATCTGGTATGACGGGGTCGACGGCTGGCCCACGGACACGGGGAATTGGTACGACGGGCTGCTGCGTACGACCTCCGGTTCGTCAGGGTGTCTGAATGGGCAGTGCCCGCCACGACTGCGAGGACAATTCGGAAACTTCAAACACGGCGTATACTCAATGTCTATGATCAAGGTCTGAGTCACGGTCCACTGCCGAACGGAAGAGAATGCACGCACAAGGAGCGATATCCTCAGGATGGTAGTATTGGCAGTTCTCGTAACGGCAGTTCCCCTGAACAAAAGCCCAACAGTGGGATCGCTTGGTTCCAATCCGCGTTCCCCCGCCCAATGCTCCGCGGCGCACATAGTTAGCCTCCGCTGAGTTGTCGTTTCTTTCCGTGGGCTGTGGGTTCGTAACCTCGGCTGAGCGAGAGTTGGGAGATGATAAAGGAAAGGATAAGTTATGGATACTGCAGGTGAGAGTAAGCACAAGAGAGACAAAAAGAGTTACAATATCTAGAGCGCCCACGCACTATTTGCACTTGTCGCCTAAGGGACACCAGCCGTTGTTCTTGACGAAGTGTCTGCAAGGCATTGTCTTGTACGATATGTTGTGCCAATGTACCTGTTCCCGAGGGTGGTTCATCACCTGAACACGTGGGTGAAGAGACTGCCTCCCTAACCAGGGAGGGCGACCTAAGTTGGGGAGGCCTGAACGAGAAGCTGTCGATGGGTCATGCAATGAGGGTCGCCCTACAGGCGCAAACGCCTCAGCCGAACAATGATACGCTGGCATGGGGATGGTTGGTGTATTATAGTTATAACCATAATAGGCAGGGGTCGCGAGATGAGTCGTCATTAGGTGGTCTGTCCGTGGGGGTATAGGGACAGCTCCACGGGTATAGTCGGCTATTGGCCACGCTAGAGGAAGTCCGGGATACATGGAGCGAGGGAGTTGATGGGAGGTTGAGTAGGAGGTCAGCCAAGGCGAAGGACCATATGCTGACGAAGGAGAATGTGGCAGCAATTGCGTCTCTCCCTGATAGCCATACTCAGGTGAAGGTCCGACTGCCCCGACTGGCTGAGGCCGCGTGGTGTAGACAGATCCTATAGAGGTTGAGATTTAACGAAGCGACGGTATGTTGCGGGGCTTACCCCAGTGGTCAGGATCCATCGTCCAATTCCGTTGGCGAGGCGAAGGCAGGTCGATTAATGCTCGCCGTTGCTGCGAGCGTGACCAACGATCTGTGCTTCGGGGTCAGAAAGGGACGGAGAAGACGCAGCTTCACCGTGGCTTTAAACCTATGCAGCTCAGTGAAGTCGAAGAAACCAGCAACACTGAAGGCAAGCGGTGTAATAGAGAGCCATTGGCACGTGTATCTCACGCGAGTTCAATTCCTGCTCCAAGCACCGGACTTGCGATTCGTGCACAGCAATCGCCGGGACAGAAAAAACTGTAGCGCCGGGTCCATTAGGCACGGAAGTATTAGGGAGGAGTTGCCTTGCATGGGCGACTACAGCGCCATAGACGTCCTCGATTTTGACCAAGGTTTCGATACTATCGCCGTCTGGTAGGCGATGAGGGTAGAGGGCAAGTTCAAGACATGGGTGAGAGACCTCCTTACACATGTAGAGGCACTGGTGGGGATGACATATGTGCACAGCAAGTCTTTGCAACGCGGACATAGCGAGGACGGAACGCAAGGCAAATGCGTGGCGATTACGTGATCGTCAATCTTAAAGTATGAATGTCAATAATGCGGCGTACAGGAAGCTATTTCCAAGGCACTGTAGAGAGCACACACTTGGATGTCCGCAAAAATCTCTGCGCGAAAACATAGTACCCCATAGTCCAAAGAACTTCGGCGAAGTGGAGTAGCGGTCGGAGGTGACATCGGAAATAACCAGCCGGCGACAAGCGCAGACGCCACGAGGCAGCCACGATGGTCCTCAGATTCGTCACAGCGCTTGCGAATTGGCTGGTCGAGGAAGCTCCTACCTCAGTTCGGCCAGGCTGAACTTGCAGGGATACATAGCTCTCCGGCACGCGCTAGGAGCGGGCAATGCTACCCGTCAGCCAAGCGGGATAACCCAAGCTGTTCCGGCTACCCTGCTCCAGACACGTACTGGGCCTGGTAGGAGCGTACAACGGATGAAGAAGTGGTGCAATGCTTGTTGAGCACCGAATGACCTCCAACCAAGTCGACCGTACAAATGCGTTGAGACGGTGGTGATTAGGCGCTGATTTGTGTCGTTGCCAAAATCGTTCGCAAGGACATTCATGAACGGTGGGAAAGTAATGCGTCCTCATCGTTTCACTTCGAACGCCAGTGATTGTCGAAAATAGGCGGTCCAGGTCGAAGGCCCAAGCAAGCAGGAGATGCGCACGTGATGCGTTGCAAGTGGAACGGCTCCCATCCTTACTTGGCTCATGAACGTTACTTGTTGAGAACTTCAAATCCAAAGAAATCTAGCGAATCTAGCGACAACCAGTTGGCAGTATAAGTAGCGCGAAATATTGAGGCTGCCAGCTAAGCATTGGAACACCCGAAATCACGCGCGGACTCATGGTTTCGTGCAAATCCTTGCAAATCCTCGCCAAGCTCGGAATTCACCATCAACGTTGAATGCGCACACACAGTACTTACTTGCCGAGCGCACTCACTAGCGTAGATAGTTAATCATTGGCACACGACATGAGGTGGGTAAGGTCAGAATCGAACTCATACCATCCATCCTAGGCCATATATGTGCAGAGAAATCATCGATTGATATCCGCATACTCAGGCTGCGTGGAACTTGCCCTTACCCGCGTGGCGCGCTCCCAGGAAGCGCACCTGTACAACGCAGCTGAGGCATCGCGTAGATGTCTTCTAGACTGACTAAGAATAGGAAAATAGGAAAGAATCAAAGATGAGGTCGCTCGACGTTCTGCGCATCGCGGAACATGTTACGTATGTTGTACCGAAACACTCGCCCAGCGTGTGCGCACTTACACCACGTTTAGTTGATGACAAGATCTCTAGGAATATGAGAATAGTGCTGCCACGAGGTCATCTGAAAAGCTGGCTGTGCAAGCTAGAGCAGCAAGCCATCGGCGTCCATATCTGGATCGGACCCGCGTAACTCGGCATGGACATGGCGGCAAATGATGTTATATCGATTTCATCTTGTACCTTACGAGGGGAAGTTAACGCCTTGCGCCAGCGGAGCAGCATCAGAGAAATTAATGGTGCATGCGCTCCAGCGCATGTATTGCTTCCAAGCGTCACCACCCGACTCTCGTCCCCTAGAAGGATCAACAATGAGTCATGATTAGACAAGCGACAACGGTAGCGGCTCACCATCCAGTGCTCTACGCGCCGTAACAACAGGGCGTCAGCACTACTCCTAATCGATGTAACGAAGTGAGTACGGTACCTTATTCCCTCCAAATGCGGCGCCAATTTCAGCGCCGCTGGTTCCGACGTTGACCTGTACGTCTTTAATCGTTTCGATCCGTTATTATAATATCTTGACTCACATTAACTATCCCTGTGTCAGAGCCTGCGGGCCCGATCCACTTACCAACATTCCGCAAATCTCTGGTCCAGAGGCTGGCGGACAAACCCTGAGGCACGGCGTTGTTCCACTCAATGGCTTTCTCCAGTTCGTCAAAGACGGCAACAGAAAGCACTGGTGCAAAGGTCTCCGTGCTCCAGATAGGGTCCGCGGTGTCCGTTGACTTGGGGATAGCTATCGTGGGCTGTACGAAATTTCCCTGGTCGAGAGGTGATCGAGAATACCTCTCGCCGCCCGCAAGGATTTCAGCCCCTGATTTCCGCAAGTGTTCCACGGCATTCAGGTAAATACCAACGGCTGCCTGAGTATGCAAGGGCCCGAGAAGGGTGTCCTTGACGAGGGGATCTCCGGCCGGCACGGAAGAGTAGAGTTTCTGCAAGCGAGCTAAGAACTCGTCCGCAATGTCACGATGGAGATAAAGTCTTCTGGTGGATGTGCATCGCTGTCCCGCAGTGCCTACTGCACCAAAGAAGACAGCGGGTATGGCGAGCGACAAATCAGCATCTGGCATGATCACAGAAGCTGTGAAATTGTCAGGAAGCTATCATCGTTGTACCTGGCATCACAAACCATTGTTTCCTCCAAGCTCTAACAAAACTTTACCGAACCGAGACTGAACCACCTTCCCCACAGCACGTCCGACGGCTTCGCTTCCGGTAAATGACACTGCACAATAGTCATTGAGCACAAAGTCATGAAAAGATAGTGCGACAAACCCATGTCGACGCTCTTGTCCTGCACTACGGCCTCCCCGATATCTTTGCCACCGGTGACGAGACTGGCCACCGCGCCATTGACCCCATTCTTCTCCAGAACGGATGCGATGATTTTGGTTACAGCGATCGAGCACAACGGCGTGCCTGATAATTTCTTAGGAGTGTCAGATCCTCCCATCGGGATGTGAGTACGCACTAGGTGACGGCTTCCACAACGTGGCATTGCCCGCGGCCAACGAAAGAGCCAAATTCCTACAGGAACGTCAGAAACATACGAGCTGCTTCATCAGGCAGAATAAACGGCACCATCCGTAGACAGCCACAGGAAAGTTGAAAGCAGACAGGACCGCTACAACACCAAGAGGGTTCGGCACTAAGGGGCGTCGTTGAGCGCAACAGCAGGTGCGACGTTGTGTTATTCTCACCTTCTAGGATGGTATGCCCCGGACGTTCGGATGCTACAACTCTGCCATTCATCATGCGGGAGAGGCCAACAGCGTAGTCACACTTTTGCCATCAAGACTTTGACGTGCAGTCTCGAAGAACGCCGACCTACGATGTCGATGAACTCCTGCACCTCTCCTACACCTTCCGTTAGGATTTTGCCCATCTCCAACGAGACAAGAGCGCCGAGCTCGTCCCGCTATGTAGATAGTTAGTCACCATTTGCGGCACATGATGATGCTCAGTAGCAAAGTCACCTTCGCAGCCAGTGCCTCTCGTATCTGTCTCAATATTTCGCCCCGACGAGGGGCTGGTACGTGTCGAAAGTCCTGGTAGGCATCTCTGGCCTTTGCAAGAGTAGCATGGAGCTCGTCCGGGGTAGCCTGTAGTAAGTCTCATGTTCAGTCTGTCGCGCTAACTGGGGTAGGCATTTGCGACTACTGACTGACTGCACGCGCGCAAGCACTTCACCAGTTGTTGGGCACCTGCTCTCGAACACCTCGCCCGTTCCCCGCCATTCACCATCGTAGACACCGGCTAGTTCCCCAGAGCCAGGGATATTCACAGCCGACAGGATGGCGGATGCTCTACTGGAGAGCAAACGCGTCGAACGGGCGTTGAGGAATATACCCCGCCTGCAAGCCCTTGTCAAGCTCATGGTAGCTGATGAAGTTGGGTTGAGCGTGCGCTTGGTCGCGCCTTCATTTTGGATTGCCGTCGGATCGGACCTCGGCTGTCATGCATATGCCAATGGTTGCTGCGCAGGTGCGCGCTCAACGCGACACCAAGTCCTCCGTTCCACGTGGTACCTCAGGGAGACTCAAGCAAACCCGATCCATTCACATGCTCAGGATGAGGAACGGTACAATTCGTATGCAGATGCCCCATGCGATTGAAGAAAAATACAATATGCAGATGGAACAGTCCCGACAGCAGGAAAAACAAAGGAACGAGAGCGTGAAGAGCGGATAAGCTGAATTAATTGAGATAACCACGGCATTTCGCAGAACCGCATAGGCAAGGTATCTTGTCCTGCTCGATAGGAAAGTGATAATCTGTTTACGTGCATGAATCAGTCTGTCTGTTGGAGTAGCGGAGGGCAACCCACCATAGGTGATCTCGTCGCCAAGTTCGATGTCCTGCTTGGCGTAGATGACAATCTTCTTCTCCCCATTAATCGTTATGATCTTTGCGGTGCAGTTGGGATCGCATGAATGATTGATCAGACGGCTATAGTATTTCGTTAGCCATTGCTGAGGCCAGGTAACAGAACTAGAGGCGGCTACGCACCCAAGATTGCCCTTCTTCGTCGCATCCACCACCAAATCTTCGTCTATACGGAAGAGGTAGCTGCTCCCGATCCCCTGCCGTTCATAGGCTTTCTCGCGTTTGTCTGCGACCTGCGCGCGGATGACCTCGCCGACGTACTCGATGACCATCTCGCCCCTCGCAATTCGCTCCATAGCATACAGACCCCAATCGTGGATGGGTGAACGTGCAAACCGGAGATGCTTCTTGCGTGTCTGAAGCTGATTGAACTTAATGGTGAGTTCGGCGGCAGTGGTCTCGCCTTTGGACAGCGCCATAGCTCGTTGTACTTGGTTGATCTCCTCCAAGCCTTGTGCTCGCCGTCGAGCGTTGGCGCGGTTTGATCGCGAGGAAACAACATGCTGAGGCTGAGGCGCCTCTTCGACGGCATCGGCGTCCGACGCCGACTGACGCGAAGCATACTGGGTGACATAGGCCGTTTTCTCCGCGTGCGAGATCTTGTAGTATCCTTCCGTCCGAGCGGACCCGGTGAGATGGACGTGGAAGGGGGGCGGTGCATCAGGGTCCGATGGCGGTGGAGCATCAGTCGAAGGCGGAAGCTCTCCGTATTGCTCCAGCGCCAACGCCATGCGCGCAAAGAAAAGGTCCTCATCGTCGGCGCACACATCGGACAGGCGCACTTCCATTGATGGAGCCTTCGGTTGGCTTGCATGTGCAGGCAGAGGTAAGACCGGTGCCGGAGTAAGCGAACCAGAACGCGAGCTGAGGGATGTGAGAGAAGGGCTAGGCGAGACGCGTATCTCTGCAACAGCTGCCAATGGAGGCTCACGCTCCGGCACAACGGTGTCGATAATGGGCTCGTCAACTGCTGGCATGTCTTGACCCTTCTTCGCCTTGCTCTTCTTCGCGACCTTCTTTCTGGCGCCATTGCCGTTGACGAGAGGCTGTTGTACTACGTCGGGAACGACTTTCTGCTTCTTCTTGACAGGCAGATCCGCAGGTTCTTCACTGGGCGTGCGCTTACGCGTAGTCACGGAAGCACGGTCTTCAGGCATATCGTCCTCTGACTCGAGTTCGTCCTCAAGGACTTTCCTGGACACGATCTTCCGCTTCTTCTTCGGCCTCGGCAGCGAAGCTTCCTCTTCACCGGCTTTCGGGCCCTCAACAACTACCGGTGTCTCGACGACCACCGGCCTTCTCTTCTCCTTCTTCCTGAACGTCAGACCCTTGAGACCTTTCTTCTCGCCCCCTTCTTCCGCCTTCTTCTGCCGCGTGTCTACCACCTCCTGTAGTTTCCGACTCACCACCTTCTCCATAAAGTCCTTTTTCAACGACAGCTTGAGCTCGGCGAGGATGACTGCCTTAGCCTGCTCCACCAGTTCGTCGTCTCTCCAGTGCGACTTGCAGGCTAACGAACGCGAGGGAGCCGAATGCACCGAAACGCTCACAGTTCTGTGGGCCAGCATTCGCGCGCCGGAGTTGAGGACCTTCTCCGCGCGTCTTGCCGCATCCTTCGTGTTGAACGTCACGTACCACCCTTGATAGTCCTGAAGAACCTAAAACGTATATTAGACCCTCATCTCGAAACTTCTCGCAGAAACGGACACACCTTCTCAACGTCGAACCCAGACAGAAAAGCCTTCACGTCGTCCTCCCTGACACCCGACATGGAGCCGCTTCCGTCAATTTTCACGTACTCCCACCCATTCCTTGCTAACTCATCCAACACTGCCTCCTTCTCTCTATCTCTGGCATTCCTCGCGATGGTACCTGGTCGCCGTGTTACAGGAGAGACAGGCGAACGCGATCTTGACCATGATCTCCGGCGCCGAGAAAACGAATATGACCGTGAAGATGACCGTGACAGCGAGCGCGAGCGAGAACGGGACTCGTCTCGCCAGCTGTAGTACCGAGGCCGGTGATTTGTATACCTTGACCGACCGCGGTCATAATCATGATGGTTGTCACGACCTCTATCCCGTCCACGGGCGTAGTCGCGACTCCGATCGCGTTCCCGGTCAGGTTGCTTTTCTCGCCCTTTTTCAGGATACCGGTCATGTTCAGAGTCGGAAGCAGATCCGGACACTCGAGCGCGGACCATAGCAGAAGGTGGTCGTCGCATCGAGCTCGAGGGCGCCGGGTCGACGGAACTGACGGGCTTGGCCGGTAAACCCGGAGGGAGTGGCCTTAGTGAAGGTGTGCCGGAGGTTGAATGGCTGGTGGAAGGATATATCGCGACGGGCGTGGTAGATGCGCCATGAAGAGGGGTAGCCGGACCGCCTACTTGACGAACCAGTTGCGGTATGAAGTTAGGACGTTGGGGAAGCGACGCATGTGCGAGCGATGTCCCGGGTTTCCTCGTCGCCGCAGGATTGGCTGTAGCGCTTTGGGGTAGCGGCGTCCTGCTTACGGAAGTACTTGATCCTGCAGCCGCGGGCGTCGCACTCGCACTCCCGGTGGATGTTCTCTGATCGGCAGCCTGAGCCTGGCTCGCCTTCCTGCGTTCCCCCTCTTCCCTCTTCAACCTTTCTTTCGCCTCAATCTCCCTCAACACAGCCCTCAACTTCCTCCCTCCAGCGTCCAGAACGATTCGCATAGGCTCTTTTTCGGATATCGGCACGCCTGTGACAGTCCCTTGCCCAAGCATCTTGCCATCTTCCTTCGCCACGCACGCTTTGGCTTCCTCGTGCGTCTTGAATGTTATAAGAACGATGCCAAGCGAGCCACCTGTCGCACGATCGAGCTGCGGGTCGAAGGAGATGAAGGAACCGTATTGGGAGAAGTGTCGCCGGATGAACGTGGTAGACGTGATGGGCGAAAGGCCCAGAATCAGTACAGAGGTCGCAGGCGGGGGCCCGACTGAATGCGCATCGTACTGCGCCCAAGATATCAGCCCAATGAGATTAGTCGCAAATCGGATCCAAAATACCTCATAACGAAGCTCGTAGAACAGTTGTCTGGCCGGCCTTTGTCGCTTCCTGGCATCTGGTGCCCTCCGGGGATCTGACACCACTATTTCAGGTTGGCCTTCCAGCACTTCTCCCGCGTAACGAAACAGTATCTCCTTGTTCTTCCCTTTCCCTCTCAAACGTGCTTCTTCTCCAGCTTGTTCCTGCTCATCCTTCGCCTTCGCCTTCTCGAAGAGCGCTTCGAACTTATGGTGCTGGTTCCTGTCCGCCGAGAGGTTGTAATCAAACAATACCCGGAAATCCTTGGCAGAAGGATACTTCTCTCTCGGCGGAGGCCACGTCGGATTCGGAGGAAGCGAATATGTCTTGGGCGGCGTGGGATCTCGGGGCGGAGGGGATGGAGCTGTAGGATCGGCGGAAGGAGGAGGAGGAGAAACCGAAGCGACGGGAGTTTGCGCGAGTGGAGAAATAGAGATCACGCGTGGTGCACGAGTTTCTGTTGGTACAGGAACCAGCAGTCGTGTATCTGTAGGCGGCAGAGGAGCGGGCTCCGATGTAGGGGGTGGGGGCGGGGCGCCATCTGAGGGAGGAGGAGGCGGCAAGCCTGATGGAGGGGGCGGTGGAGGCGGTGTGAGGCCCTCAGGTGGAGGTGGAGGTAGATGAGGAGGTTCATCGGACGGAGGCGGAGGCGGTGGAGGGTCTTTGGGTGGTGCAGGAGTTGCTGGTTCCGGTGGTGGGGGAGGTTGAAAAGGTGGAGGAGGCGGCTTCGTCTTTGGCTGGGGAGCCAGCGAGAACTTGAGTGGTCGCGCATCCGGATCTGGAGGCGGGAGGGCAGCTGGGGGTGGCGGTGCTGGAGGAGGCTGGCTGTCCGGCGGCTTGGGCTCCGGAGGTGGTTGGTGAGGTAGAGGCGGCGCCTCAGCCGACGGAGGCGCAGGAGGAGGTGCTGGGATGGGTGTATTAGGGGGCTTGGGTTGTGCAAACGTAATGCTGATACGTCTCGGTCCAGTTGGGATTGGGTGGCTGTTGAGCGGTCGCGGCGGTGGCGGTGGCGTCGTGGGAGGCTTCGCACCAAGGGAGAAACTGACACCTCGCCGTTCAGCTGGCGGAGGAGGAGGCGGAGAGTCTGGTGGCCTCGGTGGTTCGTTGGTAAACCCATTCGGAGCGCAATGAAGATGACTTGGACCCGCACCAGCGGTGGTGTGCGACGACGACGACGCGCCTGGATCGGACCATCCATTAACATGAGTTTTGAGCGGCTGCGAGGTCCGCGCCTGTTCAGCAGCAGATCAGCTTACAATACACACCCAAGATCCAGACAGCGGCAATCATTCACATTCGCTCCAACTCCGTTCACTGGTGAACCAGCGTAAACGCGACTGGTGGGCTCAGGCGGCTTGCTGTTCTGGACGTGAGCGAGACCCTTCGGACCCGTTGGGGGCGCGAACGACCGTCCACCTGGGCCGTTGATTTGAGCGGTCCATACGCCGTTCTGCGAGCCTTGTCCGTTTAGCAGCGACCGTGGGCCCGTCGGTGGCGCGGCGCCCAATTTGCTGGAAGACGCAGTGGCGGTAGCAGATACGTTGGATGGCTGGAGGGCGCGAGGACCGCGGGGCGGCGCTTTTCCCGACATTCAAGCCGTGGCTGTCGCGCACCAGTAGCCAGAACGACGCGGAGGACGGTGAGGTTGGAGGGGGAGGTGGTGAGCGACAGAGACAGAGAGCCGTGTTGGGCCTTGTTTGCCCCGGCGCTTGAGCGCTTCGGCTGCCACAGGGGCCTCTTGCCGACGACCAACGCCATTGTCCTTGGCCAAGCACGCTCGGGGCAACACATCCACCTATCACGAAAATGCGTCGTCACTGTCACTTGTGCTCTCGCGTGCCTCCTTATCTCAGAGATCGCAATCAAGTATATGTTTAGATATTCTTGGTGAATTCAACAAGCTGCCACAGTGCGGGCTGAAGAATCGCAGGCACACGCTGCCCACTGATTATCGTCCATAGGACCCCCACTCTACCATCACTTGAACAGCTGGCTCTCCCTGTCCGATAGTCAGCACCGTTATCGCCCATGATCACACAGCACAGACTCACGCAAATGTCCAGAGCTTCAGAGGATTGTTGTAAGTATCCTTCGTGTACGGAAATCGGACTGTGTCACACGGACAGTCGTGATGAGTGCACGTAATGGCAGTCTCGCGCTGTGGCACTCACACTGCGACGGCTCGGAAACATAGGCGATAGGTCTCAACTCGTCGAGGAAGCTCCATGCAGTGCGCCAGTTCACCCTGTATAAATAGTCTTCGTCAGAGATTTCGCAGACGGCCAGTATTGAGACATCCCACCGCATGTCTCCATCGATCAACAAGTCGGGGGGCGCCAACGGATCACCGTTCAAACCTGCAGTCTTGATCTCCGACTTCAGATCAGAAAACTCCAGGACCTGGTTTCCAGCCATGCCTTCGCTCCAGGAACGACCGTCAACGAGCCGCTTTAACAGCTTAGATGGGGTGCCCACCCTTGTACTCCAAGGTCTCGCCCGGCTTGCCCCCAAATGTCGCAATCTTGACGTGGTAGTGCTCGAACATGAGCGTGCTGAACATTGAGCAAGTCGATGCACAATTGCCATTGCCGACGATGGCGACTTTGTTCAGGTCGAAAGGCGGGTTCCTTGGCATGTCGATATTGAATGGAGTACATATGTCCTGCATTGTAGAAGGCATCGTCAGGGTTTCCTCGAGCGCATGTATATTCCCGGTCGTCACGAACGTGGAACCTCTGAGCATCCTTTTCGATCTGCCCGTTCACCGGCTCCTCTGTCTCGTTCGGTGGGTCGATGTAGTTGTGCGTAGGCGGAAACTCGGTGTCGTTCAGGAATGCCCAATTGACGGGGTTGTAAAAGGTGCCGATCTCAGACAAGTTCAACGCGATATTCGCTCGGACGACCTTCTTCGCGAGTGTGTTGGCACGGTTTGTGGTTTGGAAACCACTGTGCGATAAATTGACGAGCTTGTTGTTAGTGCCAGTAGTGAAAGCATCCAATGGTACTCACGGATAGCCGATCCTTGAACCTGCCAAGAACTGATGCAAGAATTGACCGAGGCAAACGAAACCCCCTATACAGACGTCGTTCTGACGAAGGAGATCTAGAACGTGGGAGGCGAGACTAACCTCCGTTGTTGCTGAGGTCGATAATGAGCTGACTCACGCCCGCTTTCTTGAATGCCGCGGTGGCTGCCTGTACGTCGGTCTGGAATCCGACGAAATCATCAGGCTCGAATGACCCAACAAACATCTACGAAGGCCACATTAGTCATCGTAATCTCGCGCGGGCAGATCGAGAACGCACAACGCCTGTCTTGTTACCAGGAAGGATATATGACTTGATAACGCCCTCGCTGCCGTTCACAGCCGGAAGACCGGGAACGAACTGATTTGGCAGGCCAACACCATTCGCCGGACCTTTCTTGTCGACGATCACGCCTCGCGCAAGCCGTTTCTTGACTCCATCCTCAGTCGACTGCACTTGAGGTGCAACACCGGTGGTCCGGAAGTCCTCGCCGTTCGTTGCGTCGGTTGCAGCGCAGTTATTGGCCCAGCTGAGGGAAACAAGTTCAGCATGAGGATCTTATTTTACAGCAGATGTCACCTGCGCGTACTAGGAGGCGGAATCGGTGAATGGGACACCGCCGAAGGACGCCAGGTAAGGGACAGTCACGGTCTCCTCCTTAGTAGAGTTGGCCGGGATGAGCTTGAAGGTGAGCGATTCCTGGTCAGGGAAGGGAGGGCCACCCAGGTCTCCGAAACGCTGGCTGAAGTCGGTGTCCTACACATACCGCATGAGGTCGAGGTTCTGACCCACAAGTGACTATTATTACTCACCACGATGCGGTAGGAACTCAACACTGAGTTAACCCGAACACCATGATCAAGGTAGTTCCCGCTGATCGTATCTGCGATAAGGTCAATATAATCCAGGGCCGCTAGTCCCTCGATTTCCAATACTTTTGCGCCAGCAAGACGTTGCCAGTTGAAGCCAATTGAGTCGAAGAATGCTGTGTAGTTTGCGCCAACGAGCGGCACCAGGTCTACGGAGTCCGGAATAACGAAAACGTTCTGGGCCCCGTTCTCTTCCAAGATGACGACAGGAGCAGGGAGCAGGTTCTGATATGTGTCATAGCATGATGGGAACCAACCTATGCAGCTCTGTTAAATATCGACTTCCGATGGTAGTAGAATCTCGTACGAGTGTGACCATCGTTCAAACGGGTCGTAAAGTTCCAAATGGCCCTGTTGAAGTCATAATCTGTCTAGAACCGCCCGTGAACACGTAGCTACAGGATAACACAGATAACCGTACGCACCTCGTATTTTGTCGCGTTGATCTTCGCAATCTCCGCGCGAATGTTGGCGGTGGAGTCTTGGAAAGGCGCCGGGGAGTTCAGGTACCAATCCTCGAAAGTGTAGAAGTCGAACACTCGCGCCACGGCACCGAGCACGTTGTCCTTCAGCGTCTCGTTGAACGGGAAGGCCTTCAAGCATGCGAGCGCATCATTCGGAGGCACGAATGTAAGGCCCGCAACCTTGGTGCAAGGGTCGCTAGTGGAAGGAGCAGCTCGAATTCGGGTTGACAGGGCGAGAGTCGACACAAGTAATGCGCTGAGGTAGTAGCAGCCCACCATCTTGCGAGATTCTGGACGAGAAACTCGAGCTCTGGCTAGCTCCGAAAGCCTCCCTGTCTGGAAAGCGGTTCCCCATGGCTTTTAAGGACCCGGGTAGAGAAGCCTTCTACCGTTCTCCGTCATACGGATGTTTCCCCAGATACCATGAGGTATTCCCGATGATAGCGCAGCGATTCCTAGTACCACCGCCACCGAGTTGACCGATCACGATTTGTCGGTGGATCCGAAGCGGGTATGGTATGGTATAGAATTGTTATCGCGCCATAATGGAGGAAATTCTGGAGGCACATGAACAGCATGCGCGTGCGCGAGGGTGTGAGCGCCCTTGGACAGGATTATACTAAGATAACTCGCATAGAGGCAGGGTAAGCGAGATGCTTGCTCATGCGGCGGCGAATTGGCGGGATCGCGGTCAAGAAAGGAAGTCGTAGCCGTGGTGAATGCCAGTCCGAAATAGCGACCATGCGGTGGAAGTTCGATGGAAGCCAGCTGGCGCCATAGAGATACCGCTGGGGGTTACAAGGGGTTACACGCCTCGTGCCGGAGTGAAACACTGGACCGTTCTGAGGTTGCTGCGGTTTCGTGGAGTTTCAAAGAGGTGTTGTGAGCAGGCGTATGAGATACCGAGCCCAAGCGATCAGATGATACCTTCAAGCTTCAAGTTTGTCGTGCGACGGAACGGCCCAAGAGGTGCGCATTACGTTGCATGCACTCTATTAGACCGATCTCCCCAGGCAAACGGCTGTTGATGTATGGTACGCGGTGGAGGCAACGATTTAAGCATCAGAGTAACGCGATATGTAGCCTTGTAGGTGTCGATTCCCATGAACCGTGTATGCATCACGCGCCCAGTGCATCAAATCGTCTGATCGCAGGGCACAAGATTAGATAAATAACACGCTACGACATTGATATCATGAAGATATCATGAATAGCAACGCCTCATAGCAAAGCGCAGGGCTGCTTGTTACAGTTCGCCAAGTTGATGCAGCCACAATCGCTCCGTCGAGAGCTTTAGAGAAAAAGACGATCACTACTGCTTTGGTATGCAATCATCACTGATCTCGACAGCAGGGTTCCGGTCGGCATCTCGTATTCCAGCTTGTGCTTCTGGTCCAGCCACCGGAAGGTCTACATCCACCACCAGGAATCGTCTCGTCAGCAGGTTGAAGACGCTGCCAAATATGAGTGCAATGAGCGTGCAACTCATGATGATGACGTTATAGGGCATGCTGAAATCCGGAGTCGCGAGATCAACAAGCAGCGCTGGGGTGTAGATATAGGCTCTTCCGTGTTCATCAGCCGGGTGCGAAGAGTTGGCACCGACGCCGCGCTGCCCGCGCAGCGTCAAGATTGCCGGAGGCAGATCCCATCCCCGTTGGGCATCCGGCATGTGGTCGGTGTACTTCAAGAACGCTTTCTCCACCTTCATGTTAATCCTGAGCGTGCCTTTGGGCGGGATGCGAAGTGCGGCTTGGAGCAAAGTTGGACGCGCATCCGATGATGGCACATACTCGAGCACGCGCATGAGATCAGGACGCGGGACGCCATCGAGGGTAACATCGAGGGTGTGCATGTAGAACGTAACGAGCCACGGCATAGTCTCCGTGTACAGCAGTTGAACATCTTCATCGAGAGTGTTCTGCAGCGCCGCGGAAAGCAATCCGCGCGCTTGCGAGGATGTCGTAAGCTTCCGGGTGGCTCGCACTGGCGGCGTCTTCTGTGAGTTGCAGAGGGGTGGTGGTGTCGGAGACAGAGGGGGCACGAATGCGCGTTCCATAGGCCAAACCATACCTATATCCAACGGGGTGGTAGTCTGGACGTCGTACACCGCGACACCTTCCTCCTTATGGACAACATGGGAGTCGGGAGAGAGCGCATAGGGGACCCCGTCCATAGGCAATCCAACACGCACAAGGCTGCTTCGCGCCACGGGGCAACCCCGCTCGATGGTGCGGCCGAAAAGGCTCGGGAGAGACCAGTCGCGCTTGTGATCGGACGAAAGACGGACGGGATCGAAAACAGCTTGAAACGTTAAGCGAACCTCTACCCCCTTCTTGCCCGTCCTTCCGCCGTGGTAGAACACATGGACTCCCATGCCATGCCAGTCCGCATCGAACAGTTTGTAGGAGTTGAGCAGCTGTGCTATGCCGGAGCGTGATGTGCAAGGCAGAAGCTTGAGGAAGGGTGTTAAATTTTCTGTGCAGACATTTTCGGAAGGAAGGCTGGCGTGGCGGAGCTGCACCGACGTGTCCAATGACGGAAGTGAGCCAAGGAGTGGAAAGGCGCTGTACGGGACCGTCGTGCGTTTATCGTCCATGCTCGTGAGCGATGCACAGAAAAGACCTGCTAGGCCGTTCCGGAGACCTGTCCACCGCGCATCAACCCCTTCGTCGCCACCATGACCGTCACTCGCCATCCATGCCCACAGCTCTGCACCAGTGCCAACGCCCTCCTCTACTGCATCCGGATATCCCCATTTGATATAGTCCCATTTACCCGAGTTCAAGGATAGATGCATCTCGGTGACGGAGAACTCTTTTAATATTTGACCGAGCGAGAGCGGAAACAGCGTAAAGTGCTGAGGCGTGTCACCGGTATCCAACGGATAGGGTGGGGACGGGCCATCCAGCAGCGTGCCAAATGCAAAGCGGGCTGCGACTTTTCCATCGGGAAGAGGACGGATGGTCAGAGATTCCTCAAAGCTTTCGCGCGGGGTGTTGACGAGGGCGTAGAGACGGGGCACGACCAGCGCGAGGAGAAAAGCGAGGCGCGTGCCACCCATGCTGGCTTGGGAGTCTGCACGTTATCGGAGGACGGTAGCAATGTTCTTCAACGGTCGACGAAAGCAGGCATCGGAATATGGTGAAGCTTCAAGGATTGAAGCTGAAGCGCGGCGGGAAAGAGTTGGAGGAGATCACACCTCCAACAGATTGCCGGATTCATCGCCACCCCCGCGCGTGTGATATCGCTCCGAGCGCTGCCAGGACCAGTATAAGTATATGTGCTCCTCGCCTGGCGGTCCGCAAGTGAGAGTCCAGCTCTAACCACGACGGGAACGCGGAGATGAGCTCGTATCAACCCCCTACTTCGTTTCGATACCGACCGTCCGTCCACCCAACCCGCGATTCTCTCGTTCTGCCCAAACCTCTTCCGACCCCACCAACCTCCAGGCCAACGTCTTTCCCTGATCTACCCTCCCCTGTCCGTGCCTCTCAGATCAACAACTACGCTCTATCTACGCACGTCCTGCCCTCCCCACGCTCCCGCATCTCGCCTCGCGTCCCCCTACCAGACGCATCAGCCCCACCCTTGAGCTTGAATGCATCCAAGGCAGAGCGCGACGCGCAATATTCGCGGATCGCGAAAGAAGTGGCCGAGACGAACAGAAAGCACTATGCGGGACAATATGATGATTGCTCGCACGATATGGAACTGTGGAACTGCGTCAACCGCCATGTCCTCCAGAAGTCTCCGAAAGAAGGTCACGACAGCAGAGGAAAGCGTATCACGCTAATCCTTGCGCATGCAAACGGTTTCCCGAAAGAGGTCCGTATAACAAGAACAACGCTCGTATGTTTTTCCGTGTTAACGCACGTACGACTAGATATGGGAGCCCACCCTCCAATCGCTCATCTCGCATTCCGAGTCCGCGGACTACATCATCGAGGAAATCTGGAGCTGGGAAGCCGTTCAACACGGTGACTCGGCGTTGATCAACGCCAAAGCGCTGAGCGGGGTCCGTAAGTCTGTCTATGCTGTATTCTCCCAGTGGAGCTCAAGCACTGCGACTGACATTATTACGGCCAGATGATTGGGCGGACAACTCGCGAGATATATTGAATTTCCTTATTAACTATATGCCTTCTGCGGGTTCCGATGAATCGCTGCCCACGCACCTCAACCCCGTAGAGCCTTCCGTAAGCGCTTTCCGCGCGAAGTCCGGATTCTCCGACCGAACTCTAGTCGCTATAGGCCATTCCTACGGAGGAACAACGTCGTAAGTTTCCACACCGCATTTTCCGAACATGAAACTCAAAATTATGCAGAGCCTTCGCCGCACTGACACATCCATGGCTCTTCTCGGCTATCATACTCATTGATCCCATAATCAATCCAGCATCCGACTACGGCGAGAAATACGTCCATCATCTCGTTGCAGGCGCTATCAAGAGAAGGAATGGATGGAGTTCAAGGTTCTGTTTAATTCTCTCGTGGAATTGTCAGACAGTTGATGATAATGTTGGTCTTAAACAGAGCGGAGGCATTAGAGCAGTTCAAACGGATTCCATTCTTTGCCGCTTGGGAACCAGCCGTCCTTCAACGTTACATCGACTTCGGATTATACGAGGATAGAAAAGGTCAATTCCAGCTCAAGATGACGCCGATTCAGGTAGGCTCCTTGCTCAGTACCAGCGGATGACTCATCACCTATGCTCTGTCAGGAAGCTGTTGCATTCGTAGAAACTCGCTTATCAGCGAAAGTGTGGGATCTTATGCCTTTGCTTGATGAGCAAGTCGCGTTGCACTGGGTCAAACCCGCACGTTTGCTGAGTATGTGCGTACTGTACACGCTTACCCGTGAAAACGACTGAATCACAATCCCGTATCTAATGGCCATCATTAGCCCGGGGTTGAGAACGAAAGAAGAATCCGAAAAAATCGCTCAGGAACTTGTCTGGCTTCGTCCTGCCAATGCAAGCAACACCATCCTCCCCACCGGACACTTGGTGAGTTTCGTTCTGCGTGATGGCATTTACGACTTATCTATTGCGATCCCACTAACACAGGTCCCCCATGAGTCTCCATCCTCTTTGGGTCAGTAAACACGGCTCTATCCCGTAATTATGTACTCATCTACTACTGCTGTCCAGCGCAAGATTTGCACCTATTTCTCGTTAAGAAATACGGTCGTTCTGTTAGATATCACAGCAATGCGAAGCTGTAGATGGCATTTAGGTCCTGTGCTACGTGTCAACGTATTTGTTGTAGGTCATGTGGCGATAAAGCCAAGTTTGATACCGCGTCATTCGTTGATCCAAGCCGTTGTTGATTCCAGGCACAAAACCTTTACGACTTTCTACGCAAGAAATATATAGATCCGATCTATCTCATTCGCAAACCAGTGCTAAATTGTTATATATGGGTTTCATATATTTGCCTCTCCGCCGCTGCATCTCAATGGGATGATAAGGATATATTATTGCAGCTGTCCAAAGCAAAGACATTAGGATATCCAAATAATGCAGATGGTAGTGATACAATTGGATGAGATACAAATAGCAGCAGATATCGAACGTCCGGATCCCACCTACGGAGATCATGCTTCTACTAACTCAAAATATGATTTGAACATCGACTCGTGCCGGAGCACGGAGCCCTCCACAATGGAATGCACGTGAAGGAAGAGACGCGGGAACCGTCGCGTGAAATACGCGAGGTAGCCTTCCGGCATGGGTCCAAATATTCGCTTGACGTGGTCAGGAAGATCTTGGTAGTGGTGTTTCTGTGGGGATGAAATATAGCGGAATGCTAGTCAGGACTGAGAGGTCGGACGCACCTTATTCCGCAGAGCGCGCATAAGGTCTTGTACAGACTTTCCTTCGTATTTTCTGAACTTGCCGAGGTTTTCGATCACGGCCTTGTCCAGGCGAGCGTACCAATCATAACCCACAACCGACGACGCATCGGTCTCGAGCTGGACAAGCATGGGATCCCTAGGATCCCGGCACATGATTTCGAATCTGTCCGATGCGTCTTGTAGGAAGTTCAGGCGGCGTGCAGGATCCCAGAAGAAGGGGTGAAGAAGGCATTTTGTAGTATCCGGCCTGTTCAGAAGTAGATGAGAAAAGGTCTGCTGGAATGTCGAAGAGGACTCGCCGTGCATGTGCATCAGGATCCAGCATAGACCCAATGAGGTCAATAGCCTCGGAACCTTCCTCCCCAAAATGTTCGAGGCCATTCAACGACTTCTCGTCCCGAATGATGTTGACGTCGCGCTCAAAGCGGTCGCCATAAGGGTGTCCACCATTCGTGAGCACGTAATAGAACACGCATCCGAGTGCGAAGATGTCCACGGATTTCGTTAACCGCGTCGGCTTTCCGGTGGGCACGCCGGTCGTTGTGCCGACACTGCTTCTTGACGACTGCGAATTTTCGTCGCTCGCATCCTCCAGGCTGACCTCTCCTCTCAAGATCTCGGGCGCGCGCCACCCGACTGTACCCACGGCCGCCGCACCGTGCACGGTCGGCAGGAAGCTCGTCTGATCGAATTCTAGCTTCCTGCACAAGCCGAAGTCCGATATGAGCATGCGATATCCTGCGTTCAGGCCCACGCCCTTCTTGGCGCTCGAGATCAGAATATTCTGTGGTTTGATGTCGCGATGCACAATCTTCAGCGCGTGCAGATGTCGAAGCCCCGCAGTAATTTGCCGCAAGGCGCGTTTCGGGTTGAACGCATTCGATATATCTCGAAATTGATCAGGCCGCTCGATGACATCCGCGAGCGATGCGGGACACAATTCCAGTGCGATGTAGAGGAAATTGCCGTGTGCTTCCTGGTAGTAGTACCGAATAACGTTTGGGTGGTCGTCCGATTCCTGGAGCAGACCAACTTCGCGGGAAGCAAGGGTCACAAAATCTTTCAGAAGCCGTTTAACGGCGACAGCGCGGCCCTGTAAGGATCCCCTGTAAACTACGGTGCCGTGTGAACCAAAGCCTGGTTGCGCAAACATCAGCCCCGGAGAAACAAACCAAGCACCGAACAGAGACAAACCTAACACGTCTTCGGACACGACAAGCTGTTGTGCCTGTGTAGAGGGCATCGGTGTAGGCGGGACAGAAATTGATGGTGCGTCCACAGGGTTTGGTGTCTCAGCCGACGGCGTCTTCTCCGCCTCCTCCGCCTCTTCAGCCCCGTCAAGATTGATGCCATTGATGCCATTTCCCTTCTTCTTCTTCCCCCCTCTCGCCTTTCTCCTCACCCGCTTCTTTCCTGGTACGGCTGCAGCATCGGCTTCCTTGTCGCTTTCCTCCTCACCCACAACCTTGGCCTCATGAGCTTCAACATGATGGGGAGTGGGGTCAGCAGCAGAGGATGAGCGTTCTGAGTTCAATGCCGGCGAATGGACGATTTCCCACTCGGCGGTTAGCTTCGCCCCATCGGAAGATGTTGGTGGCAGTTCCATGGGCGTCGATGTTTGATACACAGAATGATCGATTGTTTTGGCAAGAACAGGCGGCCCTTTGTCCGATTCGATACTAGACTGCAAAACTGCAGGCGCTGAGGATACGGGCGTTAGAGATGCTTGTGTCTTCTTCCTGCTGTAGAAGAGCCACCCAGCACCCAGGAAAATGGCTAAAGCCGTGATCATCAGTGTGACTGCGCCGAACGGCAGGCCCAGATACACCAAAGTCGACACCATGGCGGATTCGCCTGCTAATGTTGCGGCACGCGACATAACCGGACTGCTGGTCGCCTCCGGCAACCCGCTCGAAACGCCAGTGCCGTTCGCCGTGTTCAGTGGGGTTTGCTCGCGATCACGCTCCTGATCAATCGCGCCCGGCGATGACGGAGGGGCGGGCGCACCATCGAGCAGCCGACTGAGCCGCGAGCGACTGGACGATTCAAGGGGCCGAACACCGGTCAGGCAGCGCGGATCCATGCTCCCGTTCTTGCACATCTCCCGCAGGCGGCGCAACCTCGTTACGCTCTCTACATCCAACGGTAGGTCGCGCCCCCGCTCTGGCTCGTCCTCCCAGCGCAGCCCCGGCGGTGGGTCGATGCGCCACGTGCTCGGCCTCTCGGGTGCGTTTGCGTCGCTGAAAACGGTGAGCGGGAACCGGTCGGGGGACATCGCAAAGAGAGAGCCGCCGGCGCTGTCCTTGTCCTTGCCAGGGAGGAGGCCAACGTAGGCGGACTCGAGATTGGGAAAACGGTTGTGCCGCGCAGCAGCGGCAAGGTCGACGCCGGGGAGGATGTCCTGCAACCGCGAACGGGGCTGGAGGAGCGCGAATGGGTTGTTGCGTGAGGGTGATCGAAGGATATCGAATACGGCGACGATGGGACTGGCGAAGGTGTGACCCCACAGGATTTGATTACGGGGCGCCGTGTCGGAGGCGTCGGCATCGGTGGTCTTGAAGGAGATGATTTGACCATTAGTGAGGGATTGAATGTAGGCGTCGTCGGGGGTGCGGCGGTAGAGAGACTGTAGGGTAAGGTCTTGGTTGTTCGGGCCGTAGACGGAGAAGGAAAGTCGTTGAGTGGGTTGACGGGGGGAGGAGGATGTTCGGGAGCGGGTATGAATAGTGATGTCGTAGTCTAGACGAGTTTTGGTGGGTTTCTTTATATTGAACAACGAGAGAATTACCTGTTCTTCCAACGAAGATCTCGCTTGGGGTCGATCTACCATTTTCCTCTCCGCTTTCCAATGCATCCAAGTCAAGCTCAAACGAATCGACTGGCTCCGCATCCCAAAGACAAGCATCCGAGCTGATCTTCGACTTGATTCTGCCCGTCTCCACCTCCAGCACAAGCAAAGACGTGTTCTTCTTGCCTATGAACACTTTGTCCTCGTCACCGGTGAAGCTAAATGGGGACATGTCCACGAGCTGTGACATGGAAAACGGCAAGCGCTGAAGGGGCGCGCTCGGCGAGGAGATCACATATATATCGCCGGACTGCGGCTCAATGATATATTGCTCTGCGTCGTCTTCGGAGGCAATATGGGTGGTCCGCACGAGCGGATCCATGACACCTTCGGCCATAGACCAGAGCGCATGACCAGTCGATCTGTTCAGGGCATGAAAACTGCCGTCGACAGACGCGACAAGGACGACGTCCGTAAGCTCTAGGTCATCGCCCCCGTCGGAGGTGGTACGGGAGCTGCCTGCGGGCGGAAGGAAGTGAACGTCTTCGATGGCGGGTTGAACATGGCGGGGCCGTCGCGCAACAGAGGAGCCAGGGCCGACGTTGACAGCGTCTGCGAGGCATGCAGAGATGGTCGAGAGCGCGAGCGTAGAGAGGTATCTCAACGGCGCCATCGGGCGCACAGAGTCATGACCAAGCGGAGAGTAAGCCGAGGGTCGTTGGATGCAGCCAGAGGCGGGTTATGGTGGCGTTGCTGTCTAGGCAGCGCGGGCTGCAGATGAGATGGGCGAAGGGAGGAGTACACCGAGGAGGTCTATGGCCTGGTGGGAAGACGGACGTGGTCAAGCACAGGATGTGGCTGTGATCATTTTGCCCTCCATGCCCGACATCTCTGTCGGCGCCCAGGTGTTTGATCTCTGCTTTCACCCTACTAGCTCTCTCCTCTATACCGGCCTCCTTACTGGCGACGTCAAGGCGCTTGCCTACGATGACCAGGGCAACCACGAGGCGAAATTCAACCTCAGACCTAGCAAGCGCTCCTGCCGCGCCCTATGCCTCAGCGAAGACGGGAGCACGCTGTGGGCTGGAGGAAAATCAAAAGCTATATAGTAAGCATCCTGCATCAAATTGTTGTTTCCATCTCTGAACGAATACAGTGCAATTGACACGACCACGGGAGTGGTTGTGGAGACGAAAAACGGCGCGCACGAGTGAGGCACATCTCCGTTTCGCACAGTGCCCTGCGTAATGATTGCAGCGCTTGGACAGCTCGCCGATAAACCGCATGAGAAAGCTCACCCAGCATACGTTAGTCAGCGGCGACGATGACGGCGTGATCAAGGTAGAGCGAGATAGCCGCCCTCAATCCAGTGCATTGTGCTAAAGCTTCAACAGTTATGGGACAACCGGAAGCCTGACGGTGCTATCCGCGCTTACACCCACCATTTTGACTTCATCTCCGATTTCCTATACCTCGACAACAAAAAACACCTGGTGTCTACCAGCGGAGATGGTACTTTATCCGTCGTGGATATACGCTCCAAGAAGACGGAGCCGTACGCGCAAAGCGAGGACCAGGAAGATGAGCTGCTCTCCGTCGCCTCCATACGCGGGCAAGTCGATTATTTACGCTCGCACGTACCCATCAATATTCAGTTTTGTCACCGACAGAGGCAATAAGTTCGTCGTGGGCACTCAGATCGGCATCCTCTCAGTCTTTAACAAGTCCAGCGGCTGGGGTGATTGTGTCGACCGCATCCCGGGCCATCCTTCCTCGATCGATACTCTCTGCAATCTCCCGAGTCGCTACCCGTCAGCGCACTCGACGCTGCTCACCGGTTCTTCCGACGGTCTCGTGCGCGCCGTGCAGCTTTTCCCCACCAAGCTCCTTGGCATTGTCGCGGATCACGGCGAGTTTCCAGTAGAGCGCGTCGTCGTAGATCAGGCGGGTGAGGGCGAGTGGGTGGCCAGTGTTGGCCACGAGGAGGGCGTGAAGTTGACGCATTTGAGGGAGGTGTTTGAGGACGAGAACGAAGATGAGCAGGACGAGGACCAAGATCAGGGACAAAGTGATCAGGACGAAGAGCACAGTGATGGGGACGACCATCAGGTGGCCGCAGCACCTTCCCCAAAACATTTGGTCACTGTGGATATGACGGGAGTAGGAGAAGGAAACGTAGATACCGACGGCAAGCAAGATACAGATGATGAGGAAGATGCAGATAGTAGCGACGAAGACGAGGTCGAGGTTGAAAGAACTAGGAAGAGGAAGCAGAAGGAACACGATCCGTTGACTGCTGGCAGGAGGAAAAAAGGTCGGAACGAGATAGACGCAGACGGCGCCTTCTTCGCAGATTTGTAAGGCAAAACGACCGCTTTTTGCTACATCAGGATCGATTCTGTACATCCTTCCTCCTAGCCGTATCACATTCTCGTCTCTCTTGCATTGCCTGAAGCAATAGAAGCGGCAATGCCCGCATAATGATACAAGAAAACATGCGTCGTACAAGTTGCCACATGTCGTCGAAAGTCCACCCAACCAGTACTAGTGTGGCACACTCACCGTGTTTCAGCGAGTACGATCAGTGCCACGATCAACACCAAGAACATGAGGGTCCCGCTCGTCACTGCCGCCACCCTACATCTCCGCACCCACGGGTTTCCTTTCCGAATAGACGCCGTGGCTGATTGGACGCGCTGCGAGCCAGCCTCGGTGTTGGCGAGCAGTTGTGTCTCCCTCGCCTGCGACGGCGTCGCCGCGAGCGTCACCGATCCTGTCTGGCCCGACGGCGGCGCCGAGCCCACCGCCGGCGGCTTGGGGAACCGTGCCCACAACGGTAGCATCATGCTCGCTCCCGCGATCGGGTCCGCCCCAGCCCTGTCTAGCTTGCTCTCTGACTTGCCCTGTGTACACATCCACCCCCCGACGAGCCAGAACCACGGTCCTGCGACGAACCCGATCCAAAAGAGCAGGCACGCGGGCGGCACGTCCTCGTACGCTCGCCGGCCCATCTGCCTCCACTCGGCGAACGACAGCCGGCTCGCGCCGGACACGACCTTGCTCCATCGACGCAGTATGAACGAGGACGTGGTCGTGTTTACACGCGGGAGTCGCGGGCGCGCCTCGGGCGGGCGGAGGTACTGCGGCGTGGCGGGGCGCGTGGGCCCCCACGCCGAGGGCGCGGTGTCCGTGTCCGTCGGCGGACCCGCCTCGAGGTCGCTGGGAAAGACACTAGGATCGTTGACGCTCATGCGCAATGCAGAACGAACGCTGACTATGCCTGAGTCTCGGTTCTTGGCACTGAAGCCGCTGTGGCGCGGGGGCATCGGCCACCGGAGATCAAGCCCGAGAGAGGAGTCTGAGACGGGCGTGAGCGGTTGCTCGTCATCGTCGTCTCGGAGCGCGATCATGGACGCCGTTGGGGTCTTGTTCGGGCCGTGGACGGATCGAGCGGTGTGAAAGCTCTCTGCATCCGCGTCCTCGCGGACTTCCGACATGCGCTGGTTCCGGGGGCTGGCGACGATGGTGGGCAAGGTGGGGGCAAGGACGGTACGGTGTTGGTGTGAATGGGAATGGGAATGCGAGTGCGGATGCACAAGGTGGTGCGGCGCTTGGATCTGCTGTTTCAGTGGGGAGCTGTTGGACGGAGAGCTGCCCAGCGAAATCGCGGGCGGGAATGCAAGCGGAGGAATAGTCGGAGCGGATACGTTGGACCCGAAAGTTCGAATCGAGGACGTCTGGCTAATGCTCCGCTTTAGCGGACGGCGCAGAAATGTAGAGTACCCGGAAGAAGTGGGCGATTGTACTACGTCAAGACGTTAGCCACCATGATACATCGAGTGGCCGCGAACACGCTCACAGTCTTCGGGAGAAGATACACTAGTCAATGTGGTATGAGTTCTGGCACTTTCCGAGAGCATGGCCGAATCTGGCTCGGCGAGGTCCAAATACCTTCTCTCGACGATCGGGGAGAGAGGTACTATGGGTGGTAGGGTCGGCTTCTCATCTTGCAGCGGCTTGAAGCGAGGGAGAGAGCTCATCGATTGGGTAGAACGGGCGGTCGGAGCAGCGTAGACCCTCGGTAGGTCTCGTGAAGACGTCGAGCTGGCGAGCGGCGGAGCGGGCGAACTGGAGCGGCCAAGTAAATGGAGGGCAGTCTCAGACTTGCTTGGGGAAAGCCAGGAGACGTGCGAGGGGCCTGTGTGCGGCTGTCGAGTCCAACTAGCGGAGGAGCTTGTCGAAAGCTTGGGTGGGCAACTGAGATCCCGGATTGGATCATCGAGATCAGGAGGCGGCGTACGCTGAGTGCGTCTGCTGGCGCGGTCACCGTCGGGAGAGGGGAAGACTTGAGCAAGGACCTTGTGCATAGCGATGCCAGTGGATGTTGGGACGAACACTGTTGAACTCCCCTGAAGGCGAACAGCATCCTGCCGTACAGATGCGTGCGAGAAGCACGCAGGAATGCGGGGCTCGTACGCATAATGAACTAACTGCGCGTGTTTCTTCTAGAATGGAGCACCGGCTGGGCGCAACGTTGTTGGGTAGAAAGCTGTGCGATGTCGGCGCCATCGAGGCTGGAATTTGGGGACTGAGGTGGACATTGATGTGCGATTATGCCGAATTGCGCTGAGCGATGAGTAGCTCGACGGTGACTTGGCGAGGCGAAGGGATTGTACGCGAACAAACACGACGGGGTAGCCGCAGCACGTTGCGGAGGGACGCCAGGCACGTGGCCGGCTATAGCGGTATCGTCCATGTCTGTCCTCCTCCAGGGTGGCTTTACAGAGGCGTGCCGTGCCACGAATATGAAACATCTCTGGCTTGTCAATACCCTTGGAGCCCGCCAGAGCGTGATATACTCACCCAGGTCCGATGCCTGGACAGCCTTGCTATCATCCGCACCGTACCAGTCACTGTCAGGACATCGCGAACGCCAGGTCTCCAGCCCAAAGCATCGACGCGCTACTGGCGACCAATGTGCATCAATCCGCGGAATCATCAGGTGCCGGAATGTCCTCAATTCATGACCATTACTGAAGTTGAGTAAGCAGCGATAGTTTCGATACAAAGCTACAACATTTTTCGACGATTGGCAACCGCTTTCCCATATGAACCAGGGAGGGCACGCTCTGCCTTGACTGCTATGATATGTGGCGCAGCGCACGATGAACGATGAATCACGACGCGGGCACGTCGAACGTGTGGATAGTCCGCCTGAACATGATGTGACGATCTCGTCGTACGACCGTATTGGCAAGGTATCCGCGTGTGAATCAGGCCCTACAGTAGCCAATTCGCTTATTCTACAACAACGGCGAGCAGTCAGGAAAGAGCGAGCGAAAGCAAGTGGATGTGTCCGCACTGGAACGAGCCCTCATCTTTCTGCGTTTACGTCTGAGTCTGCGAGAACGCTTCTTCTTCCACTTCTCTCTCATCTGGTTGAGAAAAGCAAGCCGTTAAAGAGACGAACCACGGAACCGAGGTTGGATCGACATACAGTGCTGAGTTCGTCGAAGTGGGACTTAGAGATGAGGTTAATGCAAGCAGGTGGCTTGATGTACTGTACTCGATCACGTAATTTATTGCCACGATCCTGATTCGGCTGAGCCCCTGTACGTTAAAGGTTACATATAACTTATGCACGAATCGTTGCGACTTGGAAGCAAGGCATTGCAACGGGTTGGGCATGACAGAGCAGTATCGTATATATAATACAGAACATTAGAGTCGGGAATGATATCGTTCCTATTGTAACAAGCGCAAGTATAGATAAAACGGCCATACATGAGTAAGACATCTTCCTGAAGATCATCGGTACGCAGATAGTGTTGTAAAAAAGATTTGTGGCTGGATCAGCCTTGTCGAACGGAGGTTCGTGGTGAGCGCGGCCCAAACAGGCCAGGGCTCGGTTGTTCGGGTACGAGTAATGTGGGTTCGCGGCTCGGCGGTGTAGGTGCGTAGGTAGGGTCCGCTACAGACACGTGTCAGTATATGTTTCTTTCGGGGAAAAGCTCAGTGCTGACGTTGCCAGGTAGCCCATGAAGTGTGGCCTCCCTGTTGGGTCACGACCGGAATGCTGGGGGCAACAGTAGGGACCGGTTGCGGAGCAGCAGGCGGGGCTGATTGATCTCTTCTTCTTCGGCGTGAAGGTCCTCGTTCTCTGACAGTACGCCAAGCGGGTGGAGCGCGAATAGGCTCTTCTGGAGCAGCGGGAACGGATTCAGGTGGCGGCGCTTCCGTCGGCGCAGCCGCTGGCGGTTTCCAGCCTTCGTTGAATTCACCATCCGGTCCGTACTTGCTTCGCATGCAGAGCAAACAGCCAATTTCGCTGTAGAGTGAGAGCGTCAGGTAAAACAGAGACATTACAAAATGGTCACATACTGCTGCAGAGCTCGTCTTTCCTCTCGTAGCTTGCCAACCTCGCCCAGAAGCATACGCACTTCGGTAGCCAACGCCTTGCTGAACTCATCGAGGTACTATGAATAGCGCCTTTAGAGACTGAGTTCGTATACGCTGGTGGACCGGACTTACTCCCTGGATGTTGAAAGGGACTTGTTCTTGAGCCGTGGCCCTAACAGCCTCCAGAGTCTCGTTATGCTGACGCTGAGAATCTTCTGACAGTTCTGATGGGAAAAAGTTAGGAATTGCTCAGACCCTCGAACAATCCACGCTAACCAGTTCTCATGAGTTGTAGGGTTTCGCGAAGTTCATCGTTTTGCTGTCGAAGCTCTGCCAACACGTTTTCAATCGCTGAAAGGTAAATCAGTACGAGAGATAATTCAAGAGCCGATAAGACCGTACTGGGTTTGTCTTGCTCGGCTTCCCACCTGGCCCTTGCTGCGTTTCTGTCCTCGACCAGCTGCTCAACCATCTCTTTGAGTTCGGAGAGTTGATTGTCCTTTTCTTCTCTCCGCAGGTTCTTCTCCTCCCAGCGCTGCTCCATCATCGTCCGTTTCCTCTCCATCTCATCGCGTTGTTGTTGCACCAGATTAGTGATGTCGGTCAACTGCCCACGAATGTTCTCATCACGCTCAAGTACTTCCGCACGTTCGCGTTCTCGTGTCTCCACGTCATCGGTAATCCTCCTAGCCTTTTCCTCCTCCAATTCGGCGCGCACTCTGGCCAGCTCCTCCTCCAACTCGCGAACCCTGATATCTCGGTCGTCGTCCAGGCGTACTCGGTCTTCCTGTAATTCCTGGCGAATGCGTTCTCGTTCCTCCTCACGTTCGCGCATGGCATCTTCCCGCTCCTTTCGAATTGCCTCGCGCATTTCCAGAACATGCACCTCGCGTTCCTGAGCAATTGCTTCGCGCAGCGAATTCAGAGCGGCTTCGTGATCCGCAGCAATCTGCTGCCTCTCAAGAGCAACCGCCTCTAGAATCTCCGCCGCGTGCCGCGACGCTGCTTCTGCCGTAGCATGATGGATGGTAGACACCACCGAGACCTGATCATCGGCGCCTGACTGCCTCCCGTCACCCTCGGCAGCCGCTTCGTCACCCTCCTGCGTGACTATGGGGACGCCCTCACCACCGGGAGGCGGTACATGAAGAATAGACGACGGGCGACGTGCGAAACGCTGCTCCAAATCACTCAAGAGAGCATCACGTCGAGCAGCCGTTTCCTCCTCCCGCCGAGCTTCGTTATCCTCAAAGATGCGTTCCCGGGCTTCTTCCTGTTCCATGAAGTGACGTTCACGATGATCTTCGTTTTCACGAGCAGCATCCAGGATGTTACGCTCCAAATCATCAAAGCGGCCGCGATCAGGGAAGTCGTACATAGTCGGTGGACGGGGAGGGGGAATGTGGGTGACTGCGGATCGCGTTGGGCTTGGAGGCCGACCATCATCTTGAACGACTGGCACAGGCGAGAGCGGACGGTCTACGAGTGGGATTCTTCCCACTTCCGACCCGGGAAGAGCCTCAGTAGCTGCACGAGCAGAAGGCTGAGTGGGCACATAGGGGATGAACGGCTCTTCTGGGCGGGCGCGCCTTAACTGTGACTCCAGCTCAGTGCGACCACTGGGACTCCGGCGCACTTCCTCTCGATCTACACGAGTTGGCGCAACAGAACGTCCTTGGAATCAAAGTCAAGTCACGAGCGATAGGATTCGTGGACAACACTTACCGGGCCTAGGGGGAGTCCTAGATGGAGTAACGGGCGGATGATATCCGTCGTCGGGGACTTCTTCCTCAGGTAATTCTTCTTCCTCATGAGCAAGATGCGTCGGCGGGCGTTCGTACGAAGGTTCTCTGACGACGGCAGTAGGTCTTTGGGTACCTGGACGCGAAATTGTTCGAGGGCGTCGTATCGCATGCGGCGGTGCTTCCTGTTCAGCATACGTTGGTGTATCCGAGGGTCCTTCCTCCATCTCTGGAACAATTGTCGGGGGCCGATGCAACATAGTGCGGGCAGGATCGTAGTCCGTAGCTGCTTGTGAAGGCCGACGTCTTGGGTCATAGCCTGTGCCAATTCTCGATGGTCGTCCTTCCGTAACCACGGGGATCGGTTGAGGCGAAGGTGACCTACGGTCTTCGGTGGGCCTATACGTGCGACGATCTGGGTCAAACTCACTTCCCAAATGCGTAGGTGGACGCCTGGGTGATCGGCTGATTGTAGGGACATATCTGGGTTCATGCGAAGCTCCATGCGGTCTCCGACGGCGCTCGTCATGACGGTCACTTTCGTATGACGGTGTCGATGATCTCGATCGGGCAGGCGATCTCCTGGGCCAGTAGTACCGGCGACCACCAGGAGACCGCGAATAAGGGCGGCGGCGGCGGCGACCTCCAGCATCGTCGTACGATGAATCCCTAGACCTTGGCCTGGTAAACCACCTTCTACCCGACGGAGAGTATTCGTATGATCCCTCGCGACGCCAGCGAGGTCGATGAGTTGGGCGGCGTTGGCGCAGGCGGCGAGGACTCCGCGACCTGTCTCTGAAGTAAGTGGGTGATGGGCTACGGCGGGATGGATGCGTTCGTGACCCGGTGATGACCACCGGTCGACTAGGACTGTGCCTCGAGGATCTGCTTGCAACGCGGAGGACAGATGGAGAATGAGTTCGAGGTCGATCACCTTCCACTATGATTGGCGGCGGGGAATGTCCATGAGTGCGGGGAGCCGTCATGACGACAGGCGGTTGTTGAAACTGCGAAGGAGCGGGCTGTATAACAACAGCAGGACCTTCATGTCTTGATGGCGTGCTCTGATGATGGCGAGGGTGAGTCCGTGATGAGTGTGATGATGACCGCGTACGGTGAGTTGGTGCAAAAACGACGGTCGGATCTCTGTGGGATCCCCTATCACCATAAGTATCTTCGCGCCTCGAACTGGGCACGACGACAACAGGAGTGGTATGAGTGCGATGACTCCGGCGAGTACCTCCTGAGGATCCAGAGGAACTACTGCGACTGCTGCGAGACCTTTGTGGCTGGAAAACGACGGTAGGTTGTTGGGCTGGCGGCATCATAGGCATTCCTGGCATCGGGGGTACTCCTGGCATGGGCATGCCAGGCATCCCGGCAGGTGCCGGTTGAATAATGATGGGAGCTTGCGAGGGGGCGGAAGGGGCCTGTTGACCGCCCTCTGGCGCGATGATGATAGGCTGCTGTTGCGGCTGAAGTTCTGGGTGACGCGGTGAACCAACCCGTGGTTCGGTTTCGGCGGCAGCAGGTGCAGATGGCGCCGTATGGACGTGAACAACTGCTGGAGGCTGCGGTGTGTGAGACGAGTGTGCGGTGCCTGGACGGGCAACATCTTGCGCGTCATGAGGTGCAGAGGGAGGCCGCCATCGGTGTTGAGTGGCACTGGAACCGGTACCGGACGACTCGGATGGACTGAGTTGCGTATGGCTCAAAGGGATAACAGTGGGCATTTGGCCGGGCGGCCCAGCTTGTCCGGGTGGAGGTATCACGATCACCGGATCAGGTCGAGGGGGGATGATGGGAGAGTCTTCATCCGACTCCTGGCGGGCAGGCACGTAAGGCTGTGGCGGAGGAGGTCCTGGGCCATACAGATTCATATCCGGTATGACGGGTTGCGGCATCCCGGGTACAAACCCGGGATGAGGAGGTATGAAAGGACTACCAGGGCTGGACGTTCGCTGGGGATAGACCGCTGAGGGTATTACGGCGGACGGCACGACAGGCTGGTGAATCGGTGGTTGAGGGACGAAGCCTGGAATGAAGGGCGTTCCCGACATCACGGGAGGAGGGGGAATCACCACGGCGCCACCGGGCTGCTGCTGAGCTCCTGGTTGAATAACGACAGGCGCCCCTTGGGAAGGCATTACACCAGGCCCCTGAGCAACAACGGGTTGACCTGAGGATACACGGTTGGTCATATTATGCCCTTCAAAGAATCGTAGCGAAACTCACCTGTTAAAGCGTTGCTCAGTCTGCCAAGGTCTTGGCGTAGTTGATCCACGCGCGCGGATACTCCCCGCATCTCTGCTTGACGATCATGCACATCGCGCTCCAGCCATTCGTTCAAGCCCCGCATATACCGCATGATTTCCCTTTGCTGGTCTATTGACGCCATCTGTGCCAGGCGGTTCTCCTGCCAACCAACGTCAATAATCGTGCAGGCAAAGTTAGACAACACGTACGCGAAGTAGACCCATCATAGTGTCCAATTGAGGCATCTGTATGGCGCTCTGGGGAACAATGAGAACGGTTCGTGTTGAATGTAGTTAACTTACTGGAGCAGCCGCGCCTGCTGAGGCGCCCTCAGGCTCGTCAAGGTCACTCTGACCCGGAGGTTGTGCAGTCTATCGTGTAGCGTGAGTACGATACGGTGTTAGATTCACGAACATACCGCTGGTCGGCGGCGATACCAGGTGCCGGAGACCGGCCGTGGACCTCCCATATCGGGTGGAGCGGTTGGAGGTCGGTCGTGCAGGTCCGTTGGCTATATAACAATGAATAGGGAACGCGTAGCAGGATCAAGCGATACTCACAACGCCCTGCGCAGGAGGACGTGCACGTTGAGCACGAAGTCGTTCTATCTCACGTAACATGTCGATGTCATCAGACTGAGGCCTCCGCGTCGTGGGACCGAAGTCGGAAGGCACCGTCGGTGCAATAGAGGGTACGACCCCAGAAGACATAGCGGGTCCAGTACGACGCCCGGTACGACGTCTGGGGGGGCGATAGGAGGGATGAGGCCAACGGTATAGCTCAATCGGTTCCTCTTGCAAGGGGACTGTCGCGGACCGCGGAGGGATATCTGCACTGGTAGTTGGACTGAGGCTGCGCAGCCTTCTCCTTCCCGTAAACGGACGGTACATTAATGGGACCAAAGGCGGGGGCTGTTGAACGACAGGTGGCGGCAGAGGCGGCCCAGGCGTCAGCAAGTCAGCGAGTTGTTCATCCAAGGACGGCCCAGGTCTGACTGGAATCGGCATGTGAAGGTGCAAAGGCTCTCGTTGTTCTCTTGCACGGTTCAACTCATCCCATCGTTGCCGTAAACGTCCTAGGGCAGAGGACGTTTCCGATCCGCTATCATATATATCAGACGGAGGCGCAGGCATGCCCGGCACCCTCCTGTTGAGTAAATCCTGGAGCAGATTTTCAATTTTCGAAAGCTTTTCCTCTTCCGGTCGTTGATCGCGGAGGTCGTTGAGGAGATCATGAGTCTCCCTTTGGCCGTTTTGAAGAGCCTCGGTTTGATTCCGTAGCTGATCCAAGAGCTCACGCAGGTTGGATAACGAAGCGTCATCTCTGGGTCTCGCCGTAGCACTTGACAACGTAGACGTGGCTGGCGATGACGATCGCGAAAGATACGGACCAGAGCTCGGTAGTGAGGATGATATAGCAGAAGACCGCGGCGTTGGTGGGAGCGACAAGGATTCCTCACTCGCAAAAGGCAGGTCAGAGACAGGGGAGGAAGGAAGCGATTCGGAGAAATCGCTTTGGTCACGCCAGCGAGGCGAACTAGGGTATTGCTCTTCTTCCATGAGGCTGAAATCGTCGGAATGGTGCGAAGATAGCCATGACATAGACGATGAGAGGCTGCTGGGAGAAGCCGGACGCAAGGGCGGTGGGGTGACAGGAATAGGCACCAGATGGGGCGGTCGTCGCCGAGGTGCGTCGCCACGAAGATGGGGACCTTCACGAGGGCCAGCCGGTCGAGGAGAAGGGAGGGGCGTTTGCCCAACAGATCGATCCTTGAGTGGCACAGGGGGGGGGACGTCTACTGGCGGCCGATTGGTGAGGAAGTTAGATAGCTCCGTGAGCTCATTTCGTATGGCGCGAACATTGTCCGCGATGCCTTGATTCTGCACCCCTCTGAGATCGTCAATTTCGTGCAGGTACTGTAGCAGTCGATTTACGTCATGCGATAAGATTGCACTGGGGGGACGTGAGGGAATCGTATCCAGGGTATCGCGGATGGACGGGATGTTAGTGGATTGCGTATGTTCGCTCACGCTAGGAGGGACAGAGGGAGGGACTAGCGACGCTGCCGGAGAACTCGGTAGCGGTATATCTTCAGGGAGAGGCTACGAATAGATACTGTTAGCAAGTATCGGCAACAGGTGTAGCATCCTCACCAGTCTTGGGCTAGAACGAGACGAGCCGGTGCTAAGCAGCGAAGGTTCCGTTGGCACATCCTCCAAAGGAACATCAAGCAACGATTTCGGATACAGGACAGATGAACGCATGGAGATGCTAGATGCTGTGGAGAGTGTCGACGGTGTGCGCAGCAACGACGTGAAGGTGGCTGGAGACGGGGAAGGCAGAGGAGGGAGAGACGGCGACGATACCGTTGGAGTCAGGGATGGTACCGTCGGAGTCAACGAAGAGACCGTGGGCGAGCGTGTAGACTGCGTAGGTGTCACTGAGGATACCGTCATTGTCAACGGCGACGCCGTTGGCGTGATTGTTGACGGTGATGAAGGCGTGGGCGACAGCGAAGGAGGAGACGGAGGCATCGGTGACGATGCTGCAGATACTGAGATCGTCTCGGGAACGGTGCTCAGCCGTGTACCGGGTGTTACAGGGGACGGGCTTGGCCTTAAGAACGAGGTTTCTATTGAAGCATCTAATCCTTCGGGCACGGCGATAGATTGCACAGACGGAGAGGCCCCCAGGAAGGAAGACTCGTACGATTCATCAGTCTCCGGTGCCCACATAGATTCCCGTATCGACGGACTCGGTAGAGACGGTTCAAGCACGGATGGAGTGCTTGGTGTCGGCGTGAGTTCAGTCGGAGAACGGACGGGGCTAGGAGAAACCGAAGACTCGGTCGGGCTTGACTCCGTTGAAAGCAACGACGTACTGACGGGCTCGGTAGGTGATGGCGGGACTACGGCAGGCGGAGAGACGGAGGCAATTGATGGGGAGACCGAAGGAGGAAGTGGGATGTTCTCGGGATGGACGCTCGCTGGTGAAGACGGTATTGTCGGTACTTCGGTCGGCAGTTTGACGCTTTCCCTGTCCACTTCATCCAGGGGGAGCTCCGAAGGAATGCTCCCGTACTCAGTGGGCGCTCGTTCAACAGTAGAGTATGTGGTAGAGGCTGCCTCGGCGACCGAGAACTCCGTAGATGCCTTCTCGGCTATCGAATAGATTGTAGAGGCACGATCACCTTCACTGAATACCGTGGACGCCTTCTCGGCCGTAGCATACTCGTCAAGAGATGGAATGCTTGGCGCAGAGGAATATGAGCCGGAAGGGGTTGACGGAGGTTGCCCGGGATCTTGAGCACCAGGCTCACTAGGTGCAGAAGACGATGGGTATGACGGCGGTCCACCAGAACTGGTGGTGCGAGTGTTGGATCCCGTGTAAGAGTCCGAGTACGTGCTCGAATAAGTCCCGGAGTAGGAGCTATAGCTCTCCAGCGTGCTCATGCTCAAATCCCGGCCAGACGATGACCTGTCATAACCGCTCGAATATTCGTCACTAGCGCCGGTAGAACGAGAGTCGGAGGCTGTATAGCTTCCGGAGTTTTCTTTGTCTGACGTCTCATCCGATCCGAGGTAAGTCGTAGTGAATGTGCGCGAGCTCGATCCAGCCGCACGACGCCGTACGGCTTGCATACGCGAAAGACTCGTTTGAGAACCCGAGCTGCCATGGGAGGGACTGGTGCGCGTACGAGACGACGAGGAACCGCTGTGTGAATCACCCAGATATGAAGCTGAGGCAGTTCGGCGAAAAGATAACGTCGACGGGGATACTTCGGTCTTCAGAGTCCTCGAAGGCGCATCGCTGACGACGTCTGTCGCTGAAGGTAACGAGTAGAAAGTGGAGTCCGTCCCACTTGTGCGTGAGCCCGTGCTAAAGAACGCTTCGTCATCATCTTCCGCGGTGGTTGTCCGAGTTGACGGGAGTCGGGTGCCAAATCTAGCGATGCCAAAAGCGCGGGGTCCGCCTGGACCGCGACTCGTCGCGGTGGCGAACTCCCGATCAAGGTCCGTCAGAGATGTCGTCCGCCTGATGGAGCTGCTGCGGCTGGGGCCGATTACCCTCGGATCGCCGGGGTAGACAAAGCTCTGATTAGACAGAGCACCATCGTCTGCGGCGCGAGTATGTTGAGCGCGGGATGACCTACGCGTCAACGAAAACGTGCTAGATCCTGAGATGGACTGCAAGTCTGATAGGTCGGGTATCGTGTCCGTTGGAGGGACGAACACCGTAGATGCTGAGCCGGATCCAGATGCTGCTTGTGAACCGGACTGCCTGCTGGCCGTACTCGCCATGGATCGGATGGTGCGGATTGAACCCGTCGGTGAGCCAGATACCGAGCGGTCAGGAATGGTGACCGCACGATCCAAAGCCTCCCTAGAAGTGCATGGACTGAGGAATTGTCTGTGAATTGGATGGCAAGTAACGCACCAAATCGCGCTGACCCAGCGTACTCGCTCTCGGGCGCTTTCCGCGCCGAGCCGCTCGACGCCATCACTGTATAACAGCTGGAAGGGACACAACATCTCCATCAATCCCATCTCCCCACTCTGTCCAGTGGTTTCTCCACTGGAATTAAGTCAGCATTGTGTACTCCGTCAAATTAACCGATGACTACCTCTGAGCCCTCGCCGCGATGGTCCCTACATCATCCCGCGCGCTGGGATGCAATGGCGATGGCACAGAGCGAACCTCTGTGCAGTTCAGCAGGTCCAAGGTGACGACCCCGCGACCGCCAGCCGGAGCGATCCACGAGAGAAGTAGCATATGTGGATACAAAAGAGCCTGACATCGTTGCCAGCGATATGGCTCCGAACCGTGGACGTTCAGGTACCACAGCAAACCGATACGGAGGGGCTACCAGGGAGTTCATTAGCTCGTTGCCATAGTTCAGATACGGATTTACGATGTGAGCAATGAAGGCATAGCACAGAAGTAGCATCACGTGCTAATGTATGAAGCCGGAGACTCACCTCCTGACTTCCTCTTGCATTGGCGTAGGCACCGAGCTCACTGATATCGAATGCGGGTGGAATGACCGCGCTACCGAAACTGGCCATCTCGCTCCTTCCTGCGGGCTCGCGCAGAGATGGGCCGCTCCTTCTCTCTTGAAGAGCCTCCTCTCTCAACCTCGCCTCACCCCGCTCTGCTCGCCTGCGAAGACTGAACAATCCTTCATCCCGAGTGGGGGAGGGGGAATCCTTCTTCAAGCCCTTTCCGGTGCCTAACGATGGTGTCCGCTGTTTCCAGGCTGCGACGATGTTCCGGACAGATGTCAGGGGAGATCGCGGAGACGTCTGTGGGCGGCGAAGGCCGGTGGCGGTCGGGGTGGCGGTGCTAGACGTAGCGGTCGTCGAATTCGTGCCACTGAAGGTTGTGAATGTGTTGCTTGTGTACGTCTCCGTGGTCCTGGTATTGTCGGTGCGCGTATTTGTGGGTGTGTCCGTCCGGAGGGGAGGCGAAAGGAGGGAAGATAGCGTTGTCGGGTCGTATCCAGACGATCCTGAAGAGATTGTCGAGCGACTCTTCGTCGGTGAGCTGTAACCAGACGAGCCTCCATATCCGCTGGTGCTATACCCCGTGGTCGTTCCGTAACCAGTGGCGGTGTATCGTGAGCTCGTGAGTCCAGTCAATCCCGTCGAATTGTCGTATCCAGTGGTAGTCCCATAACCATACCCTGTAGACGTTCCCGCATATGGACTGGGGGAGCGAGGGCCCGCGGGCGCAGAGGGCGTCCTTCGGTGACCAGGTGTCGTTGATCTTTCTTCATAAAACGCGGCGAGCTCCCCAACACGCCTGCCTGGGGTATGGGCTCGGACGATTCCTCTGTCTGGCGTATGGGAGCGAGGGATGGCGAGGACGCGCTCGGGTGTTGGGGTAGCGCCGGGATCGGTTGCATAACGTGAGTGGCCACCGGACAGTGGACGCGAGGATCCCTCGGTACGTTCGGTGATGGTGCTGAGATGGCGCCTGTCACGCTCGGGCAGCACGCCCTCTGCTCTAGGCGTGGACCAGGCAGTGACGACATCTTCGGCGTTGTTGAGTTCATTGTCAATCATGTTGAGTGCGGCCTCGACCTCCGCTTGGTCGGCGAAGGAGGCATCGTCAGAGTCGTCATCGTATTCCGGTGGAGAGCGGCGAGAGTAACGTCCATTCTGCTCGGTGTTTGCTTGAGCAGATGGTCTGGGTGTGGCTGCGACGGCATGAGCATGACATGAACATGCGTCAATCATGAACTTACAGCTGCGGCTGTCATAGTCGTACGTGTCGGATGGGCTAAGAGTCGAGAATGTCGCGGTCCCGAAAAGCGGGGAGCGCGGTGGATCGTGACGTCCACTCATGCCTGTTGTTCGTCTAAACGGAGAGCATTCGACGAGTCGATGTCGGGCACAGTTAGGTCGTCGGCAGCAGAGCGGGAAAGTTCCTCTAAGTAGCCCAGTTGCATCAACCGGTAGCTTTAGGGCCGGCGTGATGCGTCGCGTTGACCGAGTCCCGTGACCGCGTTTTGCGGTCCCTTCATAGCCCTTCTTCCCACAACTGGCCTGCTTTACAGGTTGACGACGACGAGCAAGTCAATGGAGCAACGCTCTCGGCGTACCTAAGGGAGCCCCCACGAAGCGTAACGAATATCTGGTGAGACCAGGTGAAACCCGCTAATTCTCCAGCACCTACGACTTGTGGCTGTAGTGGCCCGAAGTTATTCTCTCACGCGTTCAACTTGTCTATAATCTAAGGGCTCCGACCCCCTTGTATGAGCTTCAGCTGTTTCCCCATCCTCGAGCAGGACGGATGGTGATGGTAGCAAAATTATCCCCACCTTCCCGGCCACGAGGTTCCGCGTGGGTGCCGTGCACTCAGCATCCGTATACAGTCCAGAATTCTCGCTCGCTCTCACCGTTATCGCGTCGAGGGCGCGCTGGACGCACGCCTCCATCATGTGAACGTCCGCCCTCTTCGTTGTACTTATAACCACTGGGGGTTTCGATGGGCAGCGACGACTGCGGTTCGGGTTCAGAGAAAGAGACTGCGACCGTCACGGCTAAACCGCCTACAAGCATGTCATCACCCCGCCTCAAACAGCTGGTATGCTTCAGCGTCGCATTTCTCGTGCTTGCGCACCTTGCACAAGCTTCATGGCTCTCAACCCTATCCGGGAATCTCAAGCGCGTCACTGCCCTCTCTGCATCGCCCCTTAGCAAGCGTGTTAATGGTTCTGCGCTGCCCGATCTATACGAAGCCGGTGTGCTCGAGCTCCAGAACGGGTTGGACGCCGGCGACTTCACCAGCGTCGACCTCGTCAAGGTCAGCGCTTGACATCACAACGCATTCGCTGCCTTTCTCTCATGCTAGGCGATGGCAATCAGGCGTACCTGCGAAGGATCGAAGAAGTCAACCTTGACCGCGCCGAATTGCGTGCGGTAATCGAAACGAACCCCCTCGCCCTCTTTGAGGCACAGGCTCTGGACGAAGAACGCGCCTTCTTTGGCAAGCGCGGCCCCTTGCACGGGATCCCCGTCATTGTCAAGGACAACATCGCTACCATCGCCAGCGAAGGCATGAACACGACAGCAGGTTCTTTCAGCCTACTTGGATCGGTGGTGCCCCGCGACGCCGGCGTCATTACGCGTCTGCGCAAGGCTGGCGCTATTATACTTGGTGAACAACTATGCGGATGCGGTGACTCCCTACTCACGTTTGAACAAATCTCAGGCAAAGCCAACTTATCGGAATTTGCGTTCTTCCGCGGCAATTTACCTTCCGGCTGGTCTGGTCGCGGTGGTCAAACGACGAACGCGTATTTCCCATCGGCCGATCCTTGCGGTTCCTCTTCCGGCTCTGGCGTCGCAGCATCCATCGGTCTCGCGACGGTAACACTTGTGAGCGTCTGTATGATCTCGGTTCCAGCACCTTTCTAACAAACGGGAATGTAGGGTACAGAAACTGATGGCAGCATAACCTGCCCTTCGGATCACAACAATCTCGCAGGTATCAAGCCCACCGTGGGGCTCACCTCCCGTGCAGGCGTCGTGCCTATATCCGAGCACCAAGTGAATTTCGTTGCGTTCATGAGCGGCCGCGTACTGAGTTCGGGCATGCTTAGGACACCGTCGGCCCGATGTGTCGCTCCGTGACAGACGCCGCCATCGTACTTACTGCTATTGCCGGGAAAGATCCGAATGACAACTTCACTCTCGCGCAGCCGGATGCTGTTCCAGACTATACGCAGGCGCTGAACGCGAGCGCCTTGCAGGGCGTTCGGATTGGTGTACGTGGCGTCGTCTGCTTTCTGTCAGCCAAACTCATGTTGCATCCTCAAGGTTCCCCGCCGCGTCTTCCTCAACCAAAGCATCTCTGGCCAAGACGATAGCATCATTGCCGCGTTCGAGGCGGCCCTGGACACCTTGAGGAACCTCGGTGCAACCGTCGTCGATCCCGCAGATCTTCCTAGCGCAGACGAGATTGCTGTTTCCAACAACGAAACGTTGGTCCTCGATGTCGACTTCAAGGTACTATTCCAGCTTCGACTTTCGAATGGACATCTCATACCCGGTTGAATTCTTCATTAGGTACAACTAAACGCATACTACGAGAGTCTCGTCTCCAACCCATCCGGTGTCAGATCTCTTGCAGACCTCATCGCGTTCGATGACGCTCATCCAGAGCTGGAGGAGCCGCTCGACTTCGAGAGTCAAAGCATGTAAGCTGGCGTCCCTGCTGTTGACGCTGAATACCGATTTCGTACACTGACAGATTCTTGGAGTCCGAGTCCACGAACGGATTCAACTCCACATACTTCGACGCCCTCGCATTTGACAAAGAACTTGGTGGGCGACTCGCCACAGGTCAATGCTAAGAGATGACGTCTTATCCTTACAACAGGGGCCACCAACGGTATTGACGCCGCACTCAAGCAGTTTGATGTAGAAGCGTTAGTGTTGCCGGCATTCGGTTTTACGACCGTGCCGGCCGCCATCGCTGGATACCCCATCGTCACCGGTACGCTGATTGATGTCGTTCACCAGCGAGGGCGTGCTCACGCGCCATCTCCTAGTGCCTCTTGGCTTCTATCCTGACGGTACGGCCGTTCAGCCGGCATTCCCTGACACTAGTAGGCATCGATCGATTGGTTTCGTCCGCTTCTTTTCACATCCAACGATCATATCCTGCAGACTTCAGTACCGTCTACCCTGCACCCGGCGTCCCGTTCGGTTTATCGTTCCTTGGCACAGCATTCAGCGAGTTCAAACTGATCAGCTATGCCTTCGCATACGAGCAAAAAACTCTGACTAGGCGGGCTTGGCTCCTTTTCAGATTCTCCTGTGTGTGCTGATCCATGTGCTCGATAGGCTGCAAAGAAGAGCATTCCCGGCGGCGATCCCGACCACACAGTTGGCCGATGTCATTGGGAAATGAGTTGGGAAGAGAAGACTAGCTGCACATTCGTCGATGCGCATGCTCGGCCGTATAGCGACTGATCCGTGCAGCCGTGACGTTGGGGCCATGTGCGAACTGATGCTTCCGAGTATGTGCTGCTCACTACAATACACTCTGTGGGGTATATACGGACAAGAAGACAGCCAAAAACATTGATGATCATGAGGGAAAGTTCCAAGACGAGATGGCATTAGGGTGCACGGCAGGATGCCACGACAACGTGTAAGCGATGGGGCCTTTCCGCGATCTGATATAGGTTTCAAACCCTATCATGCGAACATGGCGAGCAGAAACATACTACTGCAGTTCGATCAATGCCGCAGTCATGACGGGGCTGGATCCCCAGAGGCGTCTTGCTGCTCTCGATCTGGGGCACCAGAGGTCGACATCTGTGCGGTAGGCTCCGGCTGCTTGTCCGTCTTCGCCTTATTCGCCTTGTCCCAGCTGTCCTGGTCGAAGGACTCTGTGCAGCAAGAGCAATTGCAGCAGCCCCGGTCGCCGCAACATCCGCAGCCGTTCTGGCCAAAGGCCTCTGTTCGTGGCCGCGTTGGCGCGAACGTGAATGGGCGAGAGGAAAGCCACGTGCTGATGACAGCTTACGAGTGTTGCACCACGCTTCGCAGGATTCGGTGCAGCATATACCTGATCGCGCATGTTTGAGGAGGCTGCTCGACGAGCCCGGGGACATCATGGTCTCGACGTACAGCAGACGGTGCAGCAGCCGGCGAAGAACTCTTCGATGAGAGAGGACATTGGGTCGACGTCCCTGGTCGGATGGTGGGAGCGGTGAGCTCGCGGCTCGGGTTGGCTGTGACAGCGAAATGAAAGAAGCGGGGGGCCGCGAGGGCGAGTGCGATCCGGGTGTGGACTGCAGCGAGCTGAGCGGATGGGCCGTGTCGCGGTTTCGGTCTCGGGGTGGGTGGTGCTGTGGTGCAGTTGCAGCCCAGCGGCACGGAGGCGCAGGTGACGACGTGGGAAAGCGGCTCGCTTCTTCGTGGTCCCCGGGCACAGCCATCCGAGTGCTCTCGTCCGGCTGCCCAGCCATGTCCAACCAGCAGCTCGCCCAGCAGTTCTATGAGACGTTCACCAAGGCACACGCCGGTCAGTGCCCCCTCGGCCCGCATCTCCCTCCCAGTCTCAGCCCTCCACAAAGATCTCGCCGCCCTGATCCAGCAGTGCACCCTCTCTCCCAGCTCGGACTCCCTCGCCCGAATACACGCTGCCATCTCCGAACTGCGAAGGCATCTGGTCAGCGCGGGCAGCGAGGGATATCTCCCGAGCTATGATCAAAGCCGGACTGAACAGGTGTGCCGCTTTCATCTGATCATCGTACACGTCCCGGGCATTTGCGACAAACACACGTCCTTCTCAACGTCCAGCAACTGCGGTCACTCGAACAGTCCGCGGAACGCCTTCGCACGACCACCGTCCCAAAGTCCAAGTTCGCGTTCAGGCGCGCTGCCCCACCTGCCCCATCGGGTCCACCTCCCTCTGGGAGTACGCGACGCACATCAGGACAGCCCGCAATGTCCACATCTTCCGCCCCTTCCTCGCAAGCCACCACCATGTCCGACACCTCCGCGTCTTCCGCATCCGCATCCAGACCGGCGACCGACCTCACGCTGCGCGGACAGACGCACAGCTACTTGGACCTCTCGTGGACCCCGAGTGCGGGACGATCAGAGCTGAGCGTCGCGATCGCCGACCTCGACCACTGCGTCGTGAACCTCCTTCCCTCCACGTCGTCCTCGCGCCGAGCGCCTACCCAGTTCTCGGCCGTGCACATACTCAACGTCACCAACTCGCTCGTCCTTCTCCCACCGCTGAGCGGGAGCATCATGGTCCACGATGCAAGACGCTCAACGATAGTGGCAGGATGCCATCAGGTACGTGCATTCGCCCCGCAGTCGTTACGCGGGACCATTGACCAACTCTGTCCCTGCGCAGTTGCGTATTCACACATCGTCGAAAGTCGATGTCTACCTCTCCATCTCGTCGAACCCGATCATCGAACACTCAAGCCAGATCAGGTTTACCAGTTATCCCGAGGTGCTCGATAACACAAGGGTAAGCATCACATGTGCCCGCATGCGAGTCTGCAAACAATAACCGCTTGCACTGGTAGGACGGCGGGGGCAGCGCAAATTTCTCCGTGCAAGATTTCTCGCACGTCCGTGATACTGCGTCACCCAACTGGTCCGTCCTGGCGGATTCCGATCGGATCGCTGAGGACACATGGCCCGAGATCCTGGCGGCCAGTCGGGATGCGGCGGCAGGGAACTCGTGGACGGACAAGCTGGAACGCACGCTCCCCAACCCTTGATCTTCTCGGTGATTGGGGCGTCGGCAGGCAGCGATGATAGCGGGTGTACTCTATCGAATACATACATGCCTGAGATTTCTTGTTCTTTCGCTTTCTGATCGTCCCAGGGGGGTTTCTCAGTGCTGCACGCGACCTCTCCTGTCGCCTGAATCTCAAAGTACCCTACAACCCAGACTAGACCGTGTTCGCCATCGAGCGCCGGATTCGACGTCCAAAACACCTTGCATGTGCCCAGGTATTTTACAAGCCCCCCTTCCGCCGACCCACAGAATACTGAGCCCGCCGATTATATTAGACTGTATCAGTGGATCGCAATCCTTATCTGTCCGGGGATAGCAGAACTCAACTTAACATTTGATGCGAAGCTCGGAGTCTTCTGATCTCTCGCTGCACTGGTGCTACATTAATATTATAGCTGATCTATGCATGGGCTGAAGGACATATCAGGGGTGAATATTCCTGTCGGAAGTCTTGGATCCGAAACATGAGATCGCTCTGCGCCTGGCGGCACCGGTCTCCGACATCGTCCACGATTGGTTTCCGACATCCTCTGAGCGACCAATCCATAGTGCGCATGCACGCTATATGCGCGAGTGAATGCGCTATCACTGCGACTACCGCTTGAACAGCAGGGGGCGCAACAATCGGCCGCACCGAGCCGATAGGTTGGATCGAGATCTCTCGGTCCCGACGCGCATTTAGCGGAGAGTTCGAGACATTGCGAGTTCAGACCCGTTCAAATCTGGTTCAGATACGACGTGTTCGAGTTGAGACGTTATCGCTAAATGGAATGTCATGGTAGTATTTCAGCTCTGACTTCAGTATGGGCATGCAGCTGCAGAATGTTAGCAATAAGTAGTACACCGCTCAACGCACGTATAGTAGACCGGGACCGCGCCACACGATGTTCTCTTCGTTAATCCTAAGAGTTGTAGATCAAAACACTATTGAGGAAGGCGGCGATTGATCCGAACCAACAGCTAGGGGAGTGGCCGTTCACGTTAGTACAGGCGGACCAACGCGTTTCAACAGCCAGGAAAGCGAGCTAAGTACAGTACATGATTATTGTGTTTCACGCTGTAGGTTAACCCCAGGTTAACGACGTTCCCGGTGACACTTCGCCAAAAAACGTTTGATTTGATCTTCATGAGGAGTATACAACGGGCTGTCCGTTCTGCAGAAGTACGGATGCGCGCCGCAGCTGAGCCGCAGAGGTACTGTCGGTGGCGATGACTTGAGCGGTGGCTCTAGCAGGCTTCAGCCTGAGCGAGCAGCGACGACAACACTGAACAGTACAACTACCGAGAGCTTGACGGGGACTGCTCTCAAACAACTGGACAATTGCACACTCGAAAAGCAGGAAGTCTCTGACTGAGCCACAACCTTCAATAGTGCAAGCCGCCTCTACATAACTCCACGGGTCAAGATGAGCAAGGTCGTCTTCGGTGCGTACTCGTGACTTTTTTAGCTTGAGAGTCGTCTGCTAAACCACTGAACAGTCGGAAATGTTCCCTACAACATGGGCGAGGTGCGCTTGGCCTGTCTGAGGTTTATAGCCTGTTACTGAAATGTATGCACATTCAGGATCAACTCATAGATGTGTTCAAATCCGTTGGCGAAGTCATCGGCTTCAGGTATTTGCCCATCATTTACTCTGGTCACCCTCTCCACTTACCGGGACCACGAAAAGACTTGTATTCGATAGAGAAACAGGAAAAGCGAAAGGCTACGGGTTTTGTGAATTTGCCGGTGATTTCACTTTGCTCCATATACCTATTTTGATCAGGAATAGAATCTGACGTTTGCCAAATTGTTCAAATGTGTATCCTTCAAGATCATGAAACAGCAATGTCGGCCGTTCGCAATCTGAACAATGTCGACGTCGGTGGCCGGCCTTTGCGCATAGATCTTGCGGATTCCGACCCATTCCTTGAAGGCAAGACCACCGTCAGGGGCGAAATCATTGACGGTGGTGAGACCAGGGCTCAATGGCGTGAGCGTGAGCGAGAGCGTGATGACCGTGACAAAAGTACCGGCAGTTTTGCGTCAAGCACCGGCGGCCTATCAAGAACGGATTCGAACACAAGCATCGGGGGCTTGCCCCCTGGGATACCCGTACCGCCTGGCATTACTGCGGAAGACATGATCACTGAAAACCTCGCCCATATACCTCCAGATCAACTAATGGAAGTGCTCGCCCAGATGAAGGTTCGCCACACAAGTGTTATGTTTGAGTAGTTGAACGAGATTCCCCCAGGCTTTCATCATCACACATCCGGACCAAGCGCGACAGCTCCTCGTATCAAATCCTCAGCTCGCTTATGCACTGTTTGAGGCGCTACTTCTCAATAACATTGTTGATCAAGAGATATTGAACGTGCGTGAGCCTGCGTAGTTAAGCGAGGGGCGTCATACTGACTGCGTTATGATCGCTCCAGGTGATGCTTGCCGCATCTGTTCGTTCCCGTGGCTCAGCCCCACCCTCTGTGGCAAGCCCATATACGCAACCTCTGCCCTACCAACAACCTGCGCCCTCAATACCCTATACCCAGCCAGCAGTGCAGCCAACGCAGCATGTGCAACCACAGCCCCCCATGCTACCCACCTCTGGGGCTCCGTATGCTCAACCGCCGGTAGTGCCTCCGTACACCGCATATCGCTCCGCGCCACCCTCCGTACCTGCGCCGCCGCAAACGCCCACACAAACCGCGACTCTACCTGTGCAAGATTACGGTGATCCGGCCCAAAGAGTGAGTATTGCGGTGCCGTTATTATACCCCTGAAAGATAACGTAGTACACATAGGACATGCTCATGCGGATCCTCAGCCTCACTCCGGAGCAGATATCGTCTTTACCGCAACAAGAACGCGATGGCATCCAACAGATTGTGAGCTCAGCATCCCGCGTTCATTTCCGTTAAAACCAATCCCCTCCGATCCAGCGGAACCAAGTCAAATCCTTGGGCAGCATTCCAGTATGATTCACAACGGGACGCGACGGAAGTACATATGCACAGACATCTACTACGCAAATTGGTTCTTCAAGCTTCGCGAACTCTTTAGGGCGAGCAGCTTTGATGAAATGTCCTCCAAAGTGAGCATCTGCGACCGAGCCTTCGTGCCGACATCATCGCGGTTGCGCACGTTGACGGATTTACTACTCTGCTCTTCTTCACCCACCACTATGTGCACATTTTTAAGTACGAGTCTCAACTCCATTGTGAGGAGCCATACCGAGAATGAAATTATATTGCGCGATCTCGCCGTTGCGGATCTTCTTTTGCAGCGTTTCAGGTCCGTTGTCCACATCGACCCATAAGCCGAGGTCTGAGAGGTGTTTGCCGACTTCGGAGGCATAATCCCTCTACATGGCGATGAATGGGCATACCTGGAACGAAAGCAAGGTCACTTACGAAAGGCACAGCAACAGGAACTACGAGAACTTGTCGCGGGGAAATCCAGAAGGGCCTATATCGGACGATTTTGTTAGACGTGGATTTGCGGAAGGAACAATTAGCGGCATGCGCACCATTTGCCAGCGAAGTGCTCGGTGATGATCGCAACAAATCGCTCGACGCTCCCAAGGATCGCGCGGTGAATGATGACAGGCCGGGTTGGCTGGTCGCCACTGCTGGCTTCTTCCGGTCCGCGGTATTTCAGGTTGAACCGCTCCGGAAGCTGAAAGTCAAGCTGGATGGTCGCGCATTGGAAGGATCGGCGGAGGGCGTCACGGATCTTGATGTCGATCTTCGGTCCGTAGAACGCGCCGTCGCCGGGGTTCAATTCCCATTTGCCTGGGTACTCCTTTTCCAGAGCACTCTTCAGTTGCTGCAGAGCATCGTCAGCACCACAGAGTTTAACCAAGTGAGTCCTGACGAACCTCTTCCGCGTGGTTCCAAGTCTCGATGTTGCCCAGATAATTATCTGGCCTCGTCGAGAGCTCGAGCTGGAAGTCGAAGCCGAAGATACCGTAGATGTGGTTCATAAAGTCGAACAAGTTTGAGATTTCTTCTTCGATCTATACGGTAGCCATCGGTAAGTTGGATGAGCCTGCTTTCCGATCCGTAACGTACCTGCGTCGGTAAGCAGAAAATATGCGTATCATCTTGTACGAAGCGGCGAACGCGGGTCAGCCCAGTGAGCGCACCGCTGGCCTCGTTTCGGTGAACAATGCCGAATTCCGCCATCCGGATAGGCAGCTCACGATAGGAGCGATCACGAGAGTCGAAAATGATACAGTGGCCAGGGCAGTTCATCGGCTTTAGCGCCCACTTCTCCTTCTCAATGTCGAGCGTGAACATATCGTCCGCATAGTTTTGCCAATGACCCGAGGTTTCCCATAGTTTACTGTGGTACATGTTCGGGGAGATGACCTCTTGGTAGCCACGCTTATAGTACTCGGCCTAGGAAATTAAGTCAGATTCGCAGGCGATGAGTGCCAGACGACTTACCCGCATAAGCTCGACCAGGGTGTTGTAAATACGGGTACCGTGAGGGAGCCAGAAGCAGCTTCCTGGGCTGAGCTCGTTGAAGAAGAAGAGCTCCTGGTCCTTACCGATCTTCCGGTGGTCTCGCTTCGCCGCCTCGGCCAAGAACGCCTTGTACTCGGTCAGCTGCTTCTTGTCCGGGAAGGAGATGCCGTAGATACGCTGGAGCGAGTCGTTGTTGGAGTCGCCGAGGAAGTACGACGCGGAGCTCTGCCAACACGGGGAGGAGAATTAAACATAAGTTGGGGACGAGAAAGGTAGCGTACCTTGGTGACCATCATAGCCTTGATTCGACCGGTATGCGGGATATGAGGGCCAACGCAAAGGTCGATCATGGGACCACAGCGATAAACGGTCGTGGAAGTTCCATCGGGAATCTTGGTCTCGATGAGATACTTTTTGTATTTGTTGTACTAAGGCCGAGGATGAGTACAGGCATATGAAGACTAGGCGGAGGGCGTACTCCGAACATCTCTAGCAACTTCTCTTTCGGCACCACAAGTCGCTCAAACTTTTGTTTCTCCTTGATCGCCAAATCCGAGAGTTTCTCTAGTGCCGGGTAATCCGCATGGGTGACGGGTCTTCGTGGACATGAGTGTGGTATTCGCGGTCTGTCATCTCACTCTCACCTGTCCTCGATGGCCATCTCATAGAAGAAGCCCTCCTCGGTGGGTGGGCCAATGCAAAGGTGGCAGCCATAGTGTCGCTCAGCGGACTCGCCAAGGACGTGGGCGGAGGAGTGCCAGAATACACGCTTGCCTGAGGAACGGTTAGACGAGCATACCGCTGGGACGATTTCACTCACCCTCTGCGTCATCGAAGCTAAGGAGTTCGAGCGAGGCCGACTTTTCAAGCGGTCTCTCTAGATCCCACAGCTCCCCGTCAACCTTGGCAATCACAACACGTTCAGCGAGGCTCTTCGAGATCTCTTTGGCAACATCCATGGGTGAGGTTTCCCAGCTTGTGCCTGTGCGTTGTGATCCGTCTGGCATAGAGATTGCGATCTCTTGTCTAGGCTGCGCTGAACAGGATGTTCAATGGGCTAACCAACTCAGGCTTAATCGATCTTACCTTTGACCCATTCATCGTATTCTGCCTTCAACTGTTCGAACATCTTGATCCGATGGTCGAAGAACTCGGGACGAGGAGATCGCTAAGAACGGCCTCAGTGCATGGCACGGAAACATGACGGAAACCGGACCTCGAGAGGAAATGCGGACTCTGCCTGAGGTTTCGCCTTCTCCTTTTTCTGCTTCCCCGCCGGATGCGCAGGGGTATCGGCATGGGGCGCCTCGAGCGCCGCGACCTGGACGGCTTGCTGGGAAGAGCCGACTGGATGCTCGGCAGACATGGACGCGTAACGTTTGAAGGCGACGAGAGGCGAGATGGGAAGTCGGCTGACTCGCTGGCAGGTATATGTACAGGATATGAGAGGGCGAATCAGACGGTACATGCAATGCAGGCGCTTGAACACTCGAGTCACTGGGCACGGGGGGATCGCACAGGCTCCTGGTCAGCTGTTGTTTTGTGTGCAGCGATTGAGTGATCTATGCACCTGCCGAGTCTGGGTGCGTTCGCGGGCGGATATCTTCGCTATCAGATCGCCGGAGGATCCGACGACGTAGCTGCCCGGGCGAACGCGCTCAGGGATTGATGTCGACCACTGTAAATTCTGCCGCAATGGCTGGAAGTCTACGAGGTCCAATCGCTCCCCTTGCGATCCCGATTTTCCGCGTTAGGACGTGCAGCTCGCGAATACTCGGCTGTCAGTGTCACTCCGAGCCAGGGAGAAAACGCCCGTGACGATCACGTGGACGTCACCGCATCACGCTTGTGGCACAGCTAAGCCGCTCTTTTGCAGCCGTCGCGTCTTTCCTGCTCAGTCCTAGCGCTCATCCCTGTAGCTTGACCCATCGCGAATGGCCAGTACATCGCAAGGCGCACGTCACGAAGGCCAGGGGGTACCTCAGTTCGCAGCACCAGTACCTGTGCCGAAACGATCCATGTCGGAAGCGGATGCACTTTCAGGCAGCCCAGACCGGAAGCGCGCGCGCACCGGGGAGGACGGCAAGCCCAGCAAAACCAGAGCCAGAGCGGATAAGCGCAGCAAGAAGAAAAGAAGAAAGGTACCCATTGTCAATGCTGTCGCAGGCCCCTCCAGGTATAGGACATCTGCGACGCTGTCCCCTGAGCGAGCCACCGCGCCCCCCGTCCTTGTCGCCGATCGACATGTCGACGATGCGTTTCATGACGCCGACGTATCAGATTCAGAGGGAGTACCCTCTGCAGCACACAGCAGACTATGTACCGCACCTCTGGGCGCGCAACCATCCGCTATCTCCACACCACGCCCAAAGGACATTCCAGCCCAGGAGGACGATCACGAAACAAAACAGGGGACGCCTGCTGTGCGGCGCAGTCGTTCGCCACCGCTGTTTCAGGCTCACTTGCACAGACACTCCCCTCCTTCCCTTCAGCATCTTCTCAACCCAGTTGCCGGGCCATCCTGTGTCAGCCAAAGTCAGTCATCATCGAATGTTGCCCTCAACGACCGAGACCATTCCCGTGACAAAGGCAAGGGTAAGGCGGTTGACTCGCCACAAATCATCGTCGACTCGGAGTTGTCTCGGGAGTTATCAACTCAGACACGAGTAAATGCTATATCACGAAAGTCCTGGCCATCACACTGACGTATTTTCCAGACTATCGACCAGCACCAGACGCTTCTCGCTCAGTTCCAACAAAGTCTGACTTGCCAAATTTGCCTGGAAATCATGCATAGGCCATTTTCGTACGTATATTCACGCGCTTCCACGCTCATAATCTCCTCTAAAATCGCATACTAGACTTAATCCCTGCGGTCATACCGCATGCTACAGCTGCCTGGTCAATTGGTTCACCACAGTACCAACGGGTATCCCATCAGACATGCTTCCTATCTTGTCTCGTCGACGGAAAACATGCCCGCAGTGTCGAGCAGTCGTGCGTGAACGCCCAGCGGAGGCCTGGATCGTCAAGGACATGGTCGCTCAACTCGTCAGAAGCGAGCTTGCTCCTGATGTCCATTCGCCGCCTGCGAGTCTTAACCACAACCTAAACCCACAGAGTGACCCTTGGGAGACCCTATTCCCCAAGCCGATCTCCAACGATGCTAGACATCACCAATTCGCTCGTGGACGCGGTGAACCAGTCGGGCACGGAATGTTTGACGAAGATGACGGGGTGTATCGTTGTTACGATTGCATGCACGAAATATGGGATGGCAGGTGTTCGGGCTGTGGGCGCGAATATCACGGGCACATAGAGATCGAGCAACTCAATGGAGTCTGGCTCGGGGATGATGTTGACGACATCGACGAACCGCGGTGGTTGGGATCTGAAGACGATGAAGATGATGACGACGACGACGATGACTACGGCGCGAACCATACCATGCATGAGGGAGAACATGCGCCCGGGCTCATGCCTGTCAATGGGCTTGCACATCCTGGTTTCCATGATGTCTTTGATGGGGGCATGCTCCCCTGGCTTTTTGGCCCCATGGCTCACCAAGAGCATGGCTCAGATTTCGAGGAAGAGACCGAAGACGACGGGTACGAATCAAGCTTCATCGACGACGGGGAGGAACCTCAGTCCCACGAAGAGCATGGCGAGGATTCGGACGTGATCAACCTGGTATCGGACGAGGAGGAGGATGACGTTCCCGGAGCTCGAAGAGGCGTCCATCCTCGTGGGCCTATGATAGTCTCATCGGATGGTGAGGAAGACGAAATGGAGAGCATTCACGAGCCTCCGCGCCCCCGTTCCCATGGCCGTACAGGAGCGATCATCATTTCTTCGGGGTCGGAGTCGGAAGGAGAGCCCCTTCGTCCTCGTAGGCGCCCTTCGTTCCGTCGTGCTATCAGGGAGGTAGAAGACGATGAAAAGTGTGTGGTATGGATCACCTGCGCTGCTGTGATGTGGCTGATCTGGTGTACTTTCCAGTGATGACGGCTCTATCAATCGCCCTCCGATGCATCTCGCTGGATATTTCACACCTCATCGCACACTCGCAGCGGATGAATACCAGCACGGAGATGAGGACGACGAGCTTGGCGAAGATGACGATCCACCGACCATATGGGACAATCCTATAGCTCAAAGCGACGGCGGACACAGTGATGGTGACCCAGATGGCGAGCTGAATATGGGTTATGATGATGTATACGATAGCTATGAGAACGACTACGGGAGTGACTATGACGGAGATTTCTTTTAATTACTTTCATCACCCTCTCCGTTACTGGTAACAAGGAACACCGTATTGTCTGCAGGATCGTCTACAAGCTATATGGTTCCTTCTTATCGCTCCTTGACTCGTATGGCATCAATCACGGGCGTGGCGAGTGTTTAGTCTGCTCCATCGACCCGCCACACTTTGATCACTCCTAGGCGATCTCCACTGACAATCCCGCCACGGAAGGGGGAGTCGATGCACGCCAGAGCAGACACCGTGTCTTGATGCGATTTTAGCAGGTTTTGTTGGCCTTGATTGATTAGTGATATGCGTTGAGGCGGCCGATGAGTTTGACCACCGCCCAAAGACGGCCAGGTTTCCGCATACGTGGTACGGCGCCCGTCGGCCTCAATCGTTTCACTGAATCCTGGGTGAGCAATGATGGCATACCAGCAAAACCAACCTACCTATAAGCTGGTTTGTCCCCCTCGTCATCGAGGCCCGATAGGACAGTAGATCGCCCAATTCTGCCAAGATCCCATAACCTGATCCTGTGGTCCTCCGATCCGGTAAGCATGAAACCGCGGGGAACGGGCAGTGTCCCTGGGCTGCCTTCCACAACAAGGTCCATTGCCTCTGCTTTGTGCGACGAGTGACCGCCAAACTCAAGTCCGACAACCATAGCACGGATATTGACAGGAATCGAAGGTTTCGTATCCTCGGCTCGAGAAATTGTTCTCCCGAGTTGGGAGAAAGCAGTGAAGCTGCCGGGCATATGCTGCTGCTGACGGGAGCGGACGAGTGTTGCTATCGCAGCAGCGGGATTCGTTTCGGCATCGTGATCGACGTTTGGGCGAATGGCGGCGACCGGCGCGTGGAACGGCGCTGAGGCAAGTTTGGTATTATAGGTCTCCACCAAAGCCATCTTTTCGACGTCCCAAACCTCGACTATGATTCGGGAAGGTTCTTCGTCTGAGAGTGCGCCAGCTTCCAGAGCGACCATGACCCATTTTCCGCGACCTTTGGAAGGATGCAAGTGACAGGCATGTATCCTCGTTTCTGAGTCCTCTTGTCCAACTCTCCAGTTCTTCAGAAGCAGGCCAAAACGAAGATCCCACAGGCTCAGAACTCCTGTCGCGGTGGCTACAATGAGCCACGACCGCTTCTTATCCAAACACAGCGACGTAATGGGCCCATAATGACGTGGGTTCTCCATGGCCTGCAGTACGCGCATATTCCTAAGGTCTAATAAAACGACCCGAGCATGAGTCGTGGCGTAGAGTAAGTTGGAAGAAGCATCTGCCCGCAATGTCAGCAAATGCTCAATACCCGGGCGAGAGACATTATCTACCTGCTTGATAGTGCACCAAGGAAGTGATGTACTCGCCGCTTTCTGCAACCCGATGCTCGCGTATGACCTGCATCTTGTTGTACTTGGGTAATGCACCACTTTGGCTGACATGTACCCGCACAATGTGTAGGCTGCCATCATCAGCCGCGCTCGCAAAGCAATGTAGACCCTCCAACATGCATACGGCCTTCACCCGCGCGTGGTGCTGGCCATATGTCTGTCGAGGTTTTGCTGTAATATTGCGTTCGAGGCGAGCCGTGTCCCAGATCTTGACTGTCTTGTCGTCCGAGGCAGAGACAAAGAATAGATGATCAGGAGAAACCGCAAGGGAAGTAATGGCGTCTGAATGCGAGTGAAGATGTGTTATCAACATGGCCTCTGTTCGTCTTGAACTCCCATCACGAGGCATGAAGGAATGGCGAACAGCAGTCCGGCGACGGACTGGACCAACGTGAACCCTGGGACCGAAATCGTCCTGCATGTCACGATTGTTGTCAAGATACATGTGTTCCAAGAGGTTGCTGATGCCAGGCTCTTGTCCGTCTGAAGAGTTCACTTGATTAGTGCAGGCAGTGGACGCGCGAGAAGACACGTGCCGTAGGTGGATATAGGCAGCAGCACAGAAGGCGGACCTTGTCGGATCTGTCCGCGAATAGTCCCAGCAACAGATGCCGGAGACGATCTGCCCGACCGTTCCGGAGAGGCCTCTGAGCGTAATCGCATGGCGGTGTCCAGTAATCCAACGGCGTTAGCCCTGGAAGAGCCGATCGCCGGAGCAGCCTTATGGCCGTCCATGACACCGCCAGACAACCTATGCATGCCTCGGAAAGCGGATGTGTTCGCGGACAGCACGGACTCTGCAGGACTTGCGGGACGCTCAAGGGGAGGAAGTTCCATGTCAGCCGCTAGAGTCGTTGTGTGCCCAACATTGGCGGGCACAGGCGACATCGAGGCACGCGAATCCCTAGCACTCGCAGGGTCAGGATGCAGCGACGATGAGGATCCGTTGATCGTAGCGAGGCGGCGACGAAGATCTTCGAAATTGCTTCCACCGTGGTCCACGCTGGGTGGACGGCTCAAATGCGGTGTTCCCGGTACAGGCGTTCGCATTACCTGGTCGAAAACAGCCGATCTTGCTGCAGCAGAGCGCGGTGAGCGAAGTGTCTGATCAGCTCTGGCCTTGAGGAAGACGGTCTGAGGCGTTACGCCGAGCTTTTGTAGCTCAACGTAACTCGTGGTCTGAAGAGTCTCAGGCTGCAGCTCAAGACGCAACCGAGATGCGAAACTGGGCTAATCAGCCTTCAGGGTGGCATTGGTAGGATTCTCTACCCACCTGGATACGGCATCGGCAAGTTTGGAGATGTAGTCGCGCATAGCCAAAAGTTTCGCTTCGTCACCAGACGACATGCCCAGCTGGCGCAGCTTCGCTAACTGCGTTTCATCTCTGAGCAAAAACATGAGTACATGTCGCAAATAGGGTAAATATACCGTACTCTTCCGATTTAGCCCTGGTACTCGTAGCCAAACCCTTGCGAGTTGCTATCATACTGTCTCTCGGCGATTCCGACCTAGGGGCCAATCGCCGAGGATTTCTCCAAAACGAACTCTTGTCGGCTTTCATGGCCCATTGCAATGCTGCGTCGTAAACAGATCTCGGTAGCTTGAGGTGGGCCGTCAGATGGTATTATGCACTCGCCCGTCTGCTGCGACTTACCGGTGTCTTGACAACCTCAAGAAGACTGCGCTCGTCCAGTGCACGTATATCAGACCGAATGAAATGTCGAAGCGATGGGTACAGGATACACCACATATCACTGCTCGGCAGATGCTTGGCTGCGGATGCGATGAACGCAGCAGCGCCTGAGAGAGGGTCATCGGCAAAGGTAGTGCAGGTACTCCGAGTAAACACACCTTGCCGAATCCAGATGTTTGGATGATACAGGAACCCGAGTGTTGCACTCATCAGTTCCCATATCCGCATCTTCGGGAACAGGCCTAGTTCACACAGGCTGGTCAACGCGCTCAATACCTTAGCCACCACCGTCTCCTCGACATCTGGTTCAGCAGGTGGTCAGTGACACTTTAGACTATGAAGAGTTAGCCACACCTGACAGAGCTTGAATCATCAACGGTAAGATATATTCATCCAGACTTCTTCCGCCAGCGCATGCGGCAACATCAACGATGCTGTCGAAGAAGGCATATCGCAAGAGCCAGTCACGGTCATTGAGGTAAGTGATCATATGGCTGAGAAGCACGTCGTTGGTTTTCTGCCTGCCTAGGAATATACATATCGAGGATATGTTGTGCAGAACGGCACGTTTGACAACGCTAGACGAATCCATGAGAAGAGCCGATAGATGTTCTTGGATGCTGCTTTGCAGATCTTGCATGCTGGCCTCATATGACAACTAAAGAACCGGTTGAGGATGGGCTGCGCCGCATAGATCTCGCATTCCTGACCTCAAGATGTGCCTCCTCATATTCCTGCACGTCCGTGGTCCTCTTGAAGGCACCATGCGCTTTCAGTGCCTGGCCCATCTCGAGGTATCGCAATGCTGTCTCGCCCAGTGGGACGATACATTGAGCATACATGCAGCGAACGGACACTTCGGGATCTCTGATCAAATGCGAGATGTTCGGTATGATGTACTCCGGAAATATGGATGCATTGAAGGGCGTTATCACGGTCACCAGCATCACCTATACGCCAACATGAATCTTACAACCGCGAGATAATGGATGACGCGCTCACCACCTGCATGAGCGTTCTTAAAGCAGACGAGCGTACAATTGCCGCTTCATCATGTAAAAGGTCCACAATGTACGGCACCATCCGATCTATTTTGGCTTCATCGGTGAGGTGCGGGCAAAGCGCCAGGAAGACATCCAAAGCCCTGATCTTGGAACTCGGTAAACGACAATTCCGCACATTAGTGCTGACCAGAGCAAGAATGATAAGGGCAGGTCCGTCTATTGAGTTAACATCAACAATTAGGCAACGTGTGGACATGTCACTCTTACCCTCTGCCGCCGCGACCTGCCCCGATGCGGTAGGTAGGATGAGCGCCGACTCCCTGTTTGGGACGTGTAATTCTACCGGAAAGACGTCCTGAACACTAATGAGAAGAGGCAAGGGTTTACACGGCGAGTCCTACCTGGAAGGGCTTTGTTGGGCCCGCAGACACAGTGTATTCTATCTTCACCGCCGAAAGTGTATCTTCTAAGACGTCGGCGATGATGTAGGGCTCCGTGCTCTCATAATCTGCCCAAATCCGTTCCATGCGTTGGTCTGAATCGCTGGGTAGCGCTCCGCCGAGTTCATCAGGTAGGGCCCCCCCTGGTGCAGAGGCAGCGGACGGTAGCCCCCTAAGCGCGCTGCTGGGCGCAGTAGACGACGTTCCGGATGGCAATGGTGTAGGAGACGCAAATGGAGAAGGTGTTGGCAGTTCACTGACACTAGCGACGTAGTTGTGCAGAAAGGAGTAAAAGCACTCCGGAAACACGCTGCCCCGTGACGTGTGCAGCAACATATCGAACGAAGGCCGTGATGCAGGATCCAGAGCAATCATTTGCTTGATCAGATTCTACTTTGCCATACGATGAGCAACTCATTTCCGCCTGAAGGGAAATTACTCACCCTCACGCCGTCATCTTCAATCACTGTGAGAGCAGCGTCCACGGTGGACTCTCCTTCTCGGTATTTGAATAGCTGGCTCAGCGTGAAGAGCGGCGCGCCCTCGAGAAAGAGCTCGGCAATCACACATCCGACACTGAAGCAGTCCATTGCCTCCGTCACTTTGCCGTCGCGTTTGCCTTCTCCGTCATCGATGCTCATTGCCAACCTGGTCTTTCTCGCACTGATCTCCGGATTCTCTTGTGCTGTGTAGAATCGTTCGGGGGCGATGTAACACGTTCGGCGTCCGGAAGTATCGAAGAAAAACGAGAAATCGGAGGGATCATCGAGAGGGAGATAAGTGGGCTTGTACGATGCGAAATCAGAGACGTAGACCCAGTTCCAGGAGGTTACGAGGATATTCTCGGACTTGATATCGCCATGTGATACTTTGCGATTGCGCGCGTCACGAAGAGCGTTCAAAATCTGGAATGATATCCATTTCTTCTCTATCGAACTTAGAAATGGACGCGTGCTGAGTCCCAATGAGTCATCGAGGAGTGCAGCATGTCAGAGGCACCAAGCATACCTGATTCGGTCGTAGAGGTTGCTCGCGATCCACTGTCGTACAATATAACCAGCTTTGTCGGTCTCCACAAAGGCTTGATAGCTGTACACGTTTGGTAGATCGAGCAGAGCCTCTCTATCCACTGGAACGAAATATTAGACCCTGCGAGAATGTTGAATGACCACCCACTCTTCAATCTCCTATGATAGTTCCGTAAACTGAGTCCAGGATCCGATTTGATGAATATCTTGACGACAATGTAGCCATTTCTATGGAGACATTTCACCGTCTTCAGAAAACGCGCCGAACCTAAGCTATGCAAATACTCAACAATCAGGCCCGCGCCACAGCGAAACTTGAACGTACCTTCTCTCATACACGATGTCTCCCCCAATCTCGGATACATACGAGTCAAGAGCACCGGCAGTGCGCGTCAATGATGGAGTGTTGCCCATTAAGAGGGATCACAAGTAATAGTAGGATGAGCGTCTAGTGGATGGATATCGAGCCTGCAGTTCGTCGCTGCAGTTGGCGTAAGCAGCTGCAGTTTACAAAGGGAAGGTAGCTGGTCAAGCGAGGACAGCTCAGGATGCTTCGGCCCAGATCGTGATCATGGGGTGGCTCAGCTCTGGTCGATCCTAGTTCTGGCTATGAGTTGCACGTTGAACGTTGAGGTAGTATGATTGCTACTGTTGCTTGTGGTCTGCCGGGCCCCAGAATCGTCGCTGCCGAGAACGCGACGGGATTTGCCGATGACTCTTCCATGTCCCTTCATCACCTCCTTTCATACTGGCAGCGACAGCATGAAGATACCCTCATATCGCTCACTGTCGGTCTAATAGCTGTACGATGGAGCTACCGTTGCGAGACTCGTTGCCGATTCTACACTGTGCAGCGTTCACGCAACGACGTGCCCCACGTCATACAACAGACCTACTGGCCATCCTCAGACTCCAGACCTCAGGGCTTCAATTTCCCGAGCATCGATCTACTATGTATGGCATTTGATATCGAAATCTCTCTGCTCTGCCGACGCAAGATTTGTTGCTCCCGTCGACTGTGTTCATACGGAGCTATGCTGGTGGTGCTATGGTGGAAGATCAGGAAGCATTGCAGACACACTCGCACCTGGCTATGCAATCCGGAAGCAGCTGCCGCCCGTTCGCCCGCAGCCATTACTGCGCAATCCGGTGCTAAAGCTTCCGATTTGTCGCCGTTTTCGTGTCCCCGCCCACCCACTCTACTCTACTGAACGGGGACCACCTCGCTCTCTCTAGCGCCTCGTTTGCGTGTTGACACGTGACATTTCAATGATTATCAATCGGCACCGTTGATGACTCCCTTGGTGCGGAAAGCTATGCCTCATCTCTCTGTCAATGAAATGCTCCCAGCACGAGGCTATGGCACCTACTGCGGATGGACTGACTAAGGGATCCGCCGTTCAAGATGCTTAATGGCGGGAACTAGTCACCCGGCCCAAAACACTTGGCTCGTGTCTAAGTGACGATGACTCACCCTACGCCGGAGCCGGAGCGCTATAAAACGGTGACGAACGCCAGGCCGTTCGACGTTTTCCCAACCTTGTTATCGGAGGCGCAGTATTAGTGACCCGCTTGCTGTCCTGCTGTTTCCTCCCGTCTCAGCCTACCATATGACCGTCACCACTACTACCCTCAAAATGAACAAGCAGCAGATACAGCACGCTTTTGCTGACCGACGAGAAGCAGAGCGAGCGTTTGCTGCATTCATACCGATCTACTTGGCAGCTAGGGCTAATCGCGAACGTAAACGTCGTTCTCAGGAGGCCCGTGCCCCGCACCCGAATTTTCGGGATTCAAGACCACGGAGTTGGATACCCAGGTTTGCTTAACTGCTACTTGTCACTCGTGTCATCGCTGATGTGTATCACACCCGTCTTTTAGAATGGACCTCTGCGATGACCCTTCGACATCCCAGATAGTGGCTGTACTCGAGTTACCGGGTATGCGCAAGGAGGATATTCGCCTTGAGATGCAGAATGGGTCATTAGTTATCTCAGGGGAGCGCCGGTCTCCCTCCAATATGGATGACACCCCGCTGCCGCATGACTTCAACATCTCAACACTGTCTCAGCCCCCGCAGACAGCACCGGAAGTACAAGTCACCCCGGCCACTCCGACCCATTTCTCATCGGATACGGACACTGTCTCGGGTGGCCCTGCACTAGTTCAGACTGGCGGAGACTCGCACATGAAGGAGCTGCAACCCTCCCTGAAGCCCAAGTCTATCTCCGTCTCTCGGTATCCGATTCAAGAGCTTAAATACGGCAAGTTCGAGCGGACCATAAGACTTCCCTTTGGCATCGAGGTGCGTTCCGCTTCCCGGTCGTTCTAGCAACTAGTCCACTAAAAGTAATCCAGGCTCAACCGAATGTTGTTACTGCAACTATGCATGACGGCATGTTGACGGTGTCCTGGCCACGGAGGATGCAATCCGAGCCATGTCAACGGATCGAGATCAACTGATCCACCTCACGGACGGCACGCTGAATGGTATCCGAGCCGAGCGGCATGCAGTTAACGAATCAACCCCACTCGACTCAGCCTTGACATCTTTCTTCCTATATCTTACAAGTCCGCACCAGCTCTTATTATACCGTATCTAGTTCCATCGTCACGTTACCGTACGGTCCAAAATAATCTCTTCATCGTTTCGCGCATCCTCCTGGCACTGATGGACGCTGCCGTAGCTATGTACATAATTCCAAATCCAACTCAACTTCATTGCTGCACTCCTATTTTGCGTTGAACATTTAGACCCTCGTTGACATGTCTCACCACGTTTCTGTCTGAAGCCACTTTGATCGCTCGTCGGATTCAGGCAGGCTGGTAACGAGACTAGGTGCACCCGTCATTGAGGCGAGTCACTTTTGCGTTCGAGGCACAACTGGGAGTGTGTACTCCAGTAGTCGGGCACGAGTTGTGTTACAAGACAATCCGCACAACTCGACTACGCTCAGTGGAAGCTTCAAGAGGAAGTACCGACTGATGAAATAGTGCGCTGTCAATTTATCGAAAGTCAGGTGGAGCGACAGGAAAACTAATGAAAATTAATGAGGATCGTGCAATCTACTTACCTACACCTACCTACCTAATATTAGCACGTAGACAGGGGATCGTATATCTTATTTATCTTGATATATCTGTCACGACCGGACTACATCACTACCTGTCACACGTTCGCGCTGCAGCTCCAAGCCGAGGATTATACTAGCACATATATCATCGCAAGAACACGTCAGTGGTAATCTTGTACAGCGGACTATATTTCTGGGTACCGCACGTCGGCATTCTCCTCCAGCCACGACATCCATGCTTTCAGAAAGGAGCTGCCATGTTGAACAGTCGAGGAATCTCCTACGACGCACTGTAAATCAATAACGCATCCGATCAAGAGCTTGTGATAGTCGGGATTCTAGGTGGCTCACTAAGTGGCGTTTCGCTCGTGTCATTGCAACTGCAGAGAATATGAGGTGCACCATACTCAAAGGGATCTATCTCGCGTACCGTTAAGCCTCCTTTTCTCCTTCAGAAATCCGACTTCGCGCTAATAGTACCTCTCAGCTTTGGAACAGAAGCATGTTCGTCGAGCGACAACAATCACCTTCGAGTTACTCCGCACGAGAGTTATTATGACAGCCTCCTTCTCTCTCCCTTGCATGCCATCGATTGACCCAATTTCAAGGTCGGACCCGAAAGTTGGTCGCAAAACCGAGGTAAGAAGCTGGACCTGGGCCTGATATCTGCAAAGAAGTTTCAGGCTATACATCCGAAGGGAAACTGGCCGAGGATTTACGGCGTCACGATCGCAATCTGGTCAGGTAGAATCCCCGCACCGACCTGAGCCGCAATGCATGAGATCGGATCTGACCTAATGTTACGACGAAAGAACCCACCAGCGTTTCTACCCAGTGCTTGACAACACTCGCTTCGTTCTCATTACATTTGCTTCCTTCGTCGCCGTCGCCGTCAGTCCGCTCGTGATATTCGCATCCTGCCGTGTCGAAAAAAACCACTGGGGTTTCCAAGGCATCTAAGTCTAGGTCATTCTCCGAGGTTGCAATATTCGGGAGGTCTCGCAGGAGGTGATTCGCGACAGTGGGATGAGGGATGAGTTTGTTTGAGTATAGAGTTTTTGACGGAAATGCATTGATGTGAGCATGCATGCTTGAAGTAGATTCGGTACGGCCATAGCTGTCGTTATAGCGGAAGAACTCACCGATACTGGATTCTGAGCATCCTCTTGATGTTTGAACCATACATTTTCTCCAGACGATCAAAGAGGGTGACCTCGAGGGATTTCGGAGATTGTAAGCGTCCTAGCGGTTTCGAACGCTTGATCTTTGAGCTAAGAGGCTTTTCTTCTGTGCTATCACTTTCGATGATGACATCATCTCTTTCCGATGGTTCCAGAGAGGGTAATACGGCATTGAATCTGCGTGAGGGCTCGTTGCCTTCATCTGTCTGCTGGTAGGCCATCTTCTTGCTGGTCGATTTGACCGTACGCTTGTCCGCGATCCCTTTGGTTTCTGCAAACATGCCCTCATCCAATGATAAGACTGTAGGGGGAAGTTGCATCGGATCCCCAGCGAGTATCAATTTTTCAGCTTTGAATACTGGAATCCAACAGACCTAGGCAAGATGAAGCACTTCTGGAGGAGGAAGGATAGGAACACTTACGGCTTCCATGGCCTGAGTTGCTTCATCGATGATGACCACATCGAAATCCTGATTGAACAACTGCCGGCCACCGGATGTGAAACAAGTAGCTAGAACGACCTGGCATAATCAGATTAACACCTGTTGCAGAGTCGATGTTGATTACCTCCGACGCTTTCAAGACACTTTCAACCACGCCACCTTCACGCTTACGGTACCTAAAATCCGAGATGAGCGTCGTCGGTTCGGGGAAATACAGCAAACCGAAGTACTCCTTTCGCAAAGCCCGGACATCATCCCACATCTTCTTCCGCTCGAGTCCTCGGGGGCGTTTGGCCTTGGCTCCTTTGCCTTTGCCGTTGAGACTATCTAACGTAGCCTCTAACTCGTTCTTCACATCTTTTGCCAGGGCCGCTTGGTCACTCCTGCCTGCCTGAACCTCGAGAGTTGCTTCTAGGACACCCTCTTTCGCCATGACCCTCGCGGGATGTCCGACTCTTGTGACCTTGATCTTGCCTTGCTTGGGGTCGCTCGGGGGAGGAAGTGCTAGGAGTCTTTCAAGGATATTATCAACCGACAAGTTTGATGCACCACAGACAAGTAAACGTTGAGGTCTAGGGTTCCAAGCGGTGATAGACGTCAACTGTCGAATTATCTCAATGAGAGTATGCGTCTTTCCCGTTCCTAATCAAGTGGCCATTGGATCAATTGTTGCACATACAAAGATAGCCGGATCCCTTACCTGGAGGGCCGTGTATACAGGCGACTTCGGGAGACTGTAAAACAAATTTTACTGCCTCCCTTTGAGTCGAATTGAGACCTTCATTAAAGAAGGTTAGGTGATCGATTGGTCTTAAAGGCGAAGGCGAGGCGAGGCCGAGGAGAATTTGAACGAGTCGGTTTGGCGGCGGAGATGGATAACCCTATTTCCGGTCTGAGACCGCTCGACCTGATATCGCACTGGACTCACCTTGTCACCATGAGACGGTAATACGACGCGCTCCATTTGGTCGATAGCTTTATCCATCCTAGATCATCATGAGCGGAGACCGCGATAAGGCATAGGGGTCACCTGTCGTATGTTATACTGTTCGCGAGTTTAACAATGCGACATCGTTCTGGCAGGTCCACATCTTCAGCGTCCGATGCAATGACTATGCGAGAATCGGAGACCTTCAAGGGTGAGCGGCAACGCGAGCAAGATCGTCCGGTGATAGTTACCTGGTAAACAACGCCTTCCGTGGACTTGCACTCCTTGTCAGGAGCGGTAGAGGGTTTTCTACCCTTCGCGAACTTGCTAGCGGTACCGGCACCAGTAACATTTTCCTCCACCCTTGCCAAATCACCGGGGCTATATGATGATAGGATCAGGGACCACTTCAGCAAACAGGCTTGTTACAACTTGCCGGAGTGTGTGTGGCGGTAGTAATGGGCTCGCGTTGTATGCTGTCGGCCGTTCTAACTCGACGAGCCTTTGCGTTCGAGTGAATCTTTTCGTGCACCATGGGTGTAGATAACGCCTACGTCTTTCCCCCCAGTCCGATGTTCAGAGATGCCACACCAAGACCTCCTATGGCGAGTCCCTTGTGCTCTAGTTGCTTCTGACTGCAGTTTGATAGCAACAGCGAGCTTCGGTTGACTTCTTCTTGACGCTCTCGAGCAAGTAATTCGCGTTGGCGTGCGATGAAAGCGACTAGTTCAGCATCGTTCGAGGGCGTCATGTCCCAATGTTTCAGGATTGGGTCTTGATCTATTGGGGTTCCAATTGCAAACGGCTAGGTACCATCGCTACGTGTTCAAACGGAAAGGTCGTGCGTGAGTCGTGCGCGTGAGGCCTCCGAAAGGCGTTATCAGTCTCCGCAAATATATTCCGAATTTGTTCCAAGAGCTGGGTGTGGCGGTGCTGCATATTTCTTCCAGTTAGTACCAGTCCCTGGTCGACGACCTTACTCCGGTGCTTCCTCAAGCTGGCATTATTGGGCTTCAAATGCACGAAATCACTCTGTAAATACTCGCTGGGCAACCCGCACTTCTTCCGACTGTATACGAGGCGTGCACCCGTTCACTTAGTCACACGGAATCCGTCCGACATGGTGCAATGGAATGCGAGCGTGCTCACCGGCGTCACCTCAGATACCGAACCCTGTCTGCTGGTCACTTTCGAGAACGCAAAGTACCTTTTCAATGCCGGTGAAAATACCACGAGGTCTTTTTTGCAGACTGGAAGACGGTGGAATCATGCCAGGGGCATCTTTCTGACGGATGTTAACACCTCTCGGGCGAGCGGTCTACCAGGCGAGTCCCCAATCCCATTGCCAGCTCCAGATTGCTGAGGCTCGCTACATAGGGCTCCTCATGTCTCTAGCAGATGCGAAGTCTCGCCAGTTGACTATCGCGGGACCTCCAGGTTTGATGCATTGGCTGGCTTCGGCTCGGACCTGTACCTACCGGTTCGTGCCACGGCGCATATAACGGCACTGTGCTGAAGCTCCTACGCAGGGAGGGAATCTGTGTCCATCCAGTGGAAGCCGCGATGGAGAAGAATTCGGAAGTACCCAATCCGATCTACAAGGACGGCAACATAACGTTATACTCCTTCTTGGTCCATCCTCAAAGCGTGCCTCATACTTCCATTGAGCAACGACCACCAAGTGACCAAAATTCAAGGGCGTCCAAACGAAAACGCACGCCTTCCCCAACATCAAAATCATCGAAACGTTCAACTCCTCTCGATCGCGTTGTTTCGGGAGATACTCCGATGAAGGGTGTTACTTCATCTCTTCGTGAACGCATGAAACAGCCACAGTTCAACCCGAGTACCTTGACCGGCACCGACGCGCAAGAATGGCGATATCTCTTGATCAAAGGGATGTTTCCACAAGCCGAGCCCCTTCCTGACCCGAAGATCGTGGCCCGCCGAGAGAGGAAAGCAAAACACGAGGCAAAAAAGAGATCAAAACAAGGTTCAACCGGGAAGGGGAAGGAAGAGAGTCAGGACGCAGCACCTGCCCCCGATGCGAAGGCGGCTCTCTCGCCATCCACGGCCATTGCTCTACAACCAGCCCCTCGGCCTCCGCCTCGACTCCCTAAATATGACCGCCAACTTCCATTATATACGAGCTCTAAAGCCGTTCTTGCATACGTCCTGGTCGGTCCACAAATCCGAGGCAAATTCGACGCTGAGAAAGCGCAAGAACTTGGTATTCCCAACGGTCCGGTTCGCAGACAACTCGCAGCCGGCGAAACTGTCACCTTTAGAGTGAAAGATGGGAATGGACAGACGACGGAGAGGACGGTGACATCCGAGGAGGTCTTGGGTAAAGCAGAGCACCCGAAGGCACTCCTCGTCTTGGATATTCCGGACAGCAGTTATATCCCAAACCTAGTGTCAACTTTTGCGGACTCGACGTGGTTGATGAGTATAGGGAAGGAAAACCGGCCTATGGGTGCCCCTGAGATAGAACTGCACGCTGTCTTCCACATATGCGGAGAGGGCGTGCTAGAAGACGAACGGTACAAGACATTCATGGGTATTTTGGGTGGACCTCGTACCCAGGTGAGTGAGAGCTCTTCTCTGCAAGATCCTAGCATGAACAGATCTACTCCAGCATATCATAGCTTCACGGGGGCATACTCCGGACCCCGTGTCCTTCACGACCGCCGCCTACAACATACTGAGACTGAACCAACTTGACTCGGGTATCTTTCCAATCCCGAAGTTTGCCGTGGAATCACCGAAAACTCTCGATTGTGCGTTACTCGCTGCTACCCATTTCTTTCTTGTGCTCATTGATATTTTCAGCCGTTCTCGGTCTGCCGCAGCTATCGCATCCGCTTCAAGCAAATATCGATATCAACATGCATCCTTCCCGGGACCCTGTTCATGTTCCCACTCCATGGGATTTATTTCATCCTGCTTTGGTCGGTGGGGACCGTTCGAACCTGGTCCCAGCATCCCTCTCTCATTTGTTCTCGCAGGCCCGAGCGGCAGTGCGAGAACGAGAGGCTTTCACCACAGCGTCTTCACCAGGAGACGACGTACAGGTCATTTCACTCGGGACTGGAAGCGCGTCTCCAAGCCAATCTCGTAATGGTGTGTCAGTCAACGGTCCTATCTATATGCGCAGCTGACCTGTAGCGATAGTTTCGGGGACATTAGTACGGATACCTGGTTATGGTTCAGTGCTTCTTGACGCCGGTGAAGCCACATGGGGTCAACTGGCACGCCACCACGGTACAGACAAGGCGGCATCCAATAATGTCTGGGATGTACTTCGCGATCTCAGATGCATCTTCATCAGTCACATCCACGGTGACCATCACATGGGGCTTGGCAAAATACTAGCTATGCGGCAGAAGGTTGGTCTGCTGTTGATGGTCCTATACCTCCTTCAGTGATCAATGTCCGTTGTATGGCAGCTTGACCCACCGGCCACATTGCCCCTATACCTCATCGCCGGTCGCGCTGTTCACCTCTACCTCCGGGAGCAGTCCGACATAGAGGATTATGGTCTAACAAGAGATACCAATTCAGGAGTGAAAACAATTCTTCCGGATTGGATCGATCACTTTGCGGGGCCTTACCGTCCCCCCGTTGCGAACGAAGGATGGACTGCACGTTCTGAGTGAAGGGGGATTGCTATAGTGTTCATGAATCCCGCTAATTTGCTCTATACAGATCTGAGAAGGCACTCAGAGATCTGCAAGCGGCCTTGGGCATTGAATCGCTACGGACTGTCATGATGGAACATCGATGCCGTTGCTTCGGTCTGGTCATGAAACATAGAGATGGTTGGAGCCTTGCGTATGTTGCAGAATATATCCTGCCATAGATTAACCACCGAATTGGCTTGCAGATATTCAGGCGATACTATGCCTTGCAATCGGTTGGTCGAGGCCGGCAAAAATGCGACTCTTCTCATTCATGAAGCAACGATGGCCGATGAAGAGGCGGAGCTCGCATTCAAGAAAGCACACAGCACCGTCGGTCAAGCGTTGGATGTTGCGACAAGGTAATGGCGCCTGCCAATATTGCCCCAATGCGCATCTAAACGTAATGACAGAATGAATGCCAAGAATGTTTACCTCACCCATTTCTCCTGCCGTTACCCGAAAATGCCTCACAAGAATGTGAATGCACAATCGAGCCCATCACGCGGAAAGGATACCTCCGACGGAGACGTGCCCCCCGTCGTGGCGCTGGCCTTTGACAACGTTAGCGTGCGGATTGGCGATATGTGGAAATTAGCCGCATTTCGGCCCGCCATCGAGCAAAATTACGCGGACACAGAGCAGCTGGACGCGGAGTCAGGTACACTATCACCTGCCGATCCTGACGTGGATGTGGCCATGGACAGCTGAAGAAGCACTCGATCATTGCCATACCTGCGAGTATACTGACTGCACTTGATGCCGGCAGTTCGCAGGGCGGCTTGTCGAAACGCAGAATTTACCGCCTCAAGGCTTGCATGCAACATGCCTGGAGCTCGTGCAACCGCCTCTACCCGCTGATGGATATCCCATAATCTGGAACGCTGGTGATCAAGTACAGCATAATGATGTCCCCTCCGTTGTGGGAAGAGCATCGATTAGTGGAGGAATGGCATTATAGCTAGACGTTCAACATTGACGCTGTATCGTCCTTGAGTACCTATTGTCATGTCGACGTACAATGCAGCTCTGTCGATAAGTGCTGGCGCCGGCCCGTAATGTGTGATCGCAATGATGCTACTGGATGCCCATGGCACTGCAATCAACCACCCTCCCGCCACCTGTTCAGTTACCATACCACACGAGTCCGAGCGAGAGCACTCGTGGCTTCAGATTCATTCACATTCCTTGTCCCAGAAACTTGTGATATTTACATCGTCGTTCGTTTGACTCCCCTATTTGTCCCCAAAACACAGTGACACCCAATGAGCTCGTTCACGTTCCAACCCGGATATCGTTCCACACCACCTCGTCCCTTGTACGCGTTCAAGACTGTCGTGGATGCAACCTCTGACCAAGATCATGGCGCAAGCGATGGCTGGCGCAGGACCTTGTCGTTGAATGCAGTCACCTCGAACAGCCCCGGTGGTATCCTCAGACGGCACGACAAACCAAATAACCATGCATACACTGATCCACTACGGGCTCCAGCAACGTCTGGACTTGGTCTCACCATGCTCTTGCCTAACATCACTGGCAGGCCCGCCGTGGACGAGTTTCAAGCATCGCAAGCAGTACAAAAGTCCACCGAGGATCGGGCGCTGCGGAACAGGGGCTGCAACAGTCCACGAGTCCTCTCAGTCTCGAACACCGCTTCGCCATCTTTGCCAACCCACTTCTTCCGTTCCTCCTCGATTCAATCGGATTACAGAGCCACCGAGACTCGGATCAATCGCTCTTCGGCGATGTGGCTTGCGATGTACTTCATCCTCAACCTAACCCTCACACTTCATAACAAAGCTGTTCTCGTTGATTTGCCTTATCCTTATGTTCTCACCGCCGTCCATTCTTTGTGTAGCACCTTAGGTGCGCTCATCATGCGTCGGAAAGGCTTTTACACTCCTTCAAGGCTGGGTTTGAGGGAAAACGTTCTGCTCCTCGCCTTCAGCACGCTCTATTCTCTGAACGTTGCTGTAAGCAATGTCTCCTTGAAGATGGTCTCAGTTCCCGTACGTTGACGCTATGCCGCCGCGCCCTGGATGCTCACGATGACCTTGCAGTTCCACCAGGTTGTGAGATCTACGACTCCTGCTTTCGTCTTGATGCTGTCATACTGGTTTCTTCACTCCACCTGGGGCCGGTCACAGTTGATATCCCTCCTTTTGGTTATTACGGGGGTCACGATAGCGTACGCCATAAGAACTCGGTGCTATTCTATGTCTGACAGTTGGTGCAGCACCTTCGGCGACTACAGTTGCACGCTGGCCGGCTTCGTTCTTACGTTAATCGGAACTTTCCTAGCTGCACTGAAAGCGTTGATGACCGGTCTTATCCAGTCCCGACAATCCGATAAACCCGACATAGCTCCTCAATCTAATCGGCCGTGTTGTGTTGAGTCGCTGCGTCTCGGCCTCCACCCGTATGACCTCCTGGCACGCATGTCACCGTTAGCTCTTGTTCAATGCCTTTGTTATGCACACTACTCTGGAGAACTCATACATGTGGCCGAGAATGCAAGCTACGGCACGGTAATTATCTTGCTTGCGAATGGTATCATCGCATTTGCCTTGAACGTCGTCAGCTTCACTGCGAACAAGAAGACAAGCGCACTGAGCATGACCGTCGCAGGTAAGTCTTTCTGCGTTCCAATACATCCTCGGACTGATGCATGCTACAACAGCCAATGTTAAGCAGGTGCTGACGATTATGCTTGCTGTCTTCATATTCGGGTTGTCGATTTCACCCCTCAACATTATCGGGATCGCTGTGACTCTACTAGGCGGCGCATGCTACGCTTGGGCCCAGTTATGCGAACGCACTGTCAAGCCAAATGGGACAAACTCGGCCTTACACAAAGGAGAGCAGTTGCGCACGGTTGCTGGAACTTGACTTTCTCTTACACAATGTTCCGCTCATTTCTACTAGTATTGTATCGCTATCCCCATCCTTGGCATGTAGTAGGTCACCCGGCTTGAATGTAGAACGCGTTTCGTTTCGCAGCTCTATTCTGGAGTTCCTTGCGATTTGAGCTTACAAAACTCGATCATCTCCAGGTGATGACTTTTTTGTTCGTTGGGCACGTCCGCTCTACGTTAGCGGTACTATGTCGTATCATCCGCGTAAGTCCCCGGGTTGACTAAACCGCGACGAATCATGGTTTCGTTTATGCCCATTTGTGATATTCACGACGCAGTGCATAAACGGCATAAGGCGTAGTATTAGTATCTCCAGGCGTCCTAAGCGGTGACTGCGGTAGATTGCTGAACCCTACTACCGAGACTCCGGTCGAGTTGCTACCCAGACCATACAGCAGGGCCAGCTAGGGGTAGTGGAAGAGTTTTGAGGACCAGTAAGCCAGAATAACTCACGGGAGACGTAGCCTGTAAAGTTGCTAGGCAAATCGTAGATGTTCTATAATGACAACGGGTCAGAGAGAACCTTCGCCTGAGGGTGCTGGCTGATGACGAAACGTACAATCAGAATACCTGGCTCGTAGCCAGTGTATACTCCCGGAATGGACACCAACGGGCTTGGGCTTCCCGAACCGCCGTTGACAACATTCAGCTGAGCACATCCGAGATAGAACTATAGGTAATAGGGTACTCTGCGAAAGCCACAACCGGAGCTTAGAACTCACCTGAGCGCCGCCATACGTCTCAGCTACTGTAAGCACAAGAGCGTTGGCAGGTATCTCGAGGACATATAACTGATATCACCCACGGTGCACGGCGATTTGCTCTCCCCGCAGCAGCTATTGGCCGCTTGGCAGGTTCTTGGAATAGTGAACGTGAACTGCTGAATGTCTGTTTCGGAAACGAGTTAACGACTGGCCCAATTGCCTGCTCCACCTGGTGGGGCTTACTCTCCGAGTCGAACGTAAGCCCTGTGCTAGGACTGTACGTTGGCGCCCATTCCCAGATCTTGAACCACGTCTTGCCGGTACCTGCATCCGGAGAATTGGCTGCAGGATGAGCCTGGGTCATGTATGCGGAAAAATATCCAGGGTGGCATATCCGGAGAGCAATATGGTGATTAAAAGAGCTATAACATGGAATTGTCTACTCACCCATCGTGTTATCTGCCTTGAAGCCGACCGTGGAACCAGCGGCAACAGTCGCGGTGCTCGTCTGCTCCGGGGTGTTCTGCATGTCGAGCTCATAGCACCGAAACTCCTCGTCCGTTACATCGGTGATCTAACGACGGTTATCTCTGACAATGACAGAAAGAGATGTTGGAAGCTTACGGGACCGTTACTGTAGTGATTCTCGGTGATGCGGACGTATTGCCAGTCCGTACTCGTGGTCCCATTCACAATCAAGTCCGGGAGTGTGTCTAGCCGCGAAGACACGAACTGTCAATGAGTATTCCTGAGAAAACAATGTCGAGCTCTTACAGTGTGCTGACACGGTGATGGACGTCGAAAGGATTGCCAAGGCATTGCAAAGCTTCATAAATCTGCCTGGATCGATTGGGGCACGTTGGCTGAGACCGAGCATCTAGGTTTTGTATAAGTGAAACACTTCGGCTGAATACTGGCAACGGAGCAACGAGCAAGGTCACGTTCCCGACCCAGCAGTCTTTGTATACACAGCGTGATCATCATGAGACTAGAAGGCACAGTGTCGTTCGAGCATCTGCTTGAGTTCGTGAGCAATGCCGTCAAGGTGGTCAAAGACAGCAGCGGCCTGTTTAGCAGCGGACATCGCCGTGCACCTGAGGACGGATCCGAAGCTGAGCCGCACGTTCCGGCATGATCGTCTGGCCCCCGGTAGAAATTGTAAAACCGAGCTATAGGCAAATGTTTGCGGAAACTAAGTTCTGCGCCAATGGGACGACAAGAATTTGTCACAGGATACTGTCTATACTCATGACGTCCAGAAGGGTGCGAAGCTTGCTGTATTCCCGCAACGGCGTAGTCAAAAGAGTATCAAGCAGCATGGCTACCGAAGAGCGTAGCAGGGAGTAACTAAGTAGCTCTGAGTCTCAGGTTGGGGAAACGCTAGAGTCAATCGAAGTATCAGCGCAAAGCGTGGTCGAAGCAACATGCTAACTCAACAGAACTGCAAGGGCATCATCTCAACTCAAAGACCCCGCGTCTATAGATATTCAAAGAACTACTTGGCGGATGTAGTCGAGCCGATGTATCGAGCATTGACGGAGACGAAATGATACGCCACGACGGTGACCATGGCCAGCGTACCCAACGAGTTGGCCAGCGCGTACAAGGTATCATGGGTGATCATGCTATAGACATGGCTCATGAAAACGTGCCAGGGTGAGGGAAAGGCATACGCACGTCGACGACGAAGGGAAAGCAGAACGTGGCATTCCAAACGGGTCAGTGGCGCTGAACTCTGCTGAACTCGCACGAGGATAACTCGGCCAAGTCCGATCGCCCGCCTCTTCCCGACTCGTACTCAACCTTCTTCACTCTCCCTGGCGTAGCTGCTGCACCTCCGCACGAATCCGCGAATATGAGGCCCACCTTTGTTGCTCGCAGTGATATGCCTGGTCGTGCGTCCCATTCACTTAGTTCTCGCTGAATACTCTCTGATTCCTAGTTGCAGCCCCCAACTACGTGAGTCCATTCCCATTCGAGAATCCCCAAGAACGTACCTGAGCATGTAACTCAGAACCTGTGGTGGGGCGACAAGACTGGCGGTCAGCGTCAGAAGGGCATCGTCCAGTACTGTGCGTAGGCCTCTGGGATTCGCCCGGGCATCATTGACTCAGAGTATAGCCGTGTCTCCGTTCCGCCTGCGGGCGTTCAAGCATCTGCTTAGTGGCTACCTTTTCAATGGCTACCGTCGCATTGCGGCGCAGGCGCCTTACTTCGTCATTCCTTTCGCTGCCGGTTAGTGGTTGGATCTGCCCTCCGCGTCACGACTTCCTTGTTAGCTTTTGCTAATTGCGACGTGATCAGGCTATGGTATCTATGCCTGGGCAAGGAAGTACGACGAATGGCAGCGCAGCAAGGATGGCCATATTCATGCAATGGAACATGGAGAGGGCGGCCATTAAGTATACACATCCATTAGACCACGCGCTTGCGGTATACAGACATCAGCTACCGCTCCCTGCTCATGTTACTTGCATCTCGCAATGGAATCATCACGTTACTCCTCAACGCTATTCAGGCCCAAGTTGTATTCAGCCGTGCATACACTTAGAGCAACATTCATTATTCGTTGATCTGTTACACAGTCCGGTCGGAAACTCCCAATATTTAGGTCCGATGAGAGGCTTTAATTGCTTCAGTAGCCGTTGGCTCACGCCGGTGGAGTGGCGAAACTGTGGATCACAGACTAGAAGATGCTGGGATCGGGGCCGTCGCGACCGCACCTTCCCCCGTTAGTGGAGGTTTTGGCATCGTCTTTGCAGCCGCAACCGCGTGAGCCTGCAAACTGCCGAATATCATTAGCATTGAACTGAGATCGTATCCTGGATACACACTTCGCGAGCGCAGCAGCGTCTTCCGGCGGCGCCCCTCCAGTACCGACAAGTGTCTTGTGCCCGAAACTTGGAACACCCGCGCTCGTGACGACGTATAGGTAAGCCGGGCCTGGAGGATAAATCATAGGCGTCGGGGGACCCGTGACAATGAGCGTCTTCTTGTCCGCAGATAGGAACGATCTCAGCTGAACGAGACGTTGATCCATATGGACGCCGTGTGTCGAAAATCCGAGGTCGATGAGCGAAACTGAGTTTCGATCGGATGTAAGGAACTGGCACGGCAGGCTCCATAGTACGAGAACATACCAGTTACCGCAGTGACACCAGCCGGGAGAGTGACGGAAAGGCTGAAATTCTTGTTGTAAGGGATAGTGGCCGGGAGTCCTGTGGGCCGTCGAATAGATTAGGTGCGCTATATTGAAGTATCACTTTGCACATACCGGTGTACGAGGGCTGTGGTTGCGAGAGGTATGCAGGCGACAACCACTCTACACGGTACTCTGTGGCATACTTTACCGTCGAAACGTCGCCATTAGGGTTCGAGCCTGCAAGCATGATGCGCCCGTCCGGACTGGATGATGTGCTTCGTATCAGGAGGGAAAGAACGTGATGACGACAACGTACACTAAAGTCGCCACACTGTGGTACATTCTTGCTATGTTGGATGTAGGTAAACCGGCGGAAGAGAAACGCGAACCGGCAGGCGCAGAAGGGTCATATATGACGGGTGTGAATGCCGGCTTGTCACAAAGTATGACTTAGGGTTGTACTGGTCATGTGTTGAATTTGCTCACATTGTCTGCGTTAGATGCACCGATTTGATCGGCAACCTACGACAGGGAGACCGATTAGTATACGCATTGTGTAAGCAGTGACCGAGTTACATTTCCATATCCAGCAGCCCCGGTTTGGGCGCCGTTGACGAGCAAGACGCGCATGTCCGGCAATAGTATCGGGTCCACCATGATTCGCATGGTGGGCATAGATTCAACCTGCCAGCCGGCGGCGATCCCGGAGGTGGTGAGTTGCATGCGCACACATTGCTTGGATGTCGGGCTTTGAGAGGAGAATGATGTTGGTGCATTCTGGTCATTGAGCGTCGATCCTCCACAAATCACGACCTCGGGAGTATAGTTGTTTGCGGGGGTTAGCGGGAGAAGGAAACCGGCGGCAGAGAACGGCGAGCTAAATAGAAGGTGTCACTGGATGATCATCAATTATAGATGAACGATACGGACGTAACACGGACCCCGTTAGGAAGGTTAGGCAAGCGGTTTTCCGTGTTTGTGCGCCAGTTGAATATCATGGCCTGCGTGTTGGCCGCAATAAAAAGTGTACCATCTGGCAGAACAAATATAATCGGGAAGTGATTCCCATTGAGCGTGTCCTTCAGAAACTGGAACGAAATTCAACCAGGCATCACTATAACGGGAGCCCTAGGCAAACCTGGCTGGGAATCTGAACTCCGTTGAAACCGTTGATGTTCTTCGGTGGGAAGAATTCGTAGCTTGGGTTATTCATGCCCGCATTGTTGATAAACCTTATATCTGTTGTTAATTTACGTCTTCTCGTCGTCGACCTCGTTTCGATACTCACCCACCACCAAGCGATCCGCCAAAGATAAACACCGATCCATCGTCAAGACGGCTAGCGCTGGGATACCACCGATTGGACGTGAGATGGATCGAGGGCGTCTCGATGATGTCACATTGGTCATCGGTGCAGGCATTGAACATCCTTATGGCCTGTAGCCCATTCTGGTCGGCTGTGGATGTTTTGTTGGGGTGAAATTTCATTAGAGCAACAATATGACTCACGAGCTTCGTTGGTAAACTCGGCAGGGTTGCCTCCTGTGCTCAGCTTCTTGACAGTCAGTTTCCTTCCAAAATCCACTCCAGAAGCTGACTCACCAATGTTCCATTGCTTAGGTGTGCCCCAGCCGCGCACCTGCTATTCGTCAGCAGAGGTACGCGTGGTAGGCAGCTCGCAATTCTCAATTACCAACTGTCGCTCAGAGGGTGGAGAGGACGGATAGCATCGGTTGTAAGATCGTACTCGACGCTCCAAGCAAGGTGGCCATTCCCATCTGAAAGAGGATTGTGTTCGACCTTAATGGGTTGTAGTATCAGGCACTACGGCAGACCCCGGAACGGCACCGTTATACCTTATCATATATGATAGCCTTAGTCTCGGAGACCACAGCAAGTTGCTGTCCGGCCACGCCTGTCGTCCTGAGTCGACAACGCATCAGGTTCGTAATCCAAACACGAAGTACCGTTTCCATACCCATGTTGGGAGAGAGACCAAGTACCAGACACAAACGCACGGGCCGCATGCTGATGTGGGGTCGACTTCGCAGCTGCAATGAGCAGGGATCCGGGGAAATATACGAACTGCAGGAGGGATCGCATATTGTGCGTTGATCTAATGGATAGCAAGTCTCAAGCTGCATCTTTTATAACGTGGTTGACGAGGATGCAGGTCCGGAGAAGATCGTGTCAGATGTGTACGGATGGGTTCAATTGCGAACATTACGTGCCGCATGGTCGTGTCCCTCCTCGCTACCTCCACAAGCTGCATAAGTCGCGCGCGGCGAGGCTGTCTTCCATACTGTTCCCTCGTTAGCACGTATCACGGAGGCGATAACATAGATGTTCTCAGCTTGTTGTTATAGATGATGGAACTCATCCACCATATGGGGTAGGATGGTTTGTTAGATCGCCGGCAGCGTAACGAGCAGCTCGGGCAGTAGGAGAACCATCAGGGAGTTGGACATCTTTCCAGATGCAGTGGCGTCCGTAGTAACGTGCGGAACCACTGCCAACCAGGGAAATGTTGTGCACGTAACGCCCCACTACGGCCGGAAGGTGGCCGCCATGTCCGAGTATGGTAGTCGCTTTGCATTACCGCGTTAGGTGCGAGATCCGTTGTGCAACCTGAAGCAAGGCGACGCGGCATAGACAACACTGGCTGCCCGTGAGGCGTGCCGAAATGCATGGGTATGAATCAGGATCCTAGCGCCGTATCACGAGCAATGCAGTGAGAAAGAATGACAAGGAGCCAACGGATGCGCTGAACGATGTACGGCTTCACTCTCAAGACGCAGGTTTGGGAGTTGGCCCCTTTTCGGCAAAACGATCGAATAAGTCTGATCATTGAATGCTGATGACCATTCGCATTGTAGACAGTACTCTATCTCTACATATACATATTAGACCGATGACATCTGAGGAGGTACGAAACGGCTTAGACGCGCCTGTGGACGTCTTCGACGTGATGCATCATCGTGCTGAGAATAACAAATGGCCCCGTCGATGCTTCGCACGAGGGATTTGAATCGCGCATCCTGGACGTAGGACGCTGTATAGTGTCAATGCATTCAGTACGACAGTTCCCGTGGAAAGCGGACAGATGTACGTATACACGACCATCTACGGGCGCATCGAGACGTCATTGGTTCATTCGCATCTCTGGAGTCACCAACAATCTTGGGCGCTTGATGCTTGGAGACCCAGCTATTATTGCATGCAACACCTCCGACCTGTCCTGTAAAGAAAAAATGTTGTCACTGACGGTAATATCGTATGGCTGGAGGTGCCTGACAACATAGAGTTGAGGGTATTGATATGGATGATGTCAACGTTGGACGTATGCGCAGAGAAACCGCCCGCAGCTATCGCCGTGCCACAGGATTGCGAAAGTCATAAGACCAAAAGGGAACGGACCGAACGGTACAATACTTGCACGACAGCTTCCATATTTCACGTTTCCCGGACGTCGATCATTGCCTGACATGCTGGGAGAACTCGCGAGCAAACTTTCCGGCCGGAGACAGACGCTGGTCCTCGGAGAACCTCGAGTGAAGTCGACATTGACATGACTCGAGCACAGGCACAACCAGCGGAAACAGCGTCATTCCGTGCGCACTCCGTCGGGTTACTGGCGACGATGTGAGGCATACGTAGTCATGCGGCGTGTTCTCACGGTGACCCATTGTACAAGAGGCTGTGGATCTCACCTTCCGGTCTACATCCGCATATATGGCTGGGTTTCAACCAACGCACAATCCAAATCTGCTTCATCGGGCTTTAGCTTCACTAGATTACCCGTGCTCGACTGGTCTGTGAATTCAGGGACACCGACAACTACGAAATCCGCCAAAGTATGAAGACCACAGACCCGCGAATCATACATTGCTCCTTGGCTGCCGGTCCGCGGTCACGATATATGAGAGCACAGATGGGCCAAACTATTGTGGAAAAGGGTGCAAAGATCCGGCGCGTCTGTGCCTGGAACAATTGCTTGTAGGTGCACCGCGCTAGTGAAAGTGACGTTCATCAGACTCCCTCCCAATCCTCGTTTCTAGTAGTATACAGCGCGACAGTCGAATGAGCCAATCCTCCGAGTCTCAATATCAAGTCCGATTAATCGTTGGTTTCTCCTCAGACCAGTGCTGCACTTGCTCGGATATGTCGGAGCTGCTATCCTGGTCGACAGCTTACTATTCTTGCTGATCATTCCTGTCAAAGCCATGTCTTCCAGTGCACCAACTTTCGAAGACGCCTACAAGTATCACAGTCCGATCAGCCATATTTCCGTTGACTGGCAACAAACCCCGGTCGTTATTCGGGTAGTCAACTTTCCGTGGATTATCCTGCCTTTCTTTATCGGAGCGACCTCGGTTATGTCTGGCTGGCACAAGACTAGTTCGGGACCTAGCGTTCTTGAGCACGAATAGGCGCGAATATGATCCGTCATAGGGATTGAGCCCGGTCCACCCCCTTTTTCGTCATGGTATTTCCTGAACAAGATCTCCAGCGGGAGAATTAGCCTCCATTGTTGTCTAGATAAGATCGAAGCGGTCGTCACAAGTCACCGTATGCGTCTTCTGCCCTGTTAGTTCATTAGCGGATGGCAACCTCCGGCCAAGATGCTTCCTCCGGAGGTATGTCCTAGGAATTCGGGACCGCGGCACGCACGAAAATGGCTACCTGACGCTTCACACATGACGACTTACGCCATCTCAGTTGTCAGTCATGCTAAATGGTACGTTGTCTGAAATAGCTACCACACCATGGCTGACTTGACAGGTATATAAGACCAAGCTTGCGCGGTGTTGGACCACGGACAAACCGTCGTTCAGCACGCACTTGTGGTGATTGAAGATGAAGGCCTTTGCTCTTAGCGCACCCTTTGTTCTGGCCTCTTTGGCTAGTGCTCACTGTGCGCCCTGTGCTTCAGCGTGGGGCTATAACTAACTGTCGCTGTCCTTAAGATACTTTCCCGGATTTCATTAACTCCGGGGCCGTGGCAGCAGACTGGCAGTTTGTTCGCGAGACTGCAAATCACTACAGCAATGGACCAGTGAGCATGTCCCTCTTAATGAGATCGCACTAAATACCCAGTTGACGCTTTACCGTAGGTGACTGACGTTACGAGCGACGCCATTCGTTGCTACGAACTCGATAATACTGTCGCAGGCAACACGCAGACTGTCACTGTCTCCGCAGGCGATACCGTTGGCTTCAAAGCCAATGGTGCGATTTATCACCCGGGGGTAAATGCCTCCTTTTGTGGCCCAATGCCTCGCCTATTGACCACGACATGGGCAGTACCTGTCAGCGTATATGACGCCTGCATCTCCCGCTGCGAACTCAAACGAGGCCGGCCTCGGCCAGACCTGGTTCAAGATCTGGGAGGATCCGCCTGTGTTCACGCCGGGAGAAGGCCTTGTCTTCCCTTCGCAGAGTACGCGGCTGCTTAACTTTTGGGGAAAACATGCCCTAAGTGCTCCGCGCGAAATAGGTATCCAGGAGTTCACAGTCACAATCCCCAAGAGTCTCCCAAGCGGACAGTACTTGATTCGCGGTGAACAGATTGCCCTTCATGGTAAGCTCCGTGCGCTGAACGACTCCTACTTACGGAAACTGATTCTATCTTGATAGTCGCCGAGTCGTACGGAGGTGCCCAATTTTACATTGGTTGCGCACAAGTCAACGTGGTCAACGGGGGCAACGGCACTCCAGGGCCTACGGTCTCGTTCCCTGGGGCTTACACTGGATATGAGCCTGGAATCCTCATCGTGAGTGTCTTTGATAGCATTCCTGTGGAACGAATTAACTCCTACCCACAGAACATTTACAATCTTCCGAGCAACTATACAGGATACACCTCCCCTGGTCCCGCAGTTTGGAACCAGTGATCCTATATTATGGTCGGACAGTTGGAGTGCGCTTTGTGCTTGGCTGCTTGTTATATGTAATGGTCGACATGCGGATTTGTTGACTGAACTTGTCGCGCGTACATTACCTGAGCTTCGCTCACAGCCCGTAATTAGTAAGCATCGCTAACCGTGGCTGTGTTTGTAGGTTCAATCCCCGATTTAGTTCTCCGACTTGAAAACAAAACGACGAACGTGCACGGTAAACGGCAGACATACATCGTAGATTCTACGCAAACTTTACTGAGTATGTACATGATTTGTTGTGCTACGGCGGTGCAAGCGAAGGTGGGTCGGCGGGACCCCCCCCCTTTCCTCTAGTGAAATAAGTACATCCAAAATCAGACTAAATGCGACTGGCCACCGAGTATCAGACCGGTTCTGCATGTCCAGGCTCCAGGACACCTTCACTAGACAGTGCATATAATATAACGACCGTTGTATGCATCGATCGCGCACTCACAGGACACCAGAGGTGACGGAATACGAGGTACTGTACTTTTACGACCGTAAGTTCGTCCCGCGTCCCCGGGGCACCCGAACCGAATTTATTGTCCCCTGTCCCCTGGCACTCCGAACCTCCGGGACATATTATATCTGACCGTGAGAGTCTTAAATCTGACCGTGTGATCAAGAAATCTGACCTCGTAAGCACGTGTCCCCCGGGCAGGCTGCGCGCGAACTTCCCACGGCCCCGAACTTGGGGTGTCCCCTGTTCCCCTCCGACCTTGGCCGATACGGTCGTAAAAGTACAGGTATATCGGTCCGTGGGAAAAATATCATCAGCGAGCAACTCTTCCTCCTAAAAGTCCTGACACCACCTCTACATAGCAGAGCGCTGTAGCATGCCTTCAGGGATCATCACCGTCGTTGCAACTCCAGCTGCGGCTCATATTGCTTCTGTGCTCAGTATGATAGCATGCTGATCTGTTAGTAACGACAATGAAACGAGCAATCGTCCGGACACTACAAACGGCTGGATGTCGGTCTCGTTGTTTCCGTGGTTGATCCTGTAAATCCGTCCGGAAATATTTCGGTATCGCTGACTTGGCACGAGATCAATGCATTGCCGGAGGCACAAACGCTTCGCTACTTCATGACTGTAGCCGCAAGTAGGTATCGTGTTGAGCCGGACAAGCTGCAGGTCGCTCTACTAAAACATCTGTATGCAGAACGTCAACAAGAACGCGTTGGTCCCGGGGTAATGGATTATGTTTTTCCACTGCTAGTTCTTCCGCATGTTCGGATCGCCACTTACCACAACTTCAAGTTGCCGTTTCCCGATATGCCGTGCTTCCTTCCTTCCTAACTGTAATCAGCAACCGTGATGACGCGTATCTGAGGCCACATTGTTACTTTAGCGTGCTTCTCTTCCTCCGATTTACGAAGAGGTGTAGACTATAAATGTGGATGCAACATTGATAATTCGGCAGCTCATCCTAAATTCAGGACGCTCTCAGCTAGCATGAAGGCATTTACTATCGCCATCCCTATTGCTACGGCTGCGTCCTTGGTCTCGGCACACTGTAAGTATCAGTGGGTTGAAGACAAGCCAGGCTGACGATGTCGATCCAGACACGTTCCCGGACTTGATAATCTCTGGCTCTGTCTCAAGCGACTGGGAATATGTTCGTGAAACGGCGAACCATTACAGCCAAGGCCCGGTTCGCTGTTCTTTTCTGCTTCGAAAATGCATTTATTGAGCTTTATCAATTTCCCTGAAGGTGACCGACGTCACTAGTGAAGCCCTTCGCTGCTACGAGCTCGATGACACAGTTGCAGACAACACGCAGACCGCGACCGTCTCTGCGGGATCGACCGTTGGTTTCCAAGCGGACCAGGCGATATACCACCCCGGCGTAAGCTCCCAGTCCGCTAATGCATACGCGCGGCTAAATGAAGGTTTCGAAGTATTTCTCCGTTTACATGAGCCCTGCATCGCCATCTGCCAACTCCACCGCTGCTGGCACCGGAGCTACCTGGTTTAAGATTTGGGAAGATGCGCCGGTCTACGAATCAGGAACGGGGCTCGTTTTCCCCTCCCAGAGTATGCTTCCGTTGCATTAGTGTTCAGTGTTCAGTGATTGATCACGTTTCATAGCTGAGATTTCCTTCACTTTTACAATTCCGAAGAGCCTCCCCAGCGGCCAATATCTCATTCGCGGCGAACAAATCGCATTGCATTGTAAGTCTCGACGTCAAAACTGTCGATTTTTGTGACATTGAGCCTTTGAACCCGCCTAGCCGCAAGCAGCTTTGGAGGCGCTCAGTTCTATATCGGCTGCGCCCAAGTCAACGTCGTCAATGGCGGCAACGGCACGCCGAGCCCAACGGTCTCCATTCCCGGTGTTTACACGGGCAACGAGCCTGGTATCCTCATTGTGAGTAGTGTGCCTTCTCCCTTCATAAAATACGCGAGCTGATAATGGCCCGCACAGAATATTTATAATCTTCCCTCCGACTACACTTATGTTTCGCCTGGACCGGCTGTATGGAACCAGTGATGGAACAGGAAACTGAGAAGGACTGGGTTTTGTGCGTTGGGTATCAACGTTCGCGCATCCCGATCCTCCATCGTTGCTGATCCCACGAGCCGCACTGTTCACTTCTTCCACGTGTGCCCAAACCGCTCTGTTATCATGATGCCTAGTTTCTCGAGGAGCTATTGAGTCTTTGCCTTGATGAGTCCCGCCATAATGTCGAAGCTGTTCCCATCAGGTTGCAGATCGATGAAACCTTCGTTGCCGCCGGACCATCCCGTTCTCTCAGGGATCGTCCGCAACCGACCATCTTCAGCCAAACCGACTATGCGGACTTTGCGCGATGGCGTGACCGTGGTCAACTCTACCAGTTGGTCTCTGCAAGCAAAGGCACTTGAGTCTCGGGTTTGGTCATGAAAAACGACACTTACGAGTGAAGCCAGCGATCCAGATACAAGTCGATGAATGAGTCGAAAGAACCGCGATCGTTGACAAATTGGCACCACATGGCCTCAAACTTGGCGAGGATAACCGCGAGACTGCGCTCCATCGTCAGGTGTTCGCTAATCACGGCATCCGGTGGTAATAACTGCGCCAAAGACATGATCGGCGGCGAATTAAGTATGTTCGTCCCGCTTCCTGCCAGGAGTTGGTCCATTCAGTGTATCTGATTCGACCGTGCAGATGTAGGGCGGCTTACCTATGACAATTTCAACCTTGTCTCCGGTAAGACACGTATTAATTAATATTCCCCCAAGTTTCTTGCGGTCTTGATCTCGAGGACCAACGACCGCGTAAATGTCGTTCGGCCATTTGAGCCGAATCTTTTCCCCCCATGCTTGGCCGTTGGCCGATGACATCTCTCGGCATGCCTCAACGATTGCCAGACCAAACAGGTACTGCACAAAGACTAGTTTTTGGGGTGGGAGCCTAGAAAGCGAGACACGAAGAAGCAAAGAAAACTGCAGACATCCTGCGGGAGATAGCCAAGTGTTTGATCCGCGACCTCGTCCGACGAGCTGGTGCGACGCGATCGAGAGTAACGGCGACGGAAGCGAGTTCAGCATGGCTGGGTTCCTTCATATTCCACCCAAGTCAGCGTGGCGACTAAACAAAGCATAATGACTCACCTATCAATCATCGTCTGCGTACTAGTTACGACTTCGCCATAGATCAGGGCTTCCCCGTGTCCCCATTCGTCGACTGGTTCCGGGACCGTGAATTTCGACCGGTACTCTTTCAAACATCGGAAGAAGTCCGTGCAGCCGAACAGCGGCGTCGCACTGGACGGGGGGATAGACCCGTGAGGCTCAATAACTATGTGTTTTGGCTGCCAGGTGTCAGGATCGGGAAATTGGTATAATCCACCGGTTCTACCAAGGTCTAGCAGTCGGTCGCGTTCGGTTGAGGGCCAAAAGTGGAATGTGTCGTTTGAGTCCTTCAATATCACTGGCGCGGAGTCTCCTTCGTGGCGGATTTTGAGAGCCTCAAAGACAGAATGAACGATGTGAGGCTTCCAGGGAGCGCACATGAGCAGCTGCGGCAGCGGATGATGGACAGCGCTGGTTGCATCTGGGTGGTGCTGTGGAAGACGCAGGCCTAGGCCGATGAGAGTTGCGCGAAGAATGGATAACTTCTGTTCGTCCGACCTTCTCTCTTCATCGGATGCCTGATCCAGGCTCAATGACCAGATGGCGGCTTTGCCGTTCTCCACCTCGAGATCTACAGCGATCGCTGCTCCGCTGTCCCCGCCACTCAATCGAGCCATGACTTCTTGATTTTCCGCACCGTCTATGATCCCTGAGTTTGCAACCAGTAAGCCGTCCAAAGACTGTCGCGGAACACCGTCACGAGATAGAACATCCACGGATAGAACACGGAGGGAATCCGGCTGCAATGAATCGAAGGTCAAGATATAATCTGATAGCCTGATCGATCCTGGTGGTCCAAGATAAAGTATGCTCCCTCGCCGTTGGAGGCTTGCGCCGATTGCAAGAAGCCTACCCCCAGATTTGACGTACTGCGAGATCAATGAAGTAGTTTCAGGCCGGGATGAGGTTGGAAGGACCAGCAATGCGCATGAAGCGGCCCACGGCTGGGTCGCTAGCGACTGAGCTGATATGTTCTGAACGGCGTAATTGGGAGCCAGTATGTTCTTCAATGTAGACCGAATCCAATTGACGGACGCAGGGAGCACATTCGGTCCTGAATAGACAAGAACATTCATGTTGAATGTCCTAGATATGCTTCGGGTGACTCTACAAGGTGGTAGTAGTAGGAGATTACGAGCACATGAGCAAGAACGGCCCACATACCTCAAATTTTTACGGCTTCAGTAGGCTCGTGGCCCATACAGCAAGCAATCCACCCGGGACGCTCTATGTGACACATACAAGTCTGGTAACGAATGTGCCCGTAAGGTCAAGGCGAAGCCGGACGCGGGATGTTTCTGCCCGGATCGTGGGAAGGCTAGATCACATAGTATACCAGGGTACAGTATACTTACCGTTGCGGTCGCTCCAACTCCGACGTTTGCAACTTGCTGAGCCCCTTCGTCGTGTCAGTGACTGCATGTACTCAGATCTAGGCTGAAAGAACTTCAACGACTGGCCTCGAACAGCCCGTCGACCTTGTCTACTCACCGGGCCATACGCTGTACGGGGGCACAGACCCAATCTCGGGGACTCCGTTCAACGATCCCTCTGCTCCGTCGGACCACCTGTGCATCGGTCATACGCGATGAGTTCAACCAAGAAGATCAGTCGCAAGTTGAGCGCTGTCGAGCAAAAGCTTCATCAAGCATCGCTCGCAGCACCAAACAAAGTGCGCTCCGTGTTTCAAAATTTCAGCCGTGTACTGAGGGCTGCGTCTACGAGCAGACGATCACCCCTGAAGATCTCACAAAGCTTGCAGGAGATGCTAGTACTGGAACGGCGGCGATCAACTTTCTCTTGAGTGTGGTGAGTCAATCATCGACCGCATAGCACGTTTCCTGAATCTGTGCGATTAGGGCATGCTGAAAGCCCAGAATGACTCAAGAGGAAGGCTGTCTTTCCGTGCAGTAGCCAAGGGGGAAATGGAACAGTGCGTGCCTATCCTCGTGCCTGTTGCTCACCGCTTATTTTGTGTCAGGAAGAAGGATATGTCTGGCGAGGAAAGTATGGTTTTGAGCCATATTCAGGCTGCAGGAAACGAAGGTACGTCGTTTCATTTTCCCGTGTACGTTTGTAACACCGGCACAAGGCATATGGACCAAGCATATCAAAGCGAAGACAGAGCTTCATCAAACTGTCATAGACCGCTGCCTCAAGTCGCTAACGCAGAAGCAGCTCATCAAATCCATCAAATCCGTAAAGGTGCGTGGTTGTCGCAATACCTGTTAGTCGCCGAGACATAAACTGAGGCATCCATAGCACCCAACACGCAAGCTTTACATGCTTTATCACCTCGAACCTTCCGTTGAGCTCACCGGTGGGCCGTGGTACACTGACAATGAACTCGACACCGAGTTTATCAAGCTGCTCTCCTCCGCTTGCCTGAGATTCATCAAGGATAGGGTGGGTCAGAACGTATTCCCTGATATGTTGCTGCTCATTGCTTCCACCAGAGCTTCCCGAAGACGAAACATTCCTCGGAGCCACCTCATTCGCAGCCAATATACCCGATCGGAGGCGCGCCCTCGTATCCGTCGACTCAACAGGTATTTACAGGATATGACTTCATAGACTCGTCAAATGCTTATGCCCTATCCTAGGTTGTCAGTTTCTTGAGCAAGAGCAAGATTACGGAAACGCAACTGACGTTTGAGCACGTTGAGATGCTTTTGAACGTTCTCATCCTCGATGGCGAAATAGAAAAGGTGGAGCTTCAAATTATCATCCAGTTCATTGATCCTGGACTCACGCATTCATGTAGATTCCAGCTTTCGGGGCAGCAATGTGGGAGGCGAATTCCGGAGTCAATGATAACGACAGTGATGATGAAGAGCGCTCCAAGAAAAAAAAGAAGCGCAAGAGCCGTGATGACGATGATGTAAGGCGAAAAAGGCTCAGACGCGCTGAGACGTCGGACTCCGAGTCAGGCGGCGATGATTCGCAATCAGACTCGGAAAACGAACGACCCAGGTCCAAATCAAGATCGAGGTCCAAACTGAAGAGCAAATCTTCGAGAAAACGCAAACAGGAATCAAGCGAGAGTGAGAGCGAAACGGACAGTGACGAAAGGCGAAGGAAGCGGAAAAGCAAAAAACGAAGGGTTCAGGAGGGCGACAGTGATGCATCCAGTGACGAGGATAGCACCGATGGCGATCGGAGGAAGAAGAGCAAGTCAAAATCTCGGCATCGCGATAAAAGCCAACGTCGAGGTATGGGCAGCTCCGAGGATGAATCTGATAGTGACACCGATATCGATCGGCGCTCGAAGTCTGGCTCCAAGGCCAGGTCGAAATCCAAGTCCCACAAGCGCTCACGATCGACCAGCCCCGAAAGAGGAGGTTCAACGTACCCCGGTTTCGATCACGATGCCTTCGGCGCAGCATATGTGTATCGGGCAATACGCTCGGAGCGTCTCTCTTTGTTTGCCACTGGACTCGACCAAACACCGTGTGGGCGGTGCCCTGTTTTCGATTTCTGCAAGGAGGGTGGACCTGTCAATCCCAGTGGATGCGTCTATTACGGGGAGTGGCTGAGTAGAGCTACTGTCGCTGCTGATTAGGGACACTGGAATTTATAATGGAATATAGTCATCTGCCGCACATTCCGCGCAATAGCACGGAGATGACATCTACTGTTACATGCCAGCAACACGACGGAGACCGTTGACTAAACGAGTCGAATACAAAATACAAGAACACACCGGAGCGAAGACGAGTATACTGCCTACACCAAACGCGATGAGCAGCTGCAGTATAGGGCCACGTATCCTGGCCCTCGCTCCCGTACAACTACACCCCGAACTGTCAACAACATCGTGCGGCATCGCAAGACCTTGCTGACAATTCAGTATTATACAAAGAAGTGACCCTGCTCAGAAGATAACTGCTCGGAAGATGCCAAAGCCAGGTGGCGGCACCTTCAAAGGTAAAACATGGTCGTCTGCATGTTCTTGCCTGGTCCATTGTGCCACAGAGCAGTTGCCTCGCGCATAACGATGTCCTCGGTGCTCGTGTTGCTTGTCGTCGTCGATACGCCGCTCGATATTCCTTGCAGAAGCTTATGGATATAGCATCGGCCCCTTTCGCAAGCGAGATCCGCATAATAAGCAGGAGACACCAAGCTCACAGCCTGGACAACAAGTCATGAGTAATGTAGTCAACCACGGTGATACGCGGGGACTCGCCTTGGTAGCTCTCGCGAACATATACGACACATCGTTCGTGAGACCTTGTAGTTCATCTGACTTGAACCCGATCTCATTGACAACGACATAGTAATGCGTGGGCCGCGTTGTACCCTGGAGTCCACCATGTGCTTGGAGGAAGAAGTCGAATTCGTAAATGGCGGTTACACCTCGATCGACGACAGTTCCAGGGCGGGGATTGCCATCTTTATCGGCATCCGCTGCTGTGGTGGGGTAGAAGCTAACGGGGCGGAAGTCAGGTGTCAAATTAAACCACCTCTTGAAGGATACGGACGGCGTACCGGGTGTGGTGCCGCTTTCCGCAGATGACGACAGATAGCTTTGGCTTGTACGGTGTCTGTGGTGTCGAGAATGTCTGAAACGCAACCCGGACCTGGGGAACCTCTTCCAGAACCACCTGCATAAATTGTCCCTGAAATATGCCAAATTCAACCAAAGCTACTTAACGTGAAATAAGAAGCTCACCTCGCTAACACCATCGCGATAGACCAGAATGCGAGTCGGAAGCCTACCACTCTTAGCCTTGAAAGTGTTTAGTCTCTCTACCATCATAGCACTCAAGTCGGATATCATCTACGCAGCAGGTCAGGAACGATAGTTATGCAGATCGAAGACATCCTGGGTACCTCTTTCTTGCTTTCTTGAATTCTCAAGCTTCCAGGGTACTGCCCAAATTTATCGTCGATGCTTGCAACCACCGCGGCGACGGATGGGGTCCCCTTGACGGTTCCAAACCCTGGGTGGGTGACATCCATCCCCACGAGCATAGTAGGCTCCTTCTTTAGCCATGCCATGCTGCCCTGGTCCAGCATATGGTTCACCCCACCTAATTTCATGTTGACTTTGAGTGCCACGTTAGCGAAATATTGCAGCTACGACGGGATGGTGTCAAAATCATTGCTCCTAAAAAGTGAACCGATGGCCTGACCTGGCCCTTCTCCTTTCGGAACTTGCTAGAGATGACGCAGACTGTGGGTAAGTCTAGGTACGAATCGCATAAGTGCTTGAGACCGGAGTAGACGTGCTTGTCGCTGTTGGACAAAATAACGAAGAGAAATTTTGGTTTAGATGGGGTACTCTTGATCGCATCACGGATCGCCCTGATTGCGGCGTCACGAGTGGGATCCCCCTGTTCTTTGCGAGGAAGATGTGCAACTACAACGGGCGGTGGACTATTAGGCACGTTCATGCCGCTCGTTCGACACATGTCGGCAAAACCTTTGAGGGTAGGCGTCAACAAGGGATCTGTAGGTCCTTCGAACTCGTCCCTGGGGTTGCCGTCTTTGATCAAGAGGACCGCCCACTTCTCCAAGCGAGCGCCGACAGCGAATTTTACGTTGCGCAGGTTCCAGCTGGCGCGTTCGTCCACGGCGGGCGAGCCCTGGCCGTAAGTGATTCTCGGCGCTGACAGGATGCGACCCGGCACCACCGCCATTTGGGGGCCGACGGAGACACCGAACGTGGGCAACGGCGCCGCACGTTGGCGGAAGCCCAGTTCGTCGAGCCCAATGCCTGCGATGGCCTGCGCATTGACGTTAGGCGGCTTGCAAGCAGCAGTGATCATATTCGCTGTATGATCGTCTGTGAGTTTTCCCCGGAAAGGCTGGTTCTCCAAAATTTCGCATAATTCCGGAGGTAGCAGGTTTTGCTTCTGACCGCCTACATCGACGAGCGGCAGCTGCGTGGGGTACTTGAGCGTGATGCCATACTCTAGAAAACGATGGATTAGGTATGGAACGAAGGACGGTGATGGCTGAGCGCACTTCGCTGGAAATACTGTTCCACGGTGACACGACCGCCAAGATCAGCGCAGTCGAAGGCGTGCTGACGAGGGGTTTTGTTAACGATCGTTTTTACGGTTTTTCTGTACCCGAGATGCGTGGCCTTGACTCGAACCCCCTTCACGAACCCCTTCATGTTCGCGCCAAACGTAGAGTTGCCAAACGTGATCATCGAATCCGCCAGATTTCCCGGGATGTAGAATGCGGTGGTGCAAACGTTCACGTTAACCATGAGTTGCTTGTATGCGGGCCGGACAGACGAGTAGAATCCTCTCCATGCCTCCAAGCCGCCACCAAGGGAGACCGGGGGCGAACGTTCGGAGGGGAAGAAGAAGCGGTTACGGCCAACCATGACCCCACCGCCTACAGAGCGATTCGGGTGGGCGGCCAGAATCAAGTTGAGAGCTGCGATAATCGGTTGGAAATCATACTCGCGAGAGTGTGGTTCACCCGCCAGATGACTATAGCGAACGTGTCAGACAGCTATCGGAGCGACGACGACAGACTCTGCACCTGTTCAGACTTTCGGTTTCGAGTTCTTGTACATAAGTGATGGTGAGCGTGTAAACTTTGCCCCCGGGTTTGGGTCCATCCTCTTCCTCTTCGAAGAACGGTACTAGTTCTCACGGGTCAGTAACGACAAGAGACGCGCGCTTTGCACTACCCACTGTCAATAGTTAGAGGTTGAGGTAATTTCCTCGCTGCGATCAGTTTTTGACTGTGGTCATGAGCAACGTTGTTCTTCAATCCCTTTTGCGTCCAGTCAGGGCTGTCTTCAGCCAAGTGCCAGATGCGCCTCTTGACGCGCTTGATAGCTGTGCCGGCGGTAGGCGTGATAGACACGTCGTATTCGTAGAAGGGTCCTTTAGGTACTGTGACGGGAAAGAAATTAGTCCGCAGTGCGATGACCCTGCCCTTTGCTCCAAAGTCCGGTCGAGGAGGGAGTGTATTCGGCCTCTGGGTGATGGACAAGTTTCTGAACGATGCGACGAGTGCATCCTGCGCGTTGTCTTGCAGACGTGCATCCAGGCGGGCGGGTTCGTCAGGAAGATAGACACTGTGGACACCAACCGTGAGCCGGGGTTCGATGCATTCTGCGCTCGAACGAGTCACTCACCCGCCTTGCTCGCGTCCACCGAATCCACCTCTTCCCCGGAAACCACCCCTGTCCCCGCCACGGAAACCGCCTCTATCCCCACCGCGGAAGCCTCCTCTGTCCCCGCCGCCGCGAAACCCACCTCTATCGCCTCCGCGGAATGGGGATCCCGCTCGACCACGCGACCCATCGCCTCCAGCTCCACGCCCTGCATAGCGCATATGACACGTCAGGATCAAAGCGCTCGTTGCAGCAAATGATTGGACTAGCCTCTGCCTCTGTCGCCCCCGCCGCGCCCTCTTTCGCCTCTGTAACTCATCAAACGCTGCTTTGTGAGCGCTCTAGCAGAGCGGGGAAATGCAGTTGGCTTCAGTTTGGTTCCCCTCCGAGGGTCGATCGGGGGAGGGAGCGGAACTGATCCTTCCGGCGCTCAGGCTTTGTTCATGCCTTTTGTAGTGCAAACCAAGCGCAAACCACGAGGCGCGTGTTCGCGAGCGCTTCAGTGCTGTACAACGAGCACAATGCAGGCTGCATGTCGTGGGGACCCATCTTTGATGCAGCAGAATGGCCGTATGCCGGAGAGAAATCGGCTCCAATCAAGCATGACAGGAAAACACGAGTATTGGTGCAAGCTTAAGGCAGTGGGCTACACGTTAACGAGGCTGTGATGGTGAACGGGGTGATTCATTCGAAACAGGTAGTATATGAAGCATGAGAAGGACATGTACGATTTCAATAAGAATACAACAAGCATAGCAATAGTACTTGGTCGAATAGAGTGCGCGACGCGAAAAGTGCATAACAAACAACATAACAGCAAATAAAGGAGGAACGGCTACGACTCTCCTTTCGCCAGCCGCCTCTTCACATTCTCCCGATGGTTCCGGTTCTTCAGATGGACCTCAAAATTACTCAAGGATTCGTTCGGACCGGGGTTGTATAACTATTGCACGCGCCGTCAGTCATCCGCTGAACATCGTTTCAGCGACCTGTAACGTACTTTTCCGGGACAATCTATGCATTTTATCTTCCATGCGGGAGGTCCGGATGAATTCTGTATTGCTGGAGGGACTTTCCAAAGAGCCTCGAACCTGTCGTCAGGCCATCTCGTCTGCAGCGACGATATCGCGTTCGTCAACCAGTCAGGAACGGGCGGCTGCTCGTGACTGGCATCAGCGAGGCGATCATGGCAGGAACGAAGAATAACACGCCTTATTTGCACCCGATGGCGGGCGCGCCGAAGAACGAGGGCGCTTGTCCTCCGACTGGGGTGGACTGGCAGCCTGCGACGTCCCGTTCGCCTTTACAAACTGCGCCAAGGGCGTCTCCGACGTGCTCGAGGCGCTAGACGCAGGCGAAGACGCGCGGTCACCGTCGACCTCGTGGCGGAGCGCAGACCCGGGAGGGCCGTCCGCCCACTCCGTTTGGGGCGTTTGTGGCTCCGTGGGAGGTTCGGGAACGGGCGTGGTGGCGGCTTCCGCATTGAGTCTCCTGCCCCGTCGCGCCGCCGTCTTGCCTGATCCCTGCTGCCTCTGGTGGTATTCAAGACTCGAGTTGTACTCGACGGGACGCGGCCGACGGTGTCGATGCCAGAACCGACCTGGGACCCGAGCAAGATAAGCCTTCGGCACCCAGCCGCTCACGCGAATCGCACTCACCGCAATCACCGCACTGCGACTTGTCGCCGAGAGGGCCTTTCCGCCTGCCCGTCGCGATGCTTTCCGGAATACCACAATTCGAGCAGTGCCATACGCCGTCGATCAGGTTGGCGTGCTGCCCGTCCGCGTATTCCTTCTCCTTCGCCTCTCTTTCCAGCTCTCGTGCACGTTTCGCCGTCATGGGCGCCGGTGTCTTCGGTACCTTGTACTCGACTACCACCGCCTGCGCGAGCGTCACTGGGGGATCGCTCTCGATCGGCGACATGAGCGCTGTCGGTTCTGCCACCGTCGAAGGCGTCGGGGCAGGAACACGCGCGCGGGGACGTAAGACGGTGGGGGGGTACGGTGGGGGCTTGAAAAGACCCTTGACCTTGGCCTCTTTGCTGCTCGGCTGCGCGACGGCAGCGGGCGTGGCCACGAGCGGCATGATCTGTGGCACGATCCGGCCGTCGTCCCGGTTCTCGGACGCGACCATGTTGGCGATCGTGAGTTGCGCAGCGGCTGCGGCAGCACGCCGAGTCGACGTGGGTACAGCGACAGCCGTGTCCTTAGCCAGGTTCGCGGGGTCGACCTCTGGGAAGCCGATGGCGGGCGTGCGGTATGTCCTAAGTGGCTCGCGATCGGGCAGGGCAGCGAGCCGCCTCGTGCCACCCCGTCTCTTCTTCCGCTTGTTGAGCTCCTTTTCGCGCTCGCGCTCGCTACGCTCAATCTCGCCGTCACTGACGTAGTTGAGAAGCGGTGTGAAGGACTGCACTTGGTCCGCGGGTCGCGCACCAGAGACGAGAGACGGTAATAGGGCGCTCTTGAGGTCCTCGTCTTGTAGTTGTGCGGGGGTGGGGTTTCCGACGAGGAACAATGACTTTTGGTAGGAGAGCACCTGCTCACGAATAGTGTGCGCGATGGCCGTTCTGTTTGGCAGAAGGGTCAGTCAGGTGAGGGAAGATCGGAGCGCGTGAGGGCTTACTTGAACTCGCCGCCTAGGCCCAGGTCCCGCGCGTACACCTCCGCAAATTGTTCCGGTGAGGCATCCTCGTTATCGAGATCCCACTCAAACTGATCGTTCAACTCCATCGAACCGACAATGATGTCCAACTACGAATCTCGGTTAGAATGCACGCTGACACCCACACGCACAACTGGTCACTCACCTTGATCGTGATCCGCATCTCCTCCTGCATATTCCTGTGATCGACCGGAATCGCGTGCACATCCACCGGGCTGTCCTCGACGTCGGCCTCAACATCCGCCTCGGCGCCATCCGTCTCTCCTTCCTCCCGCTGGGCGATCTTCCTCCTCTTCGCCTTCCGGCCCTCCTTCTCCTTTCTGTCCATATTCTTCACGAAGCCGGCCTTCGTCCTGACTCGCTTCCGCCACGCCTCCCACCATTTGCTATCGCGGTCGTCGCCGCCGAGCACGCCCGCTCGAGCCGGGCCTGTCACCTTCTCGTCCTTCTCTTCGTCGTCCTGATGATCGTTCGACCCACCGGAGGTGTGCGCCTGGTAGTCGCTCAGTTGCTCTTGGATCGCTTTCGTGATCGTGCTCTGATAACTCGAAGGCAGCTGGTAGTCGTCCACGATGCTCTGCGCGAACGCTTCCGGCGTCACAACCGGATCTACCATCCCCGTCATCAGCTCTCCGCTCTGACCTGGTGCTCAAGAGATACTCACCATTCAGGTTCCACACAAACGTGTCTCTTAACCGATGCTGCCCCTCCACTTCCAAATCCAACCTGATCGGCACGAGGACCTCGACCCGGTCCGCTTCGCCCGGCGCGAGTTTGCGGGGCAGCTTCAGTCCCTCGCGCCGGCCGTATTTGCCGCCCCTGCGCGACTTGGCCTCGCGCTCGCGGTCCTTCGGGAACGTGATCTGAAACTTCGGCTGCTGCTGCTGGCGCCGGCGTGCCTCATCCGCCGCGGCGGTCGGGCTCGTGAGATCCTTCTCCCACCACGCGCGCCCGGAAAGGCCCATGGCGCGGCGCTCCTCCGCCATCCTATCGTTCATCTCCGAGTACATCTCCGTGTACGCGCTGTCGAGCGCCATCCACCTTGTGTCGTCGCATCAGCGCCGCATATGACCCACGACGTCGATATCACTCACTTTTTGACGTTCTCGATCTCGTCCTCGCCGAGCGGCGGGATCAGCCGCTCGCTGTCCGCCAGCGGCACGACGCTCACCCGCGTCACAACCGGGTCAAGCTTGGTGTGTGCTGGGAGTGGTGGCAGCTGCGGAACCACGCCGGGCTGCAGCGGCGCCTCGGTCGCAGGTGGCGGAGGCAGCACGAGGCCCATGCCGGCGCCGACAACGCTCGGGATCGCCTGTGGGGGCGGCGCGGACGCGGAGATCGCGCCGTTCACGGCGGGAACGGACGAGGCCGACGACGGGGCGGCGGGCATCGGCGGGCGCACGGGCGTGGTAGGTGTCGGGTGCGCAGACGGCGGCTGGGGAGGTTGCGGTTGCGGTGCACTCTGCTGCATCCCGGGCACGGGCATGCCCATGGGCCCGGGACCGACGACGGACGACGCCCTAGGACGCGCACCGACGGCGTTTGCGAGCTGCGCCTGCTGTTGGGGCGTAAGCCCGCCTCCGCTGCCCATCGTCATTCCCATTCCCATGCCGTTCATGCCCATGCCGACGCCGGACACGCCGGGGGGGAACATACCGCCCGCGGACGCCGAGTTGGGCGGAGACATATGTCCCTGCGATGGGGCCTGAGGTTGGGGAGTGGCGCCCTGCAAGCTCGTCATCGAGGGCGTTCGAGCCATGCCCACGCCCATGCCCATGCCCTGCGCGCTCATGCCCATGTTCATCTGCGGTTGTTGGTGCGGGTGCGAGTGCGGGCTCGGCTCGCCCAGGCCAGGAACGTCCATCCCGACGCCCATGCCCATCTTCGGCGTCTGGGGGACCATGCCCGGGTGCGTGTGGCCGTTCATTCCTGACGACGGCTGCCGTTGAGGCTGGCCGCGCATCATGCCCGGACTCGCAGCTGCCATGCCTGGATGACCCATGCCGACGCCCATGCCCATGTTCATATTCATGTTCATGCCCATTCCGCCGTTCATCGCGCCCATCGCAGCCGGGTTCATCATCCCCTGTGCCATCATGCCCATCGCGGCCGGGTTGGGTGCCATCTGGACCGAGCCTTGCGCGCCACCGGTGTTCTGCGGCGTGAGCGGGGCGACCATCATGCCCTGCGGGTGCTGCTGCTGGTGGTGCATCGGTGTTGGGGTCCCGGTCGGTCGGCCAGGCGTCATGTGCGGCTGTTGCTGTTGCTGCTGTTGCTGCATGCCGTTCATGCCCATGCCCATTCCCATTCCGGGTGCAATCATGCCCTGCGGCGAGTGGCTCGACATGGACGTGCCGGGTCGCGTCGTCGGTGGGCGCTGGATGCCAACCGCGAGCTGGGCTTGTGCCTGGGGATTGGGCGGGGACATGCCCATGGACGTCGGCGGGCGGGCGGTGGGTGGACGGGGAAGGCCCGAAGGGGGGGCCATGTTGCCCATCTTCGGGGTGGAGGCGACCATTTGTTGCGGGTTCATGGGCATGCCGGAGGAGACGGTGCGCCCTCCGCTGGCGGAGGCGCTCGAGGGGGGTCGGCCGATGGCATGGGGGTCGTAGAAGGGTTGTTGGGTTTGTGGTGGTGGTTGCGGCTGTTGTTGGAGGCTGGCTTGGTACTGCTGATGTTGTTGCTGCTGCTGGAAGGCTTGGGGATTAAAGTGTTGCTGCTGTTGATGCTGCTGCTGAATCTGCTGCATGCGTTGCTGCATCTTGGCCTGCTGGAGCTGCTGCATGAACTGGGGGTTGTTGTTCATCATCATGTACGCCTGCTGGGCGTTCGCTGTAGGGTGGTTCGGATTGACGCCATTCATCGCGCCGTTCGCCATCGCGAGCTGCTGCTGCTGCTGCTGCTGTTGCGCGTGCTGCAATTGCTGGCGCTGTTGTTGTTGTTGTTGCATCTGCATGAACATGGCCGGATCCATACCGCCTCCACCACCGCCGTGTTGTTGTTGTTGCTGCTGCTGCTGCTGCTGGCCGTTCATGAGCTGGGCAGGATTGACGGCGGCGCCAGGCTGCTGGAACATGTGAGGGTTGAAGCCGGCGGCGCCGTACGCGACCTTGTTGGCATTCTGGGGGGGATACGGGCCTTGCTGCGGCGCGAGGAGGGCGGCGGGGTTGATGGAGGTCTGGGGGGCCTGCTGGAACGCGTTCGGGTTCATGGATGCTCGTCGGGGGACGCGTCCGGGAGGGCGGCGGGGGCACGCGCCTGGTCGCTGTGGGGCGTGGTGAGCGGGGCATGGCGGGGGGCGGCGTGGGGGGTTCGGGGCGGGGCTTACGTGTGCGGGACGCTCTGGGCGGGGACGAGGGTCGGAGCCGGGCACGGGACGGAGACAGATCAGTCCGTCCTCAATCTGATCTTCCGCCGGGGCAGCGTCTGCTCGAGCTCGGCCAATTTGGTACGGGGAGAGAGACGACAGAGCCCCCTGCCCACGTCACGGCCCATCAGTCACGACTCACGCGTCACGCAGGCGCGCTCGGGGGCGCGGGCGGGGCGTCGGGCAGCACGGCGGCGGGGGACGCTCGACGTCGGGGGACGGCTGGCACACACTCGGTCGCTGTCCTGCGCGGCTGTCGCACTACCGCCCAGGCGGATACGCACCCGAATCGCATGCGCGGCCGGGATCCGAGCCTCGTCATCTCAGATCCAGCTTCCCACGGCCGAATCCCTCCCTCGCCGACATCGAGGGGCACCGTCAACTCCGAGCCGTCGCCGCAGGGCCACACATATTATCCATGTCCCGGCGATCGTCCATCCCGTAACGCCAGCGGGCAACGTTCATGCTACTCATCCGACCGGTCACGTTACACCGCCGCGCACCAGCCGTAACGCGACATACGCCCCCCGCGCATACGTATGCCCGCAGAAGACAGAAGCCAGGCAGACACCCAAATCCCGGCTCCCGCTTCCACCGTCCTCCCAACCGGCAACGGCTCGTCGTCCACAATCTCCGACGACCTCCTCCCGCGGGGATTGCCGGACATCCCCAAGCCCTCGTCGTCATCCTCTATACTTAACCCTTCATGTGAACCCTGCCTGCCCAATACAGTTTCGCCGCATCGCCATGTCGTACTCGCTCCGACCGCCAGGCTCGCAGAGCGAGTGAATCCGGTTCGAATTGAACGGAGAAAAAAGTCTAATATCACAACGTACAACTTCCATGTGCATAGATGATCCGGCCGCGGTTACCTGCCGTAGCCCCCGTAATATCCTCCACCCTGTCCATTGGCGTCTGATTGTCCGTACCCGTACCCCGTCCCCTGGTACCCCACCGGCGCGGAAGGCGGAGGCAGGAATCCCGCCGACTGACCCTGCTGTAGCGGCGGCGGCTGCGTCTGGTACTGATACTGATACTGCGAAGGCGGTGGCGGCGGTGGTGGGAAGCCGCCCGTGTTCTGTCGATAAGTCAAAGGCGGTTGCTGAGCGTTGTAATGCTGCTGAGACTGAGGGTTGTAGTGTTGTTGAGGTGGTTGCTGCGGGTTGTATTGCTGTTGAGGCGGCTGCTGAGGGTCGTATTGCTGCTGGGGCGGCTGCTGAGAGTTGTATTGTTGTTGGGGCGGCTGCTGAGCCCCGTAGTGCTGCTGTTGAGGTGGCTGCTGTGTCCCGTACTGCTGAGGCGGTGCAGAACGCGGCGCGGGCGGCGGTGAGTCGAACGCTCCAAAGTTCGCCAGCCCCGCGTACGGATCCTGTCCCCCAGGTGGTGGCGAAAACGACGCAGGGGGCCTCGGAGGCGGCGGTGGCAGCTGCGAGCCCTGTGGCGGCGTAGGCGCGTACTCGCTCCTCGAGGGCGGCGGCGGCATCGAATACGAGTTCCATCCAGAGTGCGCAGGCGGCGCGGGAGGCAGCGCTGGCGGCGACGTTGCGCCCATGCTCATGCTCGCAAAGGACGAGCCGAGGCTTGCGACGGACGACGACGCGGCGCTAGACGAAGGTGGCGGTGGTGGTCGTTCCGGCGCGGGTGGTGCGGATGGCGCCAACCTCTTCTGCGCCTCGGCGCGCCCGACCAGCGTCTCCCTCTCCACCGCGCGCTCCTTCGCGAACGACTGCGCATTTCTTCTCAAAGCCGCACTCAGCTCCGTGAGCTCCTGATAAAACTGCAGTCCTTTCCTGCACAAGTGCGAACGTCATCACCCCTGCCCAATGTAACAACGGCCCAGAAACTCACGCAAGCCCGTCCCGTACCTCCATGTACCCATCCCTCGCCCTCGAGAACCGCCGAACGGTGTCCTTCTTCCGCCGCTCGCGCTCCTCCCACTTGCGCGCCCCTGGTCCCCTGCCCGCGAGGTCTTTCAGCGCCTTCCACAGCTCGCCCACCTCCTGCAGCGCCACCTCCTGTGCCTGCACCGTCGCCGCCAGCCGCTGCTGGTACGGCTTGAACTTTTCCAGCTCCGCCGCGAACAGCGTCGGCTCCACGCCCGAATTACGCCGATTCAGCAGCAGCAGATGGGACACGTCGTCCGTTTGTATCTAGTATTCGAGTATGAGCATCTCCCTGTATCGTCACTACCCTCGCACGTACCTTTTCTTTGAGATCCTTCAGCACCTCATTCCGTTCTCGGGCGATCTTATTCAGCCGCCCGAGCCGCTCCTCGATCTCGTCCACGTACTGTCCCACCTTCGCTTGCTCTGCTGCATCTGTCGCGTCGCTCCCGACATCTAGATCCAAAAGGCTCTCCTCTCCCGCGCCGCCGCGTGTGCTCGCCCTAAACACCTCCTCGAGCTGCGGCGACATCAGCAATCCGATGTCGTCCCTCACCGCGCCCCACAGTGCAAGAACCTGCAGGTCCGACGCCGCCGCCGCGTCTAGCGCCTGCAGGTGCGCCTTCAAGTCCTGCCTCAGCTGCTTGGTGAAGCCGGCCGACGGTGCCTGCGTCCACAAATGGTCGTATCGAACCCGCATCGCTTCGCACTCCTTCGTCTCGAGCTCCAGTTCGCGCGACACGCCGTCCAGGTTCGCGCGCACGCCCGCCTTGAGTCGGTTCAGCTCAGCGATGAGTCCCTCCACGCCTTCACGCTCCTCCACGAGCGCGATGTCCTCTCGCCAGCGGCGGACCTCGACCGGGACCTCCTCTCCGTCGACGCCGCCCTCGGCCATCGCCCTAAAGCGCACCAGGCCCTCCTTCACGCCCATCGCCTCCAGCGCGCTCCGCGCCTCGACTTCCGCGCTCTCCGCGTTCTCCACCTCGGCCCGCACCAGCTTCGCCTTCTCTTCCGAGTACACGCTCGCGCTCTCGTGTACGCTGAGCGGGATCAGGCGCACGAACAGATCCTGGCCGATCACCTTCTGCACCTCAGGCGTGCCGTAAACATCCTGGATCGGGATCGGCGTCGCCACCACCGCCTTCTCAATCACCGGCAACGTCTCCGCCGCAGGTAAAACCGCGTTGTAGATCAGGTCGTTCGCTTTCTGCGCCTCCGTCTTGCGGTCCGTGCACAGCGCGAGGTGCGCCTTCGTTAGCTCCGAGATGGACGATCCCGCGTCTGCGGGCAGGTTCGGCGACATCTGCGTGACGAAGATCGCCGCGAACGAAGACGCCGTGCGCTGCGCCTCCTTGGCCGCCTTCTCCGCGACGCCGAACCGGACTAGGGCATCGCCGTGCTTGCCCGCGGCGTCGTCCGCAAGCGCGCGGAAGTAGTGTGCGACGGATGTAAAGTACTGGGACTTGATCTACAAAAAGCGGCGTGAGCACGTAGGCGCGTCTCGTGTCGATGAACTTGCCTGAATGATCGTCACCCAATTGCGGTCAAGGATACCCTTGCCCATAAAGTCCTTCACTTCCTCCGCGAGCGTCATGTACAGGTATGCCGTCTGTGATGCCACTTTGGACACGAGCGCGTTACCCTTCTTCTCGTCCCTGCATTTCTCAAAAAACACCTCCGTCGCCTGTGCCAGGATGATCCCCGCGAGGAACTTGATCACCTCTCGGCTCAGGTCCGTTGACGGCGCGTGCAGGAAGTTGTCGTTGATGTACGTGAGCATGCCTGCACACGTCCGGAAGTAGTAGAATGAGCGCTTGAGGCCCTCCGGGTCTGACCTATTTTGGCTCGCAGCGATCGCAGAATGGGTGGCCGCTATCTGGAAGATGATCGACGCCTTCTCGTAAGCGATGGACGTTTGAGTGATCAACTTGTTCGTGAATGCGTCGTGCCAAGGGAAGGTGACCCGAATCTCGGAGAAGCGCAGCTCGAGGAGCTCTAGCTGACCAAAGTACTTGTAGAGCAGGTCCCTAGCTGACGCAGTCGCGACCGGCGGTCAGGAAGGCCTGGACAGATAATAGGCCGTGCTCACCCGTCATATCACTCCCCGCGCCTCTGACAGCATCTTGTCTACACCGCTGCAGGTTATAGCACTCCGTCGAGTAATTGTCCGGATTCTCGCCATAAGACTGGGCGATCAGGTTGCGAATGGGTGTCGTCCAATCCACCTCTTCTGTCGCCTTCTTGGGTATCGATATCATGGGCGACTGGTGCGCCATAATGGGCAAACAGCGGTAGAGGCAAATGGCGCAGCGAGAGTCAAGGTGCACAGGCCGACTGCGGGAAAGCCGAGCGCGTCCGTGTGCGAGCGGACTGCTGTCTTGGGCACCCAGGTGAAGAAGGCAGAAATCCGCTTGATTTTACCTCCCAGCGAACTTGGATACAATAGTCCAGCCTCGTTGTTCGGTATGTTACAGCGCACAAGGCAGAGGTCGGCCGTCGAACATGGAGGTAACAATCGTCCAGGGAGTCAGGGAGCCGCTACTGTCAGACCGATCATGGTATGAATCACATGACTGCCTTAATGAAGGTAACGGAAGTCGAGGTTGACGATGAGGATCGTTCAAACGTTCAGACCCACCATGCCTATGCCCATTAGAGATGATACTATCTAGTCATTGACCGTCAATCGAGCTCAGCACTTGCGGAACGCCGCCTTCTGAAGAACCTGCGGCTTATGGGCTGTCACTTGGACCGAGCAATGTCACATTTGATCAAACGGCATCACATAAATCGGTCCACCTGCTGTTTGACGAAATTCAGAGCAGCAGAGCGTCGTTATCGTTATCTGCAAGAAATGCATCTACCTGGAGATCACTACATGACTGGCCGGATCAGCAAGTTGTCAACAACGAGAACATATATCTCGACCCGTCCACGCTGCCACATGCCAAGCACCCAAGTCCAATAGTCCCGACGTCAACGTGGTGCCTCGATCATCGCGGAATGCCCACGAATTGTCAACTCGTGCATATGATGGACTCGGGCCCGAACGGAAGTATAAAAAGGCAGCTGCATCGCAATATGCCTGCTCATTACCCTCGCCGAACACGTCAACATGCGCGCTATCCTCACGATCATCTCCCTGATCACAATTACGGCCAGTGCATCCGCGCTCGCGTTGCCGGCCCAGATTGCGCGCCAGGTTCAGGACGGGTGCCCACCACATGTGGTATGCGAGCAGCAGCGCACCGCGGAGTGATCATGGGGCCTAATCAGCATACGCCGCCAGTGAGCTCAAACATCTCGACTACGTGGAGGCGTCAACTGACGAGAGCTTCGTTGTACAGGGCCATGGGGCTATGGCCTGTTTGCCAGGAGGAAGGGCAGTTCCACCATAGCATAATGCCTGATGCGGTCCATCCCAAGTCGCTGCAAACAATCGAATGATAACGAATGATACGATAATACGACGGAACGCATGTTCTGAGTTATTCGCCGGTTGCTCGATGTCAAGGTCGATGTACCGGTCGAGAATCAGTGTAGCATGCACGGAGCCGAGGAGCCTTGAGCCACTGAGCCAAACTGACGATGAACCGATCCCATGATGTTTCCGTAGACAACGAGCTGACTGTGATAAGATAGCCTATTTCAATCCGACTAAGAAAGGGTATGAGAGTGGTTGTTCCATGGAAGCAGGATGAACGAGATCGTAGCGAGGTCCACAGGTTATGACCGCGGGCTGGACTGTCCGTGCACCAGCTTTCTCCCCCATTCCACCACGGACTGGTCCAAGCGACCCGTGTTCTTGAACAACGCTTCGACCTGGCGATTCCATTCCTCCTGCAACATGTCTGCGAACGGCTTCCGGACGATGCGAGCGGCGGCAGGAAGCGGCGCGGCAACGACGGTAGGTTCTTCTACCAAACGTCGCGAGATATGCGAGATGCTGGTTAATTCAGCATTAATCTCTCGGCACAGCAAAGATGATAGTCGGGCAGGAACGCACTCCGCACGGAGCTGCTCGGTCCTGCGTGCGCGTTTAGTTTAGAGGTCGTAACCTTAGTGGATGAACGAACCTCGTATTGATGAGATTGGACAACCCATAGTATATCTGAGCTAATATCAGAATCCGCTCCCAAAGCTGCGTCCCTAGACGGATACTCAAGTGCTCACTCCACCAGCGGCCAGTGCGCCTGAAATCGGGCCCAAGAGGAAGGACATGGTATGACGGAACTTCGTGCACTGCCACACCCCCAGGCCCTCGACGTAGCGTTGCATTTCGTGAAGCGTCCTTTATCGCACAGTACCTGGTTCGAAAATCCCACTGTGGATGTTGCACAACTCAATTGAAGTCAAGAGCATCCACACGCAGGGCATGATCATGAATCGGCTATCATGAACATGCGCGAGCGCACACCACAATGCAACTGTGCTTCGATGCGAAGCTACAAGAATGTCAACACGACGGTCTCTCTTCCGTCAATTTCGTGACGAAATTTCTCTCATACTGCGCAGGTGAGCCTGATATCTCGATCTTCGCACACGCTGTGGCAAATTCACGCTCCTTATTGCTTTTGAAAGGTTGTTTGGCCGGCTTCGCTATGGCCCCCATGCATACGATGTGGCATTCGAGGAGTGCCACTGCCCACGGAGGGGTGGCCCGTGTCGCCAACTATAAGGCAGAAGAACCTGGCATCGACCTTGCCGTTTCACCTCTCGGACCCTGCCTCTTTGCTCATTGGTTTCTATGTCTTCGTCACTCCCTGAGCCATGGATCGAGAGGGGAGATAGCGGGGAGCCCCGTCGAGGGGAAGATGCCGGTGAAAACGAACGGGAAGAAGAACACACTATCAGCTCCTACGGTGACCTAGACGAGTCTGCACAGATATCGTCGCCTGTATCTGAATTGCCTTACCCGTTGACGGTTTCATCTCGGGGTCCAATCGCGACCACCCCGACATCGAGGCGGACGTCTGTGCGCGGGATTTCGAGCGCAGATCTGAGTCCTGGATCTCCCAGCAGCCCGAGCAGACTGCGGATGCAGAAGCCACCGCGCGCCACTCAAGCGCGCTCGCCGTCTCAGACACTGAAGCTCAAACTGCGCGGAAGAGATATGACCCTAAACCTTGAAGAGGAGGCCTCTCCCCAGATACGTTCCATCTTCCAACGGACTTCGCCGCCGGAGACAAGCGGTTCTTTGCGGGACTCCGGCCAAAATGTAGATTACATGGTACGCATCCACCTCGATACGCAATATATCGCCTCTGGAGAACTCACGTCTTCCTCTGCGTCGCAGCCACCCCGCGTGTTCTTCGCCCCCAAGTCGCCTATCTCGCCGACCACCGACTTTAGAACAACTGTTGAGGAGGCCCAAGAGCGCCGGGACGCACTCTCCCCTCCGGATGCACCCCGTATCAGACCAACTGTTTTTAACGATGGCGCAAAGCCGACGGAGGACGTGGGATTGCCGCCGTCGTTATCACGGCGGACGTCTCCGCCGGGGGGAGCGCCATGAGATTGCCATTCCGGCGCGCATGACTCCATGCAATTTATCACCGGAGATGTGAAGCAGATCCCGGAAACGATCTACGCTGTGCGCGTGAGGGGGCGTAGCCAAACAGCGGCGCACATCAACATACAGCGGTCGGTCTACTACAACTCTTGGAGGCGATTCGAACCTCGAACAATTCGAAATTCACTTGTGTAGCAGAACGTACTTCATAATTGGAATACATCCTCGGAGTAAAGTTCGGGAAGATCAAATGATTGCCGAGGCCACGGGATGCCTCGGACCCATTCTGCGGTCGGAATCAGGTAACACGGTTTCCTCATAACGCGCGAGGTGCCCGTCACGCAGTCAGACTTTAGTGCGTGTGTACTCGACACCGACGATCATTCGGTCTTCGAAACGTGCGTGCGTATCGGCCTTGGGGCTTCTTGTCATATCGAGGGGAAGCCTGATTCTCCCAGTGTTCCGGATGGAATTGGATGGGATATGTAAGGGTATCCGCGTGCTGCATTGGGACCGGTCGAGTCTTCTCTGCTGCCGCCTTGAGTACGTTGGCTTGGAAACTGCTCGATCCAGTCCCAACATTGATGACGCAAGCCGTCCCGGTTGGAACAGAAGCTGCGTCGAGGATTGTAACGCTGATTTCTGCAACAAGCCATGACGGGGCACAGAGAAGAATCGGGGACGAGATGCTGGAGCCTTGGAGCCTGAGGCCATGGCGGTCGCTAATCTTCGTCCGGAACGACGATCCCCCGGATGGACATGGCCTTCGGCACTGGCAAATAATGAGATCCGCCAAGGTCCTTTATGATGACCTGGTGCCGACATGTTATGCGCTCCGCCTGGCCCAGTCGGTGGAAAGGTCTACCCGACTCTACCGTGTTTGTATGCGTGAGCTCGGGACCTACAGGCTCGGACGTCGGGGCAGATTGAGCCGTCCGATGGGTTGATTCTGCCATGACTTGACCAGCCCGAGCAAGCAGCAGTAATTCCATACTTATAGGTGGCGTGGCTTCCGGTTCCGGTAGTGATAAGTTGCGAGCGATGATCCCTTCGACGAGAACCCCTCGTGGTTACCAGTCGTTTCACAGTGACGTTTGTTTGCACTACAAGACATCCCGCCTGGAAGCCGATCTCGAGAAAGTCTCCAGCTCGTGACCCAGTCTTGAGGTGCCCATGTACGATAGGGTCCATGGTTGGCGGTGCAGATACCACCGCGAAGGTAAGTTCTCCGATGGACCGAGAGCGAAGAACGCTGCTCATGTCGGATATGGACATCGGCGCGCGATTATCTTTCGCCACAAGTCGTAACGAGAACTTGACCGGAACGGGGACGTGCAAAAAACGTAAAGGAGCCGCAGCAAAGGGTGGGCAACGTCGGCAAGGATGCGTCCTCTGCCGGTCAGCGATCAGAGCAAGAAGCGCCGCCCTCGACGGTGTCACCCACCTTGCCCAAAACGGCGGGAATGTGAAAGGGCTCATTTACCGAGCCTTTACCAACTGCCCCCACCCTCGTTTGCCTCCCGCCCACCGCTCTTGTGCTTGTCGCCGACTACGCACATTGACTTGTTGTGTTGTTGACGACACCGTCTCTGCAATTTTTAATAGCTCGTCCAGAGCGAACCAAGTTGTCTGGAGCCTGCGCACAAGAGCGAGGCGCATTTACTCGTCTTTCCAAAGACCCCTTCGTCCAGCAGAGCACCATCTGTCTCGACTCCACCAAGTCCCTTATTTTTGTGAGCATCACGTCCACCGGCATATTCGCATATACTCAGCCCCCGTGACAGCGCATATATCCACCTGCAATAATCATCCGACCCATACTTATACGCGTTTAATTGATCCCACCCGCCATAATACTGCATCTCCTAGTACAAAATGCTGATCCGCCTCATCCCCCGACCGCCCCTGCCCACGGTGCTCTTTACCCTCGCGTTCCTCCACCCACCTGAGGGACTGCCCATCCCAGCCAACTTTGTCCATCAGCTCCAGCAGATCAACGCCGACGAACTCGAGCTTCCAGGCGAGGCCGGCTTGTATGCGCTTGATAACGCCGCCTGGCTTGTCTCCCTCCTGCGTGAGGTTACCTTCAACATTCCGACTTCCACAGTTTCCTGCGTCTTCAGGGACGGAGCTGTCGAGGAATGGCCTCTGATGGGCCGTGGTCTGGCCGATGCCCTTGAACAGGTCGTCAATGACGTTGAGCAGAGTGCCGTTCAGGCACAGAGGGAGGAAAGGAAGGTGGTGGAGGTGCCGCCTCCTCCGCCTCCACCGTCACCTGCTCCCATCCCGGAGCCCGTCACCGCCAAGCGCCCGAAACATAAGAGGCAACGTTCACTCCTCATGACTCTTGTGCAGTAAGTTATCCGCATTCTCGATGCGTTCGCGGGACTGATGATGGCATAGTTCGTTCGTGGCTGTTGCCAACGGGTCGTCTCGTTCGTCGTCGGCTCAAGTACCCCTAACCCCTGCATCGCCCAAGCCACCTTCAGAGCACACAAAAGAGCCGCTTCCACCTGACTCGGCTCTGAGCTCGCGTGCACTTCGTCGCCGCGCGAGGTCTACTCTCGTGGACGCCTATAACCGGTTCGTCATCACCGAGCTCCGGATCCGAGTTCGATCTCGTGGTGGATACGTGTACGGTGGTCGCCACGGCTCTCCCTACGGTGGGTATGCGATGTGGATCGCGCATAGCATGCTCCGTCGCGCTCAGGCACACATGGACCACCTCGTCCAGGAGGCGGGTGGTTTGGCGGAGATAGTCAGGGCGCTAACGGAGCTCGACACCCCAACGGCTTGCACCCCCCGTATCGCACAGTCGATCCCGTTCCCGTCTTCGGAAGATACGGCGGTAGAAAATGATACCGATGTTGACGGAGGCTCAATCGCGGACAATGCGTCCACTTCCACGGATGATTCGTCTTCCATCCAGACACCGTTAGATGGAGGGTCAACTCGCTTGTCACTTCCGAACGGGTTCCCTCGGACACCAACGCCTCCTTGCTTGTCTCTGGAGCAGCTCGACGCATACAACCGGCTCTTTGGGTTTTCGAAGCGCATCCGCCACCTGATCAAGGCTATGGAGGATATTCACGTTGAGCGGACCGCCCAGGAAGAGCAATGCATGCAAGTGCTGGAGATCAAGAGCCGCCGTCGGGCGTGGAGCACGAAGCGCTTGCTTCTTTGCGACAACGATGATACGAAGACCCGTGCGCTTCGTGGGGCCCTCGTACAGGATTGCGGACTGGGAGTGCCTATCAAGCGCAGCCCTCTCGGATGGTGCTTGCCAGTGTCATCTTCCGATACGGATGCGCGCGAGCTCTCCTTGTGCCGTTCGCCATCGCCCAGCCGCACTCGCGGCCTTCGGGTTACGAGTGCCCCTCACGATATCAGCTCCCTGTTCCCTGTCAGCGAGGAAGACGAAGCTGACGATGATGAGCTTCCCGTCGAGGTTGATGCGCAGGAGCTGGATCTAGAAGCTGGTTATCTTCCGCATGAGTTGCCCAGAAGTCAACCTTTGGCACCTCCCCCCGCCTACGCTCCGCCTGAGCCGCCTTTCGTCACCGCTCTGTCACCCGCACCTCGACCTCGCATGGTACCGCGCTCTCGATCGGAAGTCACGCTTCCTCTCCTATGTCAGCCTTTACCTAGTCGTGGGATGCAGAACCCCATGATCGCCGCGCCCGAAGACGTCGAGTTCACGCTAGGAATAGATGTACCGCGTGCGGTTCGGTCTCACCCTCGCTATGACCACGACGAATGGCTCCCTGGCATTGCAGCTCCTCCTGGCCTGAGCTACCAGCATGCTTGACGCTTCTTTTCATCTATTTCGAAGTCAACTGGATTTGCGTTCTTTTCGTTTCATTCGCTCAGCGGCCAATGCCGCTGCCTCTCCTGCCCAAACACAATCCTCTCTTTCTATTTTCTGGCCTGATTGCCATCTGCCCATATTGGTCCCCTTTCAGTTTCCACCACCATATAATGCTGTCACAAAGTCATCCCGGAATTCCACGTCATCTCAAGTCGGTTCTTCAGGTCGCGTCCCCATAATCTAATTGGCACTCGTATTCTTTCCCTGCATCCAATCCGCTGCGCCTTAATCTTGGACATGCCACCTCCGTGGTCTATCCCGCTTATGTAGCATTCTCGCTCTTTTCTCTAGTTTCCCTTGCTACATTCTCCGCTTTCGGTTCGGGACCTCCTTACGGCCCGACGTTCGCTGTATAAAGCTTGCGCTCATTTGCATCCGCCACGTCTTACATAGAATCTTCATCCCTCATCATTCAGGGTCACCATCGTTCGTATAGTATAGTATAGTCTGACGAGCCCATGTGGCGTTCTTGTACTCATATCCCCACTATTGGAAGCTGTACTCTTCAATATACTCGCGATCTTTCGCACACCAAATATATGTTGTCCATGCAACGCGTGTCTCCGAAAGACTGACTGTGTAAGACAGGATTTCGCAAGACGGCGTTATAGCGCACGACAGAGCTATCAAGCATTGTCTTGAGGCACGTTCTGTACAATGTGTTCCACCAGCTGACGCATGACTTCGGCCTTTGCTTGACCAACACTGAGCACTTCTTCGTGCGAGACGACAGACGTCGGGGGTAGTTCTATCGGTTTCCCGGCAAGCTGAAAGCACTCGGTAAATCTGGCGCAAACGTGTTTATGCCGTATCAAGCTCACCTCGGCTTTCACTTCTTCCCTAATACTACGATAGCTATCGACGATCACGACGGCATTGGTGACCAGACTGAGGACCATCACTTGCATCCCTTCTTCATGGGCGGCCAAGACCTCTGGAACAGTGCTCATGCCGACGACATCTGCACCGGCGGTTCGCAAGAACCTGATGGGGTTGCGTTAGTGGTGCACTTTGGCCAATTGCGAGGAAAAAGTGGAGACTACCTGCCCTCAGCAGCTGTCTCATACGTCGGGCCACTGACCCAAGCATAGACGCCTTCGGCTAACGCGGAGTCCGGCAAGTTGAGTTTATGTGCAGCCAAGAACGCGAGCCGTCGCAAGGATGTTGAGTACGCATTGGAAAGAGGCAGGAACCGAGGGTAATTCGGGGAAACGGGCGGGCCCAACAGCGGATTCATGCCGACCATGTTGGGTAGCGCCAAGTGGTCCTGAACGACGACAACTGACGGCGTCATCATAGGCAATCAGTTGGAATGGAAATTTTGAACGCTGAAAAGATCTCACTGGTGCCGACAGCGAGGTGTGGATTGATAGCACCAGCAGCATTGGTGACTGCGCGAACACGTCAGGAAACAATGAAGGGTTCACCAGAACAATGAATGCATACTTATCATGTTTTGAACACCAAGACGTGCCAGAACGCGGATCGGATAAGTGACAGTCGAGAGCTTATGTCCCTCGTATGGATGGAACTAGCTAGCGGCCAACTCAGATCGGTCAAATTGTAGACTCCATGATATCGGCGTGCATACTCGTCCAAGCATCGCAACGACAGGGACATCTTCACCATCTCCCATCAACCCGAACGCGAGCGTACTCTTATGACCAGGCACTGGCAAGCGTTCAGTCGCGAGTTTCGCGGTGGATCGAGTAAATCGAGCGTACCTGTACTCTTTCCGAATCCTTGAAGCGCTGAGTACGGCACTTTCACGACATCTCTAAGGCTATTTGCTAGAGTACTCAGTCCAGAACCGCACACGATACCAACACGGGGCTTGAGGAGGTGCGGTTTGTCCTTCAGGAACGTTGCGATCACATCGAGCGTCGCAGCGAAGGGATATTCAGGATTTCCCGTAGGTTCTAGCGGAGTGGAAGCGTCGATCATTGGAAGACCCGAGGTTGACCGTAACGAGCCGTAGCAGCGAATGCTGGACGCTGGCTCTTGGTTGCGATAACATTGATAAGCGCCCGTAGTCGACCTGGTTTGTTGGCGATTTACATTGACTGCTTACTAACTGTAACAGTACAGTGTGCTCGCTTCTTTTTTGAACGAGTGCGTCTAGACATCAGTCACCTTCCATCTGCATCAGCTCAGTTCCTCGTACATTGACTTACTGCCAGGAGCTACATAACTTCGACAATGTCGCAACCCGTTTCGAGTACGAGTAGTCTCTTGCATATGGACTGCAAACTGGAATTGCTCCTCTGCCTACCCTACAGATCTCGTATCCCGACATTTACTCCTACGACTTGGCAGTGGCCGTCACACCAAAGACCTCAGTTCTCGCCCGCATCCACGCCGATTCGCTCGCGCGTAGTATTTGCATCAACCCACACACCAGATTCATTGGGTAATTGAGTTGCGTTGCTAACCTTTACTAACCAGCACAGCTGCGCTGCGCGCCGTGTAAGCTTCTTTCCGAGGTTGGCGTTGGTACTGAAGTACTGAAGGCCTAGGGGTTCGTTGTTGCCTGGCCATGTTTGGGACTGTGTGAAGCATGCGTGACTACACCTGCGTGGTACTTCCGATTCGTGCAACACCTCGGGATGCGAACCAGTCTTGGATTTCGTCTGTGTCTTTGATTCGCTGCTCATGACTCACTCACTGATATAATTTGAACATGCGCTGACGGGCACCGCTACGAATTAGCAACATCGCCATTTCACGCGAGATTCGGCTGGTGCAGCGCGGCCGACGGTCCAGTGTAAACGCAGTGACTGCGCGCTCAGTCTTCTTGGGTACCGAGCATCTTGCCGGGTGAGATGTACACCGCGCCGGTTCACACCGTTCGCTCAGAGCAGCATTGTCAACATCACTCAAGACAACCGCGTCCCGCCCCTCGTGCAAAACTCGATGCGCAATGCATATCTCTGCGTAAATCAAGTTGCGATGTACGGGTCCCTACATACTGCGCGCGGTCCTCGACAAGGTATAAATACAAGTCAGGATAACCGTGGTATGGCAGAGGAAGCCCGATTGTCGACGCCCTACTTCACTCTGCTCACTCTACTTGACTATCAATGGTAGCACTCAAGCTGACCTGTTCTGTTGTGGCTTTTGCTCTTCTGGGCGTAGCACCTTCGTGAGCGTTCAGCTGTGTCATCGTTTCGAACGTATATTCAGTATCATATCTCACTTGCTCAGAATTTCAGCACGCCCACTCGCCGCATCGAGCGTCTCAGCGGTCACCTCAACTTTGTCTTCCGTGGATGCTGTCTCGACAGATAGCCTGGCTAGTTCGTCTATTGCGGCTTCCGGCCCAAGCTCAACACCCTCCACCGCGGTATCGAGCGAGAGTGCTGCGCCAAGCTCAGCCTCAGTCAGCAGCATTCTAGCATCATCTTCCGCGGAGGCGAGCGCCAGTGCTGCTTCGGCGTCCGTATTCGCACCCGTTAGCGCAAGCGAGAGCGTCCACGAGACATCGGCAGCGCCTAGCATTAGCGTTGTTCCGTCCACGGTCCCTGCACTGTCCGCATTATCCTCTGCAGTGGACCCCAGTGCCATCCCATCCTCTTCTTGCCACGGCGGTCACGGTTACGGCACTAGTCATCCTGGAAACGGGTATGGAGAAATCATTGCAGAGTTCGAAGAGGATCTTCTTCGAGGCCGTCACTGTGGTCCATCCATCAGCTCCTACCCCTCGTCTCTGCCTTTTTCGGTCGCGACGTCATTCTCGGTTTTCCCGTCGGCCTCGTTGCCCCTCCCGATCTCCAATTCAGCCTTCCCCACGTCTATTATCGTCGAGCCCTCTACCGCCACGGGCATCGCTTCATCCGCGACCGCTGTCTCTGCTGTTGGCACGATCCCCTCCACCGTCGTGGTGTCGGTTAGCGGCTCGTTGCTTTCCAGTGCGACCACAAGCATCTCGTCCGTTGCTAGTACGAGTTCCACCTCGTCTGTCGCCACAGCGAGCGTCAGCTCTCCCGCTGCAAGCACCGTCTTCGTTGTATCTTCCGATTCAGCGGTGCCTAGGTCAACCACGTCCGCCCCTGTCAGTACTAGCGTGTCAACAATCGCCGCTGCATCGTCGTCGCTCCTTTAAATATTGGCCAACGTTCGTTACTTATCTTTTCCTGGCATTGCTGCATAGCGGACCATAATCGTAGCTCTACCCCTCGTCGAATCAGATCCTCGATGTTTGTGGTCGAGTACCGAAGTTTCAGGGATTGCACGCATCGTCATATATACTGAAGCACTCTTGATGAATCTGTAAGTTGCCTTAAAACGAAATTTACTGATTTACTGATTTTGCCTGCCGCAAGGAGATTTGCATTTGGACCCAGTAGCACCCGGAGTTCACCGTGTACACAGTCTAGGAAACGCGTGGCATCAGTCGTCCTAGCTGAACTGTAATGTCAACAAGTATAATCATGAGACCAGGGAAGGGTCGTGGCTGAGGACTTATGTTTCGGAAGACATCTCGCGAAAGGTCGTCCCAAAGTCCAAAACGGTCCGGAATGTCAATTTCCAGAACGGTCATGTTAAGTTGAGGCAAGCATTGGCGCAAATAGGAGCGAATCGAAAGTCCTTTGGCAAAGCTACTAATCTAATACTGACCGCTTAACGTGGTCCGACCATTCCTCTGAAGGCACGTCGCTCGTTTTCTTGAATAGATATAACGTCCGTGGGCAATCGCCGCCGCGGTCAGAGCTCTGCTGCCCATACCTCATCGAGAAAGCGTACATCATCAATAATCTGAACGTCCACGCCGGCCGACCCGTCGCCTCGGTTAAGCCATATCCACCTGCAGTCGCAGGTAAGGCTGAGCAGATCGAAATCGCCGGAGTAACACTTACTTGTACTTCACAACATGAGTCGCATAAGAGCCCCAGGTGGTTTCGAATACGCCGGACCCCTCATCCCAAGCATTATCGCCGTGATCGATGCAATTGCTAGCATAACTGTCGTCAATATGATAGTGGTGGAATAGCAGTGACCGCACTCACAAGTGAATAATGCCTGGTACAAGCGAACCATCTTTCCAGCGGTTTTCCGCATATCCATTGGTTTCCAGGGAGATTTCCAACGCCTCCGTTTCCGTGGCCATATCAGAGAGCTTGCCCGGATCCACACTGTAGATGTTATCGCAGTAGGAAATGTCCCAGTCCTGGCGAAGACGCACGAACTGGTCGCGTCGATACGTGTATAGGAGTGCGTATACCCCTTGATCAGCGAAGACGACGTTCATGGGGTCCCATGGAACCCGGTTGGTGCGATCAACAGCCTGACCGCCGAATGCAAGGTCTACCACGCCGTCTGCTGCTGCGAGCCTGAATGGCTCAGCCACGAGTGCGGTAGAGGCGGTAGAAGGTAGGAGAGTGGAGGGCATGAGCGGTGCAGAACGTGAGCGCATCATCGCGAGATTGAGGAGAATCACGCAAGAGCATATGCTCCCTGCATGTCCTGCTTCCTCCTTTGCGGTGATGGCTGCGATTGTAGTAGGTGTGAAACGCTCGAATTCGCGCCAGAGTGCAGCCGGATCGTCTGGGACACAAGCTCAGCGGCCATCAGCGATGTGTTTGAAACAGGCATACTCACAACTGAACAGTGCATCGGTATCGACATATATCGCCTTCTCTGCCGGTATGATCTCGTGTAGGAATAGCTTGACCAGCTGGTACATGTTGGGATTGCCCACGCCGCTTCGGCGGACGCGCTCGAACGCGTACTGCTCGTCGACCACGTACAGCCTGACGCGTATGCCGTGGGCAGGGTTGTGTATGAGGGACAGCGGGGATTCCAGTACCGGTACCGCGTCCGGAGTGCATACAATATGGAAGTCCACTGGCCGTGTAGCATGCATCAGGATTGACTTCATCATTTGCGAGCCCTCCCGCGCGGTGGTCGCGCCTAGCATGAGCAGGCTGAACACAATTGTGTCAGGATCCGGTCCGCCGGCTTGCTCGGTTGACATTCCGTTCGCGGACGAGTTCCAGAGCTTGCGAACGTGTGTGGCCGAGTGCATGTGGAACCAGGCGAAGTAGTTGATGAACACCAGAGCCGCCATACAGGCCCACAGACGAGTGGCGATCATGGCGAGCCGTTGACCAAGGGCTTGTTTGAGGAATAGGGTGTGGAGAGAGTTCAGCGTACGGCAGGACAACGCCTATATGACTTGCGCTTACCCAATTAGGAGGTAGAATTGAAACCTGGCGGAATGGCTATTCGCGGACGATCCGTCCCTCAGCGGTTGAACCTGGCAAATGGCATGTCCTCCGCATTTCACATCGATAACCCCTATCCGCCACTGGGCCAGGAAGGGCAGTGGTCAAGATCATGAGAAGGCCTCAGCTGGGTCGTGCATCGAACGTGTGGATGGACCGGTGTGTCGAAGACGGATCCGGTATAGAGATAGACAGACGCCGCGGGTATGACATTCGACATCCCCAGTACATATCGTTCATCGAGCTCGCGTTAGCGTGAATCAAAGCTGTGTGCGCGTCAGGAGGAAATGGAAGTCGCACACCGGGTCTCACCAGGCGCTGGTTCCGATCGGACCGGGAGCGACCGCCTACCTGTACAGTACATAATCACATGACGGATGCAACTTACGAACAGAATTCTTGCTGATCCAGAGAGCAGATCCGGTGTAGCCTTGGAAGATCAGGCCCAGTCAAAACACCAGCTGAGCAGCTCAGACGAGAGCCGAGGAGAATAAGACCGTGCTGAGCACGTATGAGCAGGACTGAGCTGGATGGATCTTCCGAAATCTTAATCACAGATCGAGGCTCTTTTTAGCTCGTTTTGTCCATTTTTGACTTTGTTATACACAAATTCGCAACGACGCCGATATCTACGAAACTTCGACATCCCGATCTGGCTCCCAAGGAGGTACAGCAAAAATGAGAGACTCGGAAAAAATCTGCCCAAGTCGCGCTGGACACTTCTTGTCCTCCTACCGCCACCATCCCCTGCCTGCGCCAATGCCCACACTGTGTGAGCGCAAGCTATCTATGACAGATGACTGGCAAATCCTGGGGCTGTAGCGGCCTGCGGTACGTGTGAATTAGCACGACAGCTGCTTGGCTGCATACTTGGTGTAGGAAACACTCATGCCCGCCATGTTTTCCTTGACTATATGCGCATGCTGAGGCTCACGCAACACCGTAGAGCAAGAAAGGTGAGTCTATGCAACAAAGAATACCACAACGGTTCAAGATATGGTGCCATGCTGTGGGAGTGCAAGTTCGGTTTATGTCGAAGAGCACCGGCGAAAGTCACCGTCATCCTAGCCCGTGGTTTCCATCTGAGAGCGAAACAAAGGTAGATAAATATGCATATAAGCTAGCCTCAATGGGTTGAAGGGCTTATATGGTGTGCAGGCATCGTCTTGTGTTGTGTCATCGCGCATGCAACTCAGATCACAAGGGCAAGGCCATCCAACAACAGCGGTCAGTCGGATCCATGACTAGACCGCCGGCCCGCCCCGTCGTGTACTTTGCCGTCCATGCAGCGTTACGTGCGTGCGCGCTCTCACCATGCCGTTTCCAAACTCACGTTGACCATGGCTTCCCTGTTGTCTGCTGTACAGGTGTGCGCGGGCTAGATCATCCGAAATGCGAGGTGGCGACCCGGTATGTTTGTGACATCCATGATCAGCCCAGCTTACTCGTGCTGTCTGTAGCATAGAGATGCTGCTGCGCTGGTACCTCTGTTCAACAACTGGTGATTATGATTCCCCTGCGTTAAGGCGGTGATGACCGAGTATAAGTTCATGTAAATTACGTAGATGGTGAATGATATAATACAGTTTTTCTATACTGTATCAAACATCTGGAAGGCATCT